CCAACCCCAACCCCAACCCCAACCCCAACCCCAACCCCATTTAAGTATATCTAAAAATATATTGATTTTTTTGTATTAAAAAATATAATTTATTATCTTTTCAATTTTTTTGAATTCATTAATTCAGTTAGTTGGTATATTTTAAAAGCTTACTATTAGCTTTCTAGAAATTATGTATCTAAAATAAAATAATAAAAAAATAAAAATTTCTTTTAGATAAATGAATTAATTTTAAATAATATATAAAAAATCTATTAATAAATGCATTTAATACTAAAACTTCTTTTAGTAATTTAAATAATTAAATAATTTAAAGTTAAAAATTAAATAAAATAAAGCATAAAAATAAAGCAGATTAAATTATTTTAGATAATATTAATTTTTTTATAATATTTACAAAATAAATATATTTTTGAAACTTAATAATAATTGAATTTTAATTGACATAGTTTAATTTAATAAATAATTATCAATTATTCAATTAAATGGTTTTGTTTGCTTTCTTGGGGTTAAACTATTAGGTGTTAAACATTAAATATTACTCAAGTTTTCCATAACTTTTTCATAGGATTCAATTCTTTTTGTTTTTAATATTTATTGATGAGTTCTTACGACTTAAGGGCTTTTTGATTATTCTTTTTACTATTGAGAAAAAAATGATTAAAAAGGAATTAATAATATTTTTTAATTTACGAAGTTTAGAGCCTTAACAGATGATGGTATGTTAGAAGTTTTAACTGGAGTTTATGATGATCTTTTAGAAGATTTAATGTTGAGAGATAGATTTGATAAATCTTTTTATAAATGCCTATAAGAATTTTTATTTAAGTTTTCTTTGTTTTAGAATTAATCATTTTTATTGATTAGAGACGTATTTACAAACTAATCACTGAATTCTTAAAGTTTGTAAAAAGATGTTGTGCCTAACTTATTTTGATTTTACATTGGAGATTTTGAATTAGATTTTATTTATGTTTTACTTTTAGAGTTTATTTTAGGAGTTGATTTATTAAGAGATAATTATTGCTAGTTTTTATTATTTGGGGACAATTCATCATTAATTAATTTAGATTTTAGATGAGAAAGATCTAAAGTTGTTATATGTTTTATTGTTTCTTAATGAGTCTTATGCCTATTCTATATTTACTTTTTAACTGTTGAAGTAGGTTTTTGTTAAAGTTTAAGTGATTTGTTCAACTGGCTGTTTTTAATAGTTTATGGAGGAGATTAGTTTAGCAATAAATTTTCATCAAATTTAAAATCAAAAACATATTTTTTTTATAAATATGGTTAGCTTTTATGCTAATCTTCATTAAGGTTTTCTAGGCTTTGGTGATTTTTTGTTTAGTTAAAAGTGAAAGTCTTTTAAATCTCTGGAGGATTTTCATATTTTTAACTCATTATATTTAAGTTTTAGTATTTTGGATTTTTTTTATATACTTAAGAAAACTCTTTGTTGCCTTAATTTTAAATAAAAAGTTTAGTTAAAATAATTATTTTTTAAAGTTTACTTAAATTAGAATTGGTTGATATGTATTCTTAGTTGACATCATCTTTTTCGACTCCAATACAAAATTAATAAACTCTCATAAATTTTTTTATAAATGCCTTGAAAAATAAAGCTTAATTATCATCTATACAATCTCTTTTATAAACATAGTCATTTTCATAAATCATACTAACTAATTCAGTTGTAGAATGATAGATACCTTTTAGCAATAATACTTTTGTTATGATTAAATAATCTTAAATTATAAAAATTACTTCTTTTTTAAGTAAAGTCCATACTTTAGTCAAGCAAGTTATAAAAAATTGGGTCTATCAAATTAAATGTTTCAATTTTTATTTAGCTATCATGCGAGTTTTATTAAGATATACATACAGTCTGAATCTTTTCTAATAACTAATTTAATGATTCTATAGTTTAATTTATTTAATCGTTGTTTAGAAACGAGTTAACCATCATATTCTTATAAGACTTTAACGGAAACTAAATTTATTGAATTTATATAAAAAATGTTGTTTTTATTAAGGTTAATAAATTTTATTTAACATACTTTATAGTCATAAGTGCAAAACTATTTTAAAAAATATTAGAATTTTTAATTATCTTATTAATTTTAACCACAGCTCTTGATATTGTTTTCTTTAAATATTTTAGATGATATCTCTTCACTTTAATACTTATTATTGCTAGCAAATTACTAATTACTATGATGGCTATTGATAAAAAGAGGTCCTAAAACTTAATAAAGAATTCTCATTTAATATGGATATATAAATCCATATCCCTAATCATCAAATTTCAAATATAAGTCTTCAATAGCAATGATCTTTTTTCAGAATATAAATATAATACTTAACTATATAATTTAAATTAAAAATATACTTATTGTTTAGTAGCAAGACAAGCGTCAAGTAGACTTTAATTATATAGATTATTTAATTTATCTAAATAAAATTGTATCTATTAATTAAAGAACATAAAATTATTATTTATTAAAATATGTTTTAACTTTATTTAGATAAATAATATTTTCTTAAAATATTTTATTTAAATTATTGGTTTATTACCCTATTTGATATTTCCTCTGGGTTTCTAAAGTTTTATAAAAAATAAAGATGGCATTGATCTACTGAAGCAAGTAAATCAATATATTACTCTTATTAATTCTCCACTAAAATATTTTTGCTTTTTTGCCATTCTGAATACAATATTTGAAGTTCTTATTACGTAATTTTTTTTTGATATGCCCAATCAAGAACCCTATTTAAAAATAAAATTATAATATGATAATTGATGTCCGCCAAAATCATAAAACTAAAATAAAAAAAATTATTTAAATTATTACTCAAGAATGCCTGTAAAAAGCTATGACCGTTCAGCTATAGTTAAAGGTTTGTTAACGAAACTTATTTCAAGCAAAAAACTATATATCCTATTGTAGTCTTGTGATTCTAAAGAGTTAACAATTTAACTATTCGCTTTTTATTTCTTACTATACATACTATAAATCAATAATTATTTTCAAAGATTAATACATTAATTTAATTGAATTTTTTCTATTAACAATGTTATTTTCTGCTTATATTTATTTTTCAAGTTAATTTTTAATTCTTCATATTTTTAAGGATATTATCGTTATAAACTTTTATCATTCAATTATTTCACGATACTTTTTATATTTTAAATTATTAAATTTTATTTATGATTAATCATTTATTTTAACACATACATATACATTTTTTTAGACTTATAACAATTTAAAAAAAATAATTTTATCTAAATAATAAGCTATTTTTAATTACAAAATATTTTTTAATATTATAAGATGTAAATGCTGTAAAACTATCTAAATAAATTGCAAAATAAAAAAAATATTGCTAAATTTCCCAATTTATAATACTTAATATAAAAAAATTGAAATTAATTTATTTGGAAAATTTAATTTTAAGATTTCAAAATAATACAAAATAGATAAAATATAATCGATTTACACTGCTTTTTATATAATAAATGTCTCTCGATAAGGAGTAATAAACTTTTTTAGTAATTTAGCTTACAATATTTTTATATTTTTGGGAACTTTAAAATAATATGTATAAATAATCTTACGATTAATTATCGAACCAACAAAATATTTTTGTTAAATTTTTAAGTATTTAGTTAAATTGGTTATTAAATGTGGCTAATGTAAACAAAAGAAAATATAATTTTTTCAAACATTAATCAGTTTTTTTAGTAATAGGTTTATATAATTATAATCAATGGTCTAAATAAAAAATTATGTATTTATTTTTTGATATGATTTCATTGATTTCAAATAACATGCTAGTCAGCACGACGCTTTGGTAAACCATTTGTAAACACATTATTCATATTTTTTTCAGTCAAAGGTGGTCTTTTTTAAAATTCAGAGTTTCTTACAGAAGGAAGTAAGCTATTATTGGCAACATTATCATATTTGTAAGGAGTGTTATCAGCCATTAATTACGATTAGTCATTTTAGAATCTATAAGGTAAATGTTAGTTATCATAAGGTTCAGTTTCAGGATTATTTTAACCAATAAAATAGAATACACCTTCTATAAGTAGATCAAGTAGGATCAAAAATATTTCCATTATTTCTGGAATAAATCCAATAACTGCCATAAATTCACCATTAGAGAAAGCTGAAGAGATTATACTATGAGGATCATTAAAGACTTAAGGTTAAAAAGGAGCAAGAGCACCAAAACGACAAACTAAAATGATAATTATATAGGTTACGATTCTAAATCCTAGATAAATGTAGTTTGTGAAAATTCCAGACGTTTTTATTGGGTGGCGAATATAGAAAAAGAGTCCTATGCAAATAATATAACCAAACAAACCCAAAGTAAATAAATAATTAGTTAAATAATTAGTATTTTAGCCTTTAAATAAGTAAATGGTTGAATCAAATAACATTTATACTCCTTAATTCATAGTTACTCCCAAGCAGGGGCTAGTTTATGTATAGTAAAAGAAACTAAATAGATGGTAATGGACATAATAGAGGAAAGCGAAATCAAAATGAGACCAAACTTAGCATGCCATTAAATACTTGTTATAAGGAGCTAGTAAATTTGTCTACCAATTAATATAAACTGTATATTGATCTAATTTAGCCATATGTATAGCTTTAAAAATACAAGTAAAAATCATAGTTATAAAACAGAAAAAAGCCCAACAAAAAAAGCCTGCAGAATGAATATAATCAATCAGTTAATAATTTGGCCAGTCTGGATCAAAGAAATTATTTAGGCACTAACCTTAAGTAAGCTACGCTGATGGGTTTGTTCCATATTTGTAATAATTTGGATTATCTGTGATAATTGATAGATTTAATAATTCGTTAGTATTTTTTGGATTTAGTATACTAAAATCGAGTCTCTTCATATTATATCTGCTACCAATCATATCCCAACAATTAACTAATGCTAATCTAAAGAATCTAATTTTATTTAATGTTATTAATTTATATATCTTTTATTATGTAAAATTTTAAAAGATAAACAAAAATATTTAATAAATCCATTTAAGCGATGTTGTTTGTGTTTTTATTTGATTTAAAAAATTATTTTTAAAGAAAATAAATAACTTACACTGTTAAGAGCAGAGTAATACAAAATATTGCTTTGACAAACTACTTAACTTTTCTTAGTCTTTCTCCACCAGTAGGTTTAACTGGAATAAGGTGCAATTCAGGATCTTCTTCATGAGGAATGTCAAAATTTACAGGAGTTTAAGGTCTAATAATGTAAGCAGGTTGTATAGGAGTCATTTCTCTTGTAATCTAAGGAGTAGGAGCTCTAACAGGGATGTATTATTATAATGGTGGAGGTTCTTATCTTTAAACTACAACTTATTTATAGCGAGGGACATTATTCTCATCCAAATCTAAGTTCTACTAAACTTGTTACCAATCACTACGAGCATTTAAATCACCTTATAAACACTATTGAATTGCGTATTAATTTTTTCTTGAGGCTTAGTCAGGGAATTTAGGGTTTTTAAATTAGTCAAACTGCAAGTCTCCATAAAGAATTGTGTAATAGAGCATACCGTATGACCATACATCTGCTTTATCTAGTTTGGCATTTGGGTCTTATTCTACTAAATCTCTTTTATACTCAGGTGCAAAGAAATCCATTTATTAGTGCTATTGGCTTAGTAATACCTCTGCATTTTAAGAGAGATTTAGAGGTTCTCCTATTTTTAAATTTCCATTGTGGACAAATACATTTTTAATATGAATTGAACCATGATAACCTATTTATTTTTAAATAATTGTCATTGTTTATAGTAAACGACGCATAGCTAATTCTCCTTCCTACTCTGAACGTGTAAGATTAGCAGCTTTACGCTTCATTAGAAAATCATTTAAGCTACCTTAATTTGCATATTCCTCAAAAAGTATCAGAGAATTTCCTTTCTAATTTTACCCAAGATCATAAACTTTAACACAACCAGGGTTATTAATTTGAGCAAAGGCATTAAGTTTAGGTAAATAATATTTGGACCTTTCCTCGTTTAAAGTCATTTACTTAATTTTAACGAACATCTTCGCCTCTTAGCATAGACCAAAATAGACAATTTCGTTTTCGAGAAGACCATTTATGTCATTCTTTTCAGCTGATTCTAAAAATATTGTGTATTTAGGCATATATCTATCAGTCAAAATACGCTGAGAGGTAGTCTATCTTTAGCTAGCTGTATAAGTTATTTTTACTGAGTCTAAAATAGAGTTACGAAGTAAATCTTGTAAGCTTGGACGTTCACTGGGGTTGACAGAGAGCATACGACTTATGAATTACTGACAACGCTTAGAAATCGTAACAGGGAAAACAAAAGATTCTTAATTACTAGACTTTTCATCGAAGACAAACTTTAAGCTTTTGATAGCACCTAAGATATCTTATCCACTTTAGAAAGGGAAATCTCCTTTTAAAAGCAAGAATAAAAGAATACCAAGTGACCAAATATCTGATTTTTTAGTTTTTTTATCTGGAGAACTGACTTCTGGAGCAAGATAACGGTCTTCATTACCTTCAGCAAAATTACTCAATTTGAAATAACCATTAGCCACAAGAATATTATTTAACTAAACAAAACCATGAGTAATACCTTTATCATGATACTCCTTCAATCCATTAACTATTTACTTGAAAATGAGTAAAGCATCTTTCTCATCCAAAAAACCATTTTTTATATAAGGTTTAAGTGAACCTCTTTCACACCATTCTCCTATTATAAATGCTTTTGAATCAGATTCTATAATTTCCTTAATTTCCATAATATTTTCACATGTACTACCCTTAAGAAGTCTGTAATTTGCTATTTAGGCTCTAACATCTACATTACCTAGACTGCTAGCTCCAAATTCAAGTACTTTAATGGTAACATCTTATTTTAATTGAGTATCATTGCCTAAAAAGATTTTCATATTTCCTTACTCATATAAACATCCATCAGAATGATATTAGTACCTATTTGATATGGTAATTATTTGCGCCATTTGATTATTATATTAACTCTAAATAATATATTTTTTAAGGGTGCTATCTTTGAATCAATTTAAATACAATATGCCTTTTTTTGATGTTAATACTTTAGCTATATTTAAGTGCGAATTTGATCTTTCTAAAATCTAGGATACTTATTTATTTTACTTAATTTTATTAAATAACTAACTACTAAGTTTGAAGCTTTAAAAAAATAAAAATGTGGTCAAACTTAAAATTTAGGAACTGATTTAGTAATTAATATATTATATTTGAGTTGTTGAATGCTTCCGCTTTAATAATTCAAAGAAATTAGTATTTTTTTGAGTTGGTTTAGTATTGGAACTGGTAAAAAAGTAGTAGTTGAAACGAGTTTTTTATATTCTTATTATATGATCTTTCTTTATACCTTTTTAATTGAAGTTGGAATATAAATTATTTGCCTATTTTTTTTTCTATTTATGCAAATTAATATTTTTTAGGTTTTTGTTAAGATTGAGATAAAAGCATGCAAAATAAGTTAATAAAGATAATAAATAATTGATAGGTGTAAGAGTAAGATTAATTATTATTGAAGAGGTAAGATTAGTAAAAGCAGAATGTTTTTTGGATATTATTAAATAATAAATTTAAGTGATTGGCGATTTTCAGAGCATAACTAATTCGAATGAAAATTTTGATTGGGAAATAATTGCTCAATTTAGTGAATGCATATTATTTTCAATCATATTTTCAATGTTTAATTTATGGTTTTTATTACAATCCAATCAAATGATATATAATTACAAATATCTATTAAGCTTTATTTTACCAATAATTTATATTATATCAAACTGAGATAATATCCATTAATCTTTATCATTCAAAATCTTACAAATATATTTATTATGATTCTGATATATATTACTAACCTTTATTATCAACCTAACCAACTTAAATATTTTTTTTATTTTAATCTATTAAATGGTTTTATTTTAATTATTTATAAAAATTTAATTTCTCACCATAAGCGCTTCATTTTTTTGAGGAATCTTTATTATTTTTTAATTTTTTTTTGGTTGAGTAGTTTAACAGTTTTAAAAATCAAGTAGATATATTTCCTTTATTCAATCTATTCGAAAGTTAATTAATCAAAATCAAATATTTTTCTACTCTCCAAAGTTAAAAAAACTAAGTATTTCTTCAACGCCTTTTATTTTTTAAACTGTCTTTTATCTCTTGTCTTTTATCCAGAATTAATGAACAGTATATCTTTTACCACTCAGTCTGAAATCGATAAAATTTAAAATAACCCATGTTTATTTTTTCAAAATACAAAGTATCAATTTTTTAATTTTTTTGAAAAGTATTTTAAACTTACACAAAAACAAAATAAATATGCCAATGTTATATTTCTGTATTTTTTCATTCTATTTTTTTAAATATATAACTTTTAAATTATAAATAAATTAATATATTTAAATAATAACTTGTGTTTATAATTAAAAAATTAACAATTTGTAAATATCTACTAATTAAAAGTGTAGAAATGCTTAAATTATATATCAAAATATGTAACTTTAAAATCATTAACTATCATTTAATATGAATGCCATTTATTTCCATTATTTTTTCTATTACTTTTGTAAAAATTAAACAACATATTCAAACTTTTTGCTCAAAATATATCAACTCCTCTCAACTATGTAATATTCTTCACATTGATTTTGTCTAACTCTTATTTTACATCATCCATGAGATCTTAAACAAAACGAGGACCCTTTAAATATTTTTAAAATAAATATAAAAATTAAAAAAATATTTTTAATTTTTTTAAGTGGCTATTTTTTTTCAACTGCATTTTGATTTAGGATTAATTTTATTTTAAATAGTTATTTTACTTTATTTTTGTAGTCCTCACTAATTTAAATAGCCCATGCACCTTTTTTAATTTTCTTTATGACATCTTCCCCATCCTTTACTGAAGTAGCTACTATTAAAGGTATTTCACCTTATTTTATTATTAATTATATTTTAATTTTTAGAGTATATTTATATTTTATAAAAATTTATTTAAAAAATTAATCAATTAAGATAGATTGTTAGTCTATTTTAAAATTTTAAACTTTTAAATAAAATTATGATTTTATTTTACCTTAAGTTAAGCTAGCAATTTTAGAAATTGTAGAGATATTTTCAGTGCGAATAATCAACCCTTCAATTCCAATTTTTTTATAATTCTATGCTATATCTATTAACTTTGGTAATTAGTGCTCCTTTTCATCAAGTTTAATATAAATTTTAGGAACAAAAGCTTCAGAATTTATTCTTGAAAATCCATAAATATCATCAGCATAAATTACACCAAATTGTTTTTTTTCTTTTTGGATGATTTAATTTTCATGTTAAATTAAAGCATTAACTGCTATTTCATATTATCTCTTTTATTTGACACCATCTAATAGCTCTTTTAGTTTTATTGGTTCTAATAAATGTTTTATATTTTAACTGTTTGTGAAATTGATAACAAGATAATCTGATATATCTATTAATTCAGTGCATCCTTACTCATATTCTTTCTAAGCTAAAAATGGAGTCATTTCTTTTATTTCTTAACTTACTTAAATATTTACACCAACAGGATATTTATATGATTATTCAAAATTTCTCTTCTTAAAGCTACCTAAAATTGATTTTCCTATTAGTATATTCTCATCAACTTATTGAGTTTGCATTTCTTATTCCTTGATAATATTTAAAATACATTTTTATCACTATGCAAAATAAGGAATGATATTATTTTATTTTAATAAAGAAATTTAATAAATGATAAGAAAAACTATTATATTATTTTATTATTTTATTTTTATAAATTAGAATTAAATTATGATTATAATAAGTAAATCTTCTACTAACAAATACCAAATATTTTCCATATTTATTTTAATCACCAATATAAAATGATTAGTTTCCAATTTTTACCTGAAATACAGAATTTTAGCTTAGAGGACCAATTTCAACAAAACCAAAGCCTATATCAAATAAACTTTCTAGCTATTTACCTGATAAATCGTTTCCTTCTTCTAATCCAATAATATTAGGTAGGAATATTCCGCTTATTTCTCCACATAAATTTTTGGTATACTAATCTCGATCAATTTAATAGAACAATTCCATTCTCATAAGCTATTATGTAACGCTATATGCAAGTTCTGTACTCTTAATTATAAAAAATTTATTTCAATTTTGTGCTTAAAAAAGCATTTTTGTATGTATAAAATTAAATTATTGATTTTATATCTTACATACACTTTTTAAACAAACTGGTAAAAAAGATTATAAAAATCAAAGTTAAATGAAGGAGCTATTCTATATTTTTAGTTTAGATAATATCCAGTCCCTGTTAATGTTAAAGCACCTAATGTTTTCAGCATCTTACTAATAATTTACTAATTTTTTTAATCTACTTGAAAAATATATCAAAAACATACAAATAAATTAATTAAAAATATTCAAAAATAGAATGTTAAGGAAATATCTTTCTTTCTTTCTAAACACAAAACTAAAAATAAATTAAATCTTATGTTTAAAAAAGAAATATAAAATATTAGAATTATTAATTTCGATTAATATTTTTAAAATCCACAATCATTTTATATTAATTTATCTTTAATTAAATGAAAAAATAAGCTTTAATAGAAATAAAAAAATAACTAATAACAAATAATATATTATGAAAAAAAACTTAATAAAATACAAAAATGAAAACAGAAATTACAGAATTATAGTAAAAATAAAAGTATCAAAAAAAAAATATTTCCTTTTAAGGGTGATTAAAATTATTTAAAATCAAGGTATTTAATTTTAAAAATAAATTAGAAAATGTAGTTTAAATTTTTGATTTCATTTAAAATATGTTTAAATATTAAGTTTTATTTAATAATTGGTTATTTTGATTTTCTTATTAAATTACAAATAAAAAATATACTATAAAAATGAATTAAAACTATTTTCAATGTTGAAAAAATAAATAAAAGTAATTAATGACAAATTAGATGGAATATTTATAAAATTAAATATGTGTATCACAGTAAAATTTGAAGAGAAAAATGAATAAAAAAACAAACTAAAAAAATAAAAATTAGACTATTCAATTTATAACTGAAAAATTATTTTAATCTGTTAATTAAAGTGATGTTTATAGTATGGTATGTTTGAATTGAATTAATAAAAATGAAATGCTGATAATGAAATGAAATTGTAGTAAAATATAGTATTAAAAATATTTATACAGCAAGCAAAAAATTTAAATAGAAATACTATCATATTTATAAGTTTATATTATGTATTATTGAGATGAGTTCTTTAGGAATTTAATAAGCTTAATTAAATCTATATTAAATCACCTAATATTTAAATATTTACTTTTTTTATGTTTTGATATGACTACTTCTAATAACATAAAAATATAAACATTATCTGGTGTGCTAAATTTGCAAATGTATTTAAATATTAGATAAATTTTATATTTAGTGCTTTAAAAATATCAAGTTTGTATAATTGAAACTCTTATGTTGATATTACCTTTCTTATGTTTTAATTATACTAATATACTTTAAACTTTAATTTTTATTTCCAAAATGCAAATAAATATAAATTATTTAATTTGTAATGAAAATTGAAATTTTAGCAAATTATAAATGTAAATTATTTTTTTTAGTTTAGTTTCATAATTTATTAAATTTAAAGAAGCTATAATGATTTAATCAAATATCTTAATTTTTGAATATTTTACAAAAATTAAAAACTATTTTGTATCTAAATTTTATAAATTTTTCAACTAAAAATAATTACTTGAATCAGAAACTTTAAAAATTTATGTCTGAATACTTTTTGAAATATCTAATTTTTTATATTTTATAATTGGATAATTTTTATATCTATTATTAAACAAACTATTTTACTTATTTATTTCATAAACTAAAAAATATTAATATTAATTTATGGCGCATTATGTTTAAATTTTTTCTTAAAAAGAATTATTGAAATATATATAGTGTTAGCTCACTCGTATATTACAGATAAAAATTTGTAAAAATTAAGTTGCTCTCTTTATTTAATTTTAGTTAAAGTTATTTAGAACCTGCTGGCTAACTATTTTATCTATTTTATTTCTTTAAATGAAATAATTTCGGTTCGTTAAATAATAATTTAGAATAATTTGTTTTTATTTTAAATTTTCTGGAAACATTTTTTAATTTAAAATGTTTATGTCGAACCTTTATGATTAAATATTTTTATATGCTTATGCTTTCTCTATTTAGCTGATTTTTTATAAATTTTCCTGTATTTTTTAAAATCACTAATTTTTTAATAAAAAGGAATAAAATTAAAAAAATTTATTTTTTTTATTTTTTCTATCTTAAAAAATGTGTTTCCTTATAAGTGTAATATTAAAAATTAAGAGTTATTTTTGCTTTATTACTTGTTTTAATTAAAAATATGCTTTTGGGGAAATAAAAAAATAAACCAGATTGTATTAGAACTGAACTAGCTTAAATTTAATTTTTTTCTACTATCTGTAAAAAGAGTTAACAAAATTAATGCAAATTCAGGATATTTACCTATTCATGAATATGATATTAATAATTAATACAATAAGATATAGACATTCTTCTAGCTCAAAATATTTAAAAATTAATTTTATTCTAACCTCTAAATGGTAATTAATATAATTAAGATGTTATTTATATATATAGTTTATAGTTCTTTATAAAAATTAGTGTCTAATTTGAATGGTATTTGTATATATCTCTAATCCAAATATAAAAAACATATTTACATTTTATTTTTCTATTATAGCTTTCATTTTTATTATTTATAATGCTTGAAGGATAAGCTTTTAACAAATTTAAAAATTATTTACTTTTCTTATACTATTTCTTAAATAAATCATTGTACAATTACCTATTCCAATCAATTATAAAAAATAATTTTGTAAAAGCTTATCATTCTTTTAAAATAATTATTTATTTTTTAAATATGCCATTTTTTATTTAAATAAAAAACAAAAGTAATATGAAATTTTTATTTAAAATAGCCTATCATTAAATTTTAGTTTGTAAGGTTCCATTTATGCATAATCTAATTAGAGTAACTGAGAAATTATTAAGCCACAATTAAATGATCTTAACTTTCCAGAAATTTCATATGCATTTACAAAAAACTAATACAAAAATATTATAAATATGTTTTTAAATCTTAAGAAATGAAATTATTTTTCACAAAGATTATACTTTAATCGTTTATTGACTAACTTAGATAAGTTTTTTCTATTAAGTAGAAGGATTTGTAATAAGGCGCTATTTTTAGATAGTACAAATTAACTTATTTTTTCTTAGAAAAATTCGAGAAAAACTTTGGGTCGTCATCAGAAATAATAAATTAATTTTGATTAACTCTCAAAAGAAATTTTCAAGAAATTATATAATCTTCTACTTAAAACTAAATTAAACTCATATTTATATGCGAAAGTAGTCATGAACCTTACTGAAACAATATCTCTACATAAAATTTCGAATATATTGTTAAATATTTCATATCAAATTTTTTAGATTCATGCTTAATTGAATGTGTTATCTAGCAATTTTTATTTTTCAAAAACAATTTAAACGTAAGTAAAAAATATAACAAAATAAAATTTGCAAAAAAATTTATTTATAAATAAACAAAAAGAATCTTCATCAGCAAATACGCAATAAAATACTGAACATAAATTATATATTTAATATTTTTATTTCTAATTGAAATCAGCTTTAAATGTTTGGGTTTCAAAATAATAGCAATAATATAATAATTAAAAAAAATAAATATCTATTAATAAATTTAGAAAACGAAATTTAAACAATTAAAAATAAACAAACTAGCAATTAGTATACAAATTAAGACTAACAATGAATTTCTTAACTAAAAGAAGTGCCAATATTTTTAGAAATTTCGCCCATCAGAAATCTCTATTCTCAGCTATTCCAAACTACAAGTTTGGTGGCTTTTAAATGACTCCTGAACAAAAGAAATAAGAACTTGAAAAAAAGGAATAAATACTTAAAAATGGTTAGTGGACTATGCCTCATCCAGTATGGACTGAATAAGAAGTAAAGGATGTTGCTATAACTCACTTGGAACCTGCTAATTTTGGAGATCGTTTTGCAAACTTTTTCATCTAGTCTTTAAGATATGGATTTGATATTATGAGTGGTTACAAAAAGGTATTCCCTTGGTAAGAGAAGGGTGCTCCTTTGACTGAAAGAGAATGGATTAACAGAATTCTTTTCTTAGAAACTGTAGCTGGTGTTCCTGGATTCGTTGCTGCCATGCACAGACACTTACGTTCATTGAGATCTATGAAACGTGATTATGGTTGGATTCATACTCTTTTAGAAGAGGCTGAAAATGAGAGAATGCATTTGCTAACATTCTTAGAAGTATAAAAACCTACTTTTCTATTTAGAACTGGTGTTATTCTAGCCTAATACGGATATGTTGCCTTATTTTCGGTTCTTTACTTCTTCTACCCTAGAGTGTGCCATAGAATTGTTGGGTATCTAGAAGAAGAGGCAGTAAAGACCTACACTCATAGTATTGAAACTGCTTTAAAAGAGGGATCTGAAATACATATTTGGTTAACCAAACCAGCACCAAAAATATCAATAGATTATTGGAAGTTATCACCAAATGCATGCCTCCTTGATGTAATTTATGCAGTAAGAAAAGATGAAGAGCATCACAGAGATGTAAACCACAAGTTAGCAGATGACTACTCACAAAAGAAGCCCAATCCTTTCCCTCCTGGTCATTGATTTAAATTGAAACATAAAATAAAAAGTTTATTAAATATCAACCAATTTATTATTTTTAAATCGTTTAATCTATATACAATTACTTCTATGTTTTATATATACAATTATAACCTAATTTTTCAAAAAAATCAAATATTTACTTTTTTAATCAATTTGATTATCTAATTTAAATCAAGATTAATATTTAAAAATTTTATTTCTAATTTGCTACAAAAATAGTCTAAATACAATAGATTTATTAGTATGTTTTTTTTTTATTTAAACGAAGATAATAACTGAAGGTTAATCTCAAATTATAGTTAATTAATTTCATAAATAATATTTCAAAATTTATTTTATTCTATTCTAACTAAAAAATTATTATTTTGATTTATTTACAGAAATTAATCAATTATTTTAAAAATAAAATTATAAAATAGCACATAAAAAAATGAATATATATAGATAATATTTTTTTATTTTATTTTATTAAAAATTTTTTGCATATTATAAACAAAAATAATTTAATCATCTATTCTTCAATAAATAAATAAACTATAAAAAAATAATCATCAATAAATTAATTAAATTATGTAGAACAAATTTTTTTTGAATTGATGCAGATAATTAAATCAAATTTATTTTCAAGTTAATCTATAACAATTAATATCATTTATTTTTTAAACATTCAATTATTATTGAAATATATATATTAAAATATATGTTAATAATATATTACTTTCAGTTAAATTTTGCTCTCATAATTTGATATGATTTTATTATAATTTTGCGATAATATTCTAATTTTATTTTATTTTATCCGAATAAAATATGTTTTGACTTGATTTGAAAGGCTTTGTAATAAATATATTATTATTCTATATCATTAATCAAATAAAATCTATTAATAACATTTAAAATTTATTTTTATTTATCTATGAAGACATTTTTATATATACCAACTAACATTTTTAAATTTTATAATTAAATAAGTTAATTTTTTTTATTCAATTAGATTAAAAAAATTTTTATAAAGCAATTTAAAGTTTCTCAATGAGCCATAATTTTGTTTGTTAATTTTTTATGTATTATGAGCAAATAATTATTGAAGAGTTATTTTATTTTATTTAAGTTAGAAATAAATTAACTATCAAGTAAAAAACGCTAACTTTTATTGATACTTCAAAGTAAAATTTATAAAACCATAATAAATTTTTATATTTTGGATTTATTTTCTTTGTTTTTATCCAACTTAGATAGATATGATCTCAATCTTCAAAAAATATCTATGGAAGATTATAAGACCATTTATTTATTGCAAAAAGAATAATGAAAGAATTTGATAAAGAAGATGCGTAGTTAATTTTATGTGATTTACTAATATTAATATTACGAATTATTTAATTAACATTTCAGTATTTAATTAAAGTTAATCATCAAAAATACGTTGTTAATTTAAATAATAAATGCTTAATTTAATACTATGCTATTATGATGCGCTTTTTTCTATTTATTTTTTATAAATTGTGAGTACTTTCCTCTACATTTTACAATATCTTGAAACTTCATTCTGATTTAGAATTCATGTATTTAGTACTATATTTCCCATTTTAATTCACATTATGATAACATAAAAGCTCATAATATTAACCAATAAATGTGATCATTCTCTATATTTAATTGGTTCTTAATTTATTTGACTTTTGTAACTCTGTAGAAGTATGAAGGCAACTTGAAGATGTAAAATCAAGAGTTTTGAAAAAGAAAAAGAAAAGAGTATTAGAAATTTAATTGCATTTTTCTTTTTGATAGATTTAGATCTATCTGTTTTAAATTTAATCAATTTGTTAACTTAACCTTAAATAATCTATTTTTTTATGAATCCTCCAGAGTATTTACATAATTTTATAAAAATTAAGAAACTTCTAACATGTTCTGCTTTTAAAAATTCTAGGCATGATATATGAAGAATTAGAGAAGAATCCTTTTTAAGATTTGTAATAATGGAGTTTTTCTTTAAAATAATCTATTGAAAGTCGAGAATTTAATCATATTATGCATCAATTAAGAATAGATAATTTAATAGCATACCATATTGATATTTTATCATAATTTTTCAATGAAATTAAATTTTTACGATTCTGATAAACTACGAACTTTCCGTACAAATTTAATATTAATTTATCTTTCTATTTCAAGAAAGTTCAGCAATATTTCCTTTTTAAATACTCATTTCAAGTAGTAAAATTAATTTAATAATTAAATAAATAAAAATAACAAACATACAAATAAATATTTATAATTCTGCTTAAGTTTGCTAAATAATAATTATGAGAGCTAATCTTTTCAAAAAGTGCTTATAAATTCACAAGAACACTAATACTCTTTTTTCTGTTTCCAGAAGATTCAAATCAGATTTACAATACACCCCAGAGAATAACTTTTTCTAGAATACTTTTAACAGTATCAGTTAATCTTAAAAGTAAAAAGAAGTCAAAACTTAATTCTAGCCTAATGCAGTTTCTACTGAAGAAAAGCTAGGTGTTTATGTCTTACCACACCCTATATGGACAAAAGAAGATGTTGAAAATGTTTAAATTACTCATTTCAAGCCAAAAAATATTGGCGATAGATTATCTCATTATCTTATTCAAAGTATGAGATTGGGTTTTGATGTCATGAGTGGCTACAAAAAGGTCTTCCCATGGTAGTAAAAAAGTGGCGAATTGACTGAAAGAGGTTGGTTAAACAGAATGGTATTCTTAGAAACTGTCGCAGGAGTACCTGGATTTGTTGCTGCTATGCATAGGCATTTACGTTCATTGAGAAGAATGGAACGTGATTATGGTTGGATCCATGTTTTACTTGAAGAAGCTGAAAATGAAAGAATGCATTTACTTACATTCTTAAAAGTATAAAAGCCAACATTACTTTTCAGATTAGGAGTAATTTCTGCCTAATTTAATTATGTTTTGATGTTTGGATTACTATATCAATTCTTCCCTAGAGTTTGCCACAGAATTGTTGGTTACCTAGAAGAAGAAGCTGTAAAAACCTATACTCACTGTATTGAAGTTATTAATTAAGAAAATAGTTCAATTAGTCATTGGAAAACTAAGAAAGCTCCTTAAATTGCTATTGATTATTGGAGATTGCCTGAAAATGCAACTATGGAAGATGTAATTTATGCAATTCGTAAAGACGAAGAGCATCATAGAGATGTAAATCATGATCTAGCAAGCGACTACTCTCAGACTAAGGTGCTTGCAGATACAACATAAGATGAACACTACATTTGATAAAAAAACTTACAAAATTTTCATTTAAGTACAAAAACAATAATTCTTTATAAAAAATTAAATTATCTCAAAAAATTTCAATAAAAACCAAAATTATTTCATTTAATCCATATTTTATATTCATGTAATTTATTATTTCCCAAGCTTTCCTTAATGTTATATTGACTTATTTCAGATTAATTTAGTTAAATGTCAAATAATTTTTTATTGATTTAACAAAAGTAAATATTTTTTCAGAAATTTCTTTTTTATTAAAAAAAATTTTTTACATTAAGAATATATAAATCAGAACCTTACTAATATAATTAAGAAATAAAGTTATTAATAAAAACAAATTTTGGATATTTTTTTATTGCAAAAATATGGAAAAAGGTAAAAATACTTTAATTTTTGGATAGAAAATTTATTTAAAAAAATCAATATAAAAAACTGTAAATAGTTTCTAATATTTTTTTGAAATCATAATAAAAGCTAGATTTTGAAAACTAAAATCAAAAATTATTAAAATTTGAGAAAAATACTTAGTTTTAGATATAATTCTCTAATCTTAATTTCTAATAGAAATTGTTTTTATGGTAAGATTAATTAAATTAATTTAAAATGGCTCTCAAATATAAAATAATTATGAGATAAAAAAGAATTTCAACATTTATAAATAAAGTTATTGTTTTATTTAATTATTTCTTTTTTAATGACTTTGATATAAAATTATTATTTTTTATTTTAAGAATTTTCTAATTTCTTAAAATTATTTATTTTGAGATTTCTTTTTAATAATTAATTAAAAATAAATAATATTTTTAATTCTATTGAGGTTTTCAAACATAAAAATTAAATTTCTTGTATTAAATGTTTTTGTATTACTTTCTTGTCAAAATTACAAAATTTTATAAATAAAGTAAATTATCAAAAAATTTAATTACTTTTATGATATTTTATAATACTCTTTTCATTTATCAGTTTTTAGATATTTTGCACAAAAAATTAATTTATTTGAGAGAGATTTAATTTTTTTTATTGAAATAATATTAGATCACAAATAAATAATATGAGAGTTATTAAATTTTTCAAAGTAACTTTTACATTATTTTTAACTCGTATATTTATAATAATATTTCAATATTTTTCAGAATCAAATCTTCTATTTAATAATTTAAGTATTATTTTATTATGATTCCAGTAAGGATGCCTAAATACACATATGCTCAAAAATTTTGTGAATATAAAATTTGAATAAATAATACCAAAAAAGTTAGAATAAATACTTAAATTTTTTTCAACCAATTATTACATTTTTATTATTCTTATTGATGGTTTTTATTGTAAATTGGAATTACATGGTCTTTATCATTGGAAACAAAAGATTAAATATCTTAACACCTAAAATTAGTAGGGATGCTTTCTTTTCTAAGACCAAATGTATCTTATTAAATTTCTTTTAAGTACATTTATTCTAAAGTTAAAAGAACTTTTATATGCTCTAATCTTTTCTTTGGATCAAGTTTGGTTAATCCTTAAATAATTAATTTAAACTCATCTTTGTATTTTAATTATCTATCTAAAAGTGATATATCAATATTATATTTTTGATATGCACATCTTTCAAATAGAGTCTTTTAGTCAGTTAACATTCTATAAAGTATTAAAGCAAATGAAAATAAATCTGCTTTTTTTGAAAGTCTATTTGGTTCAAATACAAAACCTTAAACTTATTCTTCAAATAATTATCTATTCTAATCAATTCCTTCTGGAGCTCTGTATAAATAATTTCCATTAGACTAAGAAGCAGTGCTTAGATCTTATTATAGCTACTTTGATAATCCAAAGTCACTTACTACAGCCTATCCGCAATAGTCTATCAATATATTTTCAGGTTTCAAATCAAAAATTATAACATTTTCATTATGAATATTACAAATTCCCAAAAATATTTCATAAGCAAGCTTGATGATTGTATTTTCACTAAAATATTAGTTTTAATTAATTATTTGCTGAAGACTAGTTTAGCATGCTTGCAATTAAATGATAATGTAATCTTAGTTATCAACATATTTATTAATAAATTTTATTACATGTTTCTTATTTGGAAATTGTTAAAGTACATTAATCTCTGCTTGTGCTTGCTAACAATTAGATTATCTTTCATAGCATTTGAATGCATACATTATATTTCGATCATCATATCCAAAAAATACCCTTGCTTAACACCCTTTATCCACATACTTAATATTTTTAAAATTTTTTGTTTTCAGATACTACTAAATGCATTAATTAGTATATATATCACCTGGAGATAAATTGTTTTAATCTAAATTGTTTTATTAGCATATTCCAGAGAACTAATCAAAAACCTCAAATTCTTTAGTGATTAAGTCCTTTCTTTCTCTTTCTAAATCTGATTTAAATTTAGTAAGCAGTTTTTAAGTATTAAGTTTTTAGATATTTTTGTTTGTTAAGTTTCCCATTTTTTTAATTTTTTTGTTTTTTAAAAAATATTATTGAATATTTATCTCAAAATTTTATCTATTTAAATGTATATTTTTTTGTCGTTTATTAAATGTATTCTCTTATAAACATTAGTAATTAATCAGTTTTATCTAGGCATTAGCGTAACTAATTCACTATCTCAACCAATAATAAGCATTTTTTAATGATAAATTATTAAATTCTAAAATGATAATTTTATCAGATTTCATCCAAAATATCTTTTCCCTAAACAAATATTATTATAATCATTCTAAATTTATAATAGCATTACGATATTCTAGGATAGATAATATATACTATTTAGATTAAAACTATTTTCTTTGAAACGGTGTGCATTTTTCTGCTTTAAAATTTCTTAAAACTTCATTAAACTTTTTAAATTTTATATACTAGTTTATATACAAAAAAAACTACTTAAAAAATAAATTTTTTGAAATGAATATTATTTATATTTTATTAAAAATACTTTGATTTTGTTAATCTTGTAGTAACATAATTTTAGATTTCTCGGTTCTGAAATATAAATAAAAAATTTGTCTAAAAAATAAACATTATGATTATCTTAAATTATTAGAATATTTAATTTTTAAATTTTCTAAATTATAAAAATGAAATAATATTTGGCCATTTTGAGTGAGATAAGATAGTTTTTATTTTCATGATTTATAAAGTAATGAATTTTATGAGTTTATTAGAAATTTAAATTAAGTTTTTAATATTCAAACACTTGTAGCCTTGACTCGTTTCTAAAAATTAAATTCTGAATAAATTTATCTATTTTATAAGATTAGATAATTAACATTGTTTATTATAATAATATATGTTAACAGTAAAAATATTTTTGAAAATATGTAAATAAATAAGGTACAAGTTACTTTTATTAATCATAAATGTAAAATAATAAAACATTATTTAGTATTCTCTGGTTTGCTTTATTGATGTATACTTTAATTTTTAAGATGGTTATATATTAATATCTTGTTAACCAATTATTCTAAAAATAAAAAATACCTTATTTATGCAGGTTAAGACAGTATTAAAAATAAAAGTAATATTAATGATTAACATTCTTATAATAAATTTTATTTATTTTTAAGATATATTTCATAGTGACTAAATGAAATATTAACATTTTCTTTAAAAGGATAGGAAGCGAGTCAATAAAAATTCATCTAATATTTTATTTGATTATTACACATGAGTTTAAAAAGTATTTATAATAAATAAATAATATTTGATGGATTCTAATAATAAATATTTGTTTTTCAAAGTATAAATTAAATATTCAGCTTTTTACTAAGATGCTTTAGAGTCAATTTATAATTCATAAAATATTTAAATAAATATATTATTTGATTTTTATATAGTGACTCAAAAAGAATTTCTCATAAAAGAATAATTGGCAATGAGCACTCTAAAAATAAATTTTAGGTAAATTAAGTGAAATATTACAAAGTAAGTAAATTAAATATTTTTCACTAAGAAGCGAGTTAATTATATTAGCAAAAAAAATAATATGACTTATAATATCATATATTCTGAATCATTAATTGTTTACCAAAATATCAAGATATACATAAAAATCAGAAATTAGTAAAAAAATAAAAATGTCTCATAATCACAGAAAAAACAAAATTAAAAAAAATAGTATGATTTCATTATGAAATTAGTTTATTAGGTGCAGAAGGAGTAATAAAAAATAAATATCAATGAGGATAACAAGTTTATAATATAAAGAAAAACAAACATCAACTATTGGAAAAGATTTAAAATTTAAATTTATCAAACTAGGTAATAATATTATGAAATTCTAAGTATGGGATACTGCTAGTTATTCTTTATATCGTTAAAATAATGTTTAATACAGAGGAGCTACTGTTACTTTAATGCTTTAACGATTTATAAAACTTTGAGAGCGTTGAGAATGGATATAAAAAATAACATTCGTAAATAAAGATAGTCAAATTGTAAGGTTTATTGTTGAAAATAAATGTTACTTTAAAAAGAAGGTAGATATATATACAACTCCTATGACTCTTTTATAATTAACTAAGAGAAATATATTGAAGTGTCTGCTAAAGAAAACCACAAAATTAGAAAATTAGAGAGCTTTTATAATTAGTAATTTAAAAAATATATATAAAATTAAATGATCATTTATGAAAGAGGATAAATCAAAAACTAATATTAATTAGTATTATTAAAAAAGAATGAGAATAATATATAATTTAAATCCTATAAAATATTGAATTTATCTTTTTATTTATTTATATATATATTTTGTAATAATTTTAATATATTTAACTTACTTACTAATTCAGTTTGTTCTATTCTTACATCGTTAAATCTAGAATCAAGAACATTTGACAAAAATCAAAATCCAGAAAAATATATTGAAAAAGCAAAAATAATAATTAAATTTTAGCTTAATTTGTGAAATAGTATATACTCTCATGATAATTTTAACATTTCTAAATAATTATTAAAATACTATTTTGAAGATATAATATTATTTCATTATTTTTATTAAGAAGTTTTATTTTTTAAAAAAACTTAAATTTTAGTGAAATCAAAACATAATTTACTTTTAAAAATAAAATATTTGAATTTTTTAAGCATGTCTATATCTAAATTAAGTAGCTTGATCAATATTAATTTAAATCTAAAAAAATTGTTATTATTTAAACTTGTACAAAGTTATTATGAAGGATTTAAAATTTAAAATTTCAATTTGAGTATTTTTTAATTTTGAGAAATAAAGTAATAATATTGTTGTCTTTAAGTTATTTATTTAATTATTACATGCACATGTTTCAATAATAAAAAAATTCTATTTGTTTTTAAATAAATTAAAATGTAAAAGTGATTTGGAAGACTATAAAAATGAATTAAAATAGATGACTATTTTTAATTTGTTTACCAAAAAAAAATAAATAAAATTTTTTAAAAATTTATCTGCTATTAATTATGTTTTTCTAATTTCAGTTAAAACCAAAGATTATTTGATTTTTTTTTATTATTAGGAAAATCAGATCAAAAGTGAAAAGCTTTTTTAAACCTAAAAAATTGATGAACCATAATTTGTATTTATTATTAATCTTTAAATGCTTTTTTTCCATAATAATATCAAATTTCTTACATTTTCAAATATTATATTTAATTTTATTTATTCACTTTCTTATTTTTAAATCGTTTTAGTTGCTTTAAAAATCAATAGGCATTTAGTATAATTGATTAGGGGCTATCTCACTGTAAATACTTTGTGTTAAATCTTTAGTTTCATCTTCTAAATTCTTTTGTTCGTTAAATTTATTCATTTATTCATATATATTTTTTACTTAGAATTTAGGTTTCTCTAACTATAACTCTAATTACTTTTTATTTAGCAAAAAACTCTAAGATTCATTGACAAGTAAAGGATTGATAGATTCTTACTTTTTAATAATATCATCCTATTTTGTTGGATATTAGGCTTCAGTTTATCCTTGTATTTATTCTAGCTTGATTATTGGAGATTATTAATTAAATGTATTGATTTTAGATTAAAGTGAAATATCTTCAATATTAGATTCTTCAATGTAGTTATTTTACCAGACATTATTACCCTCTGCTTAAAAGATAGATACCAAATTAGGATCAAGCAAATCAATAATTTTTTGATCTAGAATTGTATGATTTTACTTGTTAACTATTTTTTTATAGGCCTAAAAGGCGTCTTTTGCCCTTTACATTTCTGTTCTGTGGTCTTGATAAAGTACATCCACTTCATAGCTTTTTTTAATTGAAACTTGGCTTTAATTTTTATTTAAAACTAAATCTGAGTGAATAGTTGGCTTTGGCAAATAATCAAATAGTTTTAATTATTCTTGATCTAATAGTAGTCTTTTCAATTTTTCAACTTCTACAAGCTTTTTCAAAATATTAAAAATATCCAAATTGTAATATAGTTTATCAATACTGTATTATATAATTTATTTCTTTTTTTTCAGCTCTCCAAAAGGATAAATTATTGATTTAAAGTACTCCCAAATGTTCATCTTCATACATTTTGTTTCTTTCTTCATAAGTTCGTTAAATCTATTTTCTTTAAGTTTCTCCTCAATCTATTTTATTTTAAGCTTATATTTTTGAATTTTAAGATGGTTATTTTAGTCTAAAACTTCCTAATCCTTAACTCCTTGAGTTATTTCATCACTGTTTTAGACATCTTGAATAAGTAAATTTAGTATCTTTTTTTAATCAAGCTGATTTGTTTTTTGTTTGCTATATTGTTTGCTTTATTTAAGATCGTTTCTATAATTTGATATAAATTATTTGCTATCAAAAATTTATTTTTCTTTATTCTACTTTATCTGCTAGAAATGTAGAGTTTTTTAAGAGAGATTTTAATCATTGTTAATTTAATTTCCCTTATTTTATGGTGAATAAACAGGACTGTTAGGATCATAAAAATTTGTTTTTTAATTTTAACTCAAATATTAAGTGTTTTTTTTCATTATTTAATTAAATTTAAATCGATGATTCTATGATTATACTTATTCTTGTAATTAATTTTGCAAACTATCGATCTGTTAAGATTAGTTCGGAGATTAGAGTTTTTATGAAAGATTAATGTGCTTTTTTTCACTATCTTTATTTTCCTCGTCCTCATTTTTTGAGTCTTCATAGCTGAAAGCCTAGTTGATAAGAGTTTAATTTAGTTGCAGTTAAGAAATTCTTGTACAAATGAGATAGCCAACAGCCAGGAGACTTTGTGTAAATCCTCCAATTTCTGATATTATGTTATTAAAATTTTTATATGTTCTACTATAAAAGCCTTCTTTTTATTTTTCAAATCTAAATACTACACTTAGAAAGTAATTTTAAAAGTTGTCTGGAAAGACCTAGTTTATTAATAATAATAGTAAAATTATTAATACTTTGAAATTTATGGTTTTATTAGAATCATCCAAGCTTTTAGCAAAAAGAAACAAACAAACAAATAAAAAATAAATAAATAATTTTTTTATGATAAAAAAATTGACTAATTTAAAACAAAAAATAAAATGTTTGATTGGTGACTAAAATTGAGATTACAGAAACATCATTATAGCTGTAAGCAGGAAAATGTTGTGTAGTTAAATCAGGCAAAAACCATCCGAAATCACTTTGCACGTAATTATTTCTTAGATACAATGTAACAGCTTTTGGCATTTAAGTGGTTGTAGCCCAGTATATATCTCTTGAATACATCTTAAAAGGATTATATTTAATTTAAGGATTTACAAAAGAATCTGATAGTTGCATAGCAAAATTAGAATTTAGTAAATAGTGGTCTAGCTACTCTTATGACTTACAATTCTATTTGCATTTTATAACCAACAATTCAAGATAAGAATATATAGGAGATTAGAAATCACCTTACAAAGTTAATTCAATATTTGGTGGAAGACAATACATGTTTTAATATTTTAAGCTTGTATAATAATTTATATTGTCTGGATTCTTAAAATTATCTAAAGTGCAGCGTTATACTTAAATTTGAGTTATATTCCAAACAGCATCATTCTATTACGTAGTCTCATTGAACATAAGTGTCTTTTAGTAAAATGAAGCTTAAATAGTATAAATACCTTCATCAATATAATAACTAAAATTTGGGTCTTCCATTCCAAAAGCTAAAGGAAATGTAGAGCTTGATATTTAAAATGGAGCAGGGTTATCAACTTACCTTTCGCTATAAATTACTTGTGGACTTGCTCTGAGAAATACATCTTCGATAATGGAATACAAACGAAAACCAATAAAGCTTATGATTAAAAGTGTAATAAATGAACCACTTCTAGTATGATAAACTGGCTCTCCCTTAAATCTAAGTAAAATTTAGCTACCGAAAATGTCTATTTTGTTAAACATATGACTAAGTTGTTAATTTTGTTTTATTTGTTTTGCTTTTGATTTTGAAAAAGATTAGCTTATTATTTAATTTAATTTTTTACTTTTTTAGTAAACATAAGTCTAAATTATAATCTTCTTCTCTCTTGTATTCCTAAAAAGAAAGTAATTTAGTTTACTAGAATTACAGTAATCTGAACAAATTTCATCATCATCCATCAATTTAAAACATGGTAAACATTTTTTATTTATCTAAATTCTTTTTTAATAAAAGAAATAATTTTATAAAAACATCTAATATTTGCTTTCTTTAATTATTGGAGATAATTATTATAGAAAAAAAAAGTAAATTCTTAAAAAATTTGTTTATTATTTTCTTAATCAATTAATCAAATTTTATTTTTTTTTCCCCAAATATTGTTAATAATTTTTATTTGGGATGAGATGTTATTTTTTATTTTGATTTAAATTATAATATTAACTTATTTATATTATTTTCCCAATGCAATCAAAACAATTAAATTTCTTGTAAATTATTTATCAAATTTATTATTAAAACATCAAAATTAATTTTTAAATATTTATTCAGTAAGAGACTCATGTGTTGCCTATAGAATAACTCCTTAGTAAGTTATTTCTTCACATTTAAAATCAAGATCAAAATAAACAATTTAAAAAGGAGGTTCTTTTTTATCATTGAAGATTACTAAATAACATTTATTAATTGTAATAAAAAATTTATTTATTCAATCATATGCAATACCTGTTAATAATAGAAATTTAAATTTTTAAAAAATTATATTATATGTGCGAGATTAGATGTTTATCGATTTTATTATTTGTGTGAGGTAAGGTGAAGATCAAGTTAATATAGTTAAATTATATTTTAATCAGATTAAGTTATTTGAATAGTCATAATTAAGGAATCAACTCTTAAATAAAAAAAATAATTAATGGTTATATTTTTAAATAGCAGTTAAATATTTCAGATAATATTTCATTTTGTATAAAAATAACTTGAAAAATTCTTTTGAAAAATGTTAAATTGGTTTATTTTTAAACCATTCCAAAAATGATTTTTTTATAAATTTTGTAATAATAAACTTAAATATGTTAAATATTTTCTTAATTAAGTTAAGTACTATAACAAATAAATTACATATAACTTAAAGGTTTCACAGGTTCTTGTTGCTTTAAATTTTAAGATTTTTTGCTAAATAAATTTTTTTTAAAATTGCTCTCTCATTTATTAAATTAATTTAAAGATATGATTTTAATTGTTCTAATTAACTCATTAGAGTTCAATTTTTATTTAGATTTCCAATATGAATAATTATCAACAAGCTCTATTTTATATTGTTCATGTTTAAATTCTAATTGCTTTTAAAAATTATTATCTAAACAATAGTTAATATATTTTTATATTAACTAAATAAGTTTCATGTTTTAAATTTAACAAAAATAAATTTGTTTTAAAATTAACATTTTTATAACCTTAAATAATAATTCTAAAAATAGCATTTGTAAGTTTTCAAGTTATTTTGTGAGATTTTAATTTTCAAATCTGTCATTAAACTGACTTTTATCTTTTATTTAGCTATGAAAACTTTATAAATTGTTCTAGAACCTTATAATCAAAGGATTATGGTGGACAATAGTTTTTTATTTTATTTTGGTTTTTTTGTTTTTAAATATTTTAAATTTTTTTGATTAACCTTTATAATAAAAGTATTTTCAAAACCATTTAGAAACAATGTGTGAATATTACAATTATTTGTTACAATTTCGTGAATTAAAAATTAAATAGTCCTTTAAAAATAAAAACTAATGAACCAAATAAAAAAAATAATTGTTTTTTTTATAATTGAAATTGCATATTTATTAATTAACTTTTTTTTTCTTAAACAAAAGTAAATTTGTCAATGCAAAGAGATCTATCTTGCTAGTTAATGATTCTATAAAAAATGAGTTCTTATAATAAATTCTTTATTAAGTTTTAAAAATATTAAATGCAAATTTAAGTAGTTAGATTTAGTACTCTGAGTAAGTATTTAAAAAAAAAAATATATGTCATTAATATTCTAATTAGAAATTAATTAGTATAAACATATCTTATATTATTTTATTTTTTTTACTTAAAAAAGAGACTGATAAAGTTTGTGTATTAATTAAAAAACTAATTTGTTATTAGTCTTATTATTAAATGTAGATAAATAAATTAAATTATCATATAAAGTAGGCAAAAATGGATATATCAGATAACTAGATACAAAAGACTGATAATGAAGTCAGCTCCTAAAATAGTTTTTTGAATTAATAAGAATATTACCTTGATAATTTAGATAGTTCAAAGTAAAAGGATGTTCTAGTATAATAGTCTACTATCTAAAATTTTGGTATTAAATCTAGAGAATCAAATAATTAGATTCTCAACAAGTATACAAATGTATCCAGACCCTTATCTTATGTAGTAAAGCTTTCTAATTACTCTTACTTAGAAAAAGTAATAGAAAAGATCAAGGACCAAGTTAAGTTTAAGTAATCTATGAAGAGGATCAATTTTTTAGCTGACTTTACAGAGAAAGAGGTTGAGGAAATTCTGGCACAATATGGAGAAGAAGAAAATTATCCAGTTATTTTAGAAAGAAATAACAAGGATTAAGCGAAAACAATTGATTTTAGAGGAGAGAAATAGTACTGCATGCAACATTTTGAAAACAAATATTTAAAGGAAAAAAAAGCGAACGAAGAAATAGAATATGAACTCAAAGAATATAGTATAGATATAAAAAATAAAAAAATGGATCAGTCTCGATTCTAAAGTCTTTGCTAAGAAATTATAACAGAGAGAGACAGCATTGTTTCTATTGAGATTTCTATGATTGAAATATTTAATGAAGGCTCAAATTTCTATAGTTCTAAAGATGCTCAAATTCAATTCTTTAATTCACCATTTATTTAATTCATAATTAAATAGTACAACTTGATAGCACAAAAAATGCAGTATGATAAAAACTCTTCGAAGCTTAGCGTTTCATTCAGCGAATCAGATTCAGAATGCGAGTCAAGCTTATACAGAAACTTTGAAAAATATTCCAAAGAAAGTAAGCTGATCTTATTTGGTCTTAATTAGCAAAAGCTTGAGTCATGCTTTGAACATTTAAAAAACTATGAATCTTAACCACTCTATTTAGATTTTTCAGACTTAACCAATATTAATAGTAATATTAATAAATAGAGCATGTATAATGATACTAAGTATAATTCTGAGTTTATAAAGACTAAGATTGAAATTTTTAAAAGATGTTTTGAGAAGTAGTTTGAAGATATGTTAAAAGAAAGTAAAGATTCAAAAGGATTAAGAGGAGAGAAAGAAAATTAAAATGATACATAAATCAGGTACAGATTAGATGGTGATTAGAGAGACATTTAAAATATTTAAAAGTGGTGTGAAGAAAAAATATCAAGCATATAAGGAAATATATTTTCTACATAATATAACGATTAATTCCTAGAAAAAGAAGCCAAAAAAAGAATAAACAACATAGTTGAAAAAATAAAAGAAATAAACACTATGACTATAAATAATAAATTTGATGAAGTAACTATTTTTATGTATATAAGAAATCCAGAGTCAGAGAATGATGTTAACAATGTAAATTAACAAATAATTTATAAACAAAAATTTTTACTAATTCATTTGTTGAAAATAAATAATAATATTTAATAGGTTATAGAATAGTTAGAATATATTTCGAACCTTAAAAGAGATAAATTATAGCCAGAAATTTCAGTTGAGTTATTAAATAAGATAGATGATTTCAATAGTTCTATTGAATCTGAAAAGAATAAATTTTGCTTTCCTATACAAAAATTTGGTAAAAACATCTATTTAACAGGTACCTTACAACAAATAGAAAAGACAAAATAAGCATGTCAAGACTACATCAAAATGAATATCTAGAAAACCTTCCATATTTAATAAGACTTTTGCATAAATTAATTAAACAAAAGTATTTTTATAAAGTACTTCTAAACTGAATTTTAAAATGAATTCCCTGACTTTGAGGTCGTCAATTAAAATAGCCTCTAATATAGTACCATCTATTACAAAATCAAAGAATTCTAGAAAAAAGTAATTGCTGAAGAATTAATTTTTTTTCAAATTAAAATATTTTTTATTGAAGCCTTTTTAAGTTTAATTTTTTATTTACTTTTCTATAATTTTTATAGTTTTTTTGTTTTGATTTTTATTAAATTTATTTTTAATTAGGAAGTTGAGGAAAAGTTGACTACATGCTTGAAAGAAATAAATTCAAAGATTTAAGAATCTGTAGTTTCCTGCACATAGAACTAATTTTAAATCTTATAAAAAGAAATAAGTTTTCTACATTAAGTATAATAGAAATATAGCGTTGAAATTATTACAGATCCTAAAAGACTCAATGAATTAGGTCATACTGTAAAAGATTTAGATGTTAACTCCTTTCATATAAAGCAGCAACTGGCATTTTCAACTACAAACTCTAAATTATAGGTTTGCTTATTATGTGCTGATATTCAAAATGTTAATATTGATTCCCTGATGATTAATATGAAGATTAGTGGTAATTACATTGATAATTTTTCTCCAGAAATAGTGAACTAAACTTAATGTGGCAAATTTGTCATTTAAGAAATTAATTAAATTAATGCAGGAACATCTAAGCTACTTCTTGATTACCCAGATAACGAAGATGATGATGATGGTGAAGATTTATAAAATTCAAACCCTAAAAAAAGGAAAAACTAAAAGAGAAAGTTTTAATATTTTTCTGTTAGCCATTTGAACACAAACTTCCCTATAAAGCATATTTGCATATCTGTTTTAAAAGAAAACAAGTCAAACATTAGAAATCTATTGAAGAAATTCTTGAAAGAAAATGAATAGAATTTCAAAATCGGAATAATCATTCCTAAAGAAGAGGATTTAGATATTCTATATATTTAAAGCCTGAAAGAAATACTCTATGATTTATATGGTGGTGATCAAAACATAGGATAAAAACAAAAAAATATTTTCTTATTTTGTGAAGAATCATAATTCTCAAAAATATAAAATAGTCTTTAGAATAAGGATGGGAATAATCAAATTCTTATGAATAAGCTTAAAGTAGGAGATAGTCTTTTTAGTTCAATTAAAAAATAATATTTTATAAATTAAGAACTTGTCCCTCATGAGTTTCACCTATTACTTGATAGTTTTACAATTGGTAAACACAGAAATCAAGAAAGATTTTATGCTTTTCTCCCTAAAAAAGTTGAATAAGGAGTTAAACTAGAAAAAATTTAAATTTGTATACCAACTGAAGATAACTCTATATAAACTATTATCAAAAATAACACTCGTTACACATTAACAAGCTACTTAGATAAAGCTGATTTGTAAACTTATTTTTTATTTTCTTTAATTAAACAAAATATTTTTAACCTTATTAATAAAAAAGAATCCATCTTTCATAATCAGCTTTTTATTTATTTGATTTTGTTTTAATGTTTTATCGCTTATACTTTTAACAATTAACTAACAAAATAAAAATATTTTATCAATAAAAAATTAGTGAAAAATAAGATATTGAAGATATTAAGAAGGCTATTTAAAAAGCTAAAGATTAAAAAATTGAAAGTTTTTATATATATAGTGACGATAACGATTGCTATTAAAGCGAGCTCGTGAGAGTTAATGTTAAAAAAAGAAAGATTGTCTACTAAAGAAATAAATAACAATATGTTGAGTACAATGAAAAAGATATCTAATAAGATGAAAAGTTAAATTTTGTTTACATCATAAGAGGATATAACCAAGAAGATATCAAAGAATCATAAAACTAAATTAATAGTAAGCTATTTATAAACTTAAAATACTTCAAAGAATTATGGGACTATAATTACGTTGACGAAAAAATTCCTAAGCTACTTCCCTTAATCAAAAGTGATTAGAATCACATAAAAACTATTGATTCATTTGAAAAAATATTTAGAAAAAAATAATTGAAAATATTAGAGATTCAATTCATATAAAATATTTCTCTTTATTAAAAATTTTAAGAATAAGTGATTTAGTTACACAATAAATGTAAAGTGGTATCTGAATATTAAGAACCAATGTTTTATAGCCATAGCGATAATTCAATTCTACAAAATATATTCTAATGCAATAGTATAGGTAACAACCACTTTTATTTATTTTAAATATTATTTTTTTTTATAAATATTAATAAATAATAAATAAAAATAGGTTTTGATCCTAGAATCCATTACAATTCTATGAAAAATACAAACAGAATTTTGCTGGAAAATAGGCCTTGGTATTTCAATAATATTAATAATATTAATGGATATGAGTAATGCTTAGCTTGCTTTGTTGTTAAAGGTAAAGTTCTAAAATAGGATTTCTCCAATGAATAGTTTGCAAACTTAAAGAGATTACCAAAAGATGAATCTGATAATTAGTTTTATGACTGTGCCTAGATGGAAGAAGGAGAAGAAGTGAGAGTAGCAGTTTTCGATTTCCACAGAATTTACCCTGCTTACTTAATTAAATTTTAGAAAAAAGATGAGAGTGAAACTAATTATACAACAGACGATTAATCCAGATATCATAATTAAGATTGAATTTATATTTTTAAAAATATTAATATATAAAATTAATTAAGTAAATGAATAAAGTGTCTTGAAAAGATATATCTCCATATTTGTATTTAATTAATTTATAAATAACTATATCATTACAAAGAAGAAAACTTTATTTGTATTAAAAAAATTAATAATATATAACAAAATTAAATTTTATTTAGAGTGAAATGCCTATTTAATTTACAATAGGCGAAATGTAATATCTTAATAACATAATAAACAAAGCTAAATAAGCTTAAAACAGATTTATTTTTAAGTTTTTAGAAAGTTTTAAATTCGCAAAATGTAAAATTAGAAATAATATATACCATATATTCTTATATAATGTCATTTTTTTTCAAAAAAATAAATTATGAAACATTTTTCGTACTGGTAATCTAAATATTTTACATTTAAATTTTTAAATAATTTTAACACACATTTCCTATTTATTATTTTATATTTTAAAAATATTATTATCAATAACTTTCTAATAAATTGAAAATAGTATAATGTAACATTTTTCAAAATTTTTTTTTTCAAAAATTTATAAAAGTGAAAAAATAATAAATTAATAGAATTTTTTTTGAATGATTTAAATAAATAAATTTAGTGATTATTTAAAATTAATAATGTAAAAATTAAAAAAATGGACTACAAAAATTATATATTTTTTACTATAACAAAATGATTAAATTTTTATAGTTTCTTCAAGACAAATTATTAATAAGATATTGTTATACTCTAATCATGTTAGAATTTTCTTTAGTGCTTTGGTCAAAGTTGTGAAGAATTTTATTTTTAAAAATATCTTAAACACTTCTGGTAATTTCTGGGTGGTTTATTATTTTTAATATATTTTGCTTAATATTTTAAACAGAATCACATTCTTTTTGGAAAGAATTGCTACCTAATGATTGATTGCTTTATAAACTTTACTTTTCTTCTTCATATGTATCTTCATTATCAGAATAAATTTCTATAATCTCTATCTTTTTAGCAGGAACCTTTTTAATAATTTTTCTTTTTTGCTATATTTTTTGAGTTTTCTGCTACTCATGTAAATTTTTTTATATTTTCAAAATTTCATCATTATCCTCATTCTAATAATTTGAAACTTTTTATTCAAAAATTTTTTTTTGAGTATTTTCAATAGAATCATATTTATTAAGTGAATTAGATATGCTGAAATTATTATTTTTTTTTGCTAAAAGCTATGTAGTAGTAATTTGGTGAGTTTCTAAAGGTAGTAGATCGCAATATTACTCATATAGGGTAAGATTTTAGTTATTATCAGGGAGGTTTGGAGTTTTACATTCAGTAGTTTATAATTATGGGTTTGGTTTAGATTCGTATGCTATTATAAATTTTTTAATAGGATTTAAGTTTTTGGAATTTATGTTTTTTGCTAAAAGTTTTGTTCTTAGATTTTCGAGTATTTATTATGGATTATCTGAATCACAAAACTGCTAGAATAGTAAAGAAGCTTTATTATTTATTTATTTAAAAAGCATGGCTAAAAGTTGAAATTCATTACCACTTGGTTTCTATGATAGTTAAAACTGGTAATCTTTTATCAAGTTAATTTAATTTTGCTCTTAAGTACTACAGCTTTCTAGTAAACCTGAAAGAAAGGAAGTTTTTTAAGGAAAGTAGTACAATCCTAAGCAGTAAACTTTTTAAACAGAATCTAAATCTTCTTATTTTTTAAATATTTTTACTAATTGTAAATAAATATCACTTATTTCTGGATTTATTTCAAGAGAATATTTGTAGCAAATGAGGGCATTTTAAATGTCAAATATGGTCAGAAAATATTTAGAAAATTTAATAAGCTGATCTATTAGATTCTGCTTATCTTTTGGTTGCAAAAAGTTAATAAAATACTTTTTAAATATTCTAACTACAATTTAGAAGTATTAGAAAGAGTCTAAAGAAAAATTTGTTTAATTTTCAAGTCTGCTTGCATGATTTTAAATTATTTTTCTAAGAATTTCAGCCAATAATGAGGTTACCTAATTACTAAATTTTATTATAAACTCAAAGACATTCTGGCTTGTGGTTCCTGCATTTCTTATTTGAAAACCTTTATATAAGTAAGACATGATAGGACTGTATATATTTTTTTCTATATAATTAAATTCCTCAATAAGCTAATTAATATTTGATAATAATTGTTTGTAGCAAATGCTATTTTCTTAATACTAAATTAAAAAATTTCTTAGCTACTCTTAAAAATAGTTAGCTTCCAACTATTTATAAAAAGAAGATATTTTTTGAGCCTATTTTGAACAAAAGTTTTGAAATTGTTAATCTTGAAAATTAAGGGAGCTAACTTGCTTCATATTCGTAAAGGAGTTCTCAATCTATACTAGAATTTGAGTGAAATCTTAAAGTTTCTTTAGGCTGCTTTAAAAAGTTTTTAAGTTATCATATTTCTTCTCTAAAACGTCTTCTATTTTTGCTATTTTTTCTGGGTGGTTATGAGATATAAAACAAGCTGAAGTACCAACAAATTTTCCTTTATTTTAAGATTTATTAAATTAAGATTTCCATTGCTCAGAAGGTATTAGTCTCATAGTATCGCTGCATCCTAAATCCAAGCATATTCCTTGACAATTTGATAGAGCATATCCTAAAGGGATATTATATTCCTAGATTTAAAAATTTTACATGGGTTTAAAGAGCTTTTTATTTTATTAAATTTTTGTGTTTAATTAAATAATTTCTGAAAGTTCTCTATTTTTTATTAAATTTAAGTAAAAATTTTCATCAAAAAAAATAAAGTGTTTTTTTAATTTAATAACACCTATATATATCTTAAATATTTTTCTTTGGTTTATAAAAAAATAAATAAACAATATTTAAAGCAATCCTTTTTAAAAAAAATATTAAAGCAAAAATTATTATATAAAAAGTAAGTAAATTATAATCAAATAAATAAAATAAATAGACTATATATAATTTTTTTCAATATTTAAGATATCTTTAAAATTTTTTTTATTTTCATTTTCTTTTATCATTTGTTTTAGTGAAATTTTATGCAAATCTCTTATGAAGCATTTACTATTTTTAAGCATTATCTATTCATTTTCTATTTGTTTTTAAATTTACTTTAAATTTAATATATTTATATGCATATATATTTCAAGTGTTAAAGAAATATTTAAATTTAATTAGAAATTTATTAAATATTTTATTACAAAAAAGATTTAGGTTAGAATAGTATTCCCTGTTTTGTTTTATAATTTAATTCTGACACTTTTATTTCTTTTTGGTATATTTGATAAATTAGTTTTAAGAGATAAAATATTATTTAAGAGTGATTGCTTTGTCTTACTAAAAATTGACAGTATATATTTTATCTTTCAAAAAATAGATTTAATTATTTTTTGTATTTATTAATTTTTTGAATATTAACTTGCTATTTAGAGGCTATTAATTTATCTTATAAATTAAGTTATTTATTTTTTTAATACTGATGAATTTTATTAAGCACTATAATTTAAGTTATGCAAACTTTTAATTAAAAATTTTTTAATTACTGATGATTTGAAATGTTAAGTAAAGATTTGCTTCTATCTATTCATCCTCGAAGTAATGTTTTATGAGAGAGCCATTCCTGTATAAAATACCTAAAACCACATATTTTAATTGCAAAAATTAGCATTAGTTTACATATTTATCTATGTATTTAACATATAATCTTTTTATTATTGATAATATTGTTGAAATATATATTTTTATTGAAATCTATTTTAAATTTTTTTATTAGCTCAATGCAAAATTGTTTTTTCTATATTCTACCTAATCTCATGGAATAATTGATCAAAAATAACATCTAACTATTATCTTAATATAATAATCTTTACCAAACTATGTTACCTTAAGAATGCTAACTTTTTACTTAAAAAGACATAGTATACAAAAAAATTAAAACCTAAAAGTAAAATATATATATTATTTATGAAAATTTGTTTTATGTATTCTTTTCAAATTAAATCTTAATTACACGATTTTAATTTAAGATGACGGAGTATATAAATTTTTTGTGATATTTTTATGATACTTTCAAGTCAAACTCTTAATTATTCGAGTATAATTATAAAAGATGATTAAATTCTGCTCATAAAACCAAATACTAAATCCCAGCATGCACTATACCTATGATGAATTATTTATTTCTTCATTTTGTTTACATATTTTAACTTATTTTATATGGAGTTTTTATGCAAAGATTACGAGTAAGATTCAAAAGTTATTTTCTATAAGTATTTTAATTTATATCTATTTAAAAACTTCAAGATGCAACATAGATTAAAACAAAACTACAATAAAAATAATTTTTATTATTTAATTTTTAAGTTTTGAGTAAATATTTTATAAACTAATTTTTCTAAAAAAGAAATCAAGTTCCTATTTTAGAGATATTGTTAATATTGACTATACTATAAAAATAATTAAATCATGAAAAGTAAATAAATAAATTAAAAAATCAATTTTAAGGATTATTTCTGATAAGATGCAAATTGATTTGCACATATCAAAAATTAATTGGATTTTTACATATTTTATAAACAATTTGACATTAATTCGTAATAAATTAATTTTTTAAGTTGTTAATCTCAAATTATTGAATTTAAATACTCGGTTAATAAATAAATCAGGTAAATATGAAGGCTGCTAAATAAATTTTAATTTTTGTAAGCAATATTAATAAATCAGCAAACAAAAAAATGTTTGAAGAACATTATGAAGATGATAGAAGAAATGTAATTAAAGTATTGTTCTAGATTTTTAAAATTTGATAATGATGTACAGGTTTAATTCTGATATATTATTATTGTGACAGATTTAATTCAATTATGATTACTTAATTGTTAATGAAGGTTTATTCTTCTTCAGTTAAGATATTTTTTACGTCACTATTCAGAATTCTAAAGAATTTAGAAAAATTCTTTAATTTAGAGTACAGCCCATATTATTTCAAAAAATAGTGTTTTATTGATTTTTGTATTTAATTTTTTAAGTGTGTATTTTACACTTCAAAACAAAAAGCTTATTACATATTACTGCTCTTTATAAATACTTTCTTGCTCTACCAATATTAAAAATATTATATTATTAATAATATTAAACAACAAAGATAAAAAATAAATCTTTAATATACAAAACAGCAAAACAAATTAATATATAAAAAAAGTACACCAAAGCCTAGTAAAAGTAAGTTTTTATAACCATTTTATTCAAAAATTTAAAAATAATCTTCTGTAACTAAAAGTATGAGTCGTCCTAACAATGCTTACTAAATAGCTTTTGATAGAGCTACAAATGATTAAACTCGTGAAGAATTTTGGAAAGAACAGACCTATTAAGTTGATTGGTACAAGAAGCCTGATGTTATTTTAGATAAATCCCACCCAAATCCTGGCTTCTGGCGTTGGTTTAAGGACAGTAGAGTCAACATGTGCTACAACGCTATCGATCGTCATGTTGGAGAACTTGCAAATAAAACAGCTATTTAGTATGTATGCGGATATTTAGGCACAGAAAAATCATACACATGGGCTGAGCTACTTGATAATGTCTCAAGACTTGCTGGTGTTTATAGAAAATTAGGTGTTAAGAAGGGTGATAGAGTAGTAATTTACATGCCAATGGTCCCTGAAGCTGTATTTGGTATGCTTGCCTGTGCTAGAATAGGTGCCATTCACTCAGTTGTCTTCGGAGGTTTTGCTGCTAAAGAATTATCAGGCCGTATTTAAGACTCAAAGCCTACTTTAATTTTAGGTGCATCTTATGGTTTTGAGCCTGGTAAAGTGATTAACTACAAACAAATTTTGGATGAAGCTATTGATTTATCTTAGGTATAAGGTATTAAGGTCTTACTTTTGTAAAGAGGTGATAAAATGACAGCTCCTGTTAAAGTTGGTAGAGATTTTGATTACCACTCCTCCATGTTGTTTGCTGAAAGAGTTGACTGTGTACCTGTTGAAGGTGATCACCCTTTATATATTCTTTATACTTCAGGAACTACTGGATAACCCAAGGGTATAGTGAGAGATACAGCAGGTACCTGCGTTGCTACATCTTGGACTATGTAACATATCATGGATATCCATAAAGGAGATGTCTACTTTTCTGGTAGCGATATTGGTTGGGTTGTTGGACATCATTTCATAGTTTATGGACCCCTTATCAGAGGTAAATAAAATAAAACCAAAGTTTAGATTTTAGGAGGAAGAAATAAAATAGAATTTATGAATGTTTAAAGAGAATATATAAAATTTTTTAATTTTACATGCCATATTCATTAAAGGAAGCAATAAAATAATAAATAATCTTCTAAATTTCTAATAAAAAGCATTTTATTGAAAATTAATAAAAAGATTAATTAAATATTTTGTTTACAATAAATCTTGATAAAAGATTCTTATCAAATATTATTATTTTTTGTGATCAAAATTTTATTAGATTCAACAAATAAAGAATTCTTTTGAAAATATAAATTAATCTTTTTAATAAATAATAAAAATAGGTGCTACAACTATTTTGTATGAAGGTAAGCCAACTGGTACTCCTGATCCAGGCTAATTCTGGAGAATTATTGAAAAATATAGAGTAAAGGGTCTTTATACAGCTCCAACTGCTCTTAGAGCCATAAGAAAGTAATTCATTTTTATTTTAGAAATTGCATTGATTGACATATAAAAAATTTTATTACCCAATTGCTAAGCTTTCTAAAAATACGTTCATTTAGATAAATCAATTAATCTAATATTTAAAAAAATATTGATTTACTTATTTTTAAAATTAACTTTTAGGGATGATTTGAATGGTGATTGGATTAAAAAATTTGATATATCTTCTTTATAATCCATTTCTATGGCTGGTGAAAGATGTGATGTACCTACATATGAATGGATTCAAAAGCATGTTCCTGTTTTAATCAATGATAACTATTGGCAAACTGAAACTGGTTGGATTATTTCATGCAATTACAAGGTATTTAATATATATTTTTATAACTTACTTAAGTTTTAATTAATTTAAAGAATCTATACACTCATCCAGTTAAACCTGGTTCTGCTATTAAACCTGCCCCTGGCTTTGATGTTCGTATCTTAGACTAAGATAACAAGGAAATCACTGAACCAAATAAGCTTGGAAGAATCTGTATTAAACTCCCTATGCCTCCTTCATTCATGCTTACTTTATATAACAACGATGAAGCCTTTATTCAAAAGTATTTATCAGACTCACCTGGATATTATTTAGCTGGTGATAGTGGTTACTTTGATGAAACAGGATATTTGAATGTTATGGCTAGAATAGATGATATCATAAACACTGCTGGTCATAGACTATCTACTGCAGCTATGGAAGAAGCCCTCCTTAAACACCCAAACATCGTTGAAGCTGCCGTTGTTGCATAAGTTGATGATTTCAAAGGTGAAATTCCTATTGGTTTTGTGGTTGCTAAATAAGGTGGAAACATTAACTTAAAAGAATTCGAAAAAGAATGTGTAGCTATAGTTAGAAAAGAGATAGGTATTTATTTTTTTAAAATTTAAATTATTTCAATTAGCTTGATAATTCTAATTTAACAAACTTTTAACATTTTTAATACAAGCTTAAAAGATAAATATAAATTACATTCAAATTTAAATCTTAAACTAATTTAAAAATTTTATTCTCTTATAATATTAGGCCCTGTTGCTTCTTTCAACAATTGTATTTTAGTAGATAAGCTACCAAAGACAAGAAGCGGCAAGATCTTAAGACAAACTCTTAAAAAAATTGTAGATGGAGAAAAAATAGAAAAAATTCCTCCTACAATTGATGATGCATCTGTAATTCCTAAAATATAATCAGATGTTGAAAACTATGGCCTCCTTAAGAAAAAGAATACTACTAAAAATCCAACTCCTAAACTCTGAGCTACTAAAATAAAAATAAATTAAAATTAAGACTTTATAAATAAGAAAAACTTAAATTATTAAGAAAAATATAGATTATTTTATATTCTAATAAATGTTACTCTACTTGTTTTACTTTTCATTGATGTATAAAGATGATAAATATCAAAAAATTAGAAAATTAGTAAATTCTCCTCTCATTTCCTTAATTTTTATAAAAATAGTAAAAATCATTTCTTAGCTTTTATTTTACTTTTAATTAATTTATTTCTATTCCCCATTAAAATTAATAAAGCAAGCAATAAATCAATGTTTGTTTTAATTAATCTATCCTTCTAAAACCTAGTTATATATAAATAATTATGAAAATTTAGATAATATACTTAATTAATTAAAAAAATTAAATACTTAACATTTAATTTGCTAATCAAAATAATAAAATTTTTACTTTATTTATTTATTTATTAAAAAAATATATTCATATTATAACAAATAAGACCAAAAATTATTGACATATGAATTAAACATGCTTATTTTTAATCTTGCAACCTTTGTTCATTTATTTATTTATTATTAATTTATTTTATTAATCTGATTGTTTGCATTAAAAGTATAATAATTCAAAAATGATTAAAATAAATAAAAATAATATAATAATTAATATGAATAAAAATTTATTAATTAGTTAGTAATTTAGAAATACATTTTAGAAAATTATATAATTTACTATAAAAATAATATAATAACTTTATTATTAATTAATATAATTGGCACATAATTAATTTAATTGACAATAATATATTTGAAAAAAATTAATTTATAATTTAAAAACAAAGATTGCTTAAAGTTTAGTATGTATAATTAATCTTTGCTTTAAATGTCTTTTTAGTTTGTCATTTGCTATTAGTAATTCTCAGTTAGTTATTCATGAAAAATTGTTTTTTTATTGTTTGTTTATCTGAAATTTTGCTCAAACCTTATTATCCTCTTAGACCTTGATATCTTTTTTTTATCCTTGATTACTAGGCTATTTACTCAAACTTTAGCTTGTGAATTGAATTTTACTACCAACTTCTATATTTTCTTCAGAATTTGAAAGTTAAAGCTTAGCATTAGATTAAATATCTCTGTTTGTATTTGCATTAGTTTTTAAGTAATTGTGGGTTTGAATTTCTTCTAATCTTTTATCAGAACTTTAATGCTCTTATGGATTTCTTTCAGTGTAATTATTTTCAAATGTCTGCAAATACTCTTTTCTTTCATTAACAGAAGGGAGAGGAATATCTGTTAAGTTATTATGTTAAACATTAAATTTGCTTATATTATTAAAAATTGAAGGATTTAATTAAATGGAACGATTATTAGAATTCAAGGCTTCTTAGTTATCTTAGAACGAAGCTCCCATTTTTTTATTTTATTAAAAGCTTGAATTGTTACCAAAAGTATCAAACTTTAAGTTTTGATTGAATTTTGCTGAACTATATTGAACATTGTTTATATTATTTATGTTATTACTATTTATAGAAAAATTATTTGCTTATTAATTTTAGATATTATTTGGAGAGTAATTATTTTTATTTTTTAACTATTGTAATGCTTGAGTGATAGCTAATTGGTTCATCGGAGTGCTTTAGGCGGATATAATATTGTTGAATTTTTTAGTTTCATCATTAACATTATCTTTAACCTTCGCAGTCTAGAGCTTTTCATTAATTTTTACTTAATTTGAATCTTGTAACTCTTATTGCTTTCCGAGTTATGCAAGTTCATAAATAATATGCTTGGGTTTATAGATAAAAGCATAGAGTATTATTAAAATAATAAAAACAGCAGCTAATATGATAGCAATAATAATTAGAGTAGTCTATTTCTTTTTAGCTTCTTCTATTAAGTCATGGGTTGAATCATCTGTAAATATGTTGTCGTAATCGTATACATAGGTAGATTGAGTAGGGCAACTGCATCCTAAGATTCTGGATTGAGCTAAGAAATAACTTTAAGGACACTAACTCCATTTCATAGAAGATTCTGCAGTTTAGTTAAAGTAAATACATTTGAAGAGCGTATTGTTAAATTTAGTAGAGCTGTCTTATGGATTAGTATTAACAACTTTAAATTGCAAAGAATAAAGTTAAGGGTTACTTTCTTATGTTGAACTATCTAAGATTCTCTGCTATGAAGGATCAAAGTATTTTAATTATGTTGAAAAAAACTGATATCTTTACTCTTAATAAGGTAACTCATATAAATTTTAGTAAGGGTTGCTTTTATAAATTGAAGCACTGACACCATTGTAATGGTAGTTTTTATCTGCTTCAGAACCTGCAGTAATTGCTTAGCATTAAGAAGAGTCTAAAATTCTAATCTAAAGAGTAGGTTGGTCAAAGGCTTGCTCATTAACCCCTAAAAATCTATTATTCTAAGACCCACTAAAAGGATCTCCTATTATGTATTAAATATTCTAAGCAGTGAAGTTAGCTGATGAACATTTTATAAGCTTTTAATCCAAAAGTAAGTTATTGGTGATTATTTGTGGAACAGGTTCTGGTTTATTAACTTACTTATAGTAGGGATTTATTGTTTATAAACTAGCTTGCTAAATTTAAGTGACTACTTTCATAGCTTTTTGAGTGTTTTCCTAGCTTATTGAAGGAGAATCAAGTAATCCAGAAATTTATTAAGTTACCTGGCTTGCTTGTTAGCTGAAATTTTAAGGAAGATTAGTAATATCATTGAATTAATTAGATTATTGCTATATTGTGCTAACTAGGCTATCAACTTAAGTTGAGTCTTTGCTAATAAAAGTAGAATCAATCTATTCATTCACAAGTGGGAGTAGGTAATTAAATTAAATCTGCTATAGCTTTGTAAGATTAACTCCGTTATTGTTTAAAAAGCTGGAGTATTACAGCATGATTTACTAAAATTAAGAATATTATTAGTTAGAGCCAGAACAGTCTGCAAAATAAGAGGAAGAAGAGCTGCAGACACAAATAGAACCATTTTATGAAATTGAGGAGCAGCTTTTTTATTAAATAGAGATATTATCACTTTAAACCATTTTTACTTCTAGTATTTCTACAAGATATTTAACGAGCTGAGTCAAATCTAGCTTAGAAGAAAGGCTCTTAAATGAGAAGTAGTTAATGTAAAGCTATTGCATATTGTTATAGACAGAGCTGACACTAACAGAAATTGTTGATATTTAAGTAAAAGCTTAACTTCCTGTTGAAGTAAAATTGCTAATAATTTAATGATTTCCATGAGGTAAAACCAAATTTTAGATGCTGTAAGTATTAGATAAAAGGTATTGTTTAGTATTTTTTTAAATTACTCCATATGAATTAACAAAATTATAAGAAAGAGCTAAATATATTGAAATTTATCCTTGAATTTTGTTTGACTCTTCTCCATCGTTCCCTGTGTTAAAATTACAAACAATATTAGCATTTATTATAGTAGCTAGAGCAACAGGCGTTTGGGTAGATAGATTTATAGAACAGTAATAACACTACCCATTTAAGTCTGCAGCTTAGCTCTAGCTGCAAGAGCAGCCTGTTAATGGATTTCTATCTAATTAAGAACATAAGTTACATTGATTATTGTCACATTAAGAGCAATATTTATTGTATAATTATGAACATGGCTTGCAAATATTATCTTTAACAGCATATCCAACAGGACATTCACATTGTTAAGAGGTAGGATTGTATATATAGCCATTCTAGCAATTCTAGCAAATAGTTTCATTGCAAACTGTACAATTGCTACCATACTTTTATGAACATTATTAGCAAGTAAAGGAGTTATTGACTCGAGAAGATACAAAATATCCTTAAATACACTAGCATGCTTTTGTAGTTGGTATATATTAAGAATTTGGGTCCCCACAGTCAAGACATGTAGTACTACTACAGGACTTACAGTATTAAGAATATTGAGTAGCGCATTATAAGCAAGTTAATGAACCTACATCAAGATACTAATCAGATGGGCATTAACAAATACCACTTTAATTTGCATAAGAACCATTTATACAAGTTAAGCAAGTCTATAAGTTACAGCTTGTACATTAACTTCCAAATAGAGCAGAGCACAATTGACATTAGCCATTTGGCTGTTCAACTCTATCAGAATTACACACACATTAATCTGTTTAACCTAATAATCTTTAATGAGTAGATTATAATATACGTTAATTTTAATTTGATGCTGGAACGCTATGTCTACCATCAATACAGTTGCATTAATTATTTGGGTCTCTATAATTTGTATAGCATGAGTTGCATTTATTGGCACTTGAGCACCCACCAGAACAATTTTAATTGCAGTTCGTACATTGGTTTCTATTGAAAAAAATTTAATAAATATTTCAATTAATATAAAAATTAACTTACTATGCATTTAAATAGTATCCAATATTGCATGTTGAGCACTAGGTAGTACTGCAAGATAGACATTAAGCTCCAAATGTAGTTGCACAAGCTACACAAGAATGAGAGTTGGGATCTATGTATTATCCTCCACTTGAAGAGTCACATGTAATGCACCCAGTTTACAAGCATGAAGTGCAAGTAGATCCAAAACTTTGGCTACATAGTTTGCAAATATTGTTGGTAGTATCATAATATTAATTGTTTTAGCATACACATTATCCTTAACCTGGGATTGATCCTGGTTATTCTGTTGTTCCTCCTATACATGCACATTTATTATTTACATCTCTATAAGGAGTATAGCACGAATTGCAGATTAATTCAGTTGAGCATCCATTTGAGCAGTTAGGTGAACATTAGAGGCATTGACTTTACATAAAATATTATTAATATCCTAAAAAATATTAATTTAATTAAAAAATAATACTTATTTTTTAGATAATATCCTTAGGCACATTAAGAGCATCCTGAAGAAGTACATTAAACGCAATTAGTTACAAGTGAAGAACAAGAGCTACATTACTAAGTATTATTAATGTAATAACCTGATTAACAATTTGAGCATGAGCTTTGACTACATGACAAACAATTTTATTAACAAGGTATACATGTTTTATTTGATAAATAGCTTCCTTGACTACAACTATTGCAGCCCTGTGCATCACAATTTAAGCAAAAAGTTGAAATTGAAGAACATGAAATGCAGTTTTTAGTTTTTGGATCTTCATATGTTTAATTTGGGCAAACACATGTTGAGAATTAAAGATTTCTTGGTTGGTTTTTTTATTCTAATAAAAGCCTAACACTTGGGTTTTCAACTCTACCTCCTGTGCACTAGCAACTGTTGTTTGGATCTCTATAATTTGATATGCATGAAGTGCATATATTTGCACTTGTACAACCAACACAAGTATCTGGACATTTTACACAAAGTCTAATAAAAAAATTGATTATATTATAAAAATACTTGTAAAATCTCAAAATTACTTTGAAATAGGATCTATAAAAGTAGTAGAGCTACATAATAGGCAAACAGAGTTATTTTCGAATAAGCAATTGCTATAAAATAAACAATAATTAAATATAAAATTTATTTTATATTTTTTTTTACGAATCAGTCGTTTTGACACAAAGTTTCTGAGTATTATTGAAAGTAGAATTGATGCAAAATGCAATAATCTAAGCATTTGTTTTTTTAGTTGTTTCTACTACATATAATGCATTAGTATTATAAGAGATAACTCTGTTACTCAAGTTGGTGATTCCTTGCAATTACCCTACAAAAATTTAATTATCTACTTAGTCTCTAATATTTATCAAAATCATCTAATTAGTCTGATCTGCTAAGATATACAAAGTATATTGACCTGACTTTTAGTAGTCAAAGGCATATAAAATAGGAACACTTGTCCATGAGTAAGGTAAAGAATTCCATGTAGTTTCACTGATACTATAAGTAGATTATTTAATAGAATCGTTAATCTCAAGAAAAACGGATGTATCAACAGTCACACTATATTTAGTACATCCTTAAGGGTTGCAGGAAATATTTTAATTAATTAGTACTGTTGAATAATTTTCTTTTATATTAATAAAATAGTTAAAACAATAAGTCATGAGTATGAAAATGAAATTATTAAGAAGAAGAAAAAATAATGTAAAAGTAAGAGTTTGTTATTTAGATTGAAATTTGAAAAATAAGTTTAAAAGTAAATGTCAAATTAATCTAGAACTCATTTATTTGCTTTGAGAAATAAAAATATTTAAATCAAAGGAAAAAGATTTGTGAATAAAATTTAAAAAAACAATTATTAAAAATATTTCGCTGATAGATTCTGAAAGAAATTGATTTGCTTGAATTCATTCGAGATATTTTAGAAATAAATTTATAGTTACAATTTAATTTTAAATTTAAAAATTTTTTAATTTAAAAGTTGAAATAATTTTTTTTTTGGGCTAATCTTGAATTATAATTTTATTTTAAAATATTTAATTTTTCTATTATATTTAATGATGATTGGATGGATGGACTTTAAAGCTTCGAAATAATTTAAAAAGCTAGAAGGATATTTTTTTATTTATATATCTATCAATTGATATATCTCGATCTAAATCAAATTATTGGTGTTACTCTGAGTTAAATAAAATAATCTATCTTTTTTCATGTTATCTTTTCAATTCAAAAGTTTTAGTAAAAAGTTAAATCTTTACAGTCTACAATTAATTATGTAGGTGCACAAAATTCCTATAAAAAGCTTTTAAATATTTAGTATATTCTTTGGCTAATGACGCATAAATGATATTAATTCTATTGCTTATTTAATCAAATTTATTAATTTTTTGATAGTCTATTTTTCTAAAAATATTTCTATTCAAGCTCTTTTTTTCAAAAAAAACCTATCAATGATTTTTAAATTAAATCAATCAGAACTAAATGTGATTGCTTTTGAATAAATCAGATATTTCAAATTAATATAAGGAGATATGAGTTGTAAAATCAGTTTACAATAATAGTGGTAAGATTTGAAAATAGTTATTAAAAAATTCTATCGGAAATCTTTTGTTAATGCTATCAAAGATAAGTATTCAATAATTAATCTTACATTTGATAATAGATTTGCAGGCAGTACCACTAATTAGATTTTGGGCAAAGGTATATTTAGAAAAACTAAGCTATGTCTAAATTGAACCTTCTAAAAGAGTTGCTATGTAAATACCTTGATTCAGACATAAGTAGTATTAGAGTTAAGAGTTATTAGTATTATGAGTGAGTTCTACACCATTCATATCAGTTTGTGCTGGCTTTATAGAATCCTTAATAAAAAATATAGATTTAGTTATAAAGTATAGTAATAAATGTAATATGTATTGTAAAAGTAATGAAAGAATAAGGAGGACTTACTTGAAATATATAGCTCATTTAAAAGATATAAATTGAGTCATAAAAAAAACTTGGAGATCCTGGAATGTTATTACTACTATTTATAACTGGTATCCTTTATCCTCTAAGCCTCTCATTATTGAAAGCTATTATATATTCGTACTCTACAGAATTTGATAAGATATACTCTACCTTTAAGTAAAGATAAATACTATTCACTGACTCTTAAACGAGCAGATTAAACTAGTTATTGAAATGACAAATTTGTATATTGTTAGGATCGCTCTTATCAGCAACAACGAGTCCTTAAGACTTATAATATGAGTAAATATCTTTGGTAGTAGAGTCATAAGTAATTTAATAGTTGTTTGGTATAATTACTGGATAATTAGTACTGGAATATATCAATCTTATTTAGCTAAAAAAGAAGATTAAGAACTCATAAAGATGGTAAATATATATCCATCTCATTTTTCAAAAATTTATTAACTTGATAAGGATTATCCTAGCTCTCCCTTACTGAATTTTGTGAATTGCAGTATAATATTTGATATTTAAATTGAGCTACTTCACTGTTATTTCTTTACTGTTTCTTTCAAGAATATAATGCAGTCTATGTACTTTGTTTGATTTTTTTTTATTTTCTTTATTAATCAAATCTAAAAAATATTCTCTTCAATATGTGAATGAATGAATTTTACAAGTAATTAATATCAATCAATAACAAAAACAAGCAAAAAAGGACTACTAATATATATCTCTTGATGTAATTTTTTATGGCTTTCTTGTGCATTATTTTTATGTGTTCATGCATTTTATATTTGATTCATTCATACATATATAAATATATTCATTTTAAGATCATTTCAGTATAAAGTACAAGTATATGCAAACAAACAAGCAAGCAAGTAAAAATCAAGCTAACAAACAAACAAACAAATAAATTAGTAAATCATCACTTAAACAGTGAAGGCTCAAAAGAAATTTAATAAAAGAGGAAATTTATATTACATAATAAGATTTTGATATTTTAGATTTACTACTTTTTGATATTAATAATAATCTTCATATTAAACTCTGATTAACCCTTCGATCATTTGATCAGTTGAAAGTATAAATGCAAAAACTATTTAAATGAAATATAATATTTCACCATAGCATTTATTTTTGACTGAATAAATACCATGATTATTTTGTTTACATAACCTTAATTCTGGAATAATTCTGTGTTCATTGACATTTAAATTTAGTATGAAAGGCAGATATTTTAGTTATTCAAAACAATTAAATAAAAATTTTAATTTTCCTTAAAACTATAATATTATTATATTTTTCTTTCTACATTACCTTACTATTTTTTATTATTTCTAATTATTTCTGACCATTTTATTGTATTTAATAATCAAATATGCCAATATAATTCCACAAATACTTTGTTTTTTTAATCATTCTTTTGATACTATCGTTTGCCTATTAAATAGCCATGATAATACAGAAATAAAAAACTTTAACAAACTTCTTTGATTTTTTCAGTAATAAAAGAAAAAATTTTTCATTATACCAATTTTTAAAATCTGCTTTACTTAATTGTTAAATTGGCATTATAGGGAAATAATTATGATGCACTTAAAGTATCTCATGAATATATTAACAAAAAGGAAAAATTAGCTTAATATTTTTAGGTATTCAAAGGTTAATAAGCCTTCCAAAAATATTAATCGTAGATACATAAATACACATATGTTTTTTTTAATATTTCAATCTATCTTTTTAAAAAGCAATTTTCATGACTATTTTTTAAATTCGATTCAAAACTAATTACAAATATAAAAAAAATATTTCATTTTCTCAAACAATTTTAACCAATATTTAATCTTGTACTATATGTTAGTTTAACAACTCAATTTAAATTAGGAAACATAACTTACAAAAATTAGTTTTTATCTCTATTGTATTTTTTAAAAAGTTTGATTGATAATTTAAAGATGAATAATTTATTTAAAAGGAAAGATTTAATTTTAGAATGGAGGAAATTGTATTTTTTCTGATCCAAATATTGAAATTTATCGATTGTTTTCCTTTTATTTTGTTTTTGATAAAAAGTACTCAAAATTAATTATATAATAAATTTAATTACAAATGTTACAGCATCATAAAAAGATACCAATATTCAATATTTATGGTTTTAAAAGTAATAAAAGATATAGTATTAGTCTATATAAAAGTAGTAAATTACAAATCCATACTGATTTACAGAATAAATAACCTTTATTTATTTGTGCTAAATATACATAATTATAAATAGGATTTAGCATAAATTGATAACATTCATGAATAAATTAAATATCTTTCAAAAGAAAACCAGTATTTTTTTTAAATTTCCAGTGTAATTTATTTTATTTAAATTTAATCAAGTATTATAATTAGAACTAGTTTAATCTTACAGATTTAAAGTAGCATTTCAAACATAATATTTAGATTTACAATTTTTTTGCATTATCACACTGAAATTTTTGCTCTTTAAATTGTATTTTACTATTCATCTAGTATTACTGAATATGTATTTCAAGGAAAAATAGATCTGTCTTTTTACTTTTTTACTAGATCTTTTAAATTACCGTATTTTCTCAAATATCGCTATTCGCAATTCCCAAAAAAAGATGAGGTTATGAATGAATTAAAGTACTTCTTTAATTCCATCATCTAAAAATTTAAATTCAAAAGTCTCCCTCCTCTTTTATCTTTTCCATTATACTAAATGAATATTTGAAATAGAAAGATAGATTATTACAGAGATAAATTTAGATTGGCTACTTAGTTAAATAAAAATTATATGGTGCTTGTATTTTTTATTAAATAAGCGAGCAATATTAATTTTAGATACAATTACAATATTTAAAAAATTTTACAAATATTAATCAAGATCCAATCCATATTATCACACCTTTTCATATAATTTTAATTAGTGGCAACCACACATATTTTTTATTCCATTAAATATAATTATCAATTATAATCTACCAAATTATTGCTTACATAAATTAAATATTTTATATTAATAAATGCAACATAATAAAACTAAGATGACCAATATTACTATAATCTCTATTATATTTATGGCTAATTTATTTTTTCTACTTAATTTTGAAAGATTATTTTGATTAATATTTATAATTAAATAAATACCTAAATTTATATTTTGCAATAATAAATCACTTTGTATAATTGATTTTTAATAAAAATATAGATTTTGAAATTTATTAAACTTTTTGATTTTTTTAATTTATTAATAATTATAAATTTATTTAATTTAATAAAGTTAACACTTGAAAATAACAAATAAATAAATAAAAAAAAATATTTAAAATATTTTTTTAAATGATAAATACAAAAATTGATGCTTCCTAATATCCTAATTAAGAATGATAAAAGAAAAATTAAAATTAAATAATTTTTTAACAAATAATTAATTGAGTAACAAATCAATGTTTGTTTGAAATAGTATTAAAATAAAAGATAAAAAAAATCTTTCAAATTTTTATTTAAAAAAATAAACAATAAATGATTTTAATTTATTCATAAAATTATTATTTTAATATTTGAATTTATTTCTTGAGTCTTTTCAATTACAGGAAGTGATTTTTAATATTGATTCCATCTAAATCTTTTGTTTTATATGATAAAATGGAAAGGAGTGTATTTATCAAAGATTTTTCATTTATTTTAATCAGAATTCTCATTATTTTGTTTTAAAATAAATTAAGATTAAGATTATGCTGCTTTATTCTCCTTCTCCTAGACATAATTTTCGAATATTCTCATCCTTCTTGGATTTTTTATTTGCTCATTTCTACTTTGCTAGTTGATATTATGACTATTTAACTATTGCTACTATTAAAATAAATTTGATAGTAGGAAAATACCTCCTTAGTTTTAATATTGCTAATTTCTTATTGCATTGCTAAGTTAATTGCTTTGATGCTTATTCTCTATCTTTTTTTAATGGTCTTCACTTGCTATATTATCTTTTAACTTTTCTTATTGGTTAATTTGTTGATAATCATAATTTGAACTGTCAGCTTTAAAACCTTCAAATTTATAAAGCTCATAGAGATAGAGAATATGAAAATCAATAGTCTTATCTATGTTAAGTTCATTCTCTTACAGCCCCACCTATTCCATTTTTTTCTTATACTCTTAAAATTTTTTATCAAACTTTGGATTATTTCTGGAGAGAGGATAATTTCCTTAGCACTTAATATTATTTATGAGTTTCTCAGCATAATGTGGTATATTCTCAGATTAATCTATATCATTTAGGATAAAGCATCCTCTATCTAAGCATTGGCTAATAATATTTGTGTCACACTTTATTTTATGTAACAACAGATAGTACATACTCACATCTAAACTAGCCCCCTTTATAACAGGCTGCATATTAAGCTTTTCCTCAAAAAAGACCTGCTATGATAACTTTTTTAATTCACTTACGATGGTGGAATTCTACTCATCCTGGTTCGTATGGATACTATCTTTGATTCTTGTGAGTATGTCCCTCACATAAACAGGAGGATAGAAAGATGCCTTTTTCTAAAGAGTTTAAATTTTTTCTTAAACTTCTTCGCAATATATATCTATTCTCTCTTTTACTTCCTACAACTTCTTGAAGCTCTCTTGAAGTAGAATTAGAGTACCATCAATACACTCTTTGAAAGAATTTTTATCGCACTGCATATTAGCGATGTGATAGGTTTTGATCAAAAGTTACTTCAAGTCAACTACATTTCCTGTAGCATTTTCAATGCATTCTTAGCAAGCAGGTTCAATTTCTGTTAAGATGTTCTCTTTTTCATCAAAGATTTTTTTAATTAAACCATATTAAATAGGGTTATTAGAATGTGACTATTCTTTTTAACATGCTGGAAATTAATACTAGTCAATTTCTTTTATGAATTCTTCTTCATTCAATTTTATTATTTTTATAATATCATCATCTTTTAAATTTTCTATAGGCAGCTGGAAGCTATTTTAAATCATGACTCGATTGGTTAACTCTAATTTTTACTTACCAAAATAAAGATCTCTTAAATCAAAAGTTTTTCTGCAATTTCTTAATTATAAGTGATTTGAATGTTATTAAATCATCAAAAATACTTAAAAAGCAAACTAATTATTTGATATTAACAGTCTTATTATTCAATTAGTATAGATGCTTTCCTGATCACCTTAAATTTTCAAATTAGTATAATAAATTATCTAAATTGTTATAAAAATACTAATATAAATATAAAGCAAAAGTATTTTTGAAAAATATATAAAAAATAGTTAGGATATATTAAAGAAAATTCAATAAATGACTGACTGATAAATAAATATCAAGTATTTATTTTAAAACTTATTAAAATAGCTATGAAATAAAAAATAGAAATTTGGATTTTACTTTAAATAAATAAATTAAAACTAAAATTGAATGTAGAAGGTAATTTTAATTTAACTCAAAAATAAAAATTAGACGAATTATTTGCTGTAAAAATAATAAATAAAAAATTAAGTTTATTTATCAACATTATTTTATAAAATATTTATTTTATTTGAAAAATATCCTAAAATATTTATTTTTGGATTTGGATTTATAAATTATTAAATAATGAGCTATTAAGTTTTATTTATAAATAGTTTTATTAAATATTAAAAAAAGATAAGCATTAGAAATTTAGGTAAATTCTCTAAAAAACTTTAAGCATAATCCATAATTTTTAAATTTCAAAATTAAATATGATGAATAATAATTTTTATGTAAAAGTAAAAAATCATAGTAATGATGCAGTAGTAATTGTTTAATATGATCACCTTAATTTCAAAACTATTAACTTAAAATAATTTTTAATGTTTAAAAAAATTACCAAAAATGAATGAGTGCTGATATTATTAAGGTGGTCAGAATCTGAAATTAAAGGTTTGAATGTTTTTTTAATATTTTTACATAAATTTCAAATTAAAATTTGTAATAACTTATTCTTTTAGTATTTTAAACATATTTTATTATTTAAATTTTAACTTGAAATGATAAAATAATCCAAGTAATCATTTTAAATTTTAAATAAATTAAGCAGATTACAAAAAAAATTTATAAAAAATATAAAAAAATCTTTTAGAATGAATAATATTATATAAATAAATAAATAAATAAATAAATAAATAAATATATATATATGAAAAGAATTGCTAAAGACTAGGATAAAAGGGAGTAATAAGAGAAAGAAAGGACTTTATTAATTATATAAAAATAAAATAAAATGATTGTAGCCATAAAGTTTATATAAAGTGATATGTTTTAAAACATCTCATGTTTTATATTTGTAAAAGAAACAACAATACAATAAATATATATGAAATAAAAATCAGTCTTCATAAAGATCATATAGTATTTATTGAGATGAAAAATTCTAAGATTGTGAAAGATTCTTATAAAAAGAAGTAATGATTAAATTTTAAACTAATAATTTTTCTACTAGAACTCTTTAGTGTTAATTTTAAATTTTAGAAATGATGTTTTAAGTGAATTTATTTTATATAAATCCGTATTAGATTCTGCCCTATACTATTTCAAAAATTTTATTTTGTCTAACGAGATCAAAGAATGTATTTAACTCAATATACTCTATAGATTTTAATATTTCAATTAAGAGATCTTGTTCCTTTGTAAAATATGCAGTAAAATTGTAATTAGTTCTTATTTCTAAATTAACTGATTATCCATATGCTAACTTAATTTCAGAAATTTTCTAAAATAACTAAATGTAGCTTTGGTTAATAAGATATTAGTATATTTAATCTTTATTTTTTTATTATATTTTAAAATCTATTATAATCAAATTCTTAAATGTTTACATTTTTAATTTTTCAGCAACTTTTTAGATATCTTTTTCAGTAGAAATTAGGTACTTTTTAACTTTAAAAAAAAGCAAAAAATTATTATAATTTGCTATAAAAAATACTATACTTATAATCATACTCATAAGAATATGTGTTAGTTTTATTTTTTCAGCTGCTGTTTAGTTATCAAAACTTAGATCTATTATATAATTAAATCCAAAAAAAAGTATCAAGCCAAACCTAATTACTTCGCTTAAGTATCTCAACAAAATAAAATATTTGAATTAAATTTAATCATATATGTGATAGAATTCAAAATCTAGCTCTTCACTAATTCCATTTAGAAAAATATATACGAATACATTAAGAAACTAAGATTTCTCTTTTATGTATATAATAATCATACTTATTATTATTATCAACAATTAATAGTAAGCCATATTATTACCTTAAGGTTTTTCAAACAAAGTAAGGCAAGTTAAACTTATATAATAATTTATAATATTAAGCATGAATTTAAATTTAAATTTACTTCCACTTATCCATGAAATAGAGCATGAAAAAATAATTAGGCAGTATAAAAAAAGTACATATCCCACAATTTTGATATATTCATTTAGATTATCATCAGAAAGCAATTTAAAACAGAAAAATGTTATCATTTACGTTAAAAATATACCAATTATTTTCAATGTAGTAAAGAAAACATAGAAGGTTTGCATTCCTGAAAATTGTTCTATATCTACCAATCCGAATACGAATCCAAGTAAAAGTGCATCGAACATCCACAAAGCCAATCCTTTTGATTTTGATTCTTAAAAAAAGATACACAAAATTGCAGATAAAATTCTTTTTAATCCAAAACAAATCATAACAATTATAAAGCAAGCCAAGAGTGATTAATTAATATAGATGTATGCTAGATAGACCATTACAATAGCACTAATACTATAAAGTATCTCAAAAGTAAATATTCCTCTATCAAATGTACCATCAAAGAATGAATCCATAATTTTTAATTTTGATTTTCCTTTAACTAATATTCTATTTATTCTAACTTTATTGTAAAAATAATATCAAAATTTCTGCAAAATTTAATATCAAAATACTCAAAAAAACAATTATAAAGCACTCAAATATAAAATACAAAATCTTCATTTATTAAGTTAAATAAATAAATATTTTTTAAACATCATAAGATTTTTTACTATTAACTCAAATTATATACTACAAACAACCTTTATATATATATAAGTTTATATAATTGTATTTACCAATTTTTCATATTTTCCATCTTTTTGTATCTATGTTAGTACTATTCCTTCTTTGACTTGAAGAGCAAGGAGATTTTTTATTCTTTGCATCAGAGAGTTAATTTATACTCAAACTTCTTTTTGTTTTAGCTCCTGAGCAATTTTGTTATTAAATTTATTGGGTTTCATTTAAGAGTTAAGGAAAACATTTATCATTTAAACTATTTTAAACCTTTAATAACTCAACTTTATTTTGCTAAGAAATAGCTTTATTAGCCTAATAGTTCTATTTTATAAGTGGTGATGACAAATTCAAATTAGAATTTAAAGCTCTAAATTATTATCTTTTATTTTTAAGCTCTGAAATTAAAATGTCATTTTTAACAATATGTTCATTTTTTGAAGACTCAGTTGGCTATTCAATAGATTTATTATTGAAACTAATACAAAGTTATTTTTTAAAGCCATTATCATTTTTTTATGAATTAAATATTGGTTTGTTTATCTAAAGCTACTACTGACTCTCATTTTAATTATTTAAATTGAAAGATTCTTCACAGAAGTATAAACCATTAAAAGGAGAATGAGTCATTGGTTTATTATTTGCTTAGTTTTTTATGGTTTAATTATAATTATTTACTTAAACTGGTAAGTTCATTTCTTCCATATTTCTTTATTTTTAATTTTCATTATTGCTATTCATTAATTATAAAAATGGAGTAACTGTTTAAGATTGATAATATTAATTTGTATTTCCGCTGATCATCAAGTATTAATCAGTTTTCTAAGATTCTTCTTGTTAATTTGTAGCTAAACCTAAACATTTAAAAATTATTTTCTTAAAAATGTATCGAAAAGACTTATTTTATTAAGGAATTTTTGAAATTTATTTAATTTTTAAATTTAACAAGCAAATTACCAATTGTTGGAGTTTCAACCTAATGTGTATTTTATTGAACATAGCTTTATGATTAGAAAGGAAGATTTATATGGTGTTTTTAATTATATTCAGCAATGTCTTTCTCAAGATCTGCAATTTTTATAGGAATTTTTTACCAAAACTATTATGATTATTCATTCATATACAATTATTATTGAATGTGATTTCCTTAATACTCCTTGTTTTATTACAGCAATTTTGATATTTCTTATTATTAAAAATGATTTTCTTCTGATAATTAGTTTATTTTCTTTTCTTTTTACTCTAAATTTTCTAGTATTTTTTTATTTTCTACTTGACATTCGGCATACTTTTATTTTTAATCTAAGAATATCTGAGTTAATTTTTTATTTTCATTATCCAATTAATTTCTATAAGCAGCCTCTCTATCTGTTTTTTCTTTTTATTATTCTTAGGTTTATTTGAATTTGAGAATTAGATGGTTTTATTCATTTATTTATTTTGCTTAGTTTTTAATGTGCTAACTCTATTCTTAGATCATTTAACATTAATCATTTATCTCTTGCTTTAATTTATCTATATCCTCTATCATTTAAAGTTCTTTTTATTCTTTTAGACTTAGTGAATTATTTTTCTCTTCAATTTCTTTTTTTAAATTGCTCTGCTACTCGAGCACTTCTTTAACTTATTCTAAAAGAGAATCTACTTGGTTTTTTTATGAATTAACTTCTTCAATCAACTACTCTATTTTTTAGCTTTTTTCATCATCTAAGTTTTTGATTTAAACTACATTTTACTCTTATATTTTATTCTTAAAATCACATAATTCTTTCTCCAGGTTATGAATTTAGTTTTCTTTTATATTATCACTATCTTAAAATTCTTATATTTATTATCTCAAATTTTCTATAATCAACTTTTTCTTTTCCAACTATTCCTTATAATATCCATTTTCTTCATCTTAATTTTATTTTTCTTCAAATTCCTATTAATTTTTTAAAAAAATTTGTTAAATATCTTGGTAAGGGAATATTCTTATTGATTAAATTTAATTTTACTTTTAATTTTTATTTTTGTTATTCGTTCTCTAACTATGTTTTTTAATGCTTTTCCTTTAGATCAATAAGATAGTCTGTAAGCTTTTGTATTTTACTTTCTGCATTTTTTAGAGATATTTCAAGTGATTCTTTCTAAATTCTGTCTTACTAGATCAACATTTGTAAACTGTTACATTAAGCTTAGACTTTCTAAATATTTTAAGAAAGGACTTCATTTTCTTTTTCCTTAAATTCTAATTTGACTTTGTAAAATCTAACCTATTCATTCATTTTTTTGATAAATTCTTCTTTGTTGGTTATTTGTTCACATAAATCTTCATTAATCAGCCTATTTAAAAGTAAAAATTATAAATTAGACTAACTATTCGTTAAATATTTGGAAAATTAAAATAAATTAAATAGGTAGATTGATTTTGACATTTAAGAATAATTTTTAAACTCATTTTTATCAATTAAAAATTGTATGTATAATATTACTTCATATTAAAGCCTTATTTATATACATTCTTTAGATTTTGTTAGCTATAAATACAATTTTAAGATTCTCTGTGAGATGTTCTATTTGATTTAAGTTCTCCATTTATTTCCTTTAAAATAGAACTTCTGTTTGTAAACACTCCAGATTATTCATTTGTTTTTTCTATAAACCTCTAAGTATTATTCTATTGTTCTTAAATATGCTTTTCTTCTTACTTTAACTATCTATTAAATTGAATCAGTACTCTTGGACCTTCAATGTCATCATCATTAAAATCGCCATCATAAAAATCATCACTTGGATCTAATAATGATATCCTGTAATAAAAAATTCAATAAAAAAAAAAGCAAAAAATAGATTTACCATTTAATAGATTTATTAGGAATTTTATTCAGAACTTTAGGTTTAAACGAGACACTTCCAAACAATTTATTGTTCATTACAACTTATATTTGTAGCTTACTTTCATTATCAAAAGTAAATGGTTGATTTAAGCCAATGAAGTAAATATCCTGCTAGCATTTGACTATAATTTAAACCTAGCTTTCTTAGAATTTTGCATCAATATTAAGGATAATAAAGGATATGCTTTCTTTCTTTAGAGTAGCATTACCGATTTTACTAAGAGAGTTAGAACGAGAATTCATAATCTATTTAGCTATTTAATTAAATGTATGCTAATTACTTAATAGCTAGTTTTTTTAGATCTTTTAATTAGTTAATAAAAAAATAATTTGTTATTTTGGTTTTATTTAGTATTTTGGATTATTATTAGGTTTTTATTTTTTTTAACGATTTACTTTATTTTCATAAACACATAATTTACTAACACCATAAAACCTGCTTTCCTTTTTGTATTTTTTAAACTTGTAATCTAAAAATTATCTATCGCTACCTAATAGTGATAGTAAAGCTTATAAATATCAGCAAGCTGTTAATTGCTTTTACAATCAAAATATTTTATTCAAGGAAAAAGGCTAATTCAAAATTTCTTATGAAAATACTTAAAAAAATTAAAATATAAAAATTAAAACTCTCATTTATAGAAAAAAAATTATAATCTACTAATTATTTTCATACTATGAGTAATTGACAGTTATAGAGGATTAAATATATAATAAAACCAAAATCCAACCAAAATTTAATTCATACTTTAATAAAATATGCATTTTTTTCAAACAATTTTCCAAAATCTCTGTAAGAATTTCTAATTATTGTAAGATAAAGCAGATAATTAATTGAATATAATAAAAAAAAGAAATTTAAATAAATAGAATCAAATAAAAGGATTGGGTAAAATATTAATGGATTAATTAATAGGAGAAAGTTAAGTATTTATTAAAATAACAAATATATTAATTAGCTCATACTTTGATTTAAATTATTATATACATATCTTTTATAAATATAAAATACTATTAATTTATTAATATTTATGTGTTTTTTATATATGAAGAAAAATTTAAGATTAAAGCTTTTAATTTGGTTTTCAATTAGTACAGTAGCTACCTGCAGAATCAAAAACCAGTTTTCTTGATTCATAAGGTTTATTTTGAGGCATAGCTTTATTTGAAATGCCAGATGAAGAATCATTAGAACTTATTACTCCATAAAATTATCTTCTTTTTACAGTTTATGGTGAACAAAACATTATTGAATCTAATATTGAATAAATATAAAATTTTTAGGAGGTATTTAAACAAATTTTTTAAACTTTTTTATATATTTTTTCTATCAAACTTTATAATTCAAAATTTTTCTTATATTTATTATAGAAGATATACCCTCGTTGGAAAGGGTTAATTATTGAAATATTTTGAAATAATTTGCAAAGTTTTTAAAAATATTGAGTAAATTAAGACATAAAGAGTCCTTAGTGTATTTAATTTTTGGTATAAATTTTAAATAATATTAAATACCTTGAATAAAAGCATTTATTTGTTATAGGTCCTTGATTAATTCAAAATTTTCTTAATTACTGCTTGTTAAGTCTGAGATTATTTTGATTTCGAATTTCTTTAGGGCTTCACTAATTTAAACCATTAGAGATTTATGCTATAAATTAGACTTATGTAGTTCATCCTAAATGTATAAGAGTTCTTTATAAGTATTTGTTTCTTTTAGGCTGTCGTATTCAATTTTTTATCTCAGTTCATCTCTGAGTCTTTGAATAATCTTTTAAGATGAGCATCTGCAATTCTGGTTTGATAAATTAACAATTAATAAATTAATGGTAATCAATGTATTTTTTTTTAAATTTAATTTTTGAAATTTGAAAGTAATTAATGAATTAAAAAAACAAAATATAAGTAATATATTTATTTATTACTTCATTGATTATTCTCTCTGTTTAGTTTTCTGATTCTTGAGTTGTAAGATAACCTTCGTTGTTGCTAGCGTGATTATAAGGAGTGAAGTGATGTGAAGTAGAATTTGCAACGAAGCTTGATTAAGACCCTTTTTGTTCTATCTAATCTTTCTTTTTAATAGAATAGTGGTTTGAGTTTTAAATATTTTCTTTTTGCTAAGTTATTTAATCAATATCTATGTTAGCATGAATTGTTGACATGCTAAAATCTAGAGATAACTCTGTAATTTTATTTTATAATTAACATATGATTGACTTTGGTATTTAGTAGGTTTGTAAACAAGAGATCTAGCTATTAATTTAACTTATTTTATTTTAAATGTTAGTTTGAATGAAATCAGTTTGGGTTTAGCTACTAGTCGTTTATTATTATTATTTTGAAAAATATGCGCTAAATTATTCAAAAACTCTAGATTGATTCTTTTTGATAAATTTTTAAACACGCTTATTATTTTTATATATATTATTAAGTTGAGTTTCTACCGAATTCAAATTTTCTAACTCTTTTAATACTCTTTTTTACTATCCGCTCAATACAAATAGATGATCTTTGATTTTTTTTTCTTAAACTTATCTCATTTTTCTATAGTATCTTTAAATCAATATAACAGCCTTTTTTTATTTTTAATATTTATTTTATTAAATATATCTTCTTATATTCTTTTGAATTTTAGTTGCGAATAGAGTTTATTTTTATAAAATTTGATCTTGAATTATTTGCTGCTATTTTTTGTTATGAGATAAAACCAAAAACTAACTCTTAGCATCTGAAAGTGTAAAATTTAGAGAAAGTAATTTGCTTTCATCATCTTAATCATTATCTTCTCCTCCAGACCTGAGGTCATAGTTGGCTATGTTTAATTTATTATTAGTATTACACAAACTATTTTCTTCACTGTCTTCATAATTAAGGAATTATTCATAGCGATAATCGCTTGTATTCTCTTTGTTAAAAAACATAGGCATATTATTTTGATTTAAAACTTTAATATTTGGTGAATACTTTATTATTTTGCTTTATATTTTTTCAGCTATTGCCTGATTATTTAAACCCATTTTATTATAAATATATTCAGTGCTCTTCTTCTACTTCATCTACTCTAAAGTTTCAAGCTATGAAAAGCTTTGCTTTTTAACTAGACGAAAGCTGCTGTTTTAATTGCTATTATTAGTAGTATTCAAATCTGAAATAGCTCCTACTGACGATTATCTAATATGTTTCTTTTCAATGATTAAACTTTTATTTGAATGCAGTGTCTAATTTATGCTAATATTCTCTTTACTATTATTGCAGATCGTCTTATTAATAACGCTTTCGCTCTTATCTGGATTGTTATTGCTAGTAAAGAAGAATTTTTGCTTATTTATAAATTAAAAGTATTATGATGATTGCTTTTTTAGGACATTAACTTACTTTCTTTCCCCCTTTTGTAGAAAGAGGTGGTTTAAAGTGAAGAAAACTTCTTGATGTGGTTTAAGATGCATTATTGTTCATTTTTAGATAATCTGATTTTGCAGTCATACCTAATGGGTAATCAGTTTAATCGTCATATTCAACTTCAAGCAATTATTTTAAGCCATTTTCCACTCTTTTTTTTTCCTACTCGTATCTGAACTGTTCATTCTATTTTTAAAAGTTAGAAAAAGCTTGTAAGTTCTTTATGAATAATAGAATAAAAAGCATGGGGACAATGAATTAATTACTTATAATGAATTAGATTATTTGAAAGACTAGCTATCATAAATATTATATAAATTAATTTATTCTTTGAGTTTAGAGCTATCATATAGCCTAAGCGAGTTCTGTTTTTCCATGTTTATTTATGCGGTTAATACTAAGTGAAGTACAATAAATAGATTTTAAACTCTTTATCAATTAATAAATATTTTGAATTTTAATATATAAAATGAATAAATATATTTTTAAAAAACCATGTAACTCAAAAAGCATGTATTTTGTTTGAATAATTTTTCAAATCTTTAGATTTTGATAGTCATCATTCATTTATTCATCAATTTAATTAATAAACAAAATATGCAAATTTGAAAATCATTTAACTCTAAAAATTTATATCTTAAATGCACCACCTTTAAATGACTTTTAAGGATTTTCAAAATTAAAATTTAATTAATATTAATTATTAAGCTATTTTAATGGTAATAATATAAATTTTCACATCGAAATGCTTTAATTAAATTTATTTATCAAATTTCATTTACATTAATATAATTTTATTTAAAAAAATTATCTTAGTTAATTAAAATAATAATTTATTTAATTTATGATAAATTAAGCTATTTCAGTTTCAGCAAATTATTTATTTTTATCCAAACACTTTTCAAAAAAATTCAAAATTAATTGAATCTAGATTTAATGTTCATATATTTAAATTAAAATGAGCTTTATTTAATAGTATTTTAAATAAATGAAGTCAAATATATTTTATTTAATATCATTTTATTCTCTATTTAAAATAACTTTTTTTTCTTAAAATACCTCCTTCAATGTTAATCAAGAAATTTTTTAAAATTTTAAATCTTGAATTATGTTAAAGGGGATATTGAAAGATGGATTTAAAATTAAAATTACATATAATTGATATTATTATGATGAATTAAAAGTATTAATATTAATTTTCTCAAAGTTAGATATTTGAGGATTCTGCAAAATACTTTAATCAATTAAAGCTTGATTAAATAATTTTTTTAGATCAGCCAAAATTTTAGATTAAAATAAATGAAATTCATCAAAATAATACTTTGATTCATTAGTAAACATATCTTTATAATATTTTAACATATCAAATGAAAATATCATATTTATTTTTATTAATTATTCAGATTTTAAATGTTTAAATCTTTAAAAATGATAAAAATTTACTATAGTTCATAATAGAAATTCAAGTCATTATTTGCATTACAATACATAATCTTATTTTGGTTTTTATAAGGAAAATAGCTCATAAAAGAATACAATAAAATTCAATTAAATATTTTTTTGTGGTTAAATTATTTAATGTTATTAATACTATATAATAATTTGATGTATTATAGAGTTTTCTTATTTGAAGATTGGCTATTATTGTTTTAAAATTAGTTATTAGAAACTTCATAATAATATCTTACATAATAAATTTTTTGAAGAATTTCTAACAGTTTTGGTCAGAGTTTTTATCAAAAAAATATTCTTTTATTTAATATTCATTTAAAAAGTAAACTTACCATATTTAGTTAATGTATTTCCAATATAATATTGTGTTTACCAATTAAGTTTTAAAAATTAGTTGTCTACTTGAATTTTGAAAATAACTTTTTTAGATAATATTCAAAATATGATCAATCAAAAATAAAAATATGTGAATTAAGAAGATAGATCTTAATTTTTAAGACTTCCTTTTTATTAATATTTGAGAGAAAAGAATTCAAATAGATTAAATATTACTTCCTTCCTTACCTTAAAATTTATTATAATTTAGAAGATAATTTACACAAAACTTGTGGTTGTAAACTATGTAATGTAAATAAATTTATATATTTTGTGGTAAGCTTTGTCCAGGTTAAATTTTACTTCATAGAATATAAAAATATAAAAATGAACAAAAAACGATTTTATTTAAAGCATTTTTAAATGATTGCTAATCAATTCAATCTATCTTTAGATTACTTTATAAACCAATTAAGATTAGTTAATAGTATCTCAGATTTTTCTTGATCTGTTTAACAAAGCTTGGACTTCTCCAAAAGGATGGCCAAAGTGTTCACAGTAGTAATAGCATCTACCCTTAATATCACCACAAGTGGGTGCATGAGAAGAAGGAGCAGGTTGGCATTACTTGACTTACTCATCACAAATATTGTAACAATCTTACAAGTCAGCACGAGCAAAGCAAGCGAAGACAACAGCGATTAAAAGTAAAAGAACCTTGGTATTCATTATTTTTTTTGGCTTTTTTATTATTTTCTTAATTTTTTGATTTATTAATTTATTTTTGATATAAATGATTGTGAATTTTTTACAATTTTAAAGGCAGCTATAAGCTTAATCATTAAATAGCTATTCAAAAATTTTTGATAGTATTGACAAATTTATTTTTGACTATTGAATATTAGTCTTCCTTATAAGATTTAATTAGTTATCATAAGTAACTTAAATATTTTACATATTCTATGCCATTTTCATAGAGTAAGCAATAAAAAATAAAATAAAAATAATAATTAAATGAAATACCTTAAATAATGAACTAGATAATTATTATATGAATAAATTTTCATTATATTTATTGTCTTGTTGTTTATTGCAAATTTAAGCTTTTCATAGCTGAGAGTATTTTCTGTTGTATGCAAATAGAATGAAATATTTACTTATTTATATAGTTATTTATACTTATTTAATTTTGAAGAATTGTTTATAAATTCCCTTTATTTATCCTTGACCAATTTTATTACTACTAGTCTTCTATTCTATTTAATTTATTTGTAGTATTTTCTACCATAAGTTTATAATTTTAATTTTCTTATAGAACTATTTTTCTACATAAGATTAATCAACTTTTCTCCTATAAAAAAATATAAATTCACTATTGAAAAATATACTAAAATTTTTAGAGAATCATTAGTTAATTTTATTTAAAAATAAAAAGTTTTTATGCTTAAGCAGGAGAAAGATATCTTTCATCAAATAAATCTAGATAGCGTCATTTTATTGTGTTTTTATTTAGTGATGGCATTTAATTAATTACTATGCTAAAATTGATGATAATTATTTAACAATTACGCTAATTATCTTATTTACTTATATGAAATCTTTAATATAGATCAATAAGCTAAATGATTTAAGTAAAATTTGGGATAGATCTAAAAATTAAGATTTTATAAAACATCTAATCGAAATTTCTGTATACAATTATTCCTTAAATTCACATTTAATAATAATAATTTTTGAATAAAAATCACTAAAAATAAAAAAAATAAATTATAAATATCTTTTAAAAATTAACCATCTACTTATTTTGTAAGAGAAATTTATTTACTAAAAAGTTAAGCAATATCATAAAATTAAAGAATTAATTCAATATTTAGAAAGATATTATATTTTATGATAACTAAAATTTTATATTTTTTTTTAAAAACATTAAGATAATTCCTCACTCAAAATGTTATTATTTATTTAAATTTATTGTCTTAATTGTTTATTAAATAAATAAAATAAGCAATAAAAGTCTATGGTCTATATTTTACTTATTTTAATTAATAAAATATTTCTTAAATTTAATTGATTTACATTTAAAATTAGATTAATCTTTCTTTTTTTAAGGAATAAAATAAAAGTAAAATTTTCTAACTAAACAAATTGTTAAAATATACTTTAAATTAAACAAAAAAATAATAAAGTAGAAAAAGTGTTTAATTTTTCATTTAATTTAATTTATAATATTAATATTTGAATATTTAATATCTCTGAAAATTATAATCTGCTTTAAAAGATAATTTAAATTACCTTCTAAGCTTATAAAATCACAAAAAATACTAAAGAAAAACATATTATTACTAAACAATAACTCATAAATTCACTAAAACATTACTTTTTACAAAAATTAATATTAATATAAAATTTAAATAGTTATTAATGAAATAAAATACAAAAAATATAAAAAATAAACTAAAAATTATCTTGAAAAATAAAGAATATTATTTTAATTTGTGGTAATTTATGTTAATAGTAAAGCAATTATTAATTGTTAACTTTAAGGATTAAATAAAGGAAATTACTGCTTATAAAAGTAAAAATAATTAAAATATTTAAATTTAATTAATTGCCTTTAAAAAAATGAATTTAATGGTATTTAAATTTACATTAAAAAAAAATAGTTTACATATATTCAGTCTTTGAATATCCAAAATTGTGTCTTAAACTTTTAAAAAGTAGTATGGTTCATATTTTTAGTGCAACTCAGATCATATTGAAATAAAAATTTTGTATAAAAGAAAATATCTTATCATTATATTATAATAGATTGAAATTATATTATTAAAGTCTTGATAATTATCATAAATATTATTAAGGGTAAAGTATTTGCATTGTAAAATGATAGCTATTATTTGATATTTTTATTACTTTGAATTTAATACTATTCTTAATAGTTGATGAAGAATATTGTAAACAAAGCAAAAGTTGATGATATTTATTAACTCTGATGAAAAATTGCGATCAAATAGTTTTCATTCATATTATTATTTAATTTATTCGCTGTTTATACAAAATTTAATTGGATAATATAATAATATTAAAATATTTATTCAAAGAGCTAAACAAATAAAGCTTTGTATATTAAAGCTAACCTTTTTAAATATACTTTAACACTAATAAGTAAAGGAAAGTAAACAGTTTTCAGTAATTTAGTCTACTGAATATCATAGTTGTATCTTAGAGTAAAGAAAGTATACTTTTTAGCATTTAGAGGCTATGGGTTAGGTAACAAGTTCGAGTGATTTATAAATAAAGAAAGAGTAGCTAAATAAAAAATTCTAAATTTTAGAAGAACAATAACAGCAATATTTAAAAAATATTTATGAGGAGCAGAGAATATCTTCCTAAAATCAAATGAGATAAAACTGTTCATAAGAATACGAAAGAGAAGGTTTTCTTTGCTTTCCTCGCAAGAAGAAAAGTTAGCAATAAAATGATCTCTAAAGATAAGTAAATTAATTTGATATATCAACTAAGCTTTTTCAACCTACTAAAATATAAGGATATAATCTTTATATTAATGAAAAATGCTATGAAAGGAAAAAAGTTAAATTTATTTATTTTTAAAGGTAGCATGGATTGACTAGCTTATCATAGATCTAAATTAGGCATCTTAATTATTTTAAGATAGGGAGTTGCAATGGGCTAAAGTAATGGAAAACTCTTTAAAGTAAGTTATAGCATCAGAGTCGTCAGTTGTTGAATTGAAATTTCAGTAAAGATGCGATTAAGATCACTTATTTGTCAAATTAAGTAATAATTTCATTTTCTAATTTCTCGTATTAAACTAAAAAAGTAAAGATCCAAAAATCTACTTTTTATTATAAAAATAAATACTAAATTTTAGAGAGATTAAAAGAATGAAAATTAATTAGTGTAAAACTATTTTTATAGTAGGAATATATATTCATAAAATAAATAATAATAAATGTGTTCAAAATTTATTTTTTAATTTTTATTTCATTAGAAAATATTGAGTAGGAGATTAAGATGGATTGGCTTATTAACTATAGAAAACCAAGGAATATAGCTAGAGAATAAATCCAGAATTAAGAATCTATGTTAGTACCAGAAGAAAGAAAGCAAGTTAAGCAAGAGCTTTAAAAATAATCTTAAACAGTTATGAAAACGGAAAATGTAGATGCTGTAAAAAGTAGAGACAAGTGGGATTTATTCGAAAAATAAAAGCTCTCATAATCTGAGAGCTAATATAATATTTCAGAATAGTAAATGTCTGTTGAGGATGTTGCTAAAATTAGAGATATAAACTAAAAAATAATTAACAATTTTATAAAAAATAACAATGAAATATTTGACGAAGAAATGGAGCAAGTTTTTGGCAAAATTGAATTAATAATGTAAAGTTTTTCAGGCTCAATAAGTAATCATCCTTCAACTTTATTCCATCAAAAATCTAACTCAATAAAAAAACATTCGAATGAAAGTGGTCAATCTTCATGCTCTAACAGGAATTCCTTAAATCAAGCTTAGAATTAATCATAAATACTCTTATAAGGTTAAGTCAGCAGCTAAAAACAATTTAATAGCTATTTGCAGCAGTTAAGCAAAGAATAACAAAAAGAAATAATATTTGGCCAAATTGATTTTCAATATAAGATTATGAATTCAATAGCCTTTTATTAAAAAGTCACTAACTTTTTTACAACTTAGATTTACTCAAATAGAAAAAACTGGTTAAATAAAATTATACGGTGCTTTGTTTAGATTTTTACAGAATGCTGGTTTAATCGAAGTATATTATTAGAAAATAATATTGATGGCTTATTTACAACTCATTTATCAAAATTAAGTAGTTCTCATAAATCCAATAAAAATAAATAGAAAAAGAAGAGTAACTTAGAAAATTACTAAAATGGGTTTATTATTAAAGATCCCAAATCCCATAGGAATTAGCTAAAAGGTGATTAAGTTTCACTACTTCAACAGTTTTACGAATAAAAAGAATCACCGAGAGGTGTTTAAATTGTAAGAAACTCGGATGACAGTGAATACTCAGAAGAAGATATTGATAGATTGTATTAAGAATTAAAAATTTTTATAACAATTTTTCGCAATCTTTTAAAAAACTATTACAGTATACCATTTATTATAGAGAAGTTTGAAAATTCAAAGCTCTTGATTGATGATGTTCTGTGGAATTATGTAGTAAACATAATATTTGATTTTGAGGTAAATAAATCTCTTAGCGTATATATATGCTAGTATGAAATATCAGTTAAAACATTAACTCATTAGTTTTAAAGATATAAATAAAAATTTGAACCACTAAAAATGAAGGAACCTTAATTCTATAAAGTAAAAGACCAATTTTGTCTTAATAACTTAACTATCGCTTACATATTCAAACAGTATCATAAGAAATTGAAACTCTAAAAATAACAAATTTAGCTGGCATAAGGATAAGCAGGTTCATTAGCTCAAGAAAATAGTGTTAAAAAAATAAATGATAAAATAGAAGAGATTTAAGAAAAATAAGAAGAGAATTAACAAAATGAGCAAGATCAGAATTGCCAAGAAGAAAATTTAAGATCATCAATTAATTCCTAAACCTCTAAAAATTAAGATTTAAATTCTTAATCAACTCTATCTAATTTAGATTATTCATTAATGAAATTAAAAGAAATTTAAGAGAGAAAATAAGAAAGAGAAAGGTGTCAATAATTTAAAATTTAACAAGGCCATGTTCTGCCAATATTATTAGAAGAATAAGAAAGTAAATATTTCTCCTAAGAGTTTGTTTTGTCACACGAAACAGTTTAAGAAGAAGAGTTTTCTGAAGAAACAAATCCAGATAACTTGAAATAGGAAGGAGAAGAGGAAACAAAATAAAATTAAGATTAAAATTTATAATATTGTTAGATCAACTATGAAAGATCCATAAGTGCATCTGATCAAACTGACTTAAGAGGCGCAAATAGTAAAAAAAGGCATCTTTAATAAGATGAGATAGCTGATTTAAATACCTTAAAAGTAAAATAATTAGAAAAAGAAATAATTTTAGATGAGATAAAAGAAGAGGTTGAATAAGATATTTAAAAATAATATATCCCTTTTGATTTATGCATAAACGCTCTTAAATAGGTTTTGGTTGAAAAGAAGCCTATTGGCAAATTGAGATTAATATTGAAGGTATTTGATAATATATAGAGATGCATTCATAAATTTTATCATAAAAATAACTCCAATGAAAAAGTTTAGATTGGACCAGAAGATTTAATGGATATAACAGTTTATATTTTAGCTAAATCCCAATAGTACTAAATAATTCATGATATCAACATTGTTAGGTCCTTCATAACTAAAAATACAGAATATAGTGATAAAGCTGGCTACTACCTTTAAACTTTAGAAGCAGCCTTCTAGTATATTATAGAGACAGAATTTAATCGCCTTGATGAAAATGGATATTCGAGACAATCTTTTAGCAACTCCTATAAGTCATTTTGTGGTCAAGAGTAAAAATGACACGAAAAAAAGAAGTCAGTTTATTTGATCTCTCTTTCGTTTATTAATTCAGTCTTACTTATAACAAATTGAAGTAAATGGAAATTATTAATTAGTTAATTTAAAAATAGCAAAGAAAGCTAAATATTTCAAATAAATTTAACATAAATGTAAGTACAATAATATAAGTGTTTCTAAAAAGTATTCAAAAAATCATTTAGTTTATTGAGTTACTAAATTTGGTATTTTATTTTTTCCACAATTGAAAATATCATTTGTTTTAATCTCTCGTATAAATTGTTACTCACTGATCTTTTGAAATCTGGCTAATTTGATAAACCTTTATTTAATTATTATCTTTTTTGGGTGATTAATATTGCGTATTACCTTTTTGAAATTTCCCTATCGAGGTAGAGGTTATACATATTCTTTTAAGACTTTCAAATTTTTGATTACCTTTTAAAATCTCCATATTTGATTTTATTTCTTTCTATTCTTTCTAAAAATCTTTGATTTAAATTATACTTTTCTTCGGTAGTTGAATGACTATAGTTTTTTCATTTGGTTTTTAATTTTTGCCTAATTGCTATATGTCCATTCTGTTGAAGTAGCAAAAATCCTCTTTTTACTACAGAAGATTTTAAATTTTTTCATTAAACTCATATATTACTTTGTCTAAAATCATTTCTTCAGCGATTAATTGCTAAACTTCAGCTATAATTCTATTCTCCTTTGCTTCTTAGTTAGGTGGTCCTATCCATTTGAGTTTATTTTTTGACACTTTTTTGACATAATTTATTCCTTTTGATGTTAGATGAAGAAATAATAAATCCCCCTTTATTGTTTCAATTAATTTTAAAAAGGATAATTAAAGCTCTAAAAAATTTTCCATATAAAATTACCCTCTAGCACGTTCGTGATATCATATATCCTCCTCTTTTAAACTCCGAGAACAATTGATACTTAGTTTAGATCTATTGTTTAGTTTTATTCAGATCGAATTTATTTCATGAATCTTCGAGTAAGAATGCTTAAGGAATTGTCTTGCCTTTTTTAATTTTCCCTAACATTTATACTTCTATCATAAACATTCTTCCTTTTCTTACCAATGTTATAATTTAAATCTTCCTTTGATTTTTTGTATTAAAAAGCTGCTTTCTTCCTAAACAGGCAAGGCTCAAGCTCCTAATTGAAGGCTTTCTTTGATAAATTAGTGCATTGATGAACATCTTTCTAGTTGATATATTAGCTATCATTTTAGTTAGATTGAATGTTAATAATTTATTTTAAAGAATCTTTATCAAATTGTAAATTTTTATTACTCATTTTATTTTTAAATTTTTAAGGTATGATTTCTGCTAAAAAAAATTTTAATAATTTGTATAATAAAAATATTAAAAATTAACTATAAATCTAACTGAATTTAAGCTTGATATTAACATATAAATTATAGATTTAATAGGTTTTAAATTATCTCAAAAAAAGTAAAGGGATGAACTAATAAAAGAATTATTAAAATAGTTTGTATTTACAACAAATATGGGTGCAAATAATATTTCAGAAAAAAAAAAAGCGAAGACATTCCCCAATAAAATTATAATTTTAATTTTATATCAAAAAATAAATAAACTATAAAAAAAAGTAAAAATGAGTTAAAGACAAAACTAATAATACTAAAAATTATAAAATTAACCCAATTATAATGAAAAGGCTCTAGTAGTAGCTTAAGCTGAAATTAATCTTTAGAGCAAAATATTAGAATACTTTCTTTCTTTAGAAGAAGCTATTTAATTTTAGCTAGGTAATGATACTGATGAATACTTTTATAAATTTAAGGAGCATTATTAAAATTATAATATATAAGAAATCAAAGAATCAATTAAAAATAAAGATCCATAAAATTAATACTTAAAAAAAATTAATGAAATAGATAAAGATATTTCATAGATTACATAACCTTATAGTAGTTTTCTATCTTAACATTCCTCAAATGACAATAGTTTTAGCACTATTTCATTTTTTGAAAGCTAAACTTAGATGATTGGTAATTAATTTGATGAGATTAATGCTAGATTAAAAAATATTTAAGAAGCTCTTAATAAAAATGTATAAAATTTTGAAAATGAATAATATAACTATAGCTAAAATGGTGTAATTTATTAAGGATTAACTCCTAACTTTAATAAAGCTGTTACCTAGCTGAAATAAATTGAAAAATAGCTTTTGAAACTATATAAACTAAATGTGAGTGAAGTTTCGTTTATTTAAGAAAAAATCTAATCTTAATTGTTTAACTAGATATCTATGTTTGAACCTTCCTCCTTTTAAAACTAAGTTTCAACGAATATAAATTTATGAATAAAAAATTTAAAACACTTTTTTTATTAATAATCTTATTAATTTAAAGATTTTATATATGTATGTATTGTTTAATTCAAATTTATGTCACAAAATTATGAACTTTCAGACATCTTTATAGAATTTCTAATTAATAAGTACAAATTAATTGTTTGCTTATCTCAATCTACAGTTCCTTCTTTTTTCTTTCTCAAACAGTTAATAAAATTTTTAAGCATCTAATAAAATCATTAATTTATTTTTTATAAAATTTTCAATCTTTTTTTTTTTATTGATAGTTTCAAAAATGCAAATGATTTGCAAGCTAATAAAATTCAATTAATCTTAAAATAATTAAACCATCTATTTCCATTAACATATTTATATTTAATAAATTTTGGTTGTTATTTTTATTGTTTATATTTAGGAATAATAATAAACAAATTCATTAACCCTTTAGTACAATTTTTGTTAACAATTATGAATATATAAGATTTAAGATCTAGCATAGCTTAAAAGTATAGTGAGCATTGTGAAAAAATACATCATCAACCTAATAAAGCGCTGATTAGGGAATTAGTTAATCCATCTCATAATGCACCTCCAAACGATGAATAAGGAGGTAATACAAGTTTAGACATCATTTTTAGAGGAAATGATAAATTAAATTTCTCTTCACGCTTGAGAGATAAGGATTTAATTATTCTATGTGAAACACTCTAAGAATCTGGAGAAATTATTCGCCATATTGATCTCAGTTATAATTTAATTACTGATACTGGTGCTGAAAGTTTAGCTTAATTAATTGGTAATTGCCCCTATCTAGAGTCATTAAATCTACAAGGTAATGATATTGAAACTGCTGGAAGTCAAGAATTAGCCAATCACTTAAAAGAAAACTTTTCACTTCGTTATTTAAATTTAGAATCTAATAAAATTCGTACTAATGGAGCTATGAATATCATTGAAATTTTATTCACTAATAAGAATCTTATTGAATTGAATTTAGGAGATAATGATATAACTCATGATGGAATGATTGGTATAACCTCTGTATTAAATTATTAAAATAACACATTAGCTGTTTTGAATGTAGACAGACCAACTTACACCTCTATCGGATAAGAAACAGCTATACATTTCGCTAAGATGCTCTAGTCAAATAGATCAGTAGAAAAGCTTTCTCTTTAGAAGCATGCTTTTAATTGCGAGGCTATTTATACAATTACTGAACATTTGCTTGAAAATAATAAATTAAGAGTGCTTGATCTTACAGCAAATAAAATATCATTCAAAGGCTGCGAAGCACTAGCTAAATATTTATGCAGTGAGTATTGTGCCTTAGAAAGTTTAATATTGGCTTCTAATCGTACAGGCCACTATGGAGCTAAAGTTATTGCTTAAGCGCTATCTAAAACAAGATCTTTAGTTCATTTAGATATGACAAGAAATGACATTGATGATAATGGGCTTAAAATGATTGCTGAGTCTTTAGAAACTAATGACTCACTAATAAGCTTAAAGTTATACTGGAATCATTTCGGTTAGATGGCACTGTAAGAATTCCACAAATTGCGTACTAGACCAAGAAAGGAAAATTGGTATTGGGATTTCCATACCTACATAGTAGATAGCCATATTGAAATGGCATATATAGAAACTCGTGTACCTTATGACGTTACTGTATCACTTAAATATTATGTTGAATGAAGAAAAGAAAAAAAACGAAATTACTAAGTTTTTTATGGTTTTATTAATTTATATTTATAGCAATTGTATACAGGAATTACCCAATTAAGTAATTATCACTTTAATATTTCTTTTTTTAAGTTTTACTAAATTAGAAATGCTTACTTTTTACATAATTTTATATTAATAATAATATCAAATGATTTTATAATTATTTTATTGTGGCAAACTAAAAACAAAAAGAGTTAAATAATACACTTTTATTATGTATAAATAATTACAAACAATATTAAAATATTTGAAAATTTCTTGTTTAAAAAATAGAATTCAATTTAAAATTAAACAAAAGATAGAAAAAAAATCTAGATAATTTAGTCTCTAAAGCGAGGAAAGATTTGGAACTAGGTAGGTAGGTAGATAAGTATTTATGAAGGTATATATGTATCTTCTGAATAATATAAATTCAAAAGTGATTCTAGGCAGAATGATAACTATCACTATCGTTCTCATTTTCGTTTATATCTCTCAGTTAGTTTTTAGTCTTTTTCATAAAAGAGTTATCAGATTCTTTAAGATGTTGTTAATTTATTTACTGATTTGATTAGTGTTGATTTTCTTAATCTGAAGATATTACATTATTATTAGCATTAATATTTTTATTCGATTTATATTGAATTCCAAGCTCATATGAGTTATTGGGTGAGTTTTATTCCTTTTTTTATTCCTTTCTGTAAATGTAACTTGATTCGTTAGGGTTATATTAAGCTCTTTATGTATTCATAACAAAAGAAGAATTTTAATTTAAAGTAGAAAGCATCATTTGTTTTTGTATTTCTTCATCTTTATTAGGTAGGATTCTAGCAGCTGATATGCATACAAACAAGCTGAAAAAAACTAAAAAGACAGAAGAGGCTAAAAAGAATACAGTGTATAAAAAGACTCCATTAAGTCCAGTTATGCAAACAGAGTTTTTTGCTCTAATAATTGTGTCTTTTACAAATGTGCAGTCTAAAGTTTATTATAATCCACCATTCACTGATGTTACTACTTCAAAAATTTAATCAAACTCTTTGTTAAAATTTTTAAGCTTTGCTGATATTTTATCAATATCAATATCTAATTTGTCAACTTGAGTATTATAATCATTTAGATCATTTAAAACTCCACTAAAAACATCTTTCACAGAATTTCTGTAACTATTTTTTTTAAATTTAAGTTACATTTTTCATTAAATTTTTTTAAAATATATTTCATGCAATTTAAAAATATTTTTGTAATTATTTGTTTACTAAGAAGTTTTTTTAATAGTTTAAATCTATAAAATATTAAATAAATAATATCTTCTTTTAATAAAATTCAAAATTTTAAGTTAAATTACAAAATTTTTAAAACTATAATTTTGATTGTTTATGTTTTAATTGAAATGTTAAAAAAGATTTAAAATTTATTAAGTTTACTTTTATATTGCATTGAATCTTTTGATGATTTCTTACTCTATACTTGCCTTGCAATGTTAAAATTGATCATTATATCTTTGCTTTACAAAATCTGGATTTGTTTTTAATATCCTTAAACAAACTGTAAATCCAAGATCAAAATCTGGCTGCTTAGAATCAATTATAGTAGAATATGGACACTCACTATCTTACCAAACCCACTAATCTCTGCTAATACTACATTACCCTTCAGATAATTACAAAGAGCTTTTAATGGAAAAATCAGTCCAATCATTTAAATTTTTATTAGCTTCACTAGCTGCAACAGGAGATGCATTTTTTTCATTATCTAAAACATTTTGAACATAATTAATTTTGCTGTTAAGGGACTGCTTACTTAAATTCAAATTCAAAAATGCATCAAGTGCTTTTTCTAGAACTTCAACTTCTTATAAGTACTTTTAGACTTCAAAATAGTTTTTATTATTGTGAAACACACAGTAGTTTACACTATTTTTTAATTGTTAAGATACATCTATATGTTCTACTTTGAAAAAGTTTGGATTAGTTAAAAAATCTTCACTTGCTTTACAAACGCCATTATTTAAAATAAGGCCTATTGAGAACATTATTAAGCACAATGCGAGTCCAACTATAAGAACACAAGTACTGCAGTACCAACTAAAGTGAAGTAAAATAGCACAACTATTAAATTTTGGCCAAGCAACAAAAATAAAACCAACTAAACCACAAAAAACCATAAACATGACAACTTCAAAGTATTTTTCAATATAATCAACTCCTTATGTGACAAAAGGTTTATACTAATCTATAAGATAATCTACTTTTTTTAAATAAACATTTGCCAAATAAGTTATATTATCAATCTCATTTTTTGCATCTAATGCCTGAGATGATATTTCTTCCCTAACTTCTTCTAAATGATTAGAATGTTTTTATACTTCACTTATAAAATCTATTTTAAATTTTCTTGATTTTATTTCATTAGATAGCAACCATCCTATTGTTCCTATTGTCTATAGAGGTCCTATCTGCTCAATAAATTAATTATTCATATAGCTAACTTGATCTATTGAATTAGGATTCACTAATTGCTTACCCTTTTAATATAAAAAATTAGTTAATTAAGTTTTCAGTTAAATCAAGATAATTGCTATAAATTATTAAATTTCATTTAAAAGTCTTCAAAATAGTCAAATTATTAATTTTTGGCAGCAATTTTTTGGAATTTAAAGACTTTGGCTATACTAAATGGTTAAAAATAATTTTTTTCTTTCATTTTTCGCTTTTGAAAATAAAAAGACCATTTTCAATTTTAAAAATCTAACAATCATTAATTAACAATATGAATATGTTATTTCTCTATATTATTTTAATTTTTCAGCTAGATTATAATAAATGATTATTTGTGCTTGGTTTAAATTTATTTTTTGAATTAAAATCTTTTTAAAGATAATAATATTATTTACTTTATGCTTTTCATATAATTGAGGAATCATAGATTGCACGCTGTTGTATTCATCATAAAATGGAGTGACTTATATTTCTTTTATCTGTTATGCACTCTCTTTATCTTAAATTGTTTTAAAGAATTCACTCAATTGCTAAAATTAATGCTTGATTACATCTACTCCACCGTAATTAGCAACCCAAGTACTATTATTATTAAAGTTATCTTATTCTCCATCATCTTAAAAGCTTAATTTCTAAACATTTTAATAATTATTGATTCTATCTTCATCGTAGTCAGATACATCATAAAATGCAGTTTAATTTTATTTATCAACTCCAAGGAGAACTTTTTAAGACCATAGAACAGTACATTAAAATTGGTTTTAACTTATATCAAAATCTGAGGACATAAATATGCAACCTCCAATAAAGAATATCAAACCTCCAAAAATAACTATCAAAAAAAAATAAATATTCTTCTCCCAATTACTCTCTGTTTCTTTGTTAAAATCTATTTGGCAACAACGACGAAATATCTTAAGCTCAGGAATGCAAAATATTTAACAGCAGCATATACACTATCCAATTAAACAAACCAAAATCATAATAATCCATGGTTAAAGCTTAGCTATAATTTAGGTCCAATAAATAGTGTCAATCTCCTTTTAGTTAACAATTATATCATATATATCCCTAGGATCTTTAAGATTAAATGCAAACATCTATTGTGCTATTTAAGATGCATCTATTTCTGAAACTGGCCATTATTAATCATCAGCTAAATCGAAATCACCACAAATTTTTTTAAATTTATTTCTAACTTCATACTACTCTTTTAATAATTCTGTTGGTGTATAAGATGTTTTCTCACTTGGCTAATCTCCGCTTGCTTAATTATTACTTTTATGATTTATTTATTTATAGTTTTATCTTTTTTAGTTTCCATGGCTATGTGACATACCCTTTTAAATATTTATTTTTATTTTCAATCCATTGAATAAGCTTAATCCAATTAAAATTAATGAAAAATAATCTCAAAAAATGAGTAAGGATGAGAAAAATATTTTAGTCTCATTTAACTAGAATAAAAATAATAAAAATAAACTTTTAGAAAAGTTAAATAATAAATTTATAAAAATTTCTACATCTTTTGCTAGAGAAAGCGCTATCCCTATTAATATTAGAAGGAGCTTCAAATTTATTCTACTTTTCATGAATTTTTTATTTTCAATAGTCAATTTGATTAGAATCTTTTATTTTTATTGCTTCAATGTACTTTTTTATTGATATTATTATTAATTAATTAATTAAAAATTTTTAAAACAACATTTCTTCATAAAAAATTAAAAAAGCAAATCTTATTTAAAAAAGGAAGAACTGATTTTTGAAATTACATAAAGATATTTTAAAATTAAACATTAATTTTTTAAATCGCTTGATATGATTTTTGATTAATATCTATCAAATTCTAAATAATAAATATAAGATAGTTTTACACAAAATGTAAGTTGTGCAAGAACCAGAATTTTTCGTTATATTATCACCAAAAATATTTGAAATAGAAATATTGATTTCTATTCCTAATATAAAATTAAAAAAATAGCAACCAATACTATAATTAAAATTCACAAAAGAAATTCCTACACTTTTATGATTTTAGTTACAATTTAATGGCAATCAAATTATTTTAATTTTTTTAAAAATAAAAAAAAGAGAAAATATTTGATTAATAAAAATATGATAGAAAAATAATTTGATGATAATGTTAATCTCTACCATTAGTTTTAGCTAAAAATAATGCAACTTCATACAATAATTGTTTTTATTTTTTAATTTTTACTTGAAATCATTTAAAAAAAAAGTTGAAATAACTTTTGGACTAAGTGAAATGATAAAACCACTTGAAAATTGTTAAAATTGAATAAATATTTTATTAAAATAAAAAATAATTTATATATAAAAGGATATAGAAATAATTAAGATGTGAAGGTGATGCAAGCAGCTGATTGATAACAAAATACGAATACATGCACATATTATATTTAATGAGATCATGCATAAATTTTGTTAAATCAAAGCAAGTGAGCTTTTAATTGTAATTAGATTTTTTAGAATTAATAGAAGAATATTGTTCTAAACGCCAATATGATTTCTATTACTCCTATTAATATCTTGATTGATTTTTTATGTATTTTAATATTCTCTCATAGGGGGTCGTGGTGACTCATAACAATATAGAAGGCAGTTTCAACGTCAGTGACTAAAGCCAATCTATCCTTAATATCAATACCGAATTCTCTTTCTAAGGCATCATGTATTTGGATGGAGGTGGCAACATCACTATAACCGTTTTCATCTCTGAAGTGAGTCTTAAAAGTAATAGGAACATTTTCCCATCTAGCAGGATCGTACTTTCTCAATCTTTCACCAATACATTTAATGATTCTCTTAGCAGTAATACCAGGCTTTTAATATTTAAAAATAAAATAATTTGAAGAGATTATAAATTATTTATTTTATTTATTTATTTATTGATTTGTGTTTGAATAAATTATTATTTAATTTTAAGATTTATCAAATAAATTTTGCATGTAAATCAATCATCTTTTCAATAATATTAATTTAGTCAAATTCACTTGCTGCTTAGTATTTGTTTTCAATTTGTATATTCTTAGATAGATAGATACTTACATATCTTGTGTATCCTCAATCTTAATAATCTTTTATTTCTATTTTAAATTGCTTTGCTCTTAAATGCTACTTATATAATTTTTATTTCTCAGACTTGTTGAATAAAGTTTTATTGGGAATGCCTAAAATTATCAAAATTTTGCATAGACATTATACTAATTTAGATTTAATACATTTGCTTTGATTAGTCATTTTAATATTCTAGCTTTTACTCCATTTTTCAAACCTAAATTTTTATATAAACACTTGCTCTTTAGATGATTTAAATACACTTGTTCTCAGTTGATAGATTATTTTTCTCATATTTTTTTTGAAGTTAAAATCCCTCTCTATTCTTACATTTTAGTATTAATTTTTTTAATTTTATGATCTAAATTATTGAATAAATCTTTGAATCTGACTGCATAGTGAAATAATAACTAAAGCTAAACTCTATTCTACTAGATTAAAACTTATTTATATATTACGTTGGCTTGGACACCACCAGTTCTGTATTCAGGGAAATTGTAGAAAGCTTTGGGAATTTAGTTGAAAGAAACAGGTTAGACTTGGATAGTCTTGCTCATAAACTTCTTTAAATTTTGCATCATTTCCTCTTAATTTATCTTATTTAGCTTTTATTTTTCCTTTTTCTTTTCAATAATTTATATAATATTTCTTATTTTTTATTTCCAAAGCTTTTATCTTTCAAACTTTTCCTTATCAAAATGAAAGAAAAGAAATAAATAAATCAATCAATCAATAAACTCTTCATTATAATTTCCATGGTATATCACTAATCAATAAATAAATAATCTTATTTTTCCTTGTAAAAATAAATGAATGCATATATATATATATCTTTCTCATCCTCTCCCTCTACTTGTTATATTCATTTTAAAATATCTTAAAAACATATTTTTCTTTTTTGGTTAATAGTGTTGTTTGTAGCTATTCTATTCACTTGAATATTTAATGATTTTAAACTTAATGTTAAGAATAAAATAAAATAAATTTAATAAGATTTTAACATCAAGTTTTATTTATGAAAAAAATTTACAAATCTTTTGATTATTAACTCATAACTTTGTTTAATATTAACTTTAATAGAAATTTATAATTCTTGCTTTTAATTTAATAAAAAATACAAAATACACTTTAGATATTTAAAATAAAATTTATATTTTTAAATAGAAATTATATCGCTTAAAATTCATTTTAGTATTTAAATATTTTTATTAGTTAAATTTTAAACATTTTCTAACCTAAATTATTTAAAAATTCATTTATTATTCGCTTTAATCTTTGTAACTTAACCATAAATTTATTATATTTGAATAAATACATTTAAATAGAATTTTTATAGCTTTATATTCTTTTTAAGCTTTTTTTTCTATTAGTTGTTAAAATATTTTCTAGCCATTTATTTCAAAATTCATTTAATTTTTTATTTCAATCTAATAAATAATCTAAGCATAAATTTACAATATTTAAGCTATTAGATTGATTTTATTTAATTTATTATTTTAATATTATTAATATTTTATATCATTCATAAAGATTTTTTAGAAATTAAGCTTTTTTAATTTTAAATAAAAATATTTCATTATTGTTTTCTTTTTTATTTTTATTTTTTTTAGTTAAGAAATGTAAAGTAGAAAATGAATTCGCATCATTCAATTTACAATTTTTGATAACGATTAAATAGAACTAATATTAATCTAAATCTTCATTAATCAATTTGATAATTTAGTGATAACACAGTAAATTAAAAAATCAAATATTTATCTAATTTTATATAAATAAAATGTCATCAAGTAAAGAGTTTTGTGATAAGTGCGACTCAATCAAAGAAACAGATCCTCAATATGAGACAGCTAAAAAGTTAATGATGCAATAAGGATGCTTTTAAGAAAATAAGAATTTGACAGATTGCCTAAATTTATTTCACAAAGATTGGAGATCTTGCAAAGTAAAAGCATAATTGAATTATTTGATCCTAAATATTAATTAGGCAATATATTTATTTTCTACATAAATGTCTTTTACTTTAATAAAATAGAATGAAACTGACCTCCTTACTAAATGTATATAAAACTCTAAAAAGTAATGAAAAGTTTAACTTGAAATAATCCTCTCGAATAATACCTAAAGTTTCAAAACATATATCTTATTTTAGTGTTAAATTAAACAAAGATAAAATCTAATAGAAATTTCTGTGATTATTTGGTTTTGTTTGAAGAAAAGAGTTACAGCAAACAGAAATGCATATTTTAATTTTATATATTATTAATGTTTAAATAAATGTTCGTTCAAAAATAATTTTATTATAAGACTCATTATTTGTTAGGTGATTTTTTGTTTTTTGGAAACTTTGAGAGCATTTTATAAATAAAAATTTCTCAATGTTAGTATAATTATTACTAATATTTGAAGCTTCAATTAATGATAAATGATTTTAAATATTGTTATGGTTATGATTATATTATGTTTTATATAGTTTTGATATTTATTTTATGTTTTTATATTGCTATTTGTTTATAATTTTTGAAAAATTGCTATGTGAATTTATCATATTGATCACCCTATCGAAAGATATTATTCGCCATTCTATCTAGAATTTGTACTTGTCCTTTCTAAAAACATATCTTCATTTACTGTAATAGGATTTATTTTTTTATTAGATTCAATATCTTTTATTTTGAATTCTTCTCCAACTTCAAAATTATCATCCTCTTCATCATCATCTTCATCGTCATCTTCATCTTCATTATATTCATCATTTTAACCATTTTTTTTAGATAGGAGTTATTTGTTTTAACGCTTCATTTACTTTAAAATCTTGTTTTGTTTCATTTTGATGTAGCACATTAAACCACTTGCTAAAGTAATTAATCCTAAAAGAATGCAGCATGAAACTTAATTTAGATAAAAAATAATTAAAATAAGAATTAAAAACTTTAAATAATTTTACTTATAATCCACTTGTAATTATAAGGAGTTTCTTGAGTATTTCCTGCCTCATTTTTCTTTGGCTAATTTTTAGATTAGTCGTCTTTATTAACTGTTTATGAAGATTTATCACCTATTTCAATCAAAGTAACTGAAAATTTTTTAATTTAATTTTCATTTGATTCTTCTTAATCTTCTAAGACTGTAAATGGATTATATTAGATTGTGAATAAAATATGGCATATTTCATTAGGACATAAGTCAGGAATAGAAGAATTCTTTGATGCGATATTCTAATAAAAAGAATGGTGTTATTTAGATGGGATATGGCATTAAGATATAGTTTAATTATTTGGACAAGAACTGGCATATATAGTAATATCTGTTAATTAACTGCAAAATTATAATAAAATATTGTTATCTTTAGTGCTAGTTTTGTCGTAGTATAAAGATTAAAGGTCATTTATTCCTTAAAGAGTTATCGATATGTAAGAGGAATTAGTCATTTGCCTCAAGTTAAAAGAGTTTACTTAAATGGTGAATGGAGAATACATAGGAGATAAATTAATTGTTGAAAAAATGTGAATTCCTTTTTTGGCTGGTTTAACAATTAATTAACCTGATTAAAATGTTGGATACTTTGTGTCTAAATAAAAGGAGTGCTTTACAGGCCTTAAATCTATTTCAGGGAGTTCATACTTAACTAATTCAGTTTAAAATTTATCTCCACTATATTAAAGGGTTCTTCTCAATTACTATATCTAGCTTGGTAATGTGTTATCATCTATACTTTCTGATACTACTGAAGTATTATTATCCTTTATAGGTACATATGAGTGAGAAAACAAAAGATAGCAGTGTTAATACCCTGAAAAATATTAAATTGTTAGTTGATTTAAATCTTCTGGAACTTCAACTGAAAAAAAAGTATATGCAAGCAGAGGTAGATAATCAAAAAATGGTTTTGCAGGATTACTCATATCATGAATTATTTAAGAGCTTTGTAATTTAAAAGTTTCAAAATCAGACTAAGGATCAAGTAACAGCTCTATATGAAGAATAGCATGAACAAAACAGTTTGGCTTGCAAGAATTATACTCACTTGGTTTTATTAAAGCCTATTTAAAATTAGTTGAATAAAAATATTATTTAAAAACTAAAATAAAGTAAAACAAAAATTACTTTTGCTGTAGTAGTTTAATCTATATTAGAAAATTTATCACTGAAGTAGACTAAATCTGTTTCATTTAATTGAAGATTAGTGCTTGAGCAGTCATCAATCATATTGCATAATTAATATTTAATATACGAGTTACAGGATGATGCAACTGCACCTAAATAAAAGGGCTAAGTATAATCATAAATTGGAAATATAACCTCATATTCCATTACATTTTGAATAATAAATTACTCAAAAGGAGTCAACTATAGTTACCTTTTCTTACTTGAAATTTATTTTTAATTTTCTATTTGATTGATACCTCTAGTTTAGTTCAAATTTGCATATTTTAATTAATTTTTTTTTTCTGAATTTAACAATTTTGTTTAATTTTTTTTTTACTAATAAATTGTTGAGTTTTAGAAATCAAAGGTTTTATTTTAATTTGAAGTATTGAGCTAACTATTTGAGATTTCCAAAAAACTTTTTTGTGTCTCATTCTTGCTTTTCTTATTTAAAATTTTATTTGCATTGAAGATTGGGAGCAAAACGTCAAAATTAGCAAAATCATGGCGAAATATTGAAAGCTTATTATCAAGAGAATAAATAGACAATATACTCAGTTTAAAGTCTATTATATTAGGAGTTGTTTTAGGATTTATATCATATTTGCGTCTCAAAAGTATCATCACTGTTTGACTTGATTACAGGCTTTTTAGAGAATATCTGGAAATTGTGTAAGGGATAGCACAGTTTTGTGGAGTTGTTGATGTCAAATTGTTGGCAAATTTTGAATACATAAAAAATTCAATATCATATGCATTTTCTAGCGTAAATATCATCATTTCCATTAAATTTACAGGAAAGTCTATTTTTTTCCATTCACTGTCTCCACTGAACATATTCAAAAATTTAGTCGAAGTACCATCTTCTAGAGAATCAATGTCTTCTTCTCTATAATATGTAATTTTGAATTCAAACTCAGTTTAATTATTTTTAGAGGTATCTTGCAAGCTCAACCTGATTTCATAGCCAATTAATTTGCTTTGCTAGTACAATTATATTAATGTTTTGTTTGTTGAAGGTGATCTTTGCATGTATTCTGTCAAAAATAGATGGCTACTGTAAGAAGAAAATACATATTCTTATTTTGCATTAACTTCTTCATTATCATAAATATACTTTGCTTGAATCTAATAATTTAGACCCAAACTATCAAGAGAAACCATAATTGTCTCTTCGCTTTGTTTTTTCTTTAATATCCTGTAATCTTTTGTATAATTATTCTCCTTTAATAGCTCATCATACATTAAATCTGCTGGTTCTAAAATATCCACGCATTTCACTTATTGAAAATAGAAACAAGCTAATACAAGCAAGTTAAGTAAGTTGAGAAAAATACTCATCCTTGTTAAACTAAAATATAACTTCAATTAATTTTGATTTTAAGTAAAGTCAAAAATATTTTTTTAGTTTTGGTAAAATAATACTTCTTTTATTGATTGTGTGAAAACAAATCAAACCTTTGTTTTTATTGTAATAATTATTAAGGTTTTTGATACAATTATCGATTTGCTCTCTATTTTGAGTTTTATCTTAGCTTTCCTCGCTTATTAAGATAAAGATTTTTTATTAAAGATTAATTAATCAAAATTAGTGATTAGTGTTTAATCTAAATTTTTATATAGATAATTTAATAAATTTCTTTCACTATTCATTCATAAGATTATGAATTTTAGATTACATCAAATATTACTTTAAAAAAGCAAAATTGATTGTTTAAAATTTAGCAAAGTAAAAAGTAATGTAAAAGTAATAACATAATTAACTCTAAATAAGTTTAATGTAAATATAAATTAAAAAAACTTTATTCAAGTTTTTATACTGTTGAAGCAATTTAAAATACATTTACAAGATAAAAATATAAAATATTTTATAAAATAGTTAGGCAGTAAGCTACTAAAAAAATAAATAATACAAACCATAATATTCAAATGGATTCTTATGAAAGTAATTCAAATTGCTCTTTTATTGATGCATAAAGCTTTTTTTAAATGTTCATACAAATAGTGTTGATCTATTTCAATTCTTAGATCACTTGCATCTCAGCTACTTGCCCATTTTGCATTTATTAATTCAATGTATATAACTCTAAAAGATATTGTTCTTGATTGTTAATAAATTTTTACTGGATTTGTGCTTTTTTCTGACCATAGTATTAGTAAATCGTTGATAAATCTTTAAATTTTCTAGCACATACAGATTACTCCTGAGATGATATTTAACTGATATGCTGGCTATTTTAAGAACTATTTTAAGACTGATTGTGACTCATTTTATTATTTTGAAAAGTTTTATAAAATAATAAATTATTCTAATATTTTATTTTTTATTTAATTTTTTGAAATTTTGAAAATTGACTAAATTTTAGTAAATACTTAATAATTTAATTATTATTATAGAACTACCAAAATTAAGTCTGAATTTCAAATGATGTTAGCTTTTTAGTAGTTTTATACAAAAAAGACTGATTTAGATCCGAAATTATAGTTTTAAGTAAAATTATAAAGAGTAAGAGATAGCTCATTTTAAGTTAGATATTAATTTGTATGCTTATTCAATACATTTTTTATTTTGAATGTCTATGTATCAATTATTAGTTCAAGTTCTAAAAGCTTCACAGTTTTTTATTTGTTGGGCATAAAAATAAAATAGTTAACAATAAGCTGTGTTTTAGTGATTGATACAAGTTGTATGCTTTCATTTTCATTACTGTTAATTAAACTTAGTAAATTTTATAATTTTTCTTTATACTGCTAATCTAAATCCTTTTCTTTGTTTTATAAATTCAATAATTCTTATCCTTATTCTAGTTCATATAATCTCAAAAGCTTTTTTACCCTCAATTCAAATAACTTTTAATCTTATTTCATAATTTCTTGCTAGTATTCCTATTCTTAACTATAATTTTAGCGCAATTCTCTATCTAGGTATTGATGCTATTATATCAAGTTCTATAGTCTTGATGTTTAATCAACTTTCATCTCTTCCATTTTCAAATATTTGTTCAATTAAAATATATATTTATATATCAATAATTTATTAACTTTTTTATTATTTTAAAAATTTATTAAACAAAAATTTTTGATTTTGCGCCAAAAAAATACAAGGAATAAATAAAAAAAATAATATTTTTCTTTAAAATTATACCAAAATAAAATGAATGAACATTAAATATTTATTTTTTTATCATTTTAACATAAAATTGAAAATTATAATTTATAAATTCGCAGAATTTAGTTATTGAAAACTCTTTAAAGGCAATTTGATTTCCAAAATAAAATAAATATTTAAAAATCAGAATTTTAATTCAAAATTTTATTTAAACACTAAAAAAAATTAATAATATTTTAGTGCTAAGTTAAAATATGTGGTTAATTTATTATATTTTATAAAATATTAAATTTTTTAATATAAATATGAATTTATTTAGCTCATTCTATGTTAATAAATTATTTAAATTTTAATATTAATTAATATGTTTATGTTAATTATATTAAGTAAATTAATACAACATAAATTAATAAATAAACTTCAAGGGAAGAAATTCCATATGCATATAGTTGAATCTGAGCTAACAGAAACGATCTGCTTTTCATCAGGAGTCCATTTTAATTTTGAAATTCCACTTGAGTGACCCAAATATTTACCTTAAAATCTCTTAGAAGCAATTTCAAATATAACTACCTATTTATCATATAAAATAAAGTTTAATGAAAATTAATTAAAAATTATTTATGTATATTTATTACTTCTCCAAGATCAGATCCTAGAGCCATGTATCTACCAGAAGGAGAGACTTCCACAGTATTAAGGCGATCAGGATAATTAATGCTTTCAACAGGTTCTTAAACATCACAATCCCATTATAAAATAGGAATATTCAAACCACATGTTACTATTTTTATCATAAGTAAACTTAGAATTAAAAAAATTTAATAAATCTTTACCTAATTCTTATTCGTGATCTTTTCTTTATGACATATCTAAAATACTTCCGTTTTTAGCTTGATGGAAAATAACCTTTTTATCTGTTTTTAAATCGAAGCTATGTACTGATTTGTCTGCTGAGCAAGAGTGAATGATGTTAGCTTTTTAGAAATCAGGGAAAACACTGACAACATCTTTAGTATGCATTGATATTTAAGTAATAAGCTGTCTATTCACTCTGCTCCAAACTCTAACTATTCCATCTTAACCTCCAGTCAAAATATAATTTTAATTCTAATAATATGAAATTTTATTATTTAAATGAAGAAAAAAAAAAATAAGAAATTTAGGTACTGCAAAAACAGATGTGACTGCTCCTTTGTGAGCATTGACAATCTCCCATTTTAGAGGTGAATACTGTTTATTAGACACTTAAAATGCTCTAACAAATCCATCAGAATAACCATTAACAATTGTTTCATCTTCAGCAATTGTAATACAGGTACCCTAAGTCCTCATCATTTATCCTGGAGTAAATTTAGTAATTACATTCATTTCATTATTATCCCAAATATAAGTGTATCCATTTAAATCAATTGTTGCAAAAAATTCATTTCTGTTGTTTGGAAAAGCAATACCCTAAATTGAAGCTAAATGACTTTCAGTATGTAGCATAGCATTCACAGACTATGTTAAAACTCTGTATATATTATTTTAACTTGTTCCAATGATTAGTTCCTAAATAATATTTTATCAAATATTTATTTATCATTCATGTCTAATAGTTACTTTAAAATCATTTATTGGTGAAATTGAAGTAATAGCACCATCTAATTAAACTTCTGATTCTAAGGACCACTTTGTTTCGCTTCCTCTCAATTTTTTTAATCTACCGTCTCCACTTCCAACAAACAAAATATCTTAAAATAAAGCAATGCTTAAAACACCATTGTTACTAACCTTTGAAAATAAAGCATTCATAAAAAATGTTTTAAAATTGTAAATTTTTAGTTTATTTTTTAAATAAATGAGTTTTATAAAAGTAAGTTTATAAAGGCAAAAAATATTTACGGGAATAGCTGCTTTGAAAATTTAGTTATTGATGCTATATACACAGACTTCTCCTGCAGTTGTACCAACAAAAATATAGTTAGAGTTAGAATCTACGATTGCCTTTGTATATGTACGAATCAAACCAGAGCTAGGTAGTTGGCAGTTAGTAGATTTTAGTGTGTATTGCATAGATCCCACATTGAAATCAAGAGTGTTAATTAGCAAATTAGGACCATTAGCTGTTATCAAAATGTAAGAATTATATTTATTTGCAGACTTTCTTGGAGCTCCCCATTAAACTAAGAAAAATATATTTTAATTAAATAATAGCAAATTTTATTGATAATAATAGAAAGCTGAGTGAATAAAATATTTATTTAATCCTACTTAAAGCTGCAGGTTTAAAAAAAATATTCAATTCAAATCTTAGTCTTCTATTAAAATTAAATCTTGTTTTAAAATTTAAAATTTACTTAATGAAACTTAACACTCTAAAACTTTGTTATGAACAATAGAAAAATCTTAGGTATTCCAAATAGTAATAGTATTATTTTATCCAGTTGCAGCAAGGAATTTATCATCATGAGAAAAACTTAAATTAGTAACACCTTCTCTCATTCCCTTAAAAACCTAAATTGCTTTTTTTCTGTTATAGTCCCAAAGAATGATCTAATTAATAATATTTATTTTAGTTTAAAATACAACTCTCTTTTCAATATCTAAAAGGTATGTAAATTTTTAAAATATCTTCTTACAGGTGCCTCTCTTGTTTATGTAAATTTTGAACCAATTTAACCTGATGCGATATAGTTACCTGTTAATTTTTTTATAATTAATTTTGTAACTTATTTTAAATGAACCAATTTAATATCAATCAATATTCAGAACAACTTGATTAATGTTTATTCATTTACAGTATTTAATATCAAATATATATTTATTTATTTACCAGAAGGTGAAACTGCTAAAGAAGAGATAGGCATATCATGTCCCCTTAAAAATTGCTAATCATGCTTATCTTCAGAGTTTTCTATGACAACTAATCCACCTACAGAATATATTATTTTTTTTTGATCCAATGGGTGATAAAAACAAGTGTTTGAATTTTTTCCGTTAAATCCAATCAAATGATCAAGTTCTAAAACATCAGGAACTTATTATTGCTAATCACTTTAAAATGTTCTACTCATCCCTTAAATATATGAATACTTTATGGTCTCTTCTAAAAAATCCTAAAAATCGAAGTATTAATGCTCTTAAAATTAGTAATTAATTAATTTTTTTAATTTTTTAAATTATCGTATCTATTGACAATTAATGAATCAACTTGAATAAAACTATTATTTCTTAAATTCTGAAAATCTCTACAGAAAACAATCAAACAAGCAATCAAATAAATAAACAAATATTTTAAAAACTAAGATGAATTCAATAAATATTATTAATTTAATTTTATTACCACAACAAAGATAATTTAACAATAATTAAGTAAAATGATTGATATAAAAATTAAATTTATTTTTATACTATTTTAGATTGTTTAAAGAATATGTAAGTTAAAATAGTCATCCTAAAACAAATTTAAGAACAATTAGTAAGTGATATAATATTTATTATTAATTATCTAAATTAACAAATATTTTTTTATTAAATGTCTTACTATTAATAGTTTCTGCACTTCTATTTTCATTTTCATTATTATTTGGTTTTGTTAATTGTTTTCTCAAATAATTATACTACTAACACTTAATTTACTTATTTATGTTCTATACTATACTATATCAAATATTCTTTCTTTTTAATTTAATTAATTAAATATAAATAGTTTTAAAGTATGAGGATATTAAAATTTTCAGTATTTTTGGTGGGTTTATCTGTAACTTACTTACAGATAGCTTTGGCATAAAATGAAGAAATTGCTTAAAAGGCACAATTAAATAATTAAAATAAATTGTAAACTGCTGACTCTTAACAAAATGAAATGAATCAGTAGCTAAACAATGAAGATCAATTTGATCATAATTAATATGAAAATTAAGTTGAAGAAGGAGAAAATGAAGTTTAAGATATTGATGGAGAATAGGACGTAGAACATCACTAAAAGTATACATCAGATGATCCAGAATTTTATACTTTTATCATCATCGCTACAGGTAAATAATATTTGTATTCTCTCTTTGCTTCATTTTATTACAATTTCATAATTAAAAAAATTGAGCCAAAATACTTAAAATATAGTTTTAGTAGCTTTTGCTGGTATTTGTTCTGGCTTAACAGTAGGCTATCTAGGTATTACCAATCTTTAATTAGATATAATCTTAAGAAATGGTACTTCATAAGAAAAAGAAGCAGTAAAATATTTATATTTTAAAATCTATTATAAATGAATGCATAAATTAATATCAAATTATTTGTATTTAGCGATTTTTATTTTATAATCTAAAATATAGGCTAAAAAGATTAAACCTTTAATTAAAGATCACCATTTACTATTATCAACACTGCTTCTATCTAACTCTATAGCTATGGAAGCCCTACCTATTTTCTTAGATGCTGTTTGTCCAGCTTGGCTTGCTGTGTTAATCTCTACAGTAGCTGTTGTAATTGTAGGCGAAATCATTCCATAAGCTTATTGTACAGGAAAATACCAATTGAGAATAGGGCAATTTTTTGCTCCTCTTACTACAGTGCTTATGAAAGTTTTATATTGCTTTACTAAGCCTGTTGCAATAGTACTTGATAAATTACTTGGTGTTCATGACAATAGTAGGCTCGAAAATAAAGAAGATATAGTTGGATTGGTGGAGCTTTAGTAAATAGATAATAATAACAAACATAACTCAAATTTAGATTCACAAGTAATGTTTATATCTATTAAATTTATACTAATTCATATTAAAAAATTACTACAGAAAGGGTTGACTGATGATGAAATAAAGTTAGTTACAAGCACTATGCAATTACGTGAGAAAAATGTTACAAAACATATGCAACCTTATGCAAAAATATTTAAGTTACCTGAAAATTAATTAGTAAACTAGAAGCTTTTAAATTAAATAGCAAGAAGAGGTTATTCAAATATAGTTGTTCATGAAGTTGACAACGAAAGTAAAGTAATAGGTAAATTTTATTAATTTAAATATTATGTTTTAATCCGTAAATAAATTTACATATAGGTATATTGAAAGCAAAATAATTAATAGATTATGTTGATACTGATATAAACTCTCCTATTAATGAAATTGTTAAGCTTTAAGAACCTATTTTAATTTCAGAATAGACAAATTTATTAGAACTTATGATGATTTTTTAGAATAAAAAATCAACTGTAGCTCTTGTTTTTGAAACTAAAAATGTTAAGAAAAGCGAAAATATATTAGACAATTTAGAAGATCCATAGGTAAAATCTCATTTTTTAGTTTACATTTTTATTAATTTTGCAAATTAATTAAAAGCTTGAAGAGAGATTAGGAAATCGTAAAAATTTTAAAGGTTTTATTTTAGGATTAATCAGCTTAAAGGATATCTTTGAAGTAATGATCAATCAAAGTTTATTAGATGAAGATAAACATGAAAGCGACCCTCTGAATTAGGTAATAAATTCCACTTAAAATTTCAATAATTTTATTAAAAATATATATAAAGGTTATTAGAACTCTTGGACAAACTGGTGCTGCTGCAAGAAGAAGAAGAATAACATCAAATCAATTTGCTTCTATAAGAAAAAAATATTGAAAACTTTTTTAACTTAATCTTAGAAATATTTAAATTATAGAGATATTTAATAATTTTATGTATCTCCTCAAGATACTTCATTTATTATTAAATTTTTTAACAAATTTAAACTGTAGTATTTAATTTAATTCTTTGAAAGAATGTAATTAATTTGATTGTTAATGAATGACTATTTGTTGAAATTCTAAGAAATATATTTATTATTATTGTTTGTTTAAAGAATTTTGTGAACTTTAAATAAAAAATTTGTTTAAGAAAAGTAAATTTATAATGAAGAATTAAATATTGATAAAGACTTTTTTAATAAATTGTGTCTTTTTATCAATTTATGCATTTTAATTTTTTTCATTTAATATTAAATTTTTCTTAGAAAATATAATAAATATTTTATTTAGTAGTTTGTAATTCCAACATTTTTAAAAGTTAATCTTTTAGGATATCTATCTATCTAGCAAATACAAAAAAAAATAATTATGAAAAAAATGAGTTACAAAATAAAATGTATCTTTTAAATATTAACGGACAACTAATTTGCAAAAATAAGATATACCTATAGTATAATATTCAAAAAACATTCAAAATAAATTAAATATTATAAAAAATTTGATACTATCTATCTTTCCTTTCTGTCAATTGTTTCTTTATTTATTTGAAAATTAATAATAAATTAATAGTAAAGTGATTTATCAATATTTAAACATCAAAACATATTCAAAACTTCTTAGCAGACAATGTTTTGGATAGCCTTGATTATTAGCAAGCACATATTTAAAATATTGTTTAGAAATTATAAGAAAATCAAAACTCTTAAATTAACAACTAGTATCAATCGATTCATTATTTGATTCAAAAATACATTAGAAGCTATCAAAGTAAATAAAAGAAAATCTAAACAAAAATTAGAAAAAATCAAGCAAGCAAATAAATAAATAAATTATTTCAAAAGAACACAACAAAAATAGCGAACAAAAGATATCATCACATTAGATAGACTCTCTTTAAGTCCATTTAGCAACCTAATACTGTTTGAAAATTTCATTAAAAAACAAACACCTAATTAAACAAAAATAAATAAAACATTTGAAGAAACATGTTGCAAAGAGCACTTCAATCATCAAATTCTTTGAATACAAAGGCTCAATCAATGTTGAGTTAAAATAGATCTCCTCGTAGCAATTCTCGTAAAAAAACTCCTGTTAATCACAATAGCTCAGTTGTTTCTAGTTTTAGTTAAGCTGCTGCATTAAAGTCCTCCTCCTTTTTTGCATAATACGACTCAAGGACTAACAATTACAGTTCTTCTCAAATTTAACAAACGAGTATTCCTGCTAGTGAAAATGTTTCTGTTTCAAATTATAACTCAGGTGTCGCTTATACTTCAGTAGGTTCTACAGTTTCACAGCAATTAAGCCAAGCTAATCAATAATATAGCCCAACTAATGGTGCAGCTGGTAATAATTTTAAGCTTTATTGCAAAAAGCATGAAAAGGGAATAGAAAAAATCTGCACAAAAACGGGGTGCGAATAGCAAGTCCTTCTTTGCTCTGATTGCTACTTTGATAGCTAGTAGCATATAGGTCTTCATAAAGAACATATGTTTAACTATGATGATTTCATTTAAGTTTGCAAATCATTTTCTCTTCAACATAAAGACGATTTCTCTAATGGAAACAGATAGTTATCATCTCTTCTTGCTAAGCTTGATCGCCAGGTTCTTAAATATCGCAATCATGTTAAAAAGGAAGAGGAAAAAATAGATGCTGATTTTGACGCACTCATCGCTGAATTCACAAGAGACATGGAAGAGGTTAAGCTTAAGTTAAAAGCTCAACTAAACTAGTAATTTGAAAAATTCTAAGAAATGTCTAAATCTCTTAAGATCAAGGCTCAAGATCTCCAACAAGAAAAGGAATCTAACCTTGACATTAAGAATGACTTTGATGATTTCCTCAAAAATGTCAAAGATATAACTGTTTAAAAGAATTAATCATATAACTTTAAGAAGCTTGTTTAAAATATACAACCACTCTTGAATCGTTACAAAGAATAAATACAAAAGTAAATACAAAATTAAAACCAGAACTGCGGCAACCTTGTTTTAAATACAGAATAGTCTGAAACTCTTTCTTGCTTTACAGGCATGACTGGCTACAGTTATCTCACACTCAATCTCGCTTAACAACCTCATTTGGCTCCTATAAAAGATCTCTTTGCTGACTTCAAAGAATTATCTTCAAACAAACCTTAGTATAAGAACAAAGGAGAAGGCTAAAAGCTATACAGAGATGCCTACTCAGATATCAAGAGAATATATCATGACCTCTCTGATTCTATCAATCTTTTCCTTCAAGTGCCAAAGCCTAAGCTTGCTTTGGACTTTAACAAAGAGACTTTAGAAGCCTTAACAATCGAGGAGAAGCCAGAAATCGAAGCATTGTAATTTATAGAAAAAAGTGATAATGTTGCTCTTTAAGAAGACTAGGTAGTCTCAAAAGTAGAATTTATCAAAAGTGTAATTTACATTTTTAAGTTAGTTTCATTTGTATTCTTAATAATTTCAACCAACACTCCTTAATTCATAAATTTAAATTATCAGAGGAAAGAAATTTAATCTTAGTGCTTAACCGAAAAATTTTTCTTAATAAAATTAAAAGAGCAAATAATTTAAACGGTATAAAAGAAAATATTCAAATTTGTTAAATTGTAATAAATTGTAATCTTTCCAAATTGGATCTATTTAAGTCGAGTAAAAACGCACTATTTTTCTGAGAGACGAACTATTGATCTATCTAATAAAATTAATAAAAATCTCTAAAATATAATAAGAAATAAAGCAAACTAATTTATTACAAATTTTAAATGAAAATATTTGAATTTTAATGAATATCAAAAGTCAAAATTGATACTAATTTATTTATTTTAATTTTATTTATATAAAATCAATAAGAATTATTTATTTATTTTTTTATTGAAAATAATATTTTAACATTAAAGGTGAATACAAATCATAAATCTGGAGTTTTTTCATTAGTTTTGATAGATGATGATACCTATTTAACAGGATCTTATGATAGGACAGTTAGAGTTTTCGGATTGAAAGACCATCGCTTCATAAAAGAAGTGAAATTTACTTGCGATATAACTACTTTATCAACTTTAAAAAGACCAGATGGGTCAATCATGGTTCTAGTAGGATTATTTGGAGGTTTTGCTATTCTAAACTAGAATTTCGATATAATGAAAACGTTTGAAGGGGAACATGATGCTAGTATAAACTGTATTTTAGGATTGAAGGATTGCGAAACTGTTATCACAGCATCAAGCGATCCAAAAATAGTTGTATGGAATGCCTTTAATAGTGAAATACTAAATAGAAAATACTTTGATCACAAAGATACTATTTATGCACTTGAACTTTTCCCATGTGGCAAGTATCTTGCTTCAGGTGGAAGAGATAGAACAATTAAAATATGGCGTTTATAATATTACAAGGAGAACTTTAGAAATGGAGCTCTCGAAAAAATGATCCTAGATACCAACATCCCTGAAGCTCATACCACTGATGTCACCTCTTTGAAAGCATCAAAAACTTGTAAAGACATCTTATTCTCAGGATCTGCAAATGGAGATATTAAAATATGGGAATTGTAAGATTCTACTTGTATTAAAACCATTAAAAATAGCAGTGGATGGATTTATAAATTTATTATTTTCGAACGTCCTCAAAATCCTGAAAATGATAAATTATAAGATAATTAAGAAAATATCATCTCTCACTACGCTTCTCCAAGTAAAGTTAAAATAGGTGGAATTTCGAATTACTCATCAATTAAAAAAGGTAGCAATACTACAATAAATTCAATCAACAGTAACCCTTTAAGCAACAATCTGAACTTTACTTCAGCATACAACTCTACCAAATCCAGAATGGTTTCTCCTTAAAAATACGCAAGTATTACATCTTGTGGAACAGCTCCTTCTAACATGGTAAGTCCTAACTCTACATTGAACAAGTAGAAAAAGTAAAAGAACAAGAAATATCTAGACTAAATGAAGAAAGTATAACTTTTAACTGCATCCTTTGATGGAACTCTAAAATTATGGGATGCTACCTCAGACGTCCCTATTGATACTCAAAAATCAAAACACAACTTTGACTGCTTCCCATTTGGTGCTGTCACTGCTTTCAAAAGAGATGATGAAACAAAAATTCACATTTTCACAACTGGAAACAAAAATGACTCTATGATTAATATTTGGAACATTAATTGATCTTGGAAAATTAAAAAAGTATTATTCCTCTTATTTATCATTTAAAATTGAAAAAAATAAAAAAACCACAACAAATATAATTAAAATGAAATATAATTCAAAAAACTTCATCAAATAAGTGCATCTTAATTTAAAATAAATTTATTAATTATAAATAATCTAAGTATATAATTTACAAATACATACACATATGTTCAACCAACCAAAACCATTTCAGATTTCTATTTATAAATAAATGCTATACTTTATAAATATTATCCTTTTTTTTTAATTTTATTTACATAAATAAATCAATAAATTAATTATTTCTAGTTTATTTTTAAATATTTTATTTTTATTTTGAAGTAAATTCATATTTAGTTTATTTTATTAAATAAAAAATTATATAAATAATTCTTCTTATTTTTATCATTCAAAAAATATTTCTGAATTATTCTTAATTAATTTACTATTAATTTATTCAATCTTAAATATATTTTTAAAAATAAATTTAACTAACCATTTAAGCATTACTATTATTTAAAACAAATTTAAAAATAAAATAATTAGTCTAATCTTAATAATATTCCAAGATAATTAAATTAAAATAATATATATTTTTTTATAAATTTCCTTAGCTTAAAATGGTCAATAAAGATAGATATGAATATACAAATTCAAATATAAGAGTTACTCAGAATAAAATATTTGTATTAGTTTGAGAAATTAATTAATTTATTTTTTATTTTTGTGCTGCTATCTAAACATTATTTTTAATAATTATACAATATTATTTTTGATTTAAATAAAAGCAATTTTTTTTTAAATTAACAAATAATTAAAAAAGAAAAGAAATATCTTCATATTTTAATTCTATTAATACATATTTACTGTTTTTTATATTTATACTATAGAAATTGATATCAATTCATTATTATATACTCTTTTTTCTTCTTCATTATTCACTTTTCTTAACGAAATTCCATGTTTCAAAGGAACATTTTTTGATATCTTTGGATTCTTTATCAAAAATTCTAAAAGAATTGATAGATTTATAATTATTTTCTGTAAAAACTGGGGTGTAACTTTAAGGACCTAGATTATTTAAATAATCCTAAAAGTTATCAAAACTAGAAAGATTTAATGCTCCTCCTTTTACAACAGAACTAATAAAATGCATGAGTGTATCAAAGGGTTTATGGACAGTCATTACATTATTTGTAGCTATGTATTGCTAATAAATTCTGATAACTTCTTCTTTAGTATATTCTTGATTGGTGGTAAAAATGAATTGTACATCAAATTAGGAACCAATTTATACCTATGTTAAAACACTTTCTCCTATACTACTAAAAACCCAATACCAGTTTTTGTTATCAACTGCGTACGAATTATCACATTTATTAGGTTCAGGGATTTCATTTTGTATAAATGTCATGTTTGCCTAAAGTTATGAATTTGTTTCAAGCTAAAAAGCTATTCTTTAAAATGTATGATTAAGCTAAATAGCATATTTAGCACCATCTCCAGAAAAGGGTTATATATCAACTTCAAAATTATTGGAGTCTTCTATATTAAGCTATTTAACATCTGTAAAATCAGGAACTATTAAACCATTCAAAAAATCATAGGTTTTCTATTAGTCGCAGCACAAGTAAATTAGATTTTTTTTGGGATTATTTTTAAATGTAATTCCATGTTAATCTGATCGAAAACCTAAAACAGCTCCAAGAATTACTTAATCAATCTAATTTAAACAAGGTTTTTAACATTATTCTAAATTATGTATATTACTTTAAATTTCTTTTCTTAGATTAATTTAGCCTAAGCAGAAGCAAATAAGAGCTAAAAAAATTACTAGTCTCATTCTCATTATTATTATTATTTTATTAATAATATTTTTAATTTATTATTTTCAATTTATTTTACCCTCTTTTTTATATGTATTGTTATGTATATTAAACAAATTTATTTTTGATCACTAATCATCTAACTGATCATAAAAAAAATACAAAAAAAAATATTTGATAAATATATTTATTTCCTTGAATAGTTAGTTATCTTCAAACAAGTGTATTAATTTTTTTTAGTACATTAAATCAAATTAAATTTAACCAAAAATAACAATCATTATTTTTTTAATACTATTTTATAGGAACATTTATATTAATACCTTTGTTGATTTTATTATTAAAAAATTTTATTAATTTTTGAAATTCTAAAGTTATTTAATTTTATAAATCTTTATTTATATTCTTCTTCTATTATCTTTTTATTTTATTACTAATTTTTCCTTGTAAATTTTCTAAATTTTTGATTAATAATAGTAAGAATATATGACAAATGTATCTAAGAATATTCTTATTCAATTTTTAAAGAGCTATCTGAGTAAGAATAAAAAAATAATTGAAACGTATTAGTAAAAAATATAATTGTGTTTCCAGATTAAAAAGATTATCTATAAACATTTAACAAGATCAAATAAATATTAATTCAAATAGTTTTCTAAAAAAACAAAAAATGTTATATTTTTAATAATTAATAGATGCTATTATTTTCTTAGAATTTTCAGTATTATTTCCAAGCTAAAATATTCTTATATTTTATTCATAAATTAAATCAAGTATGAAATAGGTTTTGATTTGATAAAGTGTCTAATTTAAAAAGAGGATACTTGCTTGGATTTATAAAAATGAAAAAAAAAATATAAATTTTATTTAATATATATTAATTTTAAAAAACTTTAAGATAACAAATGAATATCAAAGAGTAAAATAGATAATTGTTTTCAAATAAATATCAACAAAAGGGCTAATGTTTAGTATTTATCCATGATTATAAAATTATAAGACCGATCCTATGTTGTCATGGCTGCAACTATCGTTACAGATTAGATACTGAGTAAAAACAAGAAAAATAAAAAAGATAACAAAAAATGGAGTTGAAATATAAGCTTTAAAAATATAATATGTACAAATAAGATTTAATCTGATAAAATTAAATAAATAATTTTAACATTTTGCTATACATTTAAGTCTACAAAAAATTTATGTTTGCAAAATAAATATTTCTTAATACATAAGATAAAACATAATCATTATAAAAAACGCTAAAAAATTCATAATTTTTAATATAAATAATTTACTTATTTACTTATTATGATATTTATATGTAAATCCAAAATATATTTTAAGATTTTGAACAAATAAATTATTTATTTTAAACTTTTATTGATAGTAATTTTTTAATTAATTTTTAATAAATTTCATAAATTTAATAAAATAAATATGTTAATAAATTTTAAAGATTTTTATGCAATTTAATTTTTAGAATAACAATTAATCATTTATGCATCTTAAAATTAAAAAATTTTAAATTATCTTCTTGCTATAGTCTATTAATGTAATTACAAAATTAATTACTTATTTAATTTAAATATTTAATAATAGCTAGTTATTTCATCTAGTATCATTAATTGTTATAAAAATTTTAGGATTCTCTTATTTATTTTATGTTTTTCAATTATTTTAGAATTAGTTTAATAATAAACAAAAAATATTTTTAATTTATTATGATATATTTTTCGTGAAGTAAACTTCAAATTAATTGAAAGATTTTATAATTGAAGCTTATTAGAAACATATTAAAATACAAAAATTAATAAAATATTTTATTTACCTACATTTTAAATTGTTAGTTAGAAAGATCGCTTTCTAAAATAAAAATTATGAAAGTGTATGTTATTAAATTAATAATTTGTTAGTGTTTTTGGTAAATTAAATGTATTTTTCGATAAGAAATACTAATCAGAAAATTTTTGATCAAAAAAGATCATTTCAAATTAAATAGTAGATGCAATAATAATTTTTGGAAGCACATGTTAAAATTAAAATATTTATATAACTAACTATTAAATTAGGCAAAAAGTAGCATAAAATATTTAAAATATAAAATTGATTTAACTTAAAAATTCACATTTTTCTTGGCTTAAAAAGCTGAATTATTTTTTTTGACAAGCCTATTTTTATTATTAGAAAATTTTTAATTTAATTTATGAATATATAAATAAGAATTAAAAAGATGATTTTTTGTATGATAAAGTGTCTAATCTAAAAAGTGGATACTAAATTAAATTTATCTACTAAAAAAAAAATATGTTTTTTTAATTGTAACCTGAACTATAGATTGATCAAAAATAAGCATCCTCAAACATTCGTCTCGTACCTTCCCAGCGAGGAATTACAGTAATTGTTTTTAAAAAAAATTCTATTTAGGCTTAAAATCCTTAAAAATTATTTATTTACAAAATATTTTGCAAAAAAAATAATTTATTTTTATTAAAAAAACAAAAGATAAATAAATAAATTTATGGTTTTAAATAATACAAATCTTTTTATTTTAAATAAATGAGAAATTTTTTTATCATTTTTAAAAGAAATGTATTTTCAAATTAAGTTTGTCAGACTTTTTTCAATTAAATTAAATTTATTAATTAATTTAGACTTTTTACTTAAATACAAGCATTTTCCATAAGTTTTCATAATTAATTTTTGCAGAATAAATTTAATAATAAAAAACAAACACACAAAATGATAGAAAAAGCAATATTTAACAATTTAGAAGATGTAAATTACTTTTTTGATCTAGAATTAATTATATATCTCAAAAAAAAGTTTATAGGATCTTCTTTATGTTCTCACTAAAATCTAGTATTAGATGTAGTGAAAAAGTAATTCAATATTTTAAATTTTATCAACATTTTAATTAAATTTTCAATAATATAAATTAATAAAATATAATTTCAAATCTATTTTTTCAAGCTTTAAATAAATACTTTATTTTAAAAGTTTATCTTTTATTGAAGAATTGTCATTTACATCAAGCATTAATTCTATTTTTATAAAAAGTTTATTTGTTTATTTATTCCATTAAAAAATAAGTTATAGATATAGAAGAATAAGTGATGAAGATTATTTTAAGAATTTAATCAATGCTTTATAAAAATGCACTAATCTTACTGCTTTAGATCTTAATGTAGCGTAAATAACATATTGTTTACTTCAGTTCAATTTATTAGTTTTTTTTATTTTTACTTACTTTATTTAATATATAAAAATCAAATTATGATGAATATCCTTAAAAAGATATTTATAACATTTATTCATTATTAATCGAAAATTAATTTGTTTAATAATTATTTCAATTTAATTAATTAATAAAAAGCTAAAATGAAATTGGCTATGAAAGTGCATCTATACTAGGTTTTTCTTTATCAAATTGTACTAAAATCTCAAATTTGGTCATTAAAATTAAGTAAATTATTTTTACATTTACTCTCATTAATTCCAATTTATTTTAAATTAAGTTTTTACTTAGATTAAAAAACTTTAAATTTAATTTTTTGAAAGAATTGTTTGCATTTGTAAACTTAAACATTCATTCAGAAAATAATTATAATAAATATTTATAAATAGCTCTAACTATATTAGTGATGAAGGAGTATATGGTCTATGTGTTGGTTTAGTAAATTACTCAAACCTTTCTACACTTGAAATGAACTTGGAGTAAGATTTTAAGTCCTATATAAATGAAATAATCTTTAAAAAAATAAAAGTTTGTTCTTTTTTATACTAAAAAAACAACACAAATAATTATTATAAGTTCACATAGCTTTTTTTAAAATAAATAAAGAAAAAATTCAATAGGAGATTACGGTTTTTCAAATTTCTGCTCAATTTTAGAAAATTGCTGTAATATATAATCTCTGAATCTTAATCTTGGGTAAAATTAAAAATAAATTTCTATTTTTTTAAAAGAAATATTAATAATTTATCTTTTTTTTTCAATTTAGATTTTATTTTGAAATAGTAAAATTTTCTTGTTGGATGCTTTAATAAAATTTTATAATATGAATTAATATTTTTTTGATCATTTCTTATGTTTCTTACGAGAACTTGTTATTTTTACTTATTAAAAGGTTTAATAGAATCAGAGATAAACTAGGATCTAGCTTAGAAGCTGCTTTCAGAAATATGACAAAATTATAATCCTTAGATCTTAACTTAAAGTAAAAATATATTCTTTAATTAAAAATACCTGCATTGATAATAAATTTGCTATCTAAATTATTTACACTTTACAATAAATAATTTTTTTCCTTAGATTATTATTTTTTATAGTTAGCATAAGGGATTTAGTTTACTTTGATCTTTTGTTAATTTCTATTATTTTATTTTATTTTATTTCATATTAAATTAAATTATAATCTATAAATATTTTATCTATATACGAAAAGCGGAAACTATTTTGAAAAGATAGGATCAGAAATGGGTGCTATATTATCTAACTGTGTTAATCTTCTTAATTTAAATCTCGACTTTTAGTAAATATTTAATGAAAAAATTGAAATTTATTATTAAATTACTAAAAAGGTCTCATAACCTTAGTGTAGAAGGCTCAGAAAAATTTTATATAGAACTAGCAAAATGTACAAATATCTCTTCTTTAAAATTTAGGTTAGAGTAAATAATATTTTACCTTTTTTTAAAAAAATTCATAGTTTAATCTAATTTTTTAATGTTTTATAACTAACTAACAAGTAAGTTAAAATATTATTTATGTTCTATTAAAATTATAATAGTAATTACTTTTTATAATTTATTTATTCTATCTAATTTATTAAATAATTAACATTATAAATTAAAAGATCAAATAAAATAGGAACTTCGGGTGCTTCTATGCTGGCATTTGCTTTTCAGAAATAGACTAACCTTTAGAGTTTAACATTAATTTTAGAGTAAAATTATTTATTTATTTTAGATTATCTTTTTACTAGAAGATATGTTCTAAAATTTTGAAATTTTTGTTCAAAAAATTTATCTAAAATAAATATTTAAATATCCTTATAAAAACCAAAAATTATAAAATTTTTAAATATTAATTAGTAATAATAATATTCAAACTCAAGGCATATTAGATATAATCTTCGCTTTAGCTAATCACAATAAACTAACAAAATTTAATTTTAGCGCCTGGTAAAATAATATAATTCATTTTTTTTTGTTTAATTATTTGCATTTGATACTTTACAAATAGATATATTATTATCTAATCCAATAAAACATTTGAAAAATTGCTTGTCATTGAAATTTTTTAATTAATTGATAACTAGATTATTTAAATTTTATTTCATTTATTAATTCGTTTAAAATAAGATATTTATTTATTTTTAAAATTAAAGTGAAAACAAGCTTAATGGTGATGAGAGATCTTTTAATTTAAGTTAAAATTTAGTTAATTCTGTAAATCTTTAAGAATTAAGCCTTAATTTATAGTAAATTTGATTTTTATTTATTAAAATCTTTTACAACTAACTATATGATTTTTTTATATTTTTTTTAATTTTATTTCTAAAATAAATATATGTCTGTATGTTGATTTCAATTTAAGATTAAAATGAATTATTTTTTTTATCTTAATAAAAATAAACTTCTAATAAGCTTTTTGTTACTTTTTAAAACTTAAAAAGAAATAATAAAATTGGAGATGAAAGTGCATCTGCCTTAATTTTTGCTTTAACAAATGTTTTTAATCTCAATAACCTGAAAGAATTGTATCTTAATATGAGGTAAATTAATAAATATTATGACATAATTTGATTAGTTTAATGAAAAATAAAAGTTAAAATTACAGCATCATATATTTACTTATTTTTATTAATTTTATTAACATTTTCTTTGTTTCAATAAGTAATTTACAAATATTATTAAATAGCTATAATTAAATAGATTAAAAAGGTGCTTCTGCTTTAGGGCTTCTTTTTTCATAGTGCATAAATATTTAAAATCCCTAAATTTAATTAAAGTAAAAATTTATTAATGTATGTTTTTATTTTAAAATTAAATTAAAAATTATTCCTAATAATTATTAGTTATTTTTTAACTTTTTTTAAGTTCTAATTATATAAGTGATGAGGGTATACTAGATTTAAGCACAGGTTTAAAGAATTGCACTAAAATTTAATCTTTGATTTTAGGACTTGAGTAAAAAAATAATTTATTTTATTCAATAAAAAAATTATTTTTTAGCAAGAATTTTGATCCTTAAATTTAATTTTTTTAAAAGTTCAAATAGGATTGGTAGTTATGGAGCTATTCTTTTAGATTCTGCTATAGGAAACTTTATAGAACTTTAAAATTTAGATTTTGGCTTAAGGTAAAAAAATATGAATAACTTTTAAAAATATAAAATCAATCAATCAATTTTAATTTCTAATTAATCCATTTTTCTTTAAAAAATATTTATTATTCATATGATTTATATGTTAATAGTTTTAATTAGATCGGTAAGGAACCATTAAATGGATTTGGTTCTGGTTTAGGAAGGTGTAAATATTTATCTGATTGCAATCTTTACCTTAGGTAAAAAAATTTACTTATAAATTTTAAACTTAGTTTATTTAAAAAAGCAAAAGTCAGGTTTGACTTATTCTATTTTACATTTTTTATAAGTTTTATTTTATAATTTAATTCATAAAGTTGAAAATATATAATATTTACCTCTATTTCTTGACTGAGTATAAATTAATTTAATTTTTAAAAATCTATATTTTTTAAAAATCTTAACAATATTTCAGAAATATTTTAATAGAATTTAAATTTTATTTAATCATTTAATTTAATTTAATTTTATTTCAAAAATATAAATATATAAAAGTAACAATATCATTAGCGAAAGTGAAAGTGCGATTGAAGTTATGGCCTGTATTTTAGCAAATTGCTCTAATTTACCAAATTTACCAAATTTAACTCTAGAACTGGAGTATACAAGCTTACTTTTTTTTCAATTAATCTTTATAATGTTATCAAAAAGTTTATCACAATATATTAATTTATTACTTTTAAAAAATTTTAATCCTTTCTTTTTATCTTAATATTTTTTTACTAATTTTATTTTTTTCAATATAAAATTTATATTTAAAGAAAAATATTTAATTTTAATTCAATTAGTTCTTAACAATTAATAAAATTACTAAATATTTTTGATAACTTAATTTTATACACAAAGTTGCAATAATATAGATTAAGATAATGAATAAACTGGGGATACTCTGTCTAAATTAACAGATTTCTAGAATCTATCTACTTCTGAGATCTTCCTTGATCTTAGGTTAAAAATAGTTTTAATAATTTTTATATTGATCATTTCAAAATATAATCATTTTTCACAATGATCATTAATTTTTTAACTTAATTATTTGTTAAAAAATCAATATTAATTGCATTAAAAGAAAAAAATTATTTTATTTTTAAATTTTTTGAGATATTGTTTTCTCGTTTTCTTTTTTTATCCAATTAACTAATATATTGTTAACTAATTAAAGTAATAATAAGATTGGTTATATGTTTGCTGAAGCTTTAGGTTCGATTTTAGCGAAATGTGTCAACTTGTTAACTTTGAATATCTGCCTAGAGTAATAAAATCCATATTTATTTCTTAAAATTTTGTTTAATAAAATTTATATTACTATTTACTTAATATAATTCATTCATTATAAATAATTACCTTTTATTATTTAAGTAAAAATTTAAGTATGAAGTTAAATTTCTAATAATTTAAAACTACTTTTTAAAATAATAATATTAAATAAAATTGAAATCAAAAAATATTATTTAAATTTAGTTATAATTAGCTTCATGAATTGGGTGCTTCGCGCTTAGGCTATTCTTTGGCATAATGTACTAATCTTTTAGATCTGAATTTATCATTATAGTAAGAAATTAAAGTTTTAATTTTATTTTATAATCAATAATATATTTAAAATCTTAAAATTACTTATTTAAATACTCATTTTCCACAATTTGTTGATAATATTTAAAAGCGAGAATAGAATTTAAGATTAAGGTGCATAAGGATTAGCTTTCGGTATATCATAGTGTCCTAAACTCAAATTATTGTCTCTGAAACTTTCGTAAATTTTTATATTTTAATTTTTTTAAATTATTTGAATTTAAATAAATGGATGGATATAGCTTTGATATAGTCAAATAATAAACGCATTAACTATTTCATCATTATTAATTAAAATATTTTTCTGCAAAATATTTTCAAAGGAAAAACAAAATCAAAACGAATGGTGTTTTATAATTAGGCAGAGGTTTATCAAAATGCTAACATCTTTAATATGTTTACCTCAAACTTACGTATAAATAAATTATTTTATAATCAATTTTATTTTTAAATTTAATTTTTCTATTTAAGGTAAAATAAAATTGGTGACAATGCAAAAGAAATTTTGAGTGAAAAACTAATTAAATCAAAGAGGATGGTTCATTTTGATTTCTGGTTGTGGGAATGATTGTATTTGAAGTAAACAAATTTTAATACATAAATAGTTAAAAATCCTAAAAAAGTTAATAAATATTTTTTTATAGCAAATGTTGATTGTATGAACTGTATTTAAATAAATAGATTTTCCTAATTTAAATTTATTTGAAATATAAATCCCCTTCTTTACTTTTATCAGAAATGTGATAAATATTAAATAAAAATATTTCTTAAATAAATAAATGTCATCAATTATTTTTTATTTAAAATTATTAATTAAAATAGATTTTATTCAAAACTGTTAAATGAAATTCTCTCTACTTTGTAAATTATTCTAAAAGTAAAAGTTTATTTAATTGAATAAAATAAATAATGATATGAATTATGCCAATATTTAATTAATTGTTAATCGTAATCAAAAACTATTCTAATGTTGGCCAATTATAAATTTACTGTTTTTGAGATAATAATTAATTTAATCAAAATTTGGACATTTCTAAAAATTAAACATGCTTTTTTAGTGTTTAAAGCAATTTAATTAATAAGTTTATCATTATTTTTTTAAATTATTTGATATGTATCAATTTTTAATAAACAATAATACAATCAAAGGCAAACAAGATACAAATCAAAATTAATAAAATAATTTTTATTTCTTTTATATTGAAAATTTTTCTACTCAGTATTGAGTAAGTTCAATTAGTAGTGTTGTTGCAACTATATTTATCTAATTCAGTTCTTAAAAATATAATTTATTCTGCCAGTTACATATTTTCCTGTACTTTCTCATTTAAGAAGAAATTTAATTGTTAAGCTTAGTTTTCTACCTAAAATTTTTCCTCTCTTAAGTTAGCATTTTCATTTTTAAGATAATCTAATTCTTCTTTATCAATCTAATTTTATTTTTTTTAAGTAAAATTAATAATTTATTTTATAATTTAATAACTTGAATAAGCTTTGAAAAAAATAATCTAATTATTTACTTGTGAATGACTTAACGAATTGAGAGCAGTTAAATGTTTTATATGAGCTTCTTATTGAAATATTTTATCTTATAGCATATCAATTTACATTTTATGATTTTCTATTTCGAATCTATGATTTTATTAAGAATTTTCTGATAGTTTTTAAAGGTATTTATTGTCTTCTTAAAGTGATTGGATTATTAATTTATCTTACTCTTTTTCTTTTAACAAAATATCTATTTATTATCTCAACTCATCCTCTTCAAATAAATTTAGTTTTTTAATTTCGATCGTATTACTACCCTATGATTATGGACATTAATTCACTGGTGTTAAAGAGCGAGTAAATCCTCTATCACTCTTAGACTTCCTTGTATTATAAGGTGAAGCACTTAAAAGAATAGTTGAGTTTTAATTACAGCTTTTAAGCAAGGATATAGAAGAGACTGTTAAATTATTATTATTACTTATTTTATGTAAAGATTTATTTAAGATAGAATCATTAAGTAAGTCTGTTTTTATGGTTATATTATTTGTTTTTTTAGGTGGCTTTTATGTGTTATTTAAAGATTTTTATTCTATTTATGAAATATTTAATTAAGATTTAGCATCACTTTTTTTCAGAGTTTTCATTTATCTTTCTTTACTTGCTTTAATGTTCTGATAAAATGAAACTATCTCATGATCTAAAATAGAATTGTCTTTCGATCTACTGAACCTAACTTTTTTATTCATATCCATAATATTAGCAGTATTAGATAAAGGTGTAGTTAAGTTTCCATCAATGGAATCATAACCAATTTTTTCACGCTCTGTGCAACCCCCACATTCTAGTGTGAATTAATTTTCTTAATAATATAAAATATTTAAATACAATTTATCAAAAAATTGATTTACTGAATGTGGCAGTTTATTCATTTTTTTCTTTTTCTAAAATACGACTGTTGTTATTTAAATTTTAGCCATTATTTTACTTAAAATCTATAAAGTCAAATGACTTGTCAGTAGTGAAGATAGTATTTCTAGATAAGGCCACTATTTCATTATATATTAATAATTAATTTGATTAAATTATTGATTATTTAAATGAATTAATTTGAATTTTAAAATAATAAAAAAAACTTTACATTGGTCTTGAGAAATGTATCTGTTGTTTGATTTTTTATGTTCAAAAGTAAATTTAATAGGTTTTTGCTAATTATTTTTATTGATAACAATTGCATTATTTATTGTATTAACATTTTCTTTATCTTCATCAGTAAAAAGTAATTCTTGAGATTAGTTTTTTTACCTTTCTTCTATTGCATCCATCTTTTTAACCAGCTCTAACTTTTATACTGTATCTATAAAATAAACATAATATATAACAAAAATATTCTACATGAAGTAAATGCTTACTAGGACTGAGAATTCCATTTAAAATAGGGTTAGAAAAGAAATTTTTCTCCAAAGAAGTATTAAATTCTAATTCATTTGCTATTAGAATTGGTGATCTTTTTTATTAGATTTATGTATCATTTTTATATGTATTTGTCCCCTAACATTTAATTAAATCTTTGGAGTTTTCAAAAGTTCTATTTAAATTAACATCAAGTAGTCCTTATGAATACTTCACCTATCTAAATTTTCGAAGTTCTTCCTTTATATTTCCACCAGGTCTCATTTCAATCTTATTCAATTAGATAAATTTGTAGGTTGAATTTTTTGATTTCAAATAATTTAATTAATGAGCTTTTACTTCAAATTTGAATATAATATTTTGGCTGAATATGATAATTTGAGCGTACGCTTATAAAGTATAGCTTTTTTCATTGATTTTTAATTTAATTTTATCAAATCAAACGGGTAGTTTTTAAATTATTGGTAAGCAAGCAATTTTGAAATATATCTTTAATATAATATTTTTTTAATTATAATCAATATAAAAAACATAATATATGTTAACTATATCAAAAAAACAATTGTAATCTTCATAATTAACCCTATTCACATAGTTAATGCCATATAATTTTACATAGTATAATCATAAATAAAAAAAAAATAATAATCGAGTAAGGAAAATTATTTTAATTGATTTTGATATTAAAATAAAAAATATTACTTTAATTTACTAAAAAGTATTTTATGGATGGATTAATAATTTTACAGATTAAATTCTATTATTATTAAATAAGGTAGTTAATTTTTATTTTAATAATTTGCAAAAATAAGAAGAAGAAAATATGAGATTAAGATATTATTTATTTACATAAAGAAAAAACTTCTAGATTATTAGATTGTTAGCAATTAAACAAATAAAAACAATTAGTTAAGGCGTATGAAGATTAATTCCAGAAGAGATGATTTATAAAACAGTAAGATAAGATATATGGAGGGAGAATAATTACTTAAATAAAAATTAATAAAATTTAATTGTGAATCCAGCGAAATTGAAGCATTATCAAACATTAATTAACATATTGATAAATAGATACATCCAATAATAGAAAGGTATATATATATATTTATGTATATTAATCAATCAATATTTTTCTTATAAGCTTAGAAAGTAATTGCAAATTTTATATAAATTTTTTGCAAATAGTTTAATTTGAAAAGATATTGTTTTTGAAAAAATAAAATATAAAAGGTTAAGTAAAAATGAGAGCAGAGCCTTATGAATTATACCTAGCATTAGGTGGAGGTTTATTGATTTCTCTTGCAACTATTTTTCACTTATATATGAAAGGTAGAATTACAGGAATGAGTGGTTTGTTAAGTGGTATTATAGGAAATGAAGGATCTAAATGGAAGATATCTTTGCTTTCAGGAATGGCAATTACATCATGCGTGTTTTGGTTAATATTTAAGTTCGACCCTGTAAATGAAGGCAAGACTTACATATTTTCACCACCTCAAGCATTAGTTTCAAGCTTAGACATTTTTGGATTCGCATTAGCCGGTTTACTTGTTGGTATTGGTACTAAACTAGGTAACGGATGTACTAGTGGTCATGGTGTCTGTGGTCTTCCTAGATTTTCTGTTCGTTCATTTGTTGCCGTTTTTTTCTTTATGGCTTTTGGATTTGGTGTTGCCTCTCTTAGACTTTATCACCCTTTCTTAGATGACTCTGATGGCTTGAATGTAGTTAGCAAAATTGACTATAATGTTTTAGTCCCAATCATGTTAGCTGCTCTTTGCATTTTCTTTGTAGGATATGTTTTCTATCTTTACCGCTAGTATGAATATGTTGATATCTCTGAAATAGTTGTTTCCTTTATAACTGGAGTCATTTTTGCTTCTGGTTTAGTAGTCTCAGGAATGATTAAAAGAGAAAAAGTTCTTGGTTTCCTAGCTATTGGAGAAAACTGGGACCCTTCTTTAGCTATTGTGATGGCTGCAGCAGCAATACCTAATGCCCTTGCCTTCCACTTTATCTTATAATAAGAGAAACCAGTTTATTCTCAAGTCTTTGAAGTTCCCTAAAATAATAAAATTGATTTAAAGCTTATAGCAGGTGCAATTCTTTTTGGTATTGGATGGGGATTGGGTGGCATATGCCCTGGACCTTCTTATGTTTTAGCTCCTATCTTCACCCCTCATATTTCTATAATTTTTGTTCTTTCTCTTTTAATGGGATACTTCTTAGTTACCAAAGTCTAAGAAAAGTAAAATTCTGACAACTAACCAGAATCATCAGTTGTTTAATAATCTAATTATTAATATTAAAGCTAGTTTGAATATACATCTTCTTCTAAGAGAAAGTGATCAACAAAGATTCTATCTAAAAATCATTTAAAAGTTGTCAATACATTTTTTAGAAAATCAATAAATTAAGATAACCTTAAAAGAAAACAGATAATTGAATTTAAATGTATTCCAAATGAAAGAGTAATTAATATTTTCATTTTTATTTTATGTTTTCCTTCGTAAATAAATGCATTTTTAGTTAAAATTAGAGTAATCAAAGCACTATCTTATCAAACAATTTTGGCTAAAAAATAAATTAATTTCTTCTTTTAATTTATATTAATTGTAAGGTTTAAGCTTTCGTTTGAATTTAAAATTTATATAGAAAAGTTACTTGTTTATGATTTGAAGCAAATTAAAACATTTTTAGCTTTTTACCTTTAAAATAATATTTAAAGATTTTAAGGTTTTTATTCAAAAACTAAATAATACTTTTTATATTTATTAAATTAATCATCAAAAAATAATTATTTAAAATATGATTAAAAAAAAAAATAATTTAACTTAATTTTTAATTTTTCAAGCTTATTTAAACATTTTTTAAATTCAATTTTATTTTGTAAAAATTTTTAATACTTATTTTAAGAAAAAAATGACTAGACTTGAATTTAATAATGAGGATTTAGATTATGTAACCTTATGCGTATTGATAAAAAACTGCAAATTAAAATGTTTCAATAATTTTTTTGGAACTAAAAATATTCTAATCTTAAGTGTTTTTTATGTCTTGTATTATATTTAATTTGACAATTTATTTTACAATATTTTTTTTCATAACTGATTAAATAATTTATCAAAAAAATTTTTTTGGAAAAATAAAGATTTGATAAAAATCGAAAATAAATCTATTTTAAAATATCAAATTTATTACATCTTTTTAAATTAAATTTTAAGAAGAAATTTAAAATAATTTACTTTAAAGCAAACTTTTTTTTGAGATATACTTTTTAAAGTATATTAATAGTAAAATATTCGATATTTTATTTCTTTATAGTTAAGGTATTTATGATTTATATAGTAAATAAATTAATTTTTAATCTTAATTATAAATTAAAATAAATTGATTATAAAAAAATATAATAACTTGATTATGGTTAAAAATAAACAAATGATGCAAAAACTAAATAAATATATTCATATTGAAATAATTTAATGTTTCACCATTCTCTTCATCTTCAAAGCTTTTTTTGAAATAATTTAACCTTCAATATAGCTAATCTTATTATCACTTTTAATATTAAAGTAGTTATAAATTTGTTGAAAAAAACTTTTTTATATTTTTACTAAATATTTTAAATTAGAATTATAAAGCTAAAATTATGATTAAAAGTATTTAAATTATATTTTTACCCTAATGTGAGTATTAAATAAGTGATCCGTACTAAACTTTTTAAAGAGGCACTTATTAACTACACTCCTTTATTGTCAATTTAATTCGAACTTTTTATTTTATATTATTTAGTTTATTATTTTACATAAATCAAAATATATTTTAATATGAAATTATTTAATTTACTAAAGATAAAGCTATAAAATTAAGAGTTTTGGGGATTTTCCTAAAGCCTAAATTAAATCTGAAGCACCCTATGATCCAATATAATTTTATCTTTTTAAATTAACAATTAAAATAAAAATGGTTTAATGAATTAAAATATCATAATAAAAGCTATTCTTTTTATTAAATTAACAAAAATAAATATCTAATTTACCCTAAAGACATTGTCAAAGATGAAAGTTTAGGGCATTCAGCTATATTTGAGCAAAGACTTAAAGCACCTTACGAACTTATTTAGTTTTAGCTTTAAATGAAATATGGTTATTTTTTTTATTATAAAAATACTAAACGAAAAAATTAATTTCATAATATTTTAGCAATCTTATTTTAAATTAATTATAAATTAAATTACTAAAGGAATAAAGTTAAATAAGACAGCTTAGGGATATTTTTTAAAACAGAACCTATGTTTTATACTCCTTCGTCACCAATATTGTTATTTCTTTACAAATATATTAAGTTTTTTCATTTTACAAAGCTCATTTAATTATTACCCTAAATTTAGTGATAAAATTTTAAGGTTTATGCAATTAACTAGAGGCGAGCATAAACCAAAAGCGCCCTATTTTTCGATTTCGTTTCGGCTTAAATTTTAAATAAGTAAATTAAAATTTTATAATTTATAGAAAAATCGAATCCTGTTTACATGAATTTAAATTAATTGTTTCAATAATCTAAAATCTTTATGATTAAAATTATTGATAGTAGATAAAAAAAAAAAACTAAAATTAATAAAATATAAATACACTAAATTTAAAGCTAAATCTGTAAGGTTAGTGCACTTTTCTAAGCAAGTACCAAGGTTTTTTGCTCCTAATATACCTATTTTGTTGAATCTATTAAATTTAAATTATATTAAAATTATTTAATTAGAGAAATAAACTTATTTCTTTAATATATGAGAGAAAATAAGATATATTTTTTTAATAAAAGCTTCAAAATAAATGAGCTAAATTGATTAATGAGAAAAATATTTATTTTAAATATTTTTAAAAATAGAATGTCTTTCTTACTAGAGATTCAATTTAAAAATTGAGAGACTCTTATAATTTTCGAAAAAAGATCCTAGTGCTGAAACTCCTAAACATGTAATTTTGTTTTCTCTTTTTCATTAAGATTATTAATTAATTTAATCATAAATGCTAAAAATTTTTTTTAAATAGTTATTTATTACTGACTAACTTTTATAAATGATAATAAATAATTCATAAAATTACTAAATATTGAGCGTTAAATTAGATAAATTCTTGATGTTAGTTAAAGAAGATCCTATTAATGAAGCACCTTCATCACAAGTATCATTTTCACTATTAATGTAAATATATTTTTAATTTGTTTCAAAAAAATAAATAAATAAATAAAACTTATTTTAATAAAAAATATGTATATAAAAATAATATCTTTATCATCTCTTTATATTTTAAAACTAAAAATAACAAATATTAAAAAATATAAATAAATAAAGTACAAAAGCAAGAGAGTTAATGTTGAGAGATGAGGACATTTTGCTAGAGAAGAACATATGTTTTTTAAATCTTTTGAATCCAAGTGATTATTTCTACAATTAAATAATATTTATAAGTTAAAAAATCAAAATGATAAAAATATTTAAATGTAAATGAATCATTCGAAAATTTAGTTTAAATACTATAATTTTCAAACATATCCAACAAATTATTTTTACTAGAGATCAAGTTTTAAAGATTAAAGGTTGATACAATTTGACAAAGCATCACTAAATTTTTAAACATCTAATTTGAATTTATTTTTACTTTTAAAAAAAAAATATATTAACTTTGTTAAAATTAAATATTTCTTAAAAGAATAATAATCTTATAAAATATTAAATAAATAAATAACTTATATATAGATTTGCAAAAACATCAATACTCCTAAATTTAAAATAATAAAATTATAAATTATTTTAATTATAAAATTTTTTAATATAAGGGGGAAGTAAATATTTTGCAAATTACTATATAAGAATAATTATTAAATTTTATAGCAGTAAAATAAGAATTTTATACCTTAGATCAACAAAAACATTTAAATGAGACTATAAAGGAGAGCTTTCTAACTTTTGTTTAAATATTTAAAATATAATTCAGAAATGATCATCAAAATTATTAATTACTATTGAAATATCATTAAAGTATTTAATCTATTAATTCATTTTTTTTTTCCTTTTTATTTTATTATCTAGGTAAGTTATTTTGTATTATAAATTAGTTCTCTAATTAATATAAAGTTGAGTAAAGTAATTGATTAGTTAAGACTTAAAAACTAGAGAGCATTAATATTTTTGATAGTTCTAAAAAAGTTTGATAAAATATATATTTTATCTTTAAAAAGAAATTATTTTAACCTTTTACATATTTTTAGCTTTATTTTAAAATTGTTTATCGACATTTTAAACTAATTGATTAAATATTCATTTTATATTGAAATGGTTACAATTAATATTTTAAACTATCTTTGAATACCTAAATATTGTATATATTAACTTAACTAACTATATTTATTAATGGATATTTATTTAATTAAAATCTATGGTAAAAATAATAACTACTAATTTCTTTTTAACCATATCTATTATTTAAACAGATTTTATAACAAAATAGCAACAAATCAGCAGGAAATTTAATTTTTGTAAATTTAAAGATAAAAAATATATGCTAATTTGTTAGAGTTTATATAAAGAAAGGTAAATTAAATAACAAGGTTTGACAGAAAGGGTATTCAAAAAATTAACAAACAAAGCAGATGGATTATAATCCACCTTTACACAATGCAGTTATTTTAAAAGAAGCTGAGGAAAAGCGCTTGGATGAACTTTTTAATTAATTTGCCAAATAAGATTAGTATGGCCATTTATTGAAGTTTTCTGAGCTTTTTCAACTCGCTTTAGATAGAAATATTATAGGGACAAAAGTTTCATTTTCAGTTTTATATGACCTGTTTTTAGATTGTGTAGATGAAAACTAACAACAATAGCAAGAAGAAGAAAACCAATAAAATATTAAAAAGCCTGGCGCCAACAAGCCCTAAGATAAGAATTAACATAAGAACTAAGAAATTGGGATAAACAAGGCATAGTTCAACTTCTTACTTTTTTAATTATCTCGTATAATGTACCCTACTGAAAGAAGTCATTTTGAGAGGATGTTTTAAGAAATTCTATCAGAAAAAACAGTTGTTAATAAAGGTAGTATAGAAATACTTCGTTGTCCTTTATTTGATGACACAACAAAAAAACTACTTTTAGAAACTACTATTTAAGTATTATGCGAATATGAAGAAGAATTAAGAAATTGTTATGTTTCATATATTTCAGAAAACTATTTCCAACAGAAATTACTTTTAACATGGAACGAAATAGCTCTTCAAAGAAAGAAAATGACTACTTTTGCATTTTTAATGTTTTTGAAAGAAAGTCATGTTATTCCTAATGTTTTGAGTGTTGAAAATGTTAATGATAGCATGATGAAAATAATACCAGCAGTTAGCGGAAAGGAAATTGAATTTTATCACAAGCATTATGTGGTATAAATATATGAAAAGCAAATTCCAGAAGGTAAATTCTACTGTTTAAATACAATTAAGAATTTTAAAATAATTTATTTGACCAAATATTGAATTTACAAAAATTTGAAACTATTTTATAAAAATTAATTAAAAAATTTAATAGGAGTTGAGAAACCTGTTGAGCACGATCCTAGATTAGAATTCCATGAATTTTAGTTGTGCTTAGCCAGAATAGCTTACGAAATGCATCCTAAAGATTAAGAAAAGAATATGAAGGTTATTATGGAAAAGTTTTTTGGAGATATAATTGGAATACGTAAAAATGATAGAATAGGATTAGATAACTTCCCTAGTATAAATAAGAAGCTATATAAAAAGCTAGATAACTATTACAGAGATATTGAAATAGAAGAGAGAGGAGTAAGCTTTTTGTTTTTTAATCTGGATTTTTAACATTTTAAAGATTATATTTGTTTTAGATCATATTAAGATACATTAAAAAAAGTTCATTTGCAAGTTAAAATTTAAAAATAATAAATAAGTTGATTGTTTTATTTTTTGAAAAACACTAGAAATTATTCAAAATATTTGAAAATTATAAGATTTTATTAAATTTAATTTATTTTTATTATTTGAAGTATAATGGAGAACAAGATGAAGGTTCTGATAGTGACTTAGAAGATCCTATGCAAATGTTAGCTAAAATGTAAGAACAATAAATATTTTAGGCTGATCTTAAAGAAGTTGATATGCATGATATTTATACTACCCTTAACAAAGATCTCCCCCCATTACCTGATATTCCGAAGGTAGAATAGGAAAACCCACCTCCTTACAAAAAAGACCCTCTTGATAAAAAAAAAGATTTAAGAGTCGTCATAGGTAAAAAGTTTAAATAATAAAATATTTTTGAGTTTTAAATTGATTTGAATTATAAAAAAAGGTTAACCTGTGCCTAAACCTCCTCCAGAAAAAGCAAAACCTAAGCCAAAGCCTCCTAAAAAGAAATAACTTAAAAAGGGAGAAAAGCCTCCTAGAAAAATTATTTGGGCAGGTATGCCACCTCCTCCTCCTTCAAGGACAGCTGATTTGTTATAAAAGCACTATGAAAAGCTTGAATATGGAGAGCAACTATTATCTGATTTGAATAAAGGAGTTCTTAGCGATATTGATGTAATACCTGTTGTAATCGATGAAATTATTTACCCTCCTGAGTTACCTCCAAAAATTAGAACTCTAATTGAAGCAGCAATCAATTCACATAATTAATAAAACTATCTTTTCGCTCTTCAAAACTTTGATAAAGCCAGAGTAACAAATAAATAAAAATATCATTTTTGTTTTATAAACTTGATTATAATTTATTATTTAGGAAGAATGGATTTAAATTGAAGAAAAAGATTTACCTGATTAAATTAATATGTTCTTTGACTACAGCAAAGCTGCAGTTTATTCTTCTGCAGGTAGAGATGATTATGCTTTACATTATTTGATGATTTGCAAGTAATTAGGAGATCGTCTTCCATACTCAAATCCTGACAGAGCTCTTGCATATAGTGGATTAGGAGCTACTTTGTATAATTGCGAAGAATATGAATTTGCTTTAAGATGCTTTTTAAAATGCAGAGAAGTAAGAGAAAATTTGTATGGAATAGAACACACAGATACTGCTTGTACATTTAATAATCTTGGATGTGCAATGTTCATGCTAGAGAGAAATCATGAAGCTTTAGCTTACTTCAAGTTAGCAGAAGCTGTTTTTGAAGCTGAGTTAGGACCATTCCATAATAGGACATCCACAGCAGCTAGAAATATTAAAAAGTGTGAAAAAGGACAATTTATGAATGTTCCATAATATAGAACTTTATGGGAGACTTATGAAAATGACCCATATCCCAAAAAGGGAAAGAAGAAGAAAGGCAAGAAGAAAAAAAAATGATTAATTAAAATAAAAGTGTAAATAAAGTAAACTAAACTTGCAACTGTTATATATGTATGTATATATTATTAAATCATAATAATCTAACATAGGATTTGATGAGATTAAAATATATTTTGAAGATAACTATTTCACTTAAATTAATAGAAAATATATCCTAAAATTTTAATTTTCATTCATTATGATTTACAGTAAATTTTAAATAAACTTATTATTTTTTAAAAGAAATAGATCAATCATTTATTGAAATTATTTTTATAACTATTACAATCTTTTTGTATTTTTGTATATTATTTTTTAATGAGAAGATGCTAAAAAATAAATAAAAAAACTAAATTTTCTAAATATTTTTTTAAAAACTTACTTTAATTATCCAAAAAGATTCAAATAATATTTTAGTCCTTTGGGATAATGTGTAACTTTTATCTTTAATTGAGGGTTTATAAATACTTGATAGAAAATATAATATAGGAAAATAAAAAATTATTACAATTTTTTTAATAACTTCAAATTTCTTTAAAAATTGTTAAAATTAATATCAAAAATTTTATTCAAACAAACAAATCCTCATAATTATTTGTTTTCAAAACAAAAATTACTTCATAAAAAATATAGCTCTTATGTTTAAATATTTATTTACAAAAATGTATTGTTAGTTGAATATCTCTCTTTGTATTTTTTATTTTTCTTACTTGCTTTTATTATTTTATTTGGGTTGGTTTATCTTACTTTCTCTTTATTTTATTTTATTTTATATTTAATTTAATTTATTTTGTTTATTTTTTTATTTTAAATTTTATTTTTATCAAATTTTTTTGGTTTTTCTAATTACTTTTAATTAAAATTTTTTCCTCTCTGTCTTTTTATTGAAATTAAAAATTTTTTTCTGATCTTAATTTTCTTTTCTTTTTCATTCTTTTTTTTGTCTCTCTTCGTCTTCTTCTCGATTTGTTTTCCTAAGGGAATAAGGAATTTTTTTTTAAATAGAAAGAGAGGATTACTTTTGGCTTTAGTTCTCTTGTCAAAAATTTAGAGTTTTCTTTAGTTTTAGTAAATTTTTTGCGATAGCGGTCCGATTGAGTTTTACCTCATTAACATAAGCACTGAAGATTTAAAAAACTTATTCCAAAAAAACTTATGCTATCATGAATTTACCAAAACAATCAAGAATTCATGCTCTAAATTTATACTTGACATTTTTTTAAACTTATAAGCTCTTACAAAGTATCCAGAAGACTCATCGCTAAAACCCTCATCCAAATCATTTTTAATTATCAGACAATAATTCTATTTCTAAGTTCTAATGTAAAAAATATCTGCTGGAAGTCGATAAGCAACAAATTTATCATTTGAGAAATGACAAATCGTTTGTATTAAAAACTAATATGATTAGAAATAGTTTATCTGTTGATATTAAAATGGAAATGGAGACATGAAGAATTAAATCTTCTGTTTTCTTTTTTGAAAAAGAAAAAATTAAATTAATTTGAATTGAAAGAATTATAAATAAATTACTGAAATTCAAAATAAATAAAATGTTGTTATATTGAAAAAGCTAATATTGAATAATTGTCTCCCCAAAAAAATTAATATCTTTAAAAACTTTTTATTTAAATTAAAAGTCTTTGAGAATATAATTAAAAACCAGCCAAAATAATATTAATTTATATCTTAGAATTATGTTAAAGTGAATACATAATAATAAAATTAAAATAGAAAATGTAATAGAAATTAATTTATTGTCTCTTTTTGATAACTATAAAATATTTAAAAATGAAAGTAAAATAGATACATTTAATAATATCTATCTATCAATCAATCTTAAATAAATAAATAAGTTTTTATATTACATTAAAAAAGAGGAATAGCAAATAAAAATAAACATTTGGGAAAAGTGGTGATATAAAATAAGGCTAATAAGCAAATGAAAAGTAATAGATTTGAATAAAAGAAATTAACAAAGATAATACAATAAAAATTAAATAAAAAATAAATCTGATTATAAAGGAAAGCTTGGGCTCGCTATATAAGAGGAAAAGTGAGGTCTGGAGCAATATTTTTTAGACTAGCTTTTTAAAACAAATTTATAACAAATGTTATAAATTTGTTTTAAAAAGCTAGTCTAAAAAATATTGCTCCAGACCTCACTTTTCCTCTTATATCTCGCTTACCTTTGTCGCAACAATCTTTCATTTATTTATTTACATATATACATATAAAAAATAAGCTTGGTATAGAAGCAAATGGTTATGTTAGGAAATAAATTATTTGATTGATAAGAGAAAAAGAAAGAAAAAATATTTACGAATAAACAATCAAACAAAAATTGCATTGAAATTCATCATTTAATTAAAAAAATCAATGAAAATTAATTATAAAGGATAAAAACGAAAAGAAATTTATACAATAAAAGAAAAGCAAATTAAGGAAAGAACAAATGAAAAAGACATTGGTTTTACTATTATTAGTCACTCGTAATTACAATATTATGAATCATTTATAATTCAATAAGTCTATAAAAGCAACTGTAAAGTTATTCGTTTATTCATGGGAAGTTTGAAAATAAAAATCTAGTTATTCTTAGCAGATCCTTAGAAAAATATTTTAAAAAGAGTTGAATAGATTTGCGTATATTACAAAAATGTAGTTGAATGGTTTTTCCAAAGGCCCAATAAAAATTCAATCAATAAATAGGAAAAAACGAAATAGGCAGCATATTGATTTAAAATAAAACAAAAATTTATTAGGCTAACATTTGTATTACACAATACTTTCCAGAATGGACAATATCTTTGAAGTTGACTTTTTTGACAAGATATAAATAATCACTTTCACTCATTAACTTAATTTGATTCACATTATTTTAAAAATAATTTATTTAGTTGTTCTTAGCAAACAATTTGATTCCTACACTCTCACCAACAAAGCTTCCACTTCAAGTTAAGGTGCTGAATTAGATACTTAAGATTTAGTTGATGTCTTAAAGCACAATTTCGGTTCATTGATTTCCAAGCCTTCTGAAAAAGCTTTGAACTTTATTAAGGAAGCTGGTAAGACTGCTGCAACTATTTTCAACCCTGTTAGAGCTAATTTCCTCATCCTTATCAATGGAAATATGGATAAGAAATTTAAGGAAATGATTGTTGGCAGCTCAACCATTAAGGCTACTTTGAACTTAGAAAATACTGGATCCAACCATCTCTTTGATCAAATCTTCAACACAGGTAAAGCTGAAATAAAATATAAATTTTGACATTAATTAATATTTCTCAAGCAAGCAAAATATTATGTATAATTAATATCAGATGCAAAAATAAAATATCATTAGATTTATTGATCATAAAATTAACTATCATTCAAAAACAAACTTTGTAGCTAATTCATATTAATTAATTGCAAATATATCTTTCTTAATAGATGGATCATCCTGCAATTTGAACATATAAATCTAAATAAAAATCTATTTTAAATGTTAGCAAATAAATAAATAATTTATTTTTATATTATACAGAAAGCACTGAATCTTTGATTAACTCAGTTTACAGTTTCTCTGAAGAATAAATTAAAAAGGAATTCTATATCTTCTCTCAAGATAAGAGCTTCAGCAACTACTTTGAAAACTTCGGTGTTTCTGTCACTGTTGATGAAAGTGTAAGAGAAAATTTTTATTTTTTATAATAAACTTTGAGTATATAAAACTCATAGCTTATATGGGCATTTGTTTTTAAGTAAAAGCTAAATAAATATTAAAATACCTAAAGCTATTCAACATTGAAACAATTAAAGCATGCATATTTAAAAATAAAAATTCTAAAAGTTAATGATTTTAATTTTGTTATATTGATAGGGAAATGTCCATATCGAAGATAAGTAAGTTAACGAAGTACACAAAGCAGAAAGATTCCAAAAGTGCGTCAATATGGCCGTTAGCGGAAAATTCAGATACGATGCTACTCAAAATGTTATTTAGAATTTATCTACTTAACAAAAAATTAACATTGACTCTTCTAATGCTGAAGAAATGAAATATTTCCTTACTGAATTATGCGGTATGACTTTAGTATCTTCTTCATTCAAGAAGGATAATGCTTCTTTCTTGGCTATCGAAGTTACCTCTTTGCCCAAGCTTTAAAAGGTTCTTTCCCAAGAAAACTATATTATTGCTTAAGAAATCCTTACTGAATCCTTAAAGAAAGTAAAAATAAACTATTTTAACGAGCATTGAGTAATTTTACTTTTAAAAACTAGGTTATTGGTCACTATTAATTAGTTCATTAGAATAATTACTTCGGTCAAGTTATCTTTGCTGAAGAAGAATAAGATAAAACTTTTTTAGTTTCTTAAGAATCTAAGAAGATGAAGGTTAGAGTCCTTAAATAAGTAAAGCTCACTGTAAATAAATTATCCCTTTAATTTTATAGTAAGTATTTTAATTTTTATAATAGGAACAATAACAATATTAAGCCAATCTTTATACCTTGAGATCTTGGTTTGGAATTTTCTTTGTTTTATCTGTTGCTTTCATTTTAATTGCCATATTCAACGTTGAAATTACAAAGGACTCTCTTTTGTATGCCAAGTTTATTGCTGAAGAACGTAGATGATACTAATCTTTCTATTCAATATAAGTTTATCAACTACTATTAATCCTTTACAAAAATAAATATTTCTAATTTATTTTGTTTATCATTTTTTATTTTTATTTGTAAGGTTTTTTGAATCTTTACACAATCCTCTTAATTTTTTAGCATTTTAAAATTATTCAGCATCATTATCATTTAATTTATCTTTAAAATTGTGTTTTTACATATGTTGAAAAATAAATACAATTATCAATTTATTTGTTTTTAAAATGTTAAATTCATATTTATTGACGAAATAAATTATTAAAAAGTTAATTAAACATAAAAACAAAAAAAATTATTTATTTTGTATTAAATTAATTATAAACTTTTAATTATTTTGAAAATATAATGAAATTACAAAAAATTGTTTTAATTTAGAGATTTTGAAGTTGTTTATTATAAAAATTTTAAAAGAAATTGTCTTTCAATATAATAATAAATGCTATTAATTTCTACTTCAAATAAAAATTTCCAGGTGATCCTACAATAACTCACTTTTCTCTTTATTTATTTGTATGTTTGTTTGTTTACTTTTTTTTCTATAAATATTTTATTAGCACACTAAGAATAAAAATTAGTAGAAAAACTGTGAAAGTTAAGATTAATAATTTTTAAAATTAATTAGTTAGTCAATATTATAAAATAGATGAATAAATTAACTAAATATTATAAATATTTCTCTTAGTTAGTTATAAATTTATTTATTCTAAAAAATCCCTTTTTATTAATGAATTAGCTAAATTTTTAAATTTAAAAAACCTAATAATAAGAAATTTGATAATAAAAAAAACATTTTTTTGTTTGATAATAAAATATAAATCTCTTTGATTTCACAAACAAACTGAACAATAAAATAGTTATTTTTAATCAGCTTTAAAATATATATTTAAATATTTTATTAAAAAATCATTCTATTTTTCAAATCCAGTTAAATAGCTTTCCGAACTTAAGATATCTTAAACTAATTTCCATGACATAGTTTGTGACAGCTATGATTGAGAAAACAGTTACCAACTCATTGTTAGCTTCTTCAGGAACTCCTTCGAACTTTAATTCAAAGTATTCTGATAATTCTGGGAAAAGATTCATTGAAAAAATGAAGGAACCAGCTAAACATGCAATTAATATTTTAAAGAACTTTGTGTGTTTAGAAAATCCTTCCATATGAGGTTCACCTCCATTGTTGAAAAGGAAAATGCAAGTTTAAGATAACAAGCTGAATAAGAAAATTGTAGTGTTTAGGAATGTTGGCTTAAACTCTTAATCGTGAGTAATTGCAAGATCTTCCTTTGTTGAGTATTTCAAACCAATATCAACACACTTAGAATTTCCATATAAGTGCAAGGCTACCTATCCAATTACAGAAAGGAAGAAGTAAGGCTCGAAAATTGTGCTAACAGGTTTAACGGGAGATATTTGTTTTAAAGGCTTAGAATTTGAAAATTAATAAAAGGCTATAGCTGAGGTTATACCAAGAATAGTTTATTAAGTTTCTGAGAATTTAAGAGCTTCTAAGTTAAGAACAGAGAGATTGTAAGCAGAAAGGAGTGAATTAAGGGCTAAAATCTTATAAGTTTAAATTGTTGTTACAAGAGTGCAAATACCTTAACGAAGTAAAATAATAACACATCTGATAGAATTTGAATGCTTGTTAGTAAAAGGAGCAGCAATACAAGCATCGCCAACTTTGTACTCTATCGAATCTCCAAACATGCTTTAGTTTTTCTTTTTCTCTTACTCTTCTTTCATATATTACATCATTTTTTTGTAATCTGTTTTATTAAAATTTAGTTAAATTATAATAAATAATTGAAGGAAAATTGGAAATATTCATAATATTATTAATTTATTTATCTATTTTTATATTAAATCAAAAATGAAAATTTTCAAATTATCAAAAAATATTTCCTTATCTAAAAATAAATAAATTAAAATAATTTTAATTTTAGAAAAATAAATAAATATTCATTCGATAAATTTAATTTCAGAAACTTTTGAATAGTCTTGAAAGTAAATATTCGATAAATTGAATTTAAAAAACTTTTAAATAGTCTTCAAAGTAAGTAAATAAAATTAATGCTAAGGATAGGTAAAATTTTATTAAAATAAATCGAGGATATATTTCATTTTTTTAGTCTGTCATAGAAAGTTATTAAATAAATTTTAATAATTTTTGAAGAAAAAAAAAATATTTTATTTAAAATTACCTCTTTTAATTTCTTCTTGGATCTTTTTCTTTCTTTCTTTTTCTTATCTACGTTCTTAAGGGTTATCTTCTTTGATACCAACAAGAGCAATACCTAAATCAGCCTTTTTAAGAGCTCCTACATCATTTGTACCATCACCACACATTAAGCAATGCTCACCTGCTTATCTCAATGTGAATATGATATGTTCTTTCTGAGCTGGAGAAGTACGAGCATAAATTTAAACATGCTTGTAAATAATTTTTTGAAGGTCTAGAGGAGTTTTTCTTATCATCACATCAATAGTAGGTCCTATTAAGCAAAGAGTATACTTCTGGCATATGTCTTTAAGTTCTTAAAGAGTAATATTAGCTTTTTTTTCTTTTTCTTCAGAATCAATCCAAACAAAATTTTAACCATCTTTGGTTTCTAAAACGAGATAATCATGAGGACCAAAATCAAGCTTATTGCTAACTGCAACAGCTGTCAAAATATTATCACCTGTAATCATTAAAAGCTAGTATTTAGCTTGTTACAAGATAGTAATGTACTGTTTGGTATCAAATTTTAGAGGTGAGTCACAAATAAAAAGACCAGCAAATGTAAGATTTTTTTCAATATCTTATCTTTCAACATCGTTTAAGTTCATATCAGGATTTAACTTTCCATATGCTAAACTAAGTACTCTGTAGCCAAGCTTGGAATAGTACTTGTATGCCTTAACATAGTTTGGTGGAACTTCTGTTAAAAGCTATTCAATAGTTTCTGGAGCACCTTTACATAAAACTCTATATTCTTTGCTTGCACCTTCACCTTCCCAGTGGACAACAGTAGACATTCTTTTTAAATCACTCTTGAAAGGGAACATGTTAATAATTCTGCATTCAGCTCCTTTCTTTTTTGCTATTTTTGTTCCAGAATTATAGGTCCATTCGCTTTCTTCAAAGAATAATGTTTCAATAGGGTCACCTAATTATTAATTAAAATTAAAGTAATTATTTCAATTTCAAAAGTTGAATATAATCTAAAATTTTCTTTTTATCAAAATAAAGATTTTGCAAAAGTTAAATTTATATTTAATATTGTTTGTTTTTATTATAAGTTTTGTAAGATGGATTTATACCTTAAAGTTTTTTATCAGTTTGTAAAAGGGAGTGACAACCAGCAAGAACACATTAAGCTTGAATGTTTACATCAGATTTACCTTTGAGAGTCTTAAAATCTTGAGTGTTATCAACAATACCTTTAAACTTCAATGTATCACTTGTAAGAGTACCAGTCTTGTCAAAAGCGCACATGGTAATTTTACCTCCAAATGGAATTCTATATGGTTCAGTACAGAAAATTTTCTTTCTTTGAAGATATAAAAGTGAGCTGTTAACTGCGATAGTTAGAATCATAGGAAGTTCAGGAGGAACTACAGTGGTAATAATAAGTATACAACGAATGAAAAGCTTATTTTTGCTTCTTTCTTAATCTTCCAATCCATGAATTAAAACGTAAGCTGAAGAAATAATAGAGAAGATCAAGAGTACAAAGATTAAAGCAAAAGCGTCTTTCTACTTAATTTAAACATTTTCATTATTGAAAATGACAGTACGAATGAGTTTGCCTTTTGATGTATCAAAACCTGTTCTAAGAACGTAAGCTAAACAAGATTATTTATCTGGTCTATTTCTAATACTTTCAGGATATCTATCACTTGGGAAAGTTTAAATAACTTCTGTACCACAAAATAGAACTGAGTTTTTGTGTTTATTCTTTAAATCTAGGATTTCATCACCATGTACCTTAGTATTTAAATTTAACAAAAATAAAAAAATTAAATTTTAAATCAAAAATATAAAAATAAATTCATTCAATTTTTTATTTTAAATTATTTAAAATTTAATTTCTCCTGAATTTCAAAATATTAAACATGCTGTTTGCTATTTACCTTTTCTATGGAGTCCTTGATTTAAGGTACAGACTCACCAGTAAGTACTGACTCGTTAACAACACATGTACCAGAGAGAATAAGCATATCACATGGAAGATATTTAAAAGTATTTGCATTCGAGCTTTCAGTTACGAATAACTTTTAAGGGAATAAATGAGCATATGGAATTTGCTACTTTAAGTATTCTTCATCTGAAATTTAGTTTGTAGTTTCAGCTGCTTTTATGCTTTCTGCAGTTTGAATTTGAACAATATCTCCAGGCATAAGTTCTTCAGAGCTTATTTTAACCCACTTTTTATCTCTTAATACATTAATGTATTGAGGTTATAACTTCATTTAACGAAGCATCATCATAGTTCTCATACGTTGAATAACAACAGTAAAGGCACTCATAAATAGCATAAATAATGTTAATAATGAGTAAAATCTGTTTTCATCCATAAGCCATAAGGAAACACTGAAAATCTAAAAGAATGAGAAAGGTCTTTTGTAAATTAAAAATAAAAAGTAAGTTAATATTTTTATGAGTCTTTTATTAGCTTCAAACTTAAGCGCTTTATATTTTTATAACTAAAATTTAGTTGATTAAATAAATATTAAATGTTGCCCTCAAACGATAAAGTAAGTATTATTGTTTAAGACACAATATTTTTGTTAAGCTTTTAAGTTTTTATTAAATCATTTTATTGAATTAATTCAAATTACTCCATAATTTAATCCTTGAAAACATCTGCAAATTTTCTGATAGGAATTTCAAGAGAATTTAAATCAAAATTAGTTGTATCTTGCTTGACTTCAAGGCTTTAGAAATCCTTGATTTTAAGATCTTTGAGGCAAGGTTTTAGGCGATAAAATTCTCTTTTTTCATTATTAAATATGTATTTTTTTTCAGTAAAATGAATGAAAAAGATGTCATTATCAGTATCATATTTCAAAGGAACTATCTCATAGACAGTACGAACAGATTTCTTTTCAAAATGGACAAAAACAAAAGTTGCGTTATTTAAGGCATCATCAGATTTGTCTTTACCAAAAGATGAAAAACATATTTTAGCCTTCATTCTCTAAGACCAATGTCCTAATAAGTAAGCTATACAATTTAAAAATGCTGATACTATAACCGCTAATCTAGGGTAAACATCATCCTCTTCAGAAGACTCGTACCACCAATACAAAACTGCTGAGTGTATGAATATGAATGGAAACACATCATACCTAAAAAGCTTTTTCTTTTCTTTTAAAAGAGTAAAATCTATTGAAGTTGATTTTACCATCTTAGAAACTTATTAATTAATTATGTTTTCTTATTCCTTTTATTTATTTAAATGAATACACCTTTTATTTTTGATAAAGAATTAATTATTTGTATCTAATTTAATTTTTTAACTTATTTAACAATTTATTTTATTCTTTTCTTTTTAATTCTTCCTGTTTTCTTTTTATACATTAATTAAATCTTAAATTCGCGTAAAATACAAAGTAAATTCATATTTATTATCATATATATTTATTTTAATTTATTAAACGTGTTGAATTTCTACTTTCTACTTGCTTTATATCATACATATCTCAATAAACTATACAATCATTTAATCAAAAAAAAATAAAAATTAAAATTGATTTTTTTAAAAAGAATATCTAATAATAATAGGAAAATCAAAAGAAAAAACTTTTAAAATAATGAACAAAGTGGATATATTGGTTTAGAATATTATTCATAATTATATATTTTTATTTAATAAGCATTTTAATGTTAACAAATGCTCATCTTGAATTATTTTTTATCTTATTTTAAAAAGTTTTTTTATTATAATTTTGTTTTTAAAAAAATTAATACTTTTTGAACATTTTAGATTGACTTTCAAGTAAAATTATGAAAAAAATCTTGGTTTTTCAAAAATATAAATACTGTAGATCCTTTAATATTAAGATCTCCATAGATAGATAGGTATAAATACAAATATTTTTTTAGTTATAAAATTTTTAAAAAATAAACCTTAAAGAAAAAAGTCTTTATGTATGAGGATTTACAGTAATTATATACTTATTATTGTTTTTTAAAAATAAAACAATTTATGTATGCTTTAATCGGATTAAAGACCAAGAAAAGGGTAATTTATTAATTAAACTGATTTCCTAAATAATTAAATTTTAAAATTGATATTTGATTTAAAAGAAAAATTAATTTCAAAAAAATTAAATTTAGATTTACTATTTTCTCAAAAATAAATTTTTTAATCGAATTATTAAATAATTATATTTTATATTCGTGCATATATATAAAAAGTTGAATTTAAATATTTTTACTTAAATTTTAATTAAATTTTATTAATTTAAATATTATCATTTATCAATGTGCTAAACATTTTTATAGCTTTTATTGATTATTTAAAATATCTAATAAAGAATCTAGCCCATCATTAGTTATTTCACCATTTTACTTTTATTGTTTATTTAAAACTTTTGATAGCCAGCTAAAGCCTTCATAAATCCCTTCACCATTTAACGAACAGCATCTTTATATATGCCATTCACCTATTCCTTTAATTGTATGCATTTAAAGCTTTTCTTAGATTTCACTCACACTCATAACAGCAATATCCTATTTATTTGCTAGTATTAAAACTGGAATACCAATCATTCTTTCAATAATAATTTTTAAAGCTTACTTAACATCGTTCATTCTATTACTATCTGTAGAATCTAAAACATAAATTAATCCATGGTTAAAATAAGAATAATAATCACATAATTATCTATTTTTCTTCTAATCAGGAATATCCCAAATAATAAACTTAAGATTTTTATATTAAACAGACTTGATATTAGATATATAAGTAGGAATAATTTAAACTTATTCTTTAAGCTTTATTAAATCTAGAACTGTAGTTTTACCAGCTCCATCTAATCCTAACATTAATAATCTTCTTTCTCTTTTATTTCGATGAGAGTAGTAAGCTTTTGCTATAAATTGACCCATTTTTGATAGATTTTGTTTTTTTTCGTGTTTTTTAATTTAAATGATTGATTTTTTTATTTTATTGAATACTGTAAATATATTTAATTATTGAAATTTAACCTGACAATATTAAAAAATTGTATAATTAAATTAATAAATATTCCTATTTTTCTGACAAGGAAATAAGATTAATAAACTAAAATAAGTTTTTATTTTTTTTCATCTCATGATTTTTGTTTATTTGTCAACTTGATAAAAGTTAGGTTTTTTGTATAAATATAGAAAAGGATAATATTTTTTAATGTAAAAGGCTTAGTCTTTTTTATTCATTATTTTAATTTTAATTTAAGTTCTTTTTGTTTTTATTTATTTTATTAGCATTGAAATAATATTTTCAACTTAAACAAATAATAAGGACCATACAATGGTAAAATTTCATTCTTAGGTATTTTATGAAATTACCTTGAATAAAAAACATAAAATTAAAATTTAATAAAAATACACATAAAATTAGTTATTAATACTTTAACTTCTAAATAAGTTAAAATGATAGATACTAAATAAAATCAATATAAAATTTATAAATTGATTAATGTATCAAAATTAGAGTTAAGCATATATAATATATTTGAAATATTGATATTTAATAAAAAATTCTTAAAATAATGATATCGACCTATTTCTATTCATATTTTTTTTTATTTGTTTATGGTAAATATTATCTAAATTTTCGATTTATCGAGATTCAATTAAGTTTTTTCTTTAAAATTAAAAAAATGTGCAAAATATGAAATAGATATAAATATTTAAGATGGATGGATGGAAAATTAGTTTAAAGTATATATGAGTGTATGACTTTTTGAAGTAATTTGCTTATATATTAATAAAAGTCTCAATTTTAAATAATTTTATCATAAATTAATTTTTTAAAATAAAAATGTTCATTACTTCAGATTCAGAAGTTTTCAAGTGATTAAAGTTCATTTAAATAATTGCCCTTCTCACAATAAATATTAAACAATAATTACACTTCAATGCACTTTAATTTTTAAAAATATTTTATACTCAAATTCAAAATTTTTGTAAATTAATAAAAATATTTACAATAAAAAAATATTAAGAGCAATCAAAAAAGTTAAAAATCTTTGTTAAGCTATTTGAATAATACTTATTTTTTTAACTATTTTTTTTAAATTTATTTTTAATTAATTTAGTACGCTTGCTTTTACATCCATCCAATTGTTAGTTCACCATCAATAAAAAAACGAACAAATTAATATAAATTCTTTAATTTTAATGTTAATAAAATTTACTATTGTAATGGTTAAATTTATAGGATTGAGTTATAAATTGGTTCTAAAAATAATTATACTTTACTTAAAAACATTATCCTTTTGACAAAAAATTCATAATTTAGTTTATTAATTTATCAATAAAATAATTATTAAAAGCATAAATATCTATTTTTATATAAAAAATAAAAGAAATATTATAAATTACTTTTAAATAAAAGGTATCAAATGTTTAATTTTTAGTGCTTTTCAATATTTTTATTTCTTTTGTGATGTTATCTTAAAAGTATTTACTAATTTATTGAATCCTTCAAGTTAGAGTATATTTTATTCAAGCCCTTTTTATTCAATAGGAATAAATAATTAGTTTTTTTTTATAGATTAGATAGTTTCATACTTTCTTTAAGTATCATACTATTAAATTCATAGTTGCGAGTCTTTACTTCATTCAATACTAAAAAAAATAAAAATTTAAATATACTGTTTTTTCTTTTTAATAATTTTATTTGCAAAAGGAATTAATCAGAAACAGTCACTAATTTGATGTCCCAATTTTTTTTAAAGCTTTTAATAAAAGTAACAAAATATACTATATGAAAATTAATAAAGTAATTCATAAAATATGCATAATAATTAATTATAAAAAATAATAACAAAAAATTAACTTAAAAATAACATGATCAGCAAATTTCTAAAAAATTTTGATATTTTTGCATAACCCTTTTAATTTAATTCTGCAAAATAAAGTTAAAGAAAAAGAACTTGTATTGGAGGGTTTTTATCCATATCAATAGTCATCGTAACTCTAACTTACTTCTTTTACTTAACTTATGGATATTCTAATAATTAAATGCCACCTAAGTATAGGTCTTAAAGCTTCGTTACTAATGACAACATCAATATATCTATGCATAATGATCTGTTTGCATTTTAATTTACATAATTTTAAGGAAACCGCACCTTAGATGACTTATAAGCTCAAAAAAATAAAACTTATTTGACTTTTGTTGCCTTATTTATTGAAAAGACTTCAACCACATTTAATGTATCCTAAATAGATTTTATCTAATGCTAAAACCCTTAATTAAATGGATTTAAATGTTTAGATATGTCAAAGCTCCCTAATAAATATATTACAACTGGAAATATTAATCAAATTTATTCTGATATAACTATCTTCGTATATAGGTGCTAAGATATTGACTAATTCAAATAAACTGTTCCTGATAATTGCGCTAGCCCAGAAGAAATATCAGATTATTTAACAGACGTAAATAATATGCTAAGTCTTAAACTATACACATCTTAATATAATACAACATCCAAGTCTATTTAAACTAGTTTTAAAAACTAAAATATTTTAATATCTAAAAACCAAAAAATGCTTACAGAATTGAGAGCTCAAAAGCACACTACTACAGTTAAAGATGGCCCTTTAATTCAAAACGAATATGAGTATACTTCTCCTATATCTTTTATAGTCAATAGTCAAGTTTTAGGATCATATGTAAATGACATAAGCTAGCCATTACCATTCAACAATATAATTGAAATTATTTATAGCGTGGATGAAACAGTTTAGTATATAGGCATTCAATATCCTACTTATCCTGAAGTATTAGCTTTATGCAACAGTACTTTAGCTCTCCTTATGTGTTTAGGATTTTTTGGTAGATAGATGGCACAGTAAATCATAAAACAAGAGTTATTCATGCTAACTTTATAAAACATATATAAAGGAACATTCTAAAAAATTTTAAAAGTAAATAATTTACAAGTTTATGATGATATCATCCAATTAGAAGGTTTATCTGAAAGTTATCAAACGCAAACTTAGAACAGCGACGAGCATCAAGGATAAATATTTGTACCGTCTATTATAGCTAAGCAGCAATAATTAATATTGAGCTCAAATACAAGGATCAAATATGATGATAAATAATAAGATGAAGTAAAAGAGTCCATAATTTCTGAAATCTACAGCACTGAATAGTCTCCAAAAAGCAAAATTATTACTAACCAAAATTTTAATATAGAAAAAAGTACTGTCCAACCTTAAATTGGAAAAAAACAAAGAAAGAGGTATAGATCTCCAGAAGATAATAACAAAATATTTAAAAACAATTAAACAGATTATTAATCTATCTCAAAAGGTATTATATTATCAAATTCATAAACAAGTAAATTGCAAAATATGGAAGTTAAATCAAAACTTGATGATTTACCTAAAAAGTAAAATTTATTAGATTGTATAAATTCAAGAATTGATAATTAAAATCTATCAAAGAAAATAGAAAACAAACTATTTAATTTCAAGTAAATCTAAATATTATTTTTATATTAAAAATCAAAATAAATCTTTTTTTTCAGCAAAAATTTTTAATTTTTTTTAATAATAAAGACTGTTCAATAAAAAAAAACATTTAGAGATGAAAGGACTAAACAAAATCACTATTTAATCTATTAAAAACCAAGTAGCTAATAGCTTAGACTTTGTTAGCTTCTATAAAGATATGCTTTTGGTTAAAAAAGCTATTATGATTCTATTGAGTAATGAGTAATTAGCTGCTTTAGAACTCGTAGGTATTACGGATATGTACTTTCAAGATAATATTGATAAAAGTAATATTCTTTCTTTTAAATTTACAAAGATAATTTATTTTAAAAAAATATATTTAGATGATTACAAAAAAAATTACTTTGAAGAATAATTTGAAATTTCATAATCGGATGAATTAAAATCCAAATACATTGAAAGCTTTATAAAAAAGTGCTAGAATATCCAAAATTTGAGTAGCACTGATTAAAGAATATTTTCATCACTAATTTGAAAATTTAATTAAAATTTTTAACTATAATTGTTATTATATAGCTCATAATAGTATAATAAATTTTTGAGTATTAAATAAATTTTAAACAAATTTTTACATGTATATGTCGAAGGAAATAAATTTAGTTTTAAATGTAAAATTAATTTAAAAATATTTGCTAATTTCTTTTAAATTTTAACAATCAAGATTATAATTAATAGTATTTTAGTAACAGATTAAAATATATATCAAATTTAAAATTATAAACTATAATTTTATATAAGTTTAATTGGATACAAATAATATTAGGATTTGATACATAATTTTTAGTAAAATGAAAATTCAATAAGTGATCAAATAGAGAGGATAAGATTTAGAATTGTGATAGACAATATATTGATTATGACCATAAGCACCCATACACCTAACTGAATCATACCTGATGCCTTTAGCCTAGTTATAAAAAGGAGGTGCTACAAATGCATTAGGGGGTTGAGCAATACATCTTCCAACCAAGACTGCTGCGAGAAACATTTAGCTTTTATTTTAAGGAGTAGTATATTTAAAGCTATGAGAGTAAGAAGCATCATCATGAAAGTAAGTACCTTTTCCATACATGCCACCTTATCCCAATCTAAAATCAAAACCTTATTCTGGACTGCTATAAATGACTGAGGGATGTGTAGCGCGTGTTCCATGGAATAACCACTTTTCAGTAGCATCTCCCTTTTCTTTAAGTTTTTATTTTTCAAAAAGATAATTTTTCATTAAGCTTATATTTTAGATTCTTTCTATTTTGGTAATTGGCATGTTTTGCATCGAATTTTAGAAAAGTTGTATAACTTTTTTAGCTTCATCTGAGTTTAAGTTGATTGTTACTAATTTTAGATTATCATCTTATTTTTCCCAGTGTTTAGGCATTCCCAACTCAATCTACAAATCTTCTTTTTCTTGCTTTTAGTCTTAAGGAATTTCTAAAACTGCTTTGTAAATTAAAGGTAAAATATTGTTCAAAGTTTTACGGTAGCCTTATATTGTAATAGATTGATTCCCTACATATATCCACACTTTGTATAGATTTTCAAGTTAAGTAAAAAGTTTTGTGATACCTTTAGGGATGTTTGAGCTAATTTTAATCTCATGTAATATGTACTTGTCTTATTCAATATCTTTTAAAATACATCCTATTAAGTTGATACATTCTTGATTACCCCTTACAACGATTTTAGGTCTCTAGTACACAATATCCTTTTAATTATTTTTCCATTCTTCCTCTTCAATATCTATCTTATCTTCATTCAAAGGATCTTCTTCTAGCATATCATGATCATCTTCATCTTTGTCTGCGCTTTCAGCATTAAAATCAGGAATTGCTTATTTATTATTATCAGTTCTTTGTCCTCCAATCACCTTAACTGTGTCTGTGGAGAAATTTAACTCACAAAAAGTAGAAGTGAATTGATTATTTAATAAATTTATTTAATAACTTATTTATTTTATATCCAATAGTTTATATATCTTTATCATCTTAGATAGAGCTGAGTCTAATTTTTTTTAGGCCATTGTATTATTATTAAAATATGAGTATCCATTACCATCTTCGAAAATGGGAAAGATAGAATTCTAAAGTGTTCCTTGCATTTACATTTTTTAAAGATCTATCCTAAATGTGTCTTTATAAACGTCTTCGTTTTTTGGTTTTTTTTTACTTTTTGGATTTCTCCACACAGCAGGTGCTGACATAATTGGCATCGCACCAAATCCATATACTCCTGGAAACAAATTTGGATTATTTTAATTAAAGGTTACAGCATCACCGTTTAAAACAAATGGAACAGCTTCAAGTCCAATTTGTAAAGCTTTTTTTATTATATCTTTTGTTTCTTATGAAAAATACTTTTTTTCTGCTATATTTCCAGAATAGTAAGAGTTATAACAAATTTTTTTTGGATTCTAAAATATTTGATCTTTGTTTTTTAATAGGTCATTCATCATATTGATAACCCTATTTTCATTGCCTTAAGAAACAAATATCCAAAACTCAGATGGAAGTTTAAAGAAGTTATCTTTTTGGTTTTGTATTTTTTCCTTTAAAAATTATATTATGCATGATAAGTATTTCGAAGAACACGAATTATGTAAAGATAAGCCAAATTGGAAAAATCCTTTGCGGTTACTCTAAATATTTTTCAATACTCGATCCCAAATTAACTTAAGATTAGCTATACAATTCTTTTCTTCTAGTGAAGTTTGGATTATAATTGTTAATGGATAACTTTTTTAAGACTTGCTTTATTCTTCAAAAATAAAATCAATTTCCTACTTTTGCTTGTTATCTTCATTTTGATCAAAGTTTAAAGTATCAATCAAAAGAGAGTTATTCTATTCAATTTCATGCTTTATTGATTTTATTTTTTGCTTAAATATTTTATTGGAATTATAAAGATTTTATGCAAAAGAATCAGTAAAAAGTCCACTTTATGACATATTTATCAAAAAATAGTCAAAAAATTACAAGTTTAGCTAATCAGGCTTATTTATTTGACAAACCTTAATTGCTATTTAGTCATCTATAGTGTACTTCTTTAAGACATCTGGCATGTAGGTATTTGTAGAAAGATCTCCATTCGAATTATCAAAATTTATAAATTTTATCTAAGCCGCTTATTTTAAAATTGTTTGATATGCTTTATTTTTTTTAATAATTCTTTTTATTTTATCATATTCATCTGCATTGCATTCATATTCTTCTTATTTGATACTTTTTTAAACATCTTACAAAAGCATTTCAATCTATTCAATAAAGACTTAGCTTGGATTATCTTCCATTTGATTTTCTTTATCTTTATCAAATTTGAATGTTTCTATAAAGCCTTAATACTCATTTACAGAATAAGTTAATCTAAATATATTTGCAAGATTTTAAATTTCTTTTTATCTAGTATTAAAAAGTACTCTTAAAGCTAAAGAGTCTTTTATTTTATGTATTTAATGTTATTGTTATTAATTTTAGATTTCTGGTTATTTCGGGTAATTGAAATTATTCAAAATCATTTCTGTTATTTATTTTTAATTTAGAATATTTTTTATAATTAATTTATTATTAATAAGTTGATATTTGTATTTATTTTCTTTTTATAATTACGACCATAACTTGCGTCTCTAGCAACTATAAACCAAAAGAAAACTAATATATAGTGTCTCCTTTAATTAATTACTTCCTGTGTCTCTTTCAATAAATATTAGAAAATTTATTTCATGAGAATGAATATTATTTAAAATAATGTATTTATTTTTCTACATAAATATTTTGGCTAAATATTAGATTTAAATAATTTAAGATAAGCTGATTTTATTTTTAAATTGAACACAGATAAAAGATAATCAAATGTTTAATAGCAATTTTTAATGTAAATAATAGATCATGCTTTATAAACAAATTAAAATATATTGAAGAAATTAATTTTTATCAATCATTTTTTTTAGATATAGTAAATTTTAATTTTAATTTTGATTGATCGATTTCTCCTAAACAAAGAAAATATTTATCTTATAATCTAATATTTATTTGTTTTACAATTTCTTTATTTTCAAAAATAATAATGGTTATTAAATTATAAAATTTTAATTTATAATGTAAAAGGTAAAATAAAAATTAATTAAAAATGTAAAATGATTTTTTAGTTTTTAAAATTGTTAAATAATAAATAAATTATGATTTACTTGTTTAATTCCAATTTCTTTAACTTGATACTTTATTTGCAATAATGTTAAATAAATTAATAATGAAATTAGCAGTTTTACTTTTCCTTAATTAAATAAAAATTATTTTATGCTATAAACTAATTTTAATTACTATTGTTTTTAACTAATCTCAAATTATTTTAAAAACAAAAAGGCTGTCGACACTAGGACTTCCCAAGCGGTCCCCCACCTTAGTACTAACCTAGCCTTAAGGCGCTTAACTTCGGAGTTCGAATGGGATCCGGTGTTTTCACCTTAGTATGGCCGACAGCAAAATTAATAATAATAAAGATGATTATATATTAAAGATAAATTATCTATTTAACAAAATTGTATATAATTTATATAAAAATTATTATATTTGTAAAATAAAATAAATTTAAAAAAAAAAGGATGTCGACACTGGGACTTCCCAAGCGGTCCCCCACCTTAGTACTAACCCAGCCTTAAGGCGCTTAACTTCGGAGTTCGAATGGGATCCGGTGTTTTCACCTTAGTATGGCCGACATCAAAATTCTTGTTTTGATTGAATTTATAAATATAGTGCTAAAATTATAGTTTTCTTACTCAGTGTCAACAAAAATAAAATGAAAAAAATGTTTTATTTTGCGATACTTTAACATTATAGATTTATTACAAAATTTGTCTATTTTTATAAAAAAATAGTCAAGATTTTCTTATCATTTTTAAAAAATTAAAATAGACAGATTTCTTATCAATTTATTTATTATAATTTGATAAGAAAATTTCTTGTCAAATCTGATTAAAAGCGATCAGTATACATAAATAGAAAAAATTTAATACTTTTTTGTACTTTAAATAACTGTTTGTCATCAGTAGAAAGAAAAAAATATAAATGTAATTAAAAAAATATTTCAGTAAAAAAGCAAACTCACTTTTAAAAACTTTAGAAAAAAACACTTCGAAATAATGGATAAATACAATATTTCAATTCAAGAATCTATTAAAGACGATTTCTTAATGATTTCTTTGGTTCCTCCTTAGAATTATAGCTCTAGGACAAATTCTAACATTTGTTGTGTTGTAGATGTTTCTGGCTCTATGAGCTCTGAAGCTAAAATAATTAATTAATCCTCACAAAAAAGTGACGAAAACTACTCTCTCAGTATTTTGGATGTCGTTAAGCACTCTATTAAGATGATTGTCAACACTTTGGGCTCTGAAGATTATTTATCGATAGTTACTTTCAGTGATTCAGCAAATGTACTATTTGACTTACTTCCAATGAATGACAGCAACAAAACTATGGCTATAGAAAAAATTGAAAATTTAAGCACTGAAGGAGGCACTGAGCTTTGGAAAGGTCTGAACAGCGCCTTGAATATTTTGCTTAATAACAAAACCCCTAACACTAACTAATCAATCTTTTTGCTAACAGATGGTTAGCCTACCGATAGTGGTATTGATACAAATTTGGTTAAATTCAAATAAGCTTATCCAAAACTTAATTGCACTATAAACACTTTTGGATTCTCTTCAAGCTCAAATAGTGAGTTGATGAATAAAATAGCTATGGAATATAACGGTATGTTTTCTTTTATTCCTGATGCTAGTTTTATAGCAACCGCCTTCGCTAACGCTTTAGCTAACACATTAACTGTCTACACAAATAACTGCTTGCTCCATATAACTACCTTAGAAGGTTCCAATTTGACTTTGCATCCTGCTCATTCCTTCTTAGTAAAAAAAATGAACAGCTAAGGATAGTAAGAAATTTTAATAGATGTTGGAGTTGTTAACACCTAATAAACAAGAGATTTTATTTTCAAAATAAACAACTTACCTAAACAATTAGATAGAACTTATGCCTAAGTTAAATTAACTTACTAATAAAGCTTTTCGTTAAATGATTATGTCAAGAATATTCCTTCTTAAACAATTTAAAAAAGCTTAATTTAAAGAGAGGAATCCGAAGAAAGCTAAATATATAACCATATTTACAGATGTAAAGTTGTATCTGCTATCGAAGAAAGTATTCAATAATATCTTCAAAACTCGAAAATCTTTGAATAATAAATTAAGACAAAATTAATGAATCTTGTAGATGAAATGGAGTAGATTTTACCATAAAATGATAGACATTTTGAAGGAATCTATAAAGACTTAGTTAGAACTGTGAGCGAAGCCTTCACTAATCAAAGCTAATTTAATTAATGGGGTCACCATTATATGCTTTCTCTGAAGAGAGCTCATATTATTTAGCAATGCAATACTTTTAAAGATCCAGGTGTTTAACATTACGGATAGACTTTGTTTAAAGAAATAAGAGCTGTTGCTGATGAAACTTTTTGCAAAATGCCACCACCAAAACCATATTCCAGAGCTTCTTCCTATACTTAAAATAACAGCTCAAGCAATTCATCTTATTAATCTGCTTATAATATGAATGATTATCATAATTACAGTTCCGGAGGATGCATTCATGGAGACTCTTTAGTTTACTTGCAAAATGGTAAGACAAAAAAGGTAAGTGAAATTAGAAAAGGAGATGTAGTTTAATGTCCTGAATTAGGATAACTATAATCAACAGAAGTAGTATGTATTGTCGTTTCTAAATGTGAAAATAACTCACATAGCTTTGTTTAAATTGGTGAAAATTTGTGGATAACTCCCAAGCATCCCATTAGAATTAATGGAGAATGGATCTATCCTAACAAGATGGGTGAGGTATAACAAAAGTAGAGTGATTTCATTTATCAATTTGTATTAAAGAGTGGCCATACCATGAATATTGGTGGATTTGAAGTTATATGCTTAGGTCATGGCTTTCAAGAACCTATTGCAAGTCATGAATATTTGGGTAGCCAAGCAGTAATTAACGATCTTATGAATATGAAAGGATGGAAAGAAGGAAAAGTATTGATTACTGCAAGGATAAAAAGCGAAATTACAGGAAAAGTAACAGCTTTTGTACAATAATGATTAACTTTAATAATCAAAATACCTTCATACCTCAGCAGATTTACCATAAAAACATTTGCATTTAAAATGAAAATTTATTATTAATAAAAAGGAACTTGTGCAAAAATATTTCCTATGCTCTGGTTTATTGAGGATTTATGGAAATACTATTATTATTATATAAATATATTACTATTATATTAAGCATTTTTTCTGTATTTTTAAGAATTATATTTATGTTTTTTAACTGTATTCTCTATCATATTTTTTTACATAATTTCAAATATTTTCAAAGTAAAAGTATTAAATTTAAATTTAAACCCAAATAAACTGCTTCAAAAACTTTTGATACATTTAAATTTAGAATTTTCTAATATTTCTTAATTTAACTTTAAATTATTTTTATCATAAATAATAATATTTAATCTTTTGTTAATTAATATATTTTCAAGGATTTAAATTCATAAGAATTTAAATAAATGATATTTTTATATTTAATTTATTGAATAATTTAATTAATATTTAAAAATAAATCTATCTATAATTTTAATGAAAATTTATTAATGATTAAGATATTACTTATATTACTTAACATATTTAAAAATACATAATTATTTGACTTTTTTTAATTAAATTAATTATTATTAACATTTAAATTTATTAAAACAAATTTATATCAAAAGAGACATCATTTTTATTATTTATTTAATATTTTTGATAACCAGTCTAATCCATCGTATATACCTTCTCCATTCAATGCGCAGCAACCTTATATAAACCATTCACCAATACCTTTGATTGTATGTAATTACATTTTATTTTAAATCTCAGAAACATTCATAGTAGCAACATCTTATTTATTAGCAAGAATTAAAACTGGAATACCAGCCATATCTGAACTTGAGAGTATCATTTCTAGGGCTTATTTAGCATCATCCATTCTCTCAGCATCAGTAGAATCTAAAACGTAAATTAAAGCGTTATTACCTTAGAAATAGTGATGCCATAATTATCTGAGTTTCCACTAACCACCAATATCCCAAATGGTAAATTTAAGATTTTTATATTCAACTGATTCAACATTAAATCCTATAGTAGGAACACTTTGAATGTGTTGACCCAACTTCATTTAATGAAGAATGGTTGTTTTACCAGCAGCGTCTAATCCAAGCATTAATATTTTTCTTTCTTTTTTACTTTATAAAGCACTAAGAGCTTTAAGAATTAATTAACCCATTTATGTTATTATATTTAGTTTTTTTTTGTCTTATTTATTTATTTAGTTATTTTTTTTTATAAATTATTTTAATTAATCGATTATTTGAATTATAATTTGAATAAACTAAAATAGATAAAAAAATCATAGTCAGACAAACAATGATATAATTACATAATCTATTTAATTATTTCAGACTTTTTCATACAAGGAAATTGTTAATTAAAATAGACAAATCTAAAAAAAATTAGATTGAGTAAAAACAGTAATTAAGTTTAATATATTTACTAACAACTATTTATATTTTAATTTAGGTTAATTTTTTTAATTAAAATTGTTTTAAACTGTAATATAAAAGATGAAGTAAGTTCTAAACCACTATTTTAAAGTCCAATTTTTATAATTTTGTTTACAAACAATTTTATTTATTAACATTTAAAATTTTTTTTATTTATTAATGGGATTTTACATCGTTTTTATTATAAATAATGTGTAATTTTTTGTTATGTAATATATTTTCAAGCGTTTAAGTTGAAAAGGATTTAAAATAAATGATTTTTTATATATTTTAATTTATTGAATAATTTAATTAAATATTTAAAAATATATCTTTAATTTTTATGAAAATTGTTAATGCTTAAGGTTTAAATAAATTAATTAACATATTTAAAAATATAAATAATTTGAATTTTTTATTTAAATATATTATAAAAACATTGAAATTTATAAAAACAAATTTATATGAAAAGTCATTTTTATTATTTATTTAATACTTTTAATAACCAATATAATCCATCAAATAAACCTTCTCCATTCAATGCACAGCAACCTTATATAAACCATTCACCGATACCTTTGATTGTATGCAATTATATTTTATTTTAAATCTCAGAGACATTCATAGTTGCAACATCTTATTTATTAGCAAGGATTAAAACTGGAATACCAGTCATATCTGAACTTGAGAGTACCATTTCTAGGGCTTGTTTAGCATCATCCATTCTTTCAAGATCAGTAGAATCTAAAACATAAATTAAGGCATTGTTACCCTATAAATAATGAAGCCAAAATTATCTGAGCTTCCACTAACCACCAATATCCCAAACTATAAATTTAATATTTTTATATTCAATTGATTCCACACCAAATCCAATAGTAGGAACACTTTGAATGTTTTGACCGAACTTCATTTAATAAAGAATAGTTGTTTTACCAGCAGCGTCTAATCCAAGCATTAATATTTTTCTTTATTTTTAACTCTATAAAGCATTAAGAGCTTTAAGAATTAATTAACCCATTTATGTAATATATTTAATTTTTTTTATATATTTATTTTTTTTTATAAATTATTTTAATTAATCGATTATTTGAATTATAATTTGAATAAACTAAAATAGACAAAAAAACCATAGTCTGACAAGCAATCATACAATATTGCAATTTATTTAATATATTTCAGACTTTTTCATACAAGGAAATTGTTAATTAAAATAGAAAAATCTAAAAAAATATTAGATTGAGTAAAAACAGTAATTATGTTAATCTATTTAGTAACTACTTCTTCATACAAAAAATTTAGGTTAAACTTTTTAATTAAAATTGTTTTATACTGCTACTTAAACTAACTTAGGATGCTTTTTTAAAATGTAGCGTTTTAAATTAAAAAGTTGTTTGAATTAAATTTTAAAAAGAAAAAAAAAATTTATGAGTAAATAAAAATTAGATATTTATTACTTTTTAAAAATTTAAATAAAAAATTCTGAAAATACAAATCTACTTTTCAATTTAATTTAATATTATTATTAAAGCAATTTATTCAAATGATAGAATTTTAAAAGCTAATTTGGTTGAGGATAAATATCTTCAATATTTAAAAATATTTAATATTTTATTTCAAAATTGTTTTATTTAATAAATCCTATTAATTCATAAGGTAAGCGCAGTATGTGTCTAATATAAAGATACCTGGATTAACAAAAAATAATATTTTTATCAAAAGTTTTAGAGTTAATTTCTTTTTTATTTAGAATATTTAGAAATGATAAATTATAAAACATAAATAAAACAAAAATTTTATTAAATATATCGATCAATAAAATCATCATCTAATTTAAGAGAATGGTAATAATTATTTCAAAAATTTGTTTATTTATTAAAAATTCTCTTTAAATAGGATTCTCTTGTCTTGTAACATCAACATATATCATTTAAGCTAGTTTAAAAATAGTTTCTAGATCCTTTTCTTAGATAGAAGATTGATTGTAAATTTTATAAAATATGAAAACTAAATTCTTGATTGTTAATTTTCAATCAAAACCATTTTTTCAAGGTTTTTAAGTTTTATAAACTAATGTTAAATATTTAAAATAGAGAATGAAATACTTTAATTATTATTGAAAGTTTTATTTCTTTACTCTATATTAGTTATATTCCAATTTATTTATTAAGAATAATATAAAAGAAGAAAATATTTAAATAAAACATTTTTCAATTTTATAATTTCTCTGCAATAAAATTTTTAAGTTCATAAAGAATTTTAAAACATTAAATCTTTTTTTTATGATAAGCTAATTTCAGTTTATTATTTTATTAAAAATAATTTAAATGATTTTAACTTTAAGTAAAAGTTTCAAAATAAATAAAATTAAATTTGACTTTTAATTATAATAATTAATTGTTAATTTACAAAAATAAGCAGTTATGTATATATATTAATATTTATTAAAACATTTAGTATTTTATTATTTTTTTTTTAAAATTCTTGATCACTTTTATTATTTGTTTAAAACTTTTGATAACCAGTCTAATCCATCATAAATTCCTTCGCCATTTAGGGCACAACATCCTTATATATACCATTAACCGATTCCTTTAATTGTATGTAATTAAAGTTTTTCTTAGATTTCACTCAAACTCATAACAGCAATATCTTGTTTATTTGCAAGGATTAAAGCTGGGATACCAGCCATATCTTAGCTTTCTAGTACCATCTCTAAAGCTTATTTAGCATCTTTCATTCTCTCAGCGTCTGTGGAATCTAAAACATAAATGAGAGCATTGTTACCCTAAAAATAGTGATGCCATAATTGTCTGAGCTTCCATTAACCACCAATATCCCAAATAGTAAATTTGAGGTTTTTATATTCAACAGATTCGACATTGAATCCAATAGTTGGAACACTTTGTACTTATTCTTTAAGTTTCATTTAATAAAGAACTGTAGTTTTACCAGCTGCATCTAATCCGAGCATCAAAATTTTTCTTTCTTTTTTGCTTTGAAGGGAGTTGAGAGCTTTAAGAATGAGTTGACCCATTATTGATAAGTTTGTTATATTTTAAAATTTTACTTATTTAATTTATTGTTTTCTTTGTTTTTTGTTTTAATTTAATTTTGTTTTTTATTATGCTCAAACACAATATTTAATGGTTGAATTTGAGATAGATAAAATTTCCTTAGTCAGATATAGATAGTCTGATTAAAAATTCATTCTTTTTCTCCGTTTTTCTGACAAGGAAGCAAAATGAATGAATGAATGAATGAATGAATGAATGAATTAATTAATTAATTAATTAATTAATAATTTATAATAGACAAAGTTAAAGTTGAATTTTTATCAATTTAATCCTCAAATAAAAGTAAAAAGAGTTAAGTATTAAAATATTTTATTTTATTGAAATTATTCATATTTATTTTGATGTTTTAAAAATAAAATATTAATTTTTAATCTATTTATTAAATTTAAAAATTATCTTATTCATTTATTTTTGTAATTTAATTATAAGCGTTAATTATTTATTTAGTCTAGGAATTTAAACTTTAATAGACAAAACATTTTTTTTAACTTTTTTAAGTATTTAAACTTTTAGGCCTTTATCCTTACTCCTTTAGATTAGTTAGTTATGATGATAAACATTTTTAATTTAATAAATTTACATTCAATTTCAAAAAAAAATATTTTAATATGAAATTTAATTAAAAGTAATTTTTAAAAAATTATTACTCTAAATCCTTATTAATTATGAGCCGCATAAATTAAGTGCCAAAAAAAAATTTTTTTATTATAAAATTTGGATAATATATTGAGGCTCTAAATTTATTGACAGCCTTATTCAACAGATTTTACTTTATATTGCTTAGAATAAATTTATGAATTAAACAATTTCAAATAAATTATTTTATAAATTATTTTTTATTTTTAATGTTATTTACAAATAATAATTAAGAGTATTTTTAAATGGATAATACATATTATTAATATAAGTTTATTTTTATTTATTTATATATTTATTAATAAATTAATTGTTCGTTCACTTTTATTATTAATTTAAAACTTTTGATAGCCAGTCAAAGCCATCATAAATTCCTTCACCATTTAGGGCACAACATCCTTATATATACCATTAACCGATTCCTTTAATTGTATGTAATTAAAGTTTTTCTTAGATTTCACTCAAACTCATAACAGCAATATCTTGTTTATTTGCAAGGATTAAAACTGGGATACCAGCCATATCTTAGCTTTCTAGTACCATCTCTAAAGCTTATTTAGCATCTTTCATTCTCTCAGCGTCTGTGGAATCTAAAACATAAATGAGAGCATTGTTACCCTAGAAATAGTGATGCCATAATTGTCTGAGCTTCCATTAACCACCAATATCCCAAATAGTAAATTTGAGGTTTTTATATTCAACAGATTCGACATTGAATCCAATAGTTGGAACACTTTGTACTTATTCTTTAAGTTTCATTTAATAAAGAACTGTAGTTTTACCAGCTGCATCTAATCCGAGCATCAATATTCTTCTTTCTTTTTTGCTTTGAAGGGAGTTGAGAGCTTTAAGAATGAGTTGACCCATTATTGATAAGTTTGTTATATTTTAAAATTTTACTTATTTAATTTATTTTTTTCTTTGTTTTTTGTTTTAATTTAATTTTGTTTTTTATTATGCTCAAACACAATATTTAATGGTTGAATTTGAGATAGATAAAATTTCCTTAGTCAGATATAGATAGTCTGATTAAAAATTCATTCTTTTTCTCCGTTTTTCTGACAAGGAAGCAAAATGAATGAATTAATTAATTAATAATTTATAATAGACAAAGTTAAAGTTGAATTTTTATCAATTTAATCCTCAAACAAAAATAAAGAGAGTTAAGTATTAAAATATTATGAAATATTTTATTTTATTGAAGTTATTGAAATTTATATAGTTGTTTTAAAAATAAAATATTATTTTTTAATATATTTATTAAATTTAAATATTATCTTATTCATTTACTTTTATAATTTAACTATAAGCATTAATAGTAGTGTCTAGCAATTTATATTTTAATAAGCAAAACATTTTTAAAAAAATTTTTAAAATTTGGATAATATATTGAGGCTCTAAATTTATACGTAGCCTACTTCAACATGATTTTACTTTATATTGCTTAGAATAAATTGATGAATCAAACAATTTCAAATAAATTATTTTATAAACTATTTTTTATTTTTTAATGTTTTTTACAATTATATATAAGAGTATTTTTAAATGGATAAATATCAATATAAGTTATTTTTATTTATTAATAAATTAATTGTTCTTTCACTTTTATTATTAATTTAAAACTTTTGATAACCAGTCAAAGCCATCATAAATTCCTTCGCCATTTAGGGCACAACATCCTTATATATACCATTAACCGATTCCTTTAATTGTATGTAATTAAAGTTTTTCTTAGATTTCACTCAAACTCATAACAGCAATATCTTGTTTATTAGCAAGGATTAAAACTGGGATACCAGCCATATCTTAGCTTTCTAGTACCATCTCTAAAGCTTATTTAGCATCTTTCATTCTCTCAGCGTCTGTGGAATCTAAAACGTAAATTAGAGCATTGTTACCCTAGAAATAGTGATGCCATAATTGTCTGAGTTTCCATTAACCACCAATATCCCAAATAGTAAATTTGAGGTTTTTATATTCAACAGATTCGACATTAAATCCAATAGTTGGAACACTTTGTACTTATTCTTTAAGTTTCATTTAGTAAAGAACTGTAGTTTTACCAGCAGCATCTAATCCAAGCATCAATATTCTTCTTTCTTTTTTGCTTTGAAGAGAGTTGAGAGCTTTAATAATCAGTTGACCCATTTTATTAATTTTTTTTATTTCGCTTTATTATAATTATTGTTTGTATATCTTTTTTTTAATTTATTTTTTAGTTTTAATTTAATTTATTTTGATGAACACTTCAAAGGTATTTGTAATTATTTACTTTGAGATAGATAAATATTTCTTATTCATTTATTTTAAAATAAATAATCAAATTAAAAATTCATTCTTTTTCTCAGTTTTTCTGACAAGGAAGCAAAATGAATTAATTAATGAATAATTTATAATAGACTGGCCTAAAATTAAAATTAAGACAAAATACATAAACTAATATATTAAAAGAATAAAGTAAAATAAATATTGTCTTTTGGTGTTTATCTATGAAAATTTTAGAAAATTTTTCTTTACTATAATTTTTAAAATTAAAAATAAATTTAATAGAAAAATCATAAAGATTGATAAAAATTAAAATTAATTATTAATATTATTAATTAATTAAATTCTATTATAAAATTATTTATTTTTATATAAATAATATTCAAACACATCAGCCATTCAAAAAAATAGTGATCTCAAATCACTAAATTTTTGAATGGCATTTGCTAAAATGAAAAATATTCATAACAAATTATTTATTCCCTTATTATTATTTACAAAATGATTATATCAATAAAGAAAAGGACTAATTAAAGTTAAATTTATTTTAGTAGATTTAAAAATGAGATTTTGTAATGAAATAATAATTTAAAAGTTAATTTATATAGATACATATTTTTTTATTTACATTAATATTAAAATAGATTAAAAATTTATTTATAATTAATTATTTAATTGGTTTAGTTTTTTATCATTAAAATTTATTGGGATTATTTAATATAACTGAATTAATAAAAAGATATCAGTTTTTAGATGAGTCATATATTTATTTTCTATAAGGGTTGCGCAACTCTCTATCTATTTGTTTCAATTTACATAAATTATTTTCTATTTCTTTTTAAATCATTCTGGCTTCTTAGCTGATCAAATTGAATTCACCAAGTGATTTTTCATTAAATTCAAGCTTTTCTGGCATATAAAGTATGTTTTGGTTCATGTAGAGGTACTTTCTTTTCTAAAATTATAAGGGGACTACTTTTTGCTGTTTTTACATACTAATTATATTTTCTTGTACCCTTTATTCTTAAAAATTAACAGCTTCAAACGCTCTTACTACTTTGTCTTTCATCTTATGTAAACATAAATTTTCTAGATCTTCATAAAAAATCTGTAATTCTTTCATCAGTTACTAGGGTTCTATATAGATGACAGACTCTTCGAAAGCTTATCTGATTTACATAATTTCACTTTTTTTTTGCATTTCAAATTAAGTGATTGATTATTTTATATTAGCTTCTATAATGGATACATTATCAAACACTTCTTGTTTTTTTTCACTCTTAATGAAAATTAATCTCATACATTTTTGTCTATTCTACAAAAGCTTATTCATGTACTTAAAAACTCTTGATTCACTTTAAAAAAACTTCTTCAAACTGAGGATATTGAAAGCAATTTTAGAAGATATTTCACTATATGGAGAGTTAGATTTAGATTAGGTTTGCTACAATACTTCTGAGCATCTGTGAAAAGGTGAAATCTTTCTATTAGTTTTTTTTGAAATATTTATTTTCAATTTAGCAATCCTTTCAAAAGGATTACTTGATCTTTAGCTATTAAATATTTTGCTTTGCATGTTTTATAAGCCTTCGTTAATGTTGCTAAGTTCTTCTTTTTATAATAGAGAAGGGTTAGTTTTGACTTTTCTATTATTCAAAGGTTCTGTTTGGAAATAGTTTTAGAAAATGGATTTATTTGGGTGGTTATTCAGTTTGTTTGGAGTTGTTAAAGTTCTTTAAGTGAAGGAAGCTAAAGAAGAAAATGAGCTGCGGTTAGTATCATCTTTTGGGATTAATTTTTGAAGTTTTTCTGCAATTGGAGTATTTTCATTTGATTAGATAGTTTAAAACTATTTCCATTTACTTTGTGGTATTCTTAAATCAAATAAGCTTTTCTTGCTTAACTTAGCATTAAAATATTCAGGCGACTAAATGTTACTGCTATCTATCACAGAATAAGATCTTTCTTCTTGTAAATTTTTTTCAAAGTTAGATTTCATAATAGTAACTAATTCTGAATTTGATTTTATTTTTTTCTAAATATTATTATTATTATTATTATTGAATTCACTTTGTTGAGTAGGTATTGGTGAATTGTTTTTGGAAATAAGAGAATTTTGACTTGTAATTTAGCTAATTTCTTCTTGTGCGGCATTTATTTTTTCAAGTTACTCTCTCATTTTATCCTTTGTTGTTTTAGGTTTTGCATGAATAAGCTTCGTAATTTATTATTATTTTCTGGAAACATTTCCCAAAAACTAAACAAAAACTTAATCACTATTTTCTAATTATATATGAGGAGCAGATTTTCTTATTTTCAAATTGTGAACACACTCTTAGCTTGTACTTTAGTTGTAATTACCAAAAACTTCATCTTCCTCACTTTATTAATCTTTTGCCTCCTCTGATAGCAAACTATTGTGTGTATTTAATTAATTAGTGATCAATTTGTTCTCTAACGCCTTATCTTGCTTCTGAATTGAATTATTAAAAAACTATGACTAGGTGGTTGATTTGAGATTTCTATTAGAAAAGGAAGAAGCTGTTTTCAAACTGCTTTAAGTAGGCAGTCTATTCAAATCTAGCTTTAAATGGTTTTTAAAATACTCTAATTTTTTAGCATTTTACTATATTTGTAAATCTTATTCATCAATCTAACTTAGAACTTTTGATGATCTAGTGGTAATGTTTCTGTTAAGATCAGCTTCTGCAAAATACTCTTGATTTGGTATTGCTCTTGAGGTTAGATACCTTGGAGAGGCATAAGATAAATCATTATCAGTGTCAAAATTAGTCAAAGTGCTAATAACCTTTTAACCTTTTTTAGATTTACCTGGTTTGGCCAAGTCCTTGAACATTTTTTTTATTTTAATATCACAGGAATAAATCTACTTTTTTGTTTATATTACTTTAATAATTTGCTGTAAATAAGTTTTTCAGTGAAAAAAATTTAAAATAATAATATAAAGTATAAAGAACTAATAATCAGATTTAGAGATGATGGATATATATAATGAATGCATTAACTTAATTATAGTTTCGTAGTGCTAAGGATAAATATTCATAGTGTAATTTAAAAAGAATAATTAGTTTTGAGACCTGCTTTTAATATGTAAACAGCATATTCAAATTTATTTTTTCAGAGTAAAATTTATTCTTATTTATCTAGCATGACTTCTCATAAATAAAGAAATTTCTGTATTACTGAGTAAAATCATTTTAGTTTGTACTATTTCATGAAACTAAACTAAAATTAATTGTTTTATACAAATTTCACTTAACTCCTCTATTTAATCTTTTTTAATTTTGTTCGAAACATTAGAACTAAAAATAATAATTTGATTGATATATATTCTTTTTAATTATTTTTAGGGTATTTTATAAGAAGTAATACAAATATCTGAGCCATCCGTATAGGTTATTTTATTTTGTTCAGATCAAGTAATTCAAAATTTTAATTAGCTCTAATTTTTTTTGAAATTGCATAGTAATATTCTTATTTTGTATAAAAATTTAATACAAGTATAATTCTTTTATTTTTTAAAATATTTTAATTTATCATTTTTCTCTTATTACAAATTATATTATAAGTTATTTGTTATGAAATATTTTTGTTATCTGAAATAAATCTTTACTCACTCAATCCAGGAGGGAAATTTCTTCTAAATTCATATAATTTTTGATAATTAAAAATTGATTTTGATGATAATAAAATAAAATATCTGTTTTTGTTTGTATTAATATAATTTTTCTTAATATTTTTCCTTTAATATTATGTACCAAGAGTAGCTTTTTTTATTTGTTTATTTTAATTTATTATGATTAAAATGATAATAAAATAAAATTTTCATATGATTAATTTTTGTAATTATCTCTATAGGTAGAATTAATCATTTTATAATTTTTGTTTTGTAATAATAATTGTCTTAAAAATTTATCAAATAGAGGCATAAAGAAATATTAAATTAAATAGAATTTATTTAGTATTTAAAATCAATCAATTTTTATTTAAAAAATAAATTAAAATGTTTTTTGAATATTTTAAATTTGTAAAAATGTATAATCAATTTTATTTAGTTTTTAACAATTAATTCTTTTATATTATTAAATTAATTTATTTAAAAAATATTTAAATAATTTTCTTATTTTCAACAAAGAATTTATATTTTAATCACGAAGAATTAAAAGGAAAAAACTTTATATTTTGCGAAACATTCTATTATTTATTTTTTACTTAAGAATATTTTTTAATGTTTAAATTATACAAATAATAATTTAGATTTAATTTTACAATTTTATGGAATAAAAGACTTTAAATTATAAATATAAATAATTATAACTATAAGAAAATAAAATTTATCTTTTGTGGTAAAAGATTTGTTTTTATCAAAAAAGAAAAATGAAAGAGAAAAATAATTTATTTAATGATTTTTTTCTATTATAAAAATAAATTTATTTAAAAATTTAATTTTTTTTTTTTTTGAGAAAGTAAATTATTTGATTTAAAAAATAATATAAACTAAACAAATTTATTTCAATAAAAAATCATTTTAGTTATTTAAATATTAAAATATATATAAATGAAATAATTATTAAAAATATCACTAGAAATTTAAAGAATATTTAGGGAACAATATTTTATCATTGTCTATCAAAACTAATATTATTTGGCATTGAAATTAGTATTTCGAAATATTTATTTTTGATATTTATTAGAAATTATTATTTGTGATTGAAGCATTTAAGATATTTAATTATCAGCTACCTCATTAGAAAAGTATTTTTTTATTATTTAAAATTGTAAACTAAATTATTTACTCAAAGAAAAACTTTCTTTAAATTGATAAATTTTATTATTTACTTACTCTGTATCATACGAAATAGAACATTCAGAGAATTTTATTTTGCTTACTAAAAATTATCTGTAAACAAGATTAAAATTTTTTTAACAGTTAACTTAGAGTAACTAAAATTATTATTACATAAATATTTTATTTGGTTAAAGTTTATATCAATGAAATAGTTTTATTTATCTTTATTTCTTAATATTATATCAAAAAATTATGAGTGTTGTTAACATTTCATAAAATTTATAGTTCTGTTGGAAGGAATTTTCATGTGAGTCTATCGATATTTAGTAATGGCAATATAAAGATAGTTATTAATTTGCAAAATAATGTAAATAATTACTTATTTGTGTTAACAGTTATTAATAAGTAAAAAAGTATTAAAGTTATGTAATTTATTAGTAAAATGTTCTAGAATGCAGCTGAAATCAAATCTTACAATAAAATATTAAATATCTGGCTATTAATTGCAATTATTTAATGCAATTAGCAAATCAAAAGTAAAATTCTTATTAATTTACACACATTTTGAGTTACGCAAGTTATTGATTAATTAAAAAATTCTTAATTTAGTTGTTTCGTCATGATTTATTTATAAAAATAATTTATAAACATTACTTAAAATATAAAAATTTCACGTAATTTAATTATATTCAACTATCATCTTTGTATCTATTGATTTCAAATTGAATTTATTTATTCAATTTAATAAACATAAGACAAATTATAATAAACACTTTTATCTATTTATTTTTTAAATACGAGTTAAGCCGTTTTAATTTCAACTGAGCAAAGCAAATATTAATAAATAAAACTATGTAACACACTTTTTACTTAATAAAAAATTTAACTTCTAAAATTTATTAAATTCTAGATAGAATAGAAGGTGGTCAATCTACTCTGAGCTGTTGATTGAGACCATATATTTTTTAATCATATTAACAGTAAGGATTTATTGAATTAAAACTTTTTCATAAATCATCATTATTTTTAATAAAAGAATAAAGAAAAAGAGATCCAATAATAATTAAACTTAGTATTAAATAAGCTTATTGATAAACCAAATACCAGATTTTTTTTTATCAATAAGACATATAAAAAATTCATAATTTAGTGAGCATAGTCATATATTTAATTTACTTAACGCCAAAAATAATAATTAATTATTGATTTGGAATTCTTGTATATACATTATTAACTTTATTGATAATCTTATTATTTTTTATTTGATAAAATATTCAAAAAATCAATTTTTTTACAGAATAACTTAAATAAATATAAATCAATTACATTATTTTAAGAAAAGACTAACTTTCTAAACGCCTCTATAAACTAGCTTTTGTAATAAATATTTTACCAACATAATTTGAAAAATGATAGACTCAGCTCAAACTGATACTAATTTATAGAGTGCTACTTCTGAATATGAAAAAATAAACATTAAGTTTTCATTTAGAGAATGTTTATCTTATTTTGGTCCAGGATTACTGGTATCAATTGCATATTTAGATCCAGGTAATTTAGCTGGTGACATGGATGCAGGTCTTAATGGTAAGTATCATCTACTATGGGTACTATTTCTGGCCACTGCTCTTGGATTTGTTTTCTAAAATCGTGCTATGATGATAGGTTTGGTATCTGGTAAAGATATGGCTAAGCTATGCCGATATTACTACCCTAGGAAAATGTCAATTTTACTTTGGATTATGGCAGAAATAGCCATCATTGGTAGCGACATTTAAGAAGTCCTAGGCTCTGCTATTGCTTTATAAATTCTTTTTGGCCTTAAACTATGGATTGGAGTTCTTTTAACAATAACAACTACTGTATTAATCTTACTTGTAAAGTATATTGGTATGCGTGCTTTAGAAGTGTTTTTTGCTATTTTAATAGGAACAATGGCAATTTGTTTTTTTATTGAATTAGGATTCATCGGTCCTAATTTTGGCCAATTAATGGAAGGAATGTTTGTTCCTTATGTACCTAGCTCTGCCTTTTCTTCAATGATAGGTCTTATAGGAGCAGTATTAATGCCCCATAATCTTTATCTTCATTCTTCTTTGGTCTATGAAAAGAAAATTTCTAAAAATGATAGACCTCTCTTGCATAAATCTATCATGTATTTTAAAATTGAAACAGGAGTTTCTCTTTTGATTTCGTTCTTCATCAATTTAGCAGTCATTGGCACATTTGCAAATTGGTATAACACTAATGAAGATCTTGACTTACACTCAGCTGCTAGCGTGCTTGAAGTTAATTTCGGTACTTCTGCTAAGTATATTTGGGGTATAGGGCTTTTGGCTGCAGGATAATCATCAACTCTCACAGGAACGTTAGCCGGTTAATTTGTTATGACTGGATTTGTAAAGTTGAGAGTAAGTAAATTCAAAAGAGCTTTCGTTACTCGTTGTATAGCTATAGCACCAAGTATAATTATAGCCTTCATAAGTGAAAATGAAAATTTCAACAATTATTTAAATGTTTTGCAAGCAGTTCAACTTCCCTTTGCAGTTATTCCTCTTTTGAAGCTCTCAATAGATAGAGATCTTATGGGAGAATTTACTATGGGCAAAGTATAACTTATCATTCTGAGTATCCTCTCCTCTGCAATTGTTGTAGTAAATTATTATTCTTAAATTCCTAGTGATGTAGATTGGTCAAGTGCTTGGATTTATATAATAATTGCTGTTATGATTCTTTATTTCATCTTTCTTGGATTTGTTCTATTTACTAAAATTAAGAAAACTAAAGATGTTAAATTAAGCATGGCATCACATGCTTAAAAACAATCTTTGATATAAGATGATGAACAATAAAATTATGCGTGATATTTTAACAGATAATAACATAAATAAAAATATAATTAATTTGCAAAAAACCATTTCATTTATTTTATTTTTATATATAAAATGTAACAAAATTATAGAGCTTTAGATATTTAATAAATATTTATTATTACAATTATCTTAAAATTAAATTGTAATTATCGTCTTAGATGTATTAAATTCCTAAACAGCAAAATTATGTGTATTGTTTTGCTTATAGATTTTACAAATATTCTTCTAAAATTGTTAAAATATAGTCTGCAATAATTTTAGACTTGAAAGTAATTATCTTTTTTGACTTATTTTTGTTTCCTTTTTTCTATATAATTTACCTCTAAATTTAAGATACACATAAGATTTATTAAACTGTAATCTTTAATATATTTGAAGCATTCTCCTTATTTTCAGATTATCTCTCACAATACTTTTTTCTCCCTCATATTCTTCTGCCATAAAAGAGATTCATAAAAAAGTAAATTTTATTATTATTGAAAAAAATATTTTCAGAAATAAAAAAATATTTTAGCATTTGTAAATATATATTTATTTGAGGAAAAGCTTTAAAAGATAAAGATATTATTTATTTAAGCGACTATAAAAAGTTAATTTAATTAGTAAACATCTTAATATAATGTTATTCAAACATATATTTAAAATTTATTAAATTTGATTAGAAAGGTATTTTAGGAAATAAATTCAAATTTATTTTAATAATTTAAAATTGGTTTTTTTCAAAAAAGTTTTTAATTTATAGTTTTTATATTTACTCAAACAAAACATTTGTTTATGATCTGGTTTTTTATAAAAAATTTACTATACTTATTTTGAAAATCTTAAAATCTTTGAATTAAAGCATAAAGTATTATAAAAAATCTATCAGAATGAGTAAGTTTTTGATGAAATCAAGAATTTGGAAATTTTATTATTTTATTTAAAAATACAAATAAAGGAAAACCTAAAAGAATTAATAACCAATATTTTCTTTTTTTTAAAAGATTGAGTTTAGAAATATAAATTCGCCATACATTGATTGGTACTTTTCCAGATATTTTTCTAATATTTTAAATAATTAATTTAAAATCACATCAAAAATTTTATTTAAAAAGTTGATTTAAGTATTTCTAAGTTAATAAAATATAATTTTTAAAATTAATATAATAAATTAGCTAAAAAGATAAAAGTGATACATGATATCAAAAAAAACCTTTGGTATGCTTTTTATTTTTGTGAGCTTGGTTCTTAGTACCAATGCTTTTCTTTCTATCCCAGTAAAGTTTGATAACCTAGAGAAATCTATTTTATTTAATGCTACTTTTGGAACAGAAGAATGTAAAATTGATACAAAGGCTGATTTCTTTTATTGTAATAACGACATTGACTTTATCAGAATTGGAAATCATACTTTTAAAAAAGCTTATGCTTTGGTAAAGTTACTAACGGCAGACAACAGTTATCATTTGTAAAGTAGCTTAATGAATAAGGATTGATTTCTGAGCCTAAAGTTTTTATAACTTTTTTCAATAACTACCTATCAGATTTTACTAACGATGATATCATTGGACAAATAAACCTTGGCTAACCAAATCCAGACTTCATAAAGAAAGATACTAACTTTATTAAAATGTACTTTGATTCTTCTGATTATTTCTAGCTAAACTGTAACTTTTACTCAAATGAAGAGACAACATTCTTTGGTTAAAAAATACGTGGTTATTCTAGATAATACATCGACTTTGATGTTGCTGAATCTACAATAGATACAGATACCTTTGAAGAAATGCTGGTTATTTTAAAATCAAAAAATTATAATATTACAGTTAAGAAGATTGGCTTTTTCTCTCAATACTATTTGGATACTATTGAAGGTTTAGAACCTATAAAAATAACAATATTAACTGAAGACATGAGTCCTTACATATTAAAAATAGAGCCTTCTGTATATACAGAAAAAATAACTAATGGAGTCTATAAATTGTTATTTTAACCTTATAAATAGAATTTTAGCTTCTTACTACTTTGGTTATCATGTAAGTACTCAAAACACATTTTTTGCAGAAAGAGCATTAGATATTAACTCTTAAGCAGTTGCTGAAAAAGTTCAAAATTTTTCTTAGAACTTGAGGAGTGAAAAAAATTTAGATTGAATAGAAAATCTTGTACCTTTATATATAATAAATATATAAATAAAAATATATACATAACTATAATGAGCTTTGTTTTTCATTAAAATATTTAGTAATTTGACTCAAAATGGCTAAGCTTTGAATTTCAAATTTGATTCAAAAATTATTTATTCACAATTATTTATTTAGAAAACGTAAAAGAAATAAAATAAATGAAAACTTTTTATAGATTTTTTTCTGTTCAGAGATCATATAAATAAATCTATCATAAAAAGGAATACTATTTTTATAAATAATAATATAAATAACACTATACTAGCAAAACCTGAATAAAAGTCGGTATTTGGGCTTATATTCATGAATAAATGTAAATTTAAATTTTAAAGGATAATATCTTACATACAAAAAAAAAGTTAATGTACTTTTAAAAGAGTTAATTATTAGAAAGAAAAAAAGATCATATAAAAAACATTTACAATTTAAATACAATTTATTTGAATAAATTTATATAAATCTGCTTAAATAAAATGAAAGAGGTGTAATTCAATCTGCTTAAATATATAGAATGAAATATTTCCGACTTAAATCTAAGTTTTGTTAATAATTAAATTGCAAAAATCATTTCATTTTTTTATATATTAAATTTAACAAAATTATTGAGCTTTTGATATTTAAAAAATATTTATTATAAATATTACAATTATCTTAAAAACTTAAAACTTAATTGAAATTATCTTCTTAGATGTATCATATTTCTAAACAGCAAAATAAAATGAATCTTTTTACTAATTTACAAATATTCTTCTAAAAATTGTTAAAATTTTGTCTGCAATAATTTTAGACTTGAAAGTTATTATCTTTTTTGATGTATTTTTGTTTGCTTTTTTTATATAATATACTTCTAAATTTAAAATACTCAAAATATTTATTAAACTGTAAACTTTAATTTATTTCAAGCATTCTATTTATTTTCAGATTATCTCTCACAATATTTTTTTCTCTCCCTCATATCCTTCTGCCATAAAAGAGATTCATAAAAAAATAAATTTAAATATAAAAGAATAAAATGTTTATCATATATTTTCAGAAAGAAAAAAATATTTTAACACTTATAAATATTTTTATTTGAGGTAAGGTTTGAAATAATAAAGGTATTATTTGTTTAAGTGTATAAATAATTAATTTAATTAATAAAAATATTTATTTTCTCGTTATTAATATAAACATTTAAATTTTTTAAAATTTAATAGAAGGTATTTTAGGAAATAAATTTCGGTTTTACTACTCTATTAAAATCAGTTTTCTTCTAGAAATTTTAAATTTATTCTTTTTACATTTACTTAAACGAAAAATTTATTATAATTGGGTTTCCATCAGAAGAATTAGTACATTTTTGATGGATTGAGAATTTGGAAATTTTATTATTTTATTTAAAAATACAAATAAAGGAAAACCTAAAAAAATTAATAATCAATATTTTCTTTTATTTAATAGATTGATATTAGAAATTTAAATTCACCATACATTGGTACTTTTCCAGATATTTTTCTAATATTTTGAATAATTTCTAATAACGTCAAAAATTTTATTTTAAAAAAGTTGACTTAAATATTTGTAAAGTTGATAAAATATACTTTATAATTAATATAATAAATTAGCTAAAAAGATAAAAGCAAATCATGATATCAACAAAAATCTTTAGTGTGCTTTTTATTTCAGCAAGCTTGTTTCTTAGTACAAATGCTTTACTATCTATCCCAGTAAAGTTTGATTACCAAAAGAATTCTATTTTATTTAATGCTACTTTTGGAACTGAAGAATGTAAAATTGATACAAAGGCTGAGTTCTTTTATTGTAATAATGATATTGATTTTATCAGAACTGGAAGTCATTAGCTTTAAACATGTGGGGCCGTTAAAACTGGAACACATATTTCAGGACTTACTAATTATGTGGCTAATTTTTAAATGGGTAATTTCTAAGCTAAAGTAGTTTTCGCAGAATATAATTCGCCAGATATTTAAAACGTAACTTACTATACAAAAAGCTTATGCTTTGGTAAAGTTACTAACGACAGACAACAATTGTCATTAGTAAAGTAGCTTAATGAATAAGGATTGATTTCTGAGCCTAAAGTTTTTATAACTTTTTTCAATAACTACCTATCATAGTTTACTAAAGATGATATCATTGGATAAATAAACCTTGGCTAACCAAATCCTGATTTCATCAAGAAAGGTTCTAACTTTGTTAAAATGTTTGTTAATAACTCTGATTATTACTAGCTAAATTGTAACTTTTACTCAAATGGAGAGACAACATTCTTTGGTTAAAAAATAAGTGGCTATCTAAGATATTACATCGATTTTGATGATCCTGAATCTACCATAGATACAGATACCTTCAATGAAATGCTGGACATTTTATAATCAAAAAATTATAAAATTACAAAGAGCAAACTCACCATTTTCCCTCAATACTATTTGGATACTATTGAAGGTTTAGAACCTATTAAAATAACAATATTAACAGAAGACATGAGCCCTTACATATTAACAATAGACCCTTCTGTATATACACAAAAAATAGCTAAAGGAGTCTATAAATTGTTATTTTAACCTAGAAGTAATAACTAAGCTTATACTATTGGTAATAGAATTTTAGCTTCTTACTACTTTGGTTATGATGCAAGTACTCAAAACACATTTTTTGCAGAAAGAGTATTAGATATTAACTCTAAAGTTGTAGATTAAAAAGTTGAAATTTTTTCTCAAAACTTTAGAAGTGAAAAGATTTGAGATTAAATAGAAAATCTTACTTAGCTCTCTATATATAATAGAATAAATAAATAATATATATATAAACCTTAGCTCTGTTTTCATTTATATAATTAAGGAAATAAATTCTAATTTTTTTTAATAATTAATTATATTTTGAAAATTTAAATTAGGAAAAAAATAATTAAACAATTAAAATTTAGTAAAAAATACACTTTAAATGAGATATTTTAATTTATTATTGCCTAAAGTAAATTTCTATTCTGTGAAAACACTCACTATGAGAAAATATACTTATAAATACAAACTTCAAATTGACTCAAATTTTATTTAAAGATTTAATAAAGAAAAATAGCAAAATAATAAAATAATTAATTAGAACGAAAAAATTATTGATTATATAAATTTTATTCATCATATTTAGATAATTTACTTAAAATGGTTAGGTTACAAATTTTTTTTTAAAATAACAATTAAATTTTTAAAAAATGTAAATATTTTTATTAATTTTTTTTTGCTCAGAAATCTTAAAAATAAAAATATCTTAAAGAGGAAATAATAATAAATATGTATATCGTAAAACCTCTTTTTAATTCGCAACCCGCAAATTCAAAAAATTTTCGATTTATAGAGGTTACCAAATTTGATCAAATTGGACTTTTTCTCAGATATTTGGCTTGGCATTTTGAGGAATTATAGTAATAAATTAATCGAATTTTTTAAAGATTATTATGTTTTAAATGACTTATAAAAATTAGAATAATAAATAATTTTCAATAAAAATCAAATCAATTAACTAAATTGATTTTTTTTAATATTTTAATCTTATCAATCAATAGTAAAATACAATCTTCAAATTAAATAAACATTTTTTTTCTTTATTATATAGTAGATATCATATTTTTATACTGAAATTATTCAAGAACCTACTAATTTAAATAATTTAATATTAGATAATTGCAGAATAATTTTCAATATTATTATAAATTTGATTAATAATGATAAAAATTAATATCAGGAATCTTATTATAAAGCAAAAGAAAATACAAAATTCTACGTAGTACTTATTTATCTATTTACAAAAAATAATACATTTAATTTTTTAATAATAATCTCACATATTTTATAATTATTTATCTTCCTAAAAGACTTAATTTGATTGATTTTCTTTAGTTTCTAAGTTATTCGTAATAGTAATGTATTATTTAAGTTACATTTTTTTATCTTCTTCATCATCATCACCTGCTTAAGATTTCTTAAATAAAAATATTTTTAAATTTAATGCTAAAGTAAAAAAAAGTTACTTACATTAAAAATCAATTGTTAAATTGTAGTTTTTTATTTGTTTTGAGAAGGAACATATTCAAATGATCTAATATCATTTACGTTATTTTAAGAAAGCATTTCAAATGACTAGTTAATTTTAAATTATAAATTAAAATAATCTTCAAATTATTTAATAAATTTTACAAGAATTTCATGATTTTCATCTTTTTCTGACTTATTGTCTGAAAATTTTACTTGATGTTATTCTGAGTTTTTGTGATATTATTTAAAGTTTACTTCACTGTTAGCATAAGAATAAATTTCAAGTACGCTTTTCTTTTAATTTTTGTTTGATACGTTGCTATTTGGCATCCTTAAATTATTTTATCTCATTTATATTTTAATGTTTCTTTCACTTGTCAACTTTTTAATAGGATTATCTTATTCATCTTTGTGCTATATGTCTAAATCGAACTACATTACAGTAAATCCAAACAAATCACTTATTCTTAACTATACTGTGCCTATATCTTTATTTGTTGGTGTTCCCCATAAATATATAACATCATCAATTATATCACATTCAAGCCAAGATGGAAGTGGTGAGTTATGATATAATCCAATAGGCTTATAATCTATTTCTAAGCATCTTTTTATACATTGACAAGATCCTTTGTCCTTTATATATGCGTTAACACTAATAAGATCAGAAGAAAGTAAGTGCAAGCTTTCTCCTCTAGATGGCGAGAATCTAAAAGGTTATTTTACAATTATTCCATATACCTCAAAAGTTATCAATTCTTTCAATAAATTTTTATCACATATAATTTTACACTCCTCTAGATCTTTGTTGATTAAATCATCTAAAAATTCAACTTTGGGAAAAGGATTTTAATTTGGAACATTCAAAGATATTGCAGCTTGAGTTTAGTTTACATGATCTTTAGCATCAAAAATATGAATTGATTAAGATTAATTCTAGCTAGTCTCAAATTCTCTTTTTTTAGCTTTCCAGTTTGAATCTATATTTATTCTTACATATTTTCTATACCAATTTTTTTAATTCTTTAATTATTAAATACTTTTCTTTTTTAAACTCTCAAAACCTTTTAAGACAGGTTAATTTTAAGGTAGCTTTAAATAAATATCTAGTATGTAAACTTACAGGATATAATTTAGACGAGAAAATGGAAAAATAAACTCCTGCTCCTGTATATATGGATATTCCTTTTGTTTCTAATTGTAGATTTTTTCAAGCTCCATAATCAAATCTTCCAAAAACTCTGCCTTTTTTTAATTATAACTTTCCCATATTTTCTTTTTATAATCTTTATTTTATTTTTTATAAATTTTCCATATTTTTTAGAAATCAGATTAAATCGAGCTCATTAGCACTATTTTTTTTCTGTATTCCTCTCCAATATACGCATGCTCTTTCATATAAGAATATTATTTCTTCATTAAAAGTCTATACATAATTAAAAATTATTAACATTAAATTGTTTATTTTCTTACTTATTTACCTGTAAAAAAATGAACGGTATCTCCATAAACCTAAAACACCAATAATAGGTCCAATAATTTAAAATAACAATTAGACTATTAATCCAAGAGGCATAAGTCTAAAGTCCATAACAAATTCATCCTAAGCAAAAGTATATCCGTCTGAGGCAACTACTCTTATTCTATACGTATTAAATAATTCAGATTATGGTATAATGCCTATAAATGTCTTAAAAAAAATATTTTAGATTGTTATAATAAATAATTTAAATAATTTATAAATAAAATTTTCTGATTTAAATAATTATTAAATTGTGTTATATTATGTTTTGTAAAAAAAACTATTAATTTGTATTATAAATTAAAAATTTAGATTTAATGAATTTAAATAATTTACTGCTTATCTTGGATTAAATTATATTTTATCTGAAGTCTCAGTAATTGGCTCTAATGAATTAGAATGCACAAAGTAAGCTGAATAAATTAAATCGTTATTATAAGAATCTAAATCAACAAAGGTTTATGAATCCAGTTTAAAATTGAATTATTCAGCAACATACATACCTGATTTTGAGAATTAGTTATTAAGTTAATCCTATATATTTTTATTTAAAACTACAGGTTTATTTAATGCTATAAAAGTTAAGTTAAGTAGAGAATCTTAGGAGTTAATATCAAAATTACTACCATCTGATATTGTATAGCTAATTTAAATATCTTCTAATGCTGTTAAATTTGCAACTTATATATTTTAGTTGAGAATTATATTAACATTTTATAATGAGCCTTCTAATTTTAATTAGTCTTATGAGTCTGAAAATGAAGCTAATACTCCTTAAAAAGATTTTTTGATGAATGCTCCATTAGGCTTAGATTATCCCTATTTAGGTAATATAGTAAACAGTACACTGACACTTTAAGAAGGAGTTTCAATTACTTAATCTAATTTAGTATTTTTATTTATTATCAATGAAGACGTAACAAAAAATTTGATAGGATATAGAATTCTTGAGTATTTTAACAGATTTTATATTCCATTTTATATTTACTAATCAATAGGTTCAAATTAAGTCTTTGGAATATTCAAGAACGTATAAAAATCCAAATAAAATGGTCTTGATGGATCGAAAGACAGATTTAAAAATTATTACTAATTTAGAAAGTTAGCTTGTATTAAGCATTAGATAATTCCTAAAGCTAAGTTGAGCTAAATTACTGGATGAATAGCCATAATTTATTAGTAAGTTATTTAAATTGAAAGCTGTAATAGGACGATATTTTCTCCTAATTTATTACTTGAAACTTAGTCTTTATCTACTTTGATAATTAACTACTGCTAAATTGAATTAAACTACATGTATTATGGTAAGTTTTTAATTTCATAATTCTGATAATTAAAAGCATTTTCATAAATGATTTCTCGTTCAGTGTAAACACTTGCAAAAGTAATCTATATAGTAGAACCTACCTTTAAAGCCTCTCCAATATTCATATCTCTTTATTTCTAAGAACTGTTAATGTTACTTAATATTTCAATATATTGGCTATGAATATATGTATGTGTATCTAAAGGTAAAATCCTCATTCCCTTGGCACCTTCAATTATTACAAATTAATTTAAAATTAAAAAAAAACAAAATTACAATTTATTAAAATTTGGAAATAAGAACAAAAAATTTTTTCATTCTTTAATATTTTGTAATAAAAAATGAATTTGTTTAGATATCTATAAAATGTTATCACCATCATATTTTTTATAATGAGATTTGCTAAAAAAAACTAAATACCAATGAAAATCGCCGCTGAATAGTTTGGAGTTGATGCAATTGAGAAGCTGTGTTCATCTAAAATAGAAAACTTTGCTAGTATATGAGGTTTATCTTTTTGGGAAATGTCTATTGCTACTACTTATCCTTTTTCAGCTGTACAGGCAATTATATATTTTTCATTAAACATTGTAAATGAATCTATAGCCCAGCCATCGACAGGAATAGAAGAAACTATAAAAGGCTAAAAAGGGTTTTGAATGTTGATTATTGTTATTCCTGTAAATCCATTTGATAAGTATGCATAATTTTCATCAGAAGAAAGTTTTACTGTTTCACCAGCCATTTGGAAGACAGCAGACGCCATTTTTGGTTAATAAGGATCTGAAATATCTAATATTATCAAACCAACTTCTAGTGAAGCTAGATAAGCATATTTACTGTTTTTACTCAACTTTACTTTTTTTACATTTGAACTTAATAAACTAGGTAAATTACTATATTTTTTTGGGTTCTTGTAATCTCTAAAATCAGCTAAACCTATTCCAAATTCAGAATTTCCTATAATAACTATACTCCTATCTTCATTCATGTCAAATCTAAATTAAATTATCAATTTTAATATAAAAAATAATTTTAAGATTTTACCCATCACTGTTATTTTGAAGATTTGGATTTGGTGCGTAGGTTGTAATTAAATTAGGATTTTTTTTATCAGTTATGTCATAAATATGAACTCCGAGCTAACTTCCACCAACAAACAAAATATTTTCGTTGCTTGGCTAAGCATAAACATAATCTTGGGAAGTTCCGCCTTAAGACTTTATAGTAGAAAGCCAAACAGGATGATCGATATCAGAAATATCATATAATTTAGTACCTATCAAGCCAACATTAACAGCTGCTGTCTTCCCATCTTAGAAAATATGAAGATGGTATGGCCAAAATTCAATACCCAGAAAAGTTAGAGTGCTTTAAAAAGAATTAAAAATATTTGGAAAGTCTCTATTCAGATTTGGAGTAACTTATTTATGTATTACCAATTCAAGTCCATTGTTAATTAAAAAGTAATTATTATTAGATGAAAATACAAAAGATTTCATTAGATAACTACCATCTAGCTGATAAACTATTTATGGATTCTTTTTCATTGTGGGTTAGCTGCTTATATCGTATATTTTAAAGCCTACAGATTTTATTGCAAACACCAAATATTTCTTATCTGAACTTAAAATAGCCCCTGATATAACAAAACCGGGGTATTAGACTATCACATTAAATACTAATTACAAAGTAGATGGAGGATTTGGTGAGGTAACAGAGCTAATGTCCGCATAATATAATCCATACCAACCATCAACAACATAAAGAATATCTTCATCTTAATGGAGAGCAGTTTGATATACAATCCAATTTGGTGTTTGTAAAATGATTTATTATATCTTATTTAAATTACTAATGTTGTATATACCAACACCAAATTATCCTTATGAAGCAAAAGCAAATGTTTCTTCTTTATTAGCAATTATATCATAACACGCCGAATTACTAGTTCCTTTTAAATTAAAATTAGTGGGTAAATTTTAATATCATACAAAAATACCATGTTAAAAAATATAATTATATTAATAATAGATTAATTTAAATTAAGTATAATGTCATTCTTTATTTAGTTCATTAGCTGCTGTTTTGATCCATCAAAATATATTTAAAAAAATTTAAAAATGTCTATAAATAAATTAACTAAAAAACCTTTAGTTTTATCAATTTCTATTTTAAGTATAATCTATCAATATAAGTAAAATTAATTAGAAATAAAAAGCAAAGATTTATGTAGAATATTTTTTTTGAGTAAAGAGAATAAATAAGTTCATTTACCTGACTAAGAAAGTATTTTTGGTTAAGTTTTTTCACTCACATCAACAGAAAACATAATACCATTTCCTATTACTAATAGAGTATCTGATTTTTTCAATTTTAAAGCACTTTAAATAGGTTATGAAAAAGACATTTAACCTACAATGTTTATTTAATTGATATTTTATATATTATATATGCTTAATCCAGCTATATCATCTACTACATAAGCATACTGAGAATCAAGAGCAATATATCGTACATCGTAACCCTTAACTTAAATTATGAGAGAAGGATTAAAAGGATTACTAACATTAAAAACTAAAAATCCGCCTGTTAGGCATGATAAAAAAGCATAATTATTATCAGGCGTTAGCGCTATGTGAAATCCTGCTCCCGATTAATATTATTTAAGCTCTACAATTGATATGGGTGAAGCGCTTAGCAACAATAGATTTGCTTCATTTAAAATTTAACTAAATAATTATTTGATTATGCTAAAAGAAATTAGAATTTGGAGGAGGATTTGATTTAGTTTCATTTTGTAATACTTAATAGCAATATTTTATAAACTAATTTATTTAACAAGGATATAATATTAATGAATTAATATATATGTTAAATTTTTAAAATCTTTGTAATTTCATTTTCATTGTAAATTCATGAAAGTTAATCAAAAAAAAGAGTAATGACTAATAAGATAATATATACTGGATAATTTTAATTAATTATGGTTTCTCCTACTTGAATTCGTATAATTAAATAAAATTTACCATAAAATATTATTACTCCTTTGAGAAAATTTAAATTATTCCTTCTAGTAAATAATAAATGATATCAAATCAAAATAACAAACATAAAATATCGAAAAAAACGTCATTTTAAATAAAATAGTAATCAAAAATTTTCATTTTGATTCTAATTATTATCAATTTAAATAATTATGAATAATCAATAGCACCAATTAAGTTAATGTAAGCAAATAACCAAGATGGAATTAAATTTTATGATATTCATTTGATATTATCTAAAAATTTGTGATTAAATTTATTGAACAGAGTTATTAAAAATAAATTAAATTTAAAGTTAAGGAAAATTTGTAAAGTAAAATTATTGAGAGAAATTCACCCACAGAAAACAAAGATTTTTTAATTAGTATAATTAAAAAATTAATCAGTTAAATTGTCTTTTTTTTCTAATTTAATTAAATATTCATTAAAAAAGTAACAAATAAAAGCTAAGAAATCTAAATACCTTAAATTTGTTTACTAACTTTAAACACAATTTATCTTATTCAAGAAACAATACATTATTTTATTTTTTATAGAATAAAATTAATTAAGTCGATAAAAAAGAAATAGTTAGAAAATTAATTGCTTGTAATTAACAAATAATAAATTACACAGATTATTAAACGCTGTTATATTATCAATCTTTTTCATAACTTTTATACTTTAAAATGTAGTTATTTCAAAGATAAATAAAATTATTATTTGCAAAACATCTTTTAAATAAATGTAAATAATTGGACTTTTTATTAATTTAGAAATAGTATAATGTAAATTTATCTTTTTAAGCTAAAGTATAAAAATATATAGTTTATGAATAAAGTAATAAATTTTGTATATATTTATTTAATCATAAGTTTTAGTAGATTTTACACATATTTGTAATTTATTAATCCTTTTCTCTAACATAATCACTCACCATTTCAAATTTTCCCAAGTGCCTTTCCCAATATCTCAAGTTCTCGAGGGGGATATTATTTTTAACAAAATAAGGTATTTCTTCCTTGTATGCAATTTTCAAGTCCTTAAAGCATTAGTTTTTGTATTTATTCTTGTCAATATTAGTGTTAATCATGTATTTGTAAATTATTTTTTCAATTTGCTCCAAGTCTTAGTAAAACTCTGATTACATACAAATTTTATTGTCAAAATTCTTTTAATCTACAAATTCTCTTAGATTTTTATAGAAAAACTATAACAATTTAACAGATTCATCACTTAACTCGAACCAAAGACCTTTTCTTCTCTATTGATTCTTAATTTTTTATTTATTTTCTTATATTTCTTTTTTCAGCTATACAAATTGCATTACGCTGATAATTTGTTTTTCAAAGAGCTCTAGAGTCATATCTTTTCTAATTTCGTTTTCAATAAATATAATTTATTTTATGATAGGACTGAACCCTCTTATTTACTATATCATAAGACTTGCTCTTTTATTTGAAGAAATTAATTGCACGAATTCTTGTAACGTGTAAAAGAACTCTTTAATAAAAATAGAATGGTCAGGAGAAAGCATGCTATTGAACTTTTCTAAATCTTTTTTGAATTATAAACGGTTCTAGTTAGTCCCTCTGTTCTTTTTTAAGCTAGCCATTAGACCTATTTAATTTTTAAATTATTGGGCTTAAAGGATTTATTATGCTACTTTCTTAAGTTTTTAAGAAGTTTTAGATTATTCTTTATCTCTATCAAGGATGTTTTCAATAAAATCAAGATGCTCTTCGATATTTTTTTCCATCTTCTTCTGACCAAATCCATTATCTAAATTAGCTTAAGCTATCCTTAAGCTATTTTATTAGTTTAAATAATTTAAGTAATGATATAAATCTTGCTAATTATATCTTTAATCCATGCTTTTGCGAGAAAATTTATTAGTTGTTTTTTCTGCTTGAATATTTAGGCTATAGCTCTTCTATTTATTTACTTATTTTTGTAGAAAAGTTTAATTTTATTTAATTTCATCTCTGCTGTTACTGTTACTGTTACTATTACTTCTACTTATACAATCTTGATGCTTATTTTATTTGTATTCAAATAGCTTTTCATATACTTAATCATCATAGCTTTTTTTTGGATAATCTGATTGAAATTTGCTACTTTCACTGAGTAATGTATCTTCAATAAGTACATCTTCAGCTGTTTCAAGATCATATTTAAATCTAATTTGTTTCTATGTTTATGAATTGCAGCTGCTTTCTTAAGTATCAGCTAAATAAGAAAAGTTATTTGGAGATTCTTATTATGACAATTTGGCAGGAATAACTAATGAAGCAGAAGATTTAGATTTCTAGTTATTATTGGCAAAGCTATATGAAGTATTAACAGTTAAATCTTCATTCTTATTTAAGTAATTCTTCTCTAAAGATAGATTTTCATTTATTGTTACTTTGAAGGGTAAAGAAAAATCATGAGATAGTTATTTTTATTTTGCCATTTCTAATTTAGATTCTTTCATGCCGCTTTTCATAAAAGGCCTCAATTATTCTGAATTAATATCATTAATTTAAGGCAAATTTAACTTTTTTTGTTAGATTGAGGCTGAACAATCTACAGTTTTTAAATTATGCTTCGAAAAAGTTCTACTTAATTTTGGAAAGCAATAGTAATTTTATTCATAATCGATTCCCGTCTTTAATTTAAATGAAGGCTCTTCGTTACTTAGCCTGCTTAAGCCAGTGTAGCTATTATTATTTTTTTTTAAAACTTTGATTTACTGTTAATCAGTGATAAAAGGGCTTTCATTTTTCTATTTTTAAAAATATGTTACTAAAACATGCTTACAATATATCTACTTGAAATAATTTTTTCATGTAGAAATGAGTAGCTTATAATTTATTTTAAACAAAAAATGGATAAATTACATTGTTGCTGGCTTAAAGCTCTTTAAAAATATATTCTTTATCAGAAGATTTGTTAGTATAAAATTTACCACTTGCTTTTAGGTAATTTTCTACTTACAAAAGCTTAATAGGGATCGGCTATTATTTTTAAGGCTATTATGTCATAAATACTCTGGAATTGATTATTAATATTTTTATTTATAAAAAGAGTTATCAATCTTTTTTCATTCCTTTAATCTAATTTAATAAAGAATAATTAAAAAAATAATGATAATTACTTTTTACTGTCTATAAAAGTACTGATTTCTGCTATACATACAGTTTGATAAACAAGCTTTTAAAATATTATATTAATTATTTATTTTAAAGTTTCGTTTATTAATTTACCATTATAATTAAAACTTCAAAGTGGTTAAAAATATTTCTTAAATAATTTTTAAATAAAATGATTCTTCAAATATATTTAATTACACACTTATTAATTTAATAATTTGCATCTAAGTATATTTATATTTATGAGATAGTATTAAATTAAACACATAAATAAAATATATTAACATCAAAAGAAAAATTAACAAGTTCAATAATTTTTTTAAGGCAAAACACAAAAATAGCAAGATAAACATTTTTATTTAAATAAATGATTCATAAATATCAGCAATTAAATAAATTAAAATCAATCGTAATTTACTATAAATTTTTCTTATCTTGTAAGAAATTTAAAATATTTCTTAAAACACCCTAAAATATTCAAATAAATATATTTTAAATTATTATTTTTAATTCTAAAACTAAGTTATAAAAATATAAATATGTAATATGCAATCAACCAAGATAAAATATCAAAATAAATTTTCAAATCTATTTATTTAGTTAAAAGTAAAATTAAAGCAATAGGGTTCGTCTAAGCAAATATCTATATAAAAATTAATTAATTAAATAGAAAAGCAAACGCATAATAAAAAATTCATTTGAAATTATAAAATATAAACATAAAAATTTTGTATCTAACTTAATTTTAAAGCCTTTTAATAAATTAAAAGAAATATTTAGAATTAGGTAATTGTTATTATATTAAAATAAATAAAGTCTAACTCTTTTGATTTATATTGTGAAGACCTATTAAATAAATAGTTATTTATTAGATTTAAAGAATATTTAATAAATTTGTTACTTATTTTATTTTCTCTCCAAAATATTTATTTTTTCAAAATTCAATAAATGGTAAAAAAGCTCTTGAATTGATTTTCAAATTTCAAAAAAAATAATGAAATAGATTGATTGCTTTTTGAATTTAACGTGAAATTAAAAAAATCAGGTAAATCTAAAGTTGCAAAATTTTAATTTTAAATTATTTAATAGATAATTAATTTATTTTTTGACAAATTATCAATTTACAAGCAAATTTTAGGAATAAGAAATGCTAATAAATTTAAGCCTAATTATAAATACTTTAAAAAATTAATAATCAAACATTAATGGTTTCATATCTTGTGATAGTAGAGAAAAAATTTTATTTGTTCATCGATCTTTTTGAGACTTTGCAAGATTTTTAATCTATTCAGTTTTAGGAACAATCTGATTAAAAGATTTTGTGTTTTTTTGATAAATATAAAGTAATTTCAAAAAAATAATTAATCTTTTTAATTACTTTAAACGTAAACTAAATTGATTTAATTTTTGTTTTGATGAATCCTAATGAGATGTATTAAATCATCAGATAATTTAATATTTTCATTCTAAAAATAAAGATGATTTTATTAAATCATTCTTGTGCAAAAAAAAATCATATAATTAAATAAACGCGAAATTAATTATTAATAGAACAACTATTTATCGAAATTAACAAAAATAAGCTATTGAACATTGGTTATTAAAAATCTTCAAACTTTGTATAGGTAAAAGTTTAGTGGCGAAGTTAAATAAAAATTGTATTGAAAGTTATAAAATGAGCGTGCTACAAAAAAAGAAGACACTTGAAGGGCTTTAGCTCTCTGTTTCATAACAAAAAATTGAGGATGTAATGTAATAAACTAGCAATTTAATTGATTAAAAATTTTCTTAATTTGAATATAATTAAATTCAATTTTTTAGAAAATGAAAATCATATTAATTAGCATTTGTTAATAATAAATGTAGGTCTGTTGAAGGATCTTTTATTGGAGATAATTTTGTTTTAGATTAAAAAGGAATGAGTATTTAAGGAAGTTATTAGCAATATGATACTTAGCATAGCCATATGAGCGTAGAAGAAGAATTAAATTTAGAGGAATGTTAGCGCTAATTCAATAATTTGGAACTCAAAACTGACAAAGATGGATTTAAAATCCCTTTGACTAAAAAGCAAGTTTAAGAATAGCAAGATAAAATAAAAGAATAAAAAAAAATAGAAAAGTAATAATAGAATATTTTGCAAAACTAATAATATGATCTTCAACAATTATGCACTATACAAATTAGTGAAGTTAAGTGTATATAGTTATTAGGTAGCGGTTCATCTGGAACTGTCCAGAGAGGTATACATGAAAAAACTGGGCTTGAATTGGCACTTAAAGTAATTGCTTTTTTTTAGAAAATGAAAAAGAAAAAAAATATTTTCAGTTTTAATAAGAATTGAATTTTTTTATTAAATTTTGTAAAATAGTTCACATAATTTATTATAAATAGTATATAAATTTGCACACAGATGACTAGTTTAAAAAATAAATAAATCTAGAATTAAATACACTCATTCATTGCAATAGTGAACATATAATAAAATGCTATGGAGCTTGCTTTGATGTGAGCAGATTTTATTTAAATATTAAATTGAAATACTGTCAATCTTCCTATATTCTCACCCAATTAAATATTCAACCATACAATTTTTTTTGACTTACCCACAAAACACAGGTTGAACTTGAGGTGAAGGTGGGCGAAAATATAAAAGGATTTACAGTATTTCATAAAATTTTAAGTAAATTTTTTTAATCATAATTTTATAGCAAGGAAAAATCACAATTGCACTTGAATATATGGATATGGGAACATTAGGAGATTTAGTTAAAAAGTTTAGTAGAATACCTGAAGTAATTATAGGTATTATTACTCATTAGGTATAGTTATATTTATTACTTATTGATTATTTGTTATAATATTTATTTTTAAACCTCAAAAAGGTTTTAAAAGGATTGGAGTATTTGCATAAAACAATGAAAGTTATTCATAGAGATATTAAACCGTCGAATTTGCTTGTTAATTCAAGTGGTATAGTTAAAATTGCTGACTTTGGTGTAAGTGGAAAAATAAACCATACTCTAAGTACTAAAAATTCTTGGGTAGGTACAGTATAATATATGAGCCCAGAGAGACTATAAGGAAACAATTATAGCTCTGATACAGATCTTTGGGCTTTAGGCATTACAATTTTAGAGTTAGCATTAGGAAAAATGCCTTTTTAAGGTATGGGATACTGGGAATTGATTAATTCTATCACGCAAGGAAATATTCCATAATTACCAGACGAATATTCTGATGAATTGAGAGACTTGTTAAATATATTGTAATTTTAATTTGTAAAATAAATATAGATAAAATTTTAACTTAATTTTAAAAAGGCTCCAAAAAGAGAGTGGAAATAGATCTAATGCAACCGATTTATTAGTAATCATAATTTTTCATATAAAAATTAATTTATAGTTAATTATTTAATTTTATAGAACCATCCTTTCGTGCAAGACTATGTAGATATTGAGCCTTCATATTTTGTTAAGTGGATTTAGAAAGGAAATCACTGAAATTATTTAAATAAAAACACATTAATTAAATAAGTTATGAATGTATGATTGCATGGATGAATGTAATTTTGAATCTTCTTTTCGGTTTTTATTTAGAGTAATTAAGTGTGGTTTTTTTCCTTTGCTCTATCGTTAGTTCTATTATTCTTAGTAATTATGCAATTAAAAAATGCTGATTATATAAAAAATTTGATAAATACCCTAATTTAATTTGATATAAGATTATTATATAAAATGAAATATATAAAACACTTTAGTTAAATATGTTTATTAGTATTAAAAATAATTTTGGCTTATATTTTAGTATTATTTTTTTAAGCTTTATTAAAATTATAACCAATTTTTCTTTTTAAAATTATTAAATGCTCTTTAAAAAACTACTTCTCCCATAAAGTTATTTTATTTATGGGCATTAATTTTTATAGCTATTTCTATCAATTTAAATCATTCATCTTCTTCATCTTCTTAGTTTACTTCTTTAACAGATCCATCATTATAAAAATCAATGCCTTCAGGGAATTAATTACTTTCAAATTTAGATTTCAATTTGTTCAAGCTTACTAGTCCATTTGATTGAAGTGCAGAGTTAATTAAATGCTCAGTAAATGGGTTTTTGGTTCCACCAAATATGTTGATATCTATATTATTGACTATATTTTCCTTTGAAACGAAGTAATCATTATTATTTTTTAAAACCTTAGGATTCTCTTCTTTAGGGAAACCTAATTAATTTTATTTTTATTAGTATTAATTTTTAAAAATTATTATTTACCAAATAATGTGCGGACATCAACACTTCCTTTTCCTTTATTCTTTTAAACCTTGCTGTTAATATAATCAGTTATCTATTTCAACTACAACAGATAAGAATCTTTAGTAACAGGATCAGATTTTACTGAGTTTACTTCAATAAATTTCCATTCAGGAGCTAATATTTATAAAATTTTACAAATTAAATTGATTTCACACATAAAATTAAATAATATATTACTTGATACACAGAGAGCACCAATATCCCAATATATATCATTTCCTCTAACTATCTAAGGATGGCTCTTAGGCACTTCAATAAAGTGCATTTTAGTTGAAGAGGTAATCACATATAATTTTACTGAGGAAGGTGATAATAAATTAATGTCATGTACTTTTGCAAAAATTCTATAAACTCCCTTTTCTAATAAATTATTAAAATATTAATTTAATATTTTCATTTTTTTACTATCAAATCGTCAATTTTTACATTTAATTTTTTATATTTTTATAACTGAGCTTCTTTGTTCTGGGTCATCATTAATTACAACTTCTTTTTTCTCTTTTTCAGCTTCTTTTTTAGAAGGAGCTATAGTGATGCCATCTGGAGTAATGACATTTAATGTCATGATTTTTCTATCAGCATCAGTAAGCATCAACAAATTAACTTCACTATCCTTTTCAGGTTTTCTGATTAAAGGAAAAGATAAATCTTTCATACTATTTATATTCATAGTAGTTGGACCATAATCCTCCATAATTGTGAGGAAATCTAATTTCAAATTAATATATAAATTAATAAACAAAAAAAAATAATTTTAATCTAAGTAGTTAAGTAAGTAAATACCATCATGTTCTATTTTTATGGTACCCTTAGTGAATCCGTCTAATTTTATTACACATATTCCATCATCATTTGTTCTCATTTCTATTTTTTCTTTTACTTCATCTTTAATCTTTAATGTTAAATAATATTTAATATTGAAAATTCATCTTTTTATAATTAAACAAATAAAAATATTTCACCTCAATTTTACAGTTTTAAATGTTATTTCTGAAGTTTCCTGCTTCATAAATTTAAATTATAAGCTCTTTCTTTGGATTGAGATTGCCAGATTAAGGTCTTGCAGAGCTTGGACGATTATTTCTGTTGTTTAATGAGGAGTTTTATAATCCTTGCTATTACTGATTTGTGTTATTATTTGTCTGCTTTTTATTATACGTCTAGCTCTAATTTGCTTACATGTTTGAAGAATCAAAAGCTAACTTTAATTCCTAATTACCAAATTAAAATGTATGGTCTTTTTCTATAGTACCATACACTGGATGCTCAACTACTACTCTATATTTACCTGGATCTAATGTAACTTCAAAAACTTTAGCTATTCTACCTAAAATTTCATAAATAAATTCAAAAAAAATTCTAAATGCTTATTTTAAATTTACCTTCTAATTCATTTTCTTCATCACCTTCCTTACATATTCTTATTATAGCTTCAGTAGAGCCTTTAACCTAAGAATTAGGCTCAAATTCAAGAATAAATTTAGCGAAAGTATATTCCACAGGCTATAAATGTATTTCTTCTAAAATAATTCCATCCTATTGGGACTCCTCTTTCCATTTCTTAAAAATATCTATTCTCTATTAAAAAAAAAAAAATCACTTTAAAGAATCAATAGTGAAATATTCGAAATACATCTCTATAAGCTCTAAAGTCGTTAGTTTCTTTGATTTCTATATTGTATACATCAAAAGGAAGGTCTTTGAAGTTTACTATTCCTTCAGTTGAACTTTTTTCTTTAATTTCAATAGTTTTTCCATTAGTTTGATAACCTTCATTTTAAGGTAATTGGGAATAACTTTATACTGTATAAGCACTTTAAGCACTTAAAGGCCTAACACTTGATCTAAATAATGCGCTATTTGGCCTACTCTTTGACATGGTACCATCGAATCCCGTTACTCTTGACCCTCCTATTTCTTTTAAATGAAATATTTATCAATTTAAATTCTTGAAGTTATTAATATTAATTACATGATCTATCAGGATCTAAAGTCTAACTTTACTAAGGATTAACATATGAATTTTAATTTTGTTGCTATGTATAACCACTTTGGTTAATTTTACGGTAAGGTCTTAATATAACTTCTACATTGAAAAGTTTATTTTCTGAAGTACGTTTTTAATCATCGCGAAGGCTTTGAGGATCAATAAATTCATGAATAAGCTATATTGTTAAAGTACAAGTTCCCATATATTTTCTAATTTCATTCAAGACACTGAGCGTTGAGGGCCAGGTCTTTGTTTTAAGCTTAGAAAAAAGTATGTTCTTCGTAATTCTTCCATTTTTATTAGAACAAATCTATACTTCCATAGCTCCTAAACGAGATCTAGCATAAAGATTTTCAATTGAATGGTCTTAATTTTCTGTTATCAAAGGTTTCATATAGACTTTAATTACAGGGTAATGTCTTAAGATTTCTTTTTTGAGGTTTTATGCAATATATTCATATTTCTTTTCATCATGACGAGTAGTGCCTTGGTGCTCATGGCAATTGGTACTAAAGAATAAATACAAAATTATTAAAAATTAATTTAGAAAAAATTAACACAATTTAATGTTAATTTTTATTTCAAATAAAACATTATTTTACCAATATTCAATAGTCACAATAAACTCTCCATCCCTAATTTTTTCATATTCACCCCAATTTCTGATTCCATCCTTTTGCATTTTTTATACTTCCTATCTATCTTAATTTAATTTAACTTCATATGCGTTATCTGGGAATGTAATAGCTAAACCAGTGTCATCTGATTCATATTTCCTATTTAAATTCAAAAATCAAACTTAATGTTAATTTTGAAATCCTTATTTAAGTAATATTTATAATTTTGCTTCTAATAGCTAATATTTACAAAGTTAAAATGCTACATCTTAAAATTATAAGTTTTAAAATTTAAAAAATTTTAAATATCAAATAAACACATTATTAATTATTTACATTCTTCTAAAGAGACCAGGAGATATCCATGCACAACTGTGTATATTATGCAAAAAATGATTGTCTAAAACTCTATTATATATTTAATTATGGTTACTTCAATATAAAAGATGAAAAAAGATTTGCTATATTGTTAATTTATAATTATCACTGGCTAATTTATAAACAGACAGATCAAAAATTCATGCATTTTTTATTCAAACACTTTAGTAAAATATAATAAATTATACCTTGAGTTCTTTAGTTCCATCATTTTTTATTAGTTTTTAGATTTTTTAACAATTTCTGAACGCAACTATAGAGACTTAGTAGGTGAAATAAGATGCTTGATTGCTGCATCTTTTTCTTCTTGGGTCCTCAAATCTTTTACCTTTGGCTGCTAATTTCTGTATAAAAATGGGAATTGTGAAGCTGACTTTGAATGGCTGAGTGCTGATTAAGCAGTTGAAGGACGATTTTTCTAATGCTAATTGGCTTCATAGTTAGTCTGGCCGTTGCCATCGTAATTAACTTCGCTTCTGTAATATGGATGATTGTTGTTGTTATTTTGCATTGTACCTATTTATCTAAACTAAGCTAATTGATTTGATATTCGATTAATTAATTAATGAATTTATTATTTGAAGAGTTATTTTCTTTATTATTATCTAATTAGTTAGCTTTTAGATTTTCTATTTAATTATTGTTAATGATCTTTTTATTTAACTATACTTGATTCCAAATTTCTTGATGATCAATTTTTACTTGCTTTTTATGTTCCAATTCATTCATGCAATAATACATAAATCGATAGTATGTGCTTTCTTATTTTATATTCAGCTATTTGGTGTTTAATTGATTGATTGATATATGAAACTGATCAAAATAATTAGCATAATCTTTCATTTTGAAAACAAATCTATTTATTTTTCATTTGAACAGCTTTAATTAACATAATATTTACTGATTTATACTTAATCATTCATTTACTCAAAACAAAATAAAGATTATTTAAAATATCAAATAATTTTTTATTCTAATAATTAATTTTCTTTAACTTTTTAATCAAATCTAGAATGTATAAAAAATGTTTCACAATCGAAATAAAATTAGCATAATTAGTAATTCATCCTTACAAAATACATCTTTTTTTATTTATTTTTTCAATTACAACTATATAATTTAGTCATTCATTTTATTAATCATATCATTTATTCTAAAATCTAAATTTCAACGAACCGAACTTAGCTCAGTTGGAAGAGCATCGGACTGTAAAGTTTGTAGTCATCCGGTGGTCCCCGGTTCGAACCCGGGAGTTCGGATTTTTTTTTTTTTTTCATAAAAAAATAAAACTTGATACCAAAAGAAAATATTTTTGAAAATAAAAACAAACACAAAGACAATTTTTTCAAAATAGTTTAATTTAAACTAAATGACAAGTAAAAAAATTTTATAAAAACAGCTAAAAAAGCTAAAATAAAAAATATCAACAATATAATTTTATAATAAATTTATGTATTTTTTTTAGTTTATTTTTACACAAATGTATGGAAATATTTTATATTATTTCTTGTAAGCTTTCAAAAATTGTTAATTTCTTCAATTTTTAAATAAATTAATCTCAAAGCTTTTTTTAAACTTGAATAAAGCTTTGTGTTTACTGAGTTAATTTCGAATCTATTACTATTTGAGTTAAATATTATTAAAAACAGTATTTTAAAATAGAAAATTAATATCATACTCTAAATTGAGAGATAAAAATTTTAAACTTGAAGCATTCCTCAGCAACATTAGTATTTGCTAATTCCCATCTAATGTCAACTTATTTTCACTAATTTAGTTTTTAATTAAAATTTAAGATTAATAATTATTTAAGTAATACTTTTATATTAATTACTATGCTATCAACTCCAAAAAATAAAGATTCTTCAAGCTTTAAATTGTTTATCCTAGCTTCTAAATGCCAATTACAGTAATAGAGTTTGAACTATTAACATTTTAATTAGTATAATATTTAAAAAATGAATAAGACTACCTAATGTCCAAGTAGAGTCTTTATAATTATTTCATATTTTATAAGTTTAAACTAAGGTTTATGAGTCCTTGATCATTTATTTAATTATCCCTGATATATATAATTAGAAATCTTAATTATGTTAAAATTTAATTACCAAAGTGATAATTATAGTATAGTTAGATTTTCGAGTAAAACTATTTTTTCACTTAACTTAATCAATCCTTCATCTTATAACTAGTTATTACTTAATTTATTATAGAATAATTTAGCTTAAAGATTATTTTAAATTAATTACCCTAGAAATATCTCGATTTGGTTAAGTGAAACTAATTTTGCTATTTATTCAGCAAACTTAGAAATACCAATTTGTCCTATTTAATTCCCCCTTTAATAACAAAATATTTATAATAAAATAAAATAAACAAATATTTTACCATATTGAGACAGATAAACTTTTAAGTTTTGTAAGATTAGCAATATACGAAGCTAATATAGTTAATCCTTTATCTTTCATTTAAGTATTTCTAAATTTGTAAAAAATTGAGTCTATAAAGTTTATATAAAATAATTTAATCAATACCCTAATCTAATATGTAAAACTCTTAAGTTAAATACTTATAGCAAATCTTTTCCTAGCTCTTCTTCTAATCCACCTATATAATTTTAACTAAAAAACTATTTATTTAATTTTAATTTATAAAATTTACTTTAAGAAAAGATATAACTGATTTATCAATTAATGCTAATTTTCTGGGATATTTTGTAACCATTATATTTAACTATAACATTTATTCTTAGATCTATATTGTTTAAAAAACTTTTTTATTTTTTATTATTTTTGATAAGTTGCTACCCAAAATTTATGATTTTTACTGTCTCAGACTCTTCAGGTTCTTTTTTCTTTTTATATTAAATAAGAAATATTTCTATTAAAAATATTCATTTTATAAAAATAATTTATACTCTTTCAAATATTTTCATTTATTTTAAATAGTTTACTTTTTTTTTAATGATTTTTTTAATGTTAATTAAAAACTAATTAAGATTTATTTACCAAATTTAAATTTTTATGATTAGGTTAAGTACAAACATCAAATTAATAAAATAATATTCTATATAATGAAAGTTTTTAAATAAATTCAAACACTCATAGATTTTAAAAGATAAATATTTCTCCAAATAAACCGGTTAAATTTATATGAAAATCATTATCATTAATTAACACAAAATTCTTTTGAAAGTAAAAATGAATGAATTAATTAATTACTCTTACCCATATTAATAAATATTTTTTTAAGAAAAAATATAATATTTTATACATAATTGTTTAAATATCAATACAATTTATAAACAAAATACATACAAAAAATTATTTTACTTATTTTTATTTTAATTTATTAACAAGCTATTAAAATATAATTTTTTTAGCAATTAACTCTAAAATAAAATCTTTTGATATTTTATAAGTCTTTACATTAGTATATTTTATTTTATTAAGTAATTTCATATTGACAAAATAATTTAAAAGAAAATTTTTGTTAATAAATTATACAAAAAATAAAAACATTTATTATATAAATTGATTTTAAACTCATTATTTTTTTTATATAAATTAATTATTTATTAATATAAGAAAAAAATTATGAAGAACTCTCAGAAATTTTGAAATATTGCATCTATAGAAGAGTAGATAGAATTTGTTTGTTGTTTTTCATTCTAGTTATTATATGTAACCACACTTCTTTTATACAAACTATTTTCTTCAATAAGAAAGTTAACTTGATTTTATAAAGATTCTACTTAACTCAAGAGAGTTATTTTTTCATTATTCCATTTCTACTCTACTGACTTGTAGTGTATCAATTTTTATTTCATTTTATCATAAATTACTTGCATTTACTTTTGTAACTCAGTTTGTCCATTCTAATTTTAATTGGATTATTTTTAATCTATTTTAGTAAGTTAATTATTATGATTTTATTCTTCCGAACTTTATTGATCTTTTTAATATTGTTAGTTCTATATATTTAAGTCAATTGCATCTTAAAACAAACTAATTTACTGCTATTAACTTTGTTGACAATTTTTTATATTAAAATTAAAACCTTCAAAGGAAGTGTTTTTATTAGATAATGGTTAGATTTATAAATTAGATTATTAATTACAAAAATTAAATTGTGTTAGACTAGGTGTTCTTTTATATTTATACTTTTCCTTGACTTCTTGTGGTAATATTCCCTAAGAATTTCTTTAAATTATAAGACTATTGATGTATCCTTAGTTTGTACTGCTTTAAGTAATTTCATTTTTATTTTCTTGTTTGTTATCAGTAGGTGAGCTTTCTGTTTTTGGATTTGGTTTTATAGCATTATTAGTCAAATTAATTAGATTAGTGTTGTATGAAACTAAGCTGTTACTATTTTTCCTTTTTATTTAATTAATATTTTTATTTTAATTTTAGGTTTAGTTCCTTTCTTCAGAATTGTTTTATTTTTAGTTAACATTCTTATTGCTAAATAAATTATTGAACAGCACTGAAAAAGGCTTTTAGTTTTAACTTACTATATTCTAGCCTTTTTGTTACTGTTGAATTGGTTATGAGCACCTCCTCTAAATAGTTTCAATTGACTACTCTTCCTCTTAGTTATTTCCTTAAAAACAAGAAGTTGCATACTTATCTTATTATTGAATCTAGTTTATTTATTGAGCATTTGTTATGTTATTAAGCTTTATATACATTTATTCTTCTTCAGCTTAATAAGTAAAATCTTGTTCATAATTTTAATGCTATTGAGCAACTGAAGTTGCTGGATTCTACGAGTTATTTTGAAAAGTGAAATTGGTTTCAGATTATTAAGTATTTGTTCTATTTGCATTATAACTTTATACATACTGAGAAATCAGAACATTTTAATTGTTACTAACTCCATTTTAGTTTCCTCCATTTAATCCTTAAGCTACTAAAAATGTAGGTTGTTACTGTGTCTGCGAGAATGAAGACTCTGTTTGATTTGAAATTACTTAATATTTTGATTGAGGACTAGTTATATTATTACTTTATTTTTAAGTTTATTGATATTGTAAATTTTATTAATTTTATTGGGGTTATTAAATTGAATTAATAGAAGTGTTTATTTTATTAAATGAAGAATTAAGGACTCTTTTCTATGTAGAAGAACTAGCAAGCTAGACTGATGATTATTCAGTTTTTAAATCAGCTTAAAAATTGTTAATAGGCATTTTAAGGAGACTATTAACGTTCTAATCTATGAAATCACTTTAAGAATTCAGTATTTGATTAATATTAGAGCTACTTTGACATTTATTTAAATTTTGATTGGAAACATTACTTTATAACTATATGTTGTTAGCATTTTATCTGTTAAGTAAATCTAAATAACTTTTTTAAGGCTACTGCATCATTTAATGTTCGCTGTTCCTGACTTTATTTGTTGAAAGATTTGTTTACTTTCTATAATCATCAATACATAATTTCTAGACTTGATCTCCATTCAAATTATTTTAAGTATTTTGTGGAGAACTGAAACTATTTTAAGCTAACAAATTTTATTGGTTAAGTTAATGGCTCATGTTTTCTTAAATTTATTGTTCAAGATTATCGTTAGAGACTGCTTAATTTGCTTTTCCACCAAAATTTGAGCTACTAGCTACTCTATATAAACTATTAGCAGTAGTGTTCTAGTTATTCAAGATTTATTGTTGTTATTATTAAATATACTTTAAAACATTTTAGTTGTTATTACTAGTGTTTGTAAAGCTATGATCTGTTAACAATATATGAGTGTTATCATTCAGAGTCTCACTGATACCTCTACTATAATTAAGCTAATTATTTTTAATTAGACTTGAATTAGATTTAGAAAGATTTCCTGTGTTGCTGCAATTAGATTTCAAGTAAGAAATAGAACTACTCTGCTTATGCTAAGAATTATTTGAAGCTTATGTATTTTAATTAGATGAACTCATTGATTATTTTACTTAGTTTAAAATACTTTTTGAATTCGATTAACCTAAATTTTTCTATGAATGCAGACTTGATTTAGAGTTGCTCTTCTGCATTGTCTTTGTTGTGATCTGATTGTTATTATTCAATTATGCAGCATTGTTAATTGTCTTTGCACTGTTTGACGAATTAAGAATCATCATCATAATTGCCATAGAAGATTATGATTAAGAATTAATTGAATGAGGTTCCTATACATTGCTGTTGCTGTAAGGAGCAGAATTTTAATCTTAATTATTATTAAATTAAATTTTTTCTTAAGATTTTGCTCTATTTAAAATGTTATGTATACTGTTTTGCTATGCTTTATTATTTTTGTTAAAACTTCCTTAACTATCACATTTTTCTTGCTAATTTTATTATTAAATTTAAGCCATCAAATTTGGAATTTTATTTTCTAACAATCCTTCACTCCTCTTCTTTAGTAAAGCTTATTAGATACTTTGGTTAAATTTTTAAGAATCTCTTTTCTTATTAAGTGAATCTAAAAGTACTATTTAGTCATCTACCTTCTTTTATGGATTCTACTTCATCAAGTGAGATAATGACTGTATATTTTCATGAAAATTTTCTTTATTGTTAAAGTGATAATTGTCTTCTTCGCAACTCAAATTTAGTCCATTTCTATCACTTTCTTGGCTAGGTTCTAATTGCCTTTTTTAAGCAATAAATTAACTATTTTTCTTACTGCTTTAATTATTTTTTTCCTAAGACCTCAGATTTTTCTTATCAGGACTAATCAATTTTGCCTTACTTTGGGTCCTACTTAATTTACTTGCTTCAGTTTTAACATTCTTTGCAATATTTTAATCCACATATCTAAAATTTTGAGAACTTGCTTCTTTTTATCCTTCTATTTGTTGACATATATTTTTTTTTGATTAAGATTTAGACAATGAAATTTTTATTTATCCTACAACTTATCTTGAATTATGCGCACTAGTGTTATTACCACTTAAATTACTATTATTTAAATATTAGCTTTTACGGCCGCTTGTTTAACATAATACTTTGTCACTTCTTTCCTTAATTCTTGGCGAAGAAATCTATGGAGATTTTCTACAATCAGCATAAGATGTTCTTATTACTTCATTAGATGATTTTTTTTCTAATTTGTTAGAAGCGTTTAATTAGAGCTTGAGATTTGCATTTGAATTTCTTTAAGAAAATATATCAATATTTTATTGAGTACTCTAAGATGTTTAAGTGAGAAGAACATTGGAAGCCTAAGAAGAGGATCTATTAAATAAATTATTTAGAGTATTTTATTGTTAAAGCTTTTAAGGCTATTGATTCTTTTTAATTGCCTTTAGAGCATTATTCAATTCATTGAAGCAAGAAGATTTTGTAGAGCTCTTCATTTGTATTTATGCTCTTTCTTAATTTTTAATAAAAATCTTTAATGTGTTCTAAAATGTATATATAGTTTACAAAATTTAAAGAGCTTCTATTTTGAAATTCAAAGCAAATGAAAAAAAAATAATAATTTGATAATTAATAATATATCATTAGTAATGATTTATTTACATATGTTTGGATTTGCAAATATTAACAAATCAATAAAAATTTCATTTTTATATCGTTGAAAATTATGCTAGAATTCAAATTTAACAACTTTCTAAATACTAGAGATATAATTGCTTTAATATTCTCAATTTGAATTAAATAGGTAATCAAATTTTTAGAAAATTAATATTATTCAAAGCTTTTCAATTTTTTAGATTCATTATTATCAGCAGTCAAACTTATTGATTTAAAATTTTAAAAACATCTAATTATTATTAAATTAAGTAAAAATAAAACCATTTATTTTTTAATTTTGTAAAATAAATTTTTAGAAAATATGTAGAATTATTAAATTATTTTATGAAATCTAAAAAAAACTAAATATTACTTTTCAATAAATAATAAATATCGAATTTATATATGTAAAAAATATCAATTAATAATACCATTTAAAATTTTGAATTCATGCAAAATATATCATTCATTATACATTTGGTAAAATAATAATTTAATTTTTTGTTAAATTAAGTAAAAAATTATTTTTATAAAATAAATATTAACATTAATTGATTTTTTTTAATTATAAATTTACAAATATTCTATTTTGATAAAAGTTATGCTACTATTAATTTTATTATAAATAACCATTTTCCAAATTAGAAATGTTTTTTTTATTCAAATTTATAGTAAAAATTTATTACTGAATTTATTTAATTAAAGATGGATGTTTTTTTATGTTTTATTTTTTCTAAATTGTTTAAAATAAATATTATTAGAAAAAGATGATTTAGCTTCTAAAATGTATTTCACAATTCTTTGAAAATTTAATGATTAATTTTATTGAATTTAAATAATCTTAAATGATATTTAATGAATGATTATAAAGTTTAGGGATAGATCATACAATTTTGAAATCTTATTTAATTTTCAATCCAGCTGATTGAATAAATTTTTGATTTTGATTTTATGAAATAAATAATTTATTTATTTTATTTATTTGCTTATCTTTACAAGAATATTAAATTTGACAGTAAATATTAATTTAAAATATTAGTAATCAATCTTTCCTTTATTTAAAGAAAACACTTAAAAAGATATATTCACTTAATAAAAGTTATTAAAAATGCCAAAGGACAAAGAAAAAGATAAAAGTAAAGATGCAAAGGACTCAAAGGATAAGAAAAAGTCCTCTGATAAATCTGTTGATAAAAAAGAAAAAGAGAGTAAAAAGGATTCTAAATCAGATAAATCAGTGGATACTAAAAAATCCAAAAAAGAAGGAGATAAAAAAGCAGTAAAAATAGATGAGGCTCCATCAAAAGCTGAATTACAAAATTAAGAGTCGCCTGCAAGTAATTAGCAAAATAAAATTTGATTTGAACTAATTATAAAATAGTTCAATATATTATATTTATATTTTTATTTTTATAAAGTTCAATAGAGATAGCTTGTTGAAATTCCAGCTGTTCAACCAGAGTAATTTGAATTATGAATTTATTAGCTGTTATATTTTTGAAAATTCTTTCTAAAGGCAAACATACCAATTTAGCATTTAAATTTCATGAATTTTAAAATTTATATAGAGAAAGACTCTGTATAAGACATAAATTACCATTAAAATATTTCTGTGAGACTAATGAAGAACCAGTTTGTGAATAATGCACTATTTAGGGCCCACATAATAACCAAGTAATATTTTAATAAAGCTTTTATTTAGTTTAAAAATTTTAAATTTGGAGTAATAATTTTATTTGAAAAATTATTAATTTACTTTTTAACATTTTAAAAGTTACATAGAATTTGTAACTTACATGATGCCTTCAATAGAAGAGCTGGTAAGCTTACATTTTCAATAGAAAATAATCTTAGAGAGAAATCTTTGCTTTTAGGGGCTTAGCTTCATAGAGTTGAATATAGAATTGAAGAAATAAAATATATAACAACTATTATAGAAAGAGATATAAGAGTTGAGTATGGAGGTATATTAGAAAGATTAAATAATGCTGAGGGAGTTAAGCTTTCTATATTAAATCATGACGTTGAAGGCCTTTAAAAGGAATTAAGTAAAATTAATGAAATAGGTCATACTTTCTTTGAATTGATTAAAGACCCTACTAATCCTGTTCCATTCCTTCTCTAGTCTAGAAGCTTATGGGAAAATGCTAACTACTAGATAAACAAGCCATTTAAAAGTAAAATAACATTATATTAAATAGGGTTTATTAAATACACCAAAAAGCATTTACTTTAAAGTTGTTTTAAATTTTTTTTTTTATTTAGAGGAAATAAATGTGTATCCATATGACATGCCAAGAGAATTGTAACAAGTTAGACAAAATCTATCTTAAATAGAGGCTAATAATGCTCTCATAACTTAAAAAGATGAAATAATTTGGAAGCTAATTCAAGAAAAGTAAAATTTAGAAACTTTTAAAGGAGCATCTTAACTAGAAGAAGAAACAAACTAAGAAGTATAAGAATGGGCAAAGTAATAACTTAAATAATTTAAAATAGATATTAAGCTTATTTCTGACTATATTAATTAGATTAGCTGAAGACTTACAGTAGTAACTATAAAAATACCAGCTTGTTTGTTTCTTTTGTGGAGCTCCTGTCGATGAAAAAATAGTAAACAAGAGTTGTGCAGAAAATAAGAAATTATATAGCCCTTAAAGTAAAAAATATAATCAATTATGAAATTTTAAACTATATTAAAATAAAAAGTTATTGGTTTTACATCCAAACAGCCTAAAGTTAAGTTTTATGGAAGCAAAAGACATTTCTTTGCTAAACCTCTAGATATAGAGATTTTGAATAAAATAAAGCATCATAAAGCAGTTTAAATACCTATTTAAGAAATATAAAAAGCACAAGGAATTTCTTTGTAAAAAAATATTAATGTAGAAGATTTGCTTAAAGATGTTACAGATGAAGAAGGTACTTAAAAATTTTTTATATTTTTAGGATGTTTTTATTAATGAAAAAATATATAAAATAAAAATAGGATATATCTCTAATGTAAAATTCTGTGCAGTTTTAATTCGCAATTTGAATATGCAAATAGATGATTTAGAAAAAATAATAAATTGGCTTGATCCTTAAAATATAGGTAAAATTAGTGGAAAGTATTTCTTAAAAGCTCTTAAAGAGATTCCTCTAGAAGATTAAAACTAGTGAAATTTTAAAAAAAGTAAAATACATCTCTCTCGAATAATATAATAAATATCTATGAGGTTTATTGTGATATTAAATATTTGTGTTTAGTATATTATATTAATTGTATATATTATAAAATCACATTCAAAATACACATTATTAGTATTATTTCATTTTATTTATTTTAATTTTTATCAAATTTAATAAAAACTCAAAGAAAGATATTTATTGTACCTGTAGATTAAAGCCAGTGAATATTGTAAATAATTAATATTCAGAATTATATAAAATATCAATCATAAATTATGTGGCATGAAATATTAGTGTTAGTACATATTTTAAGATTATATTCATAATACAAATAATCATTTGTATCATTTAATTTTATTTATTTATTGTCAAATTTAATAAAAACTCAAATAGATTCCTCGTGTAGATTAAAGATTAAAACAGTAAAAAAATACTATTCACAATTCTTTAAAATAACAACAAATAAGTTTAATGTGCTTGTGATTTTGAAGATCAGGGCTAAGTATATTAAATTATTTATGCTTAATATAGAAATATATTGACAATACAAATAAATAATTTGTACTATTGTATTTAATCTAATTATTTACATATTATCAAATTCAAAGCAATTATTTGATTAAATAGAAGCTAGCACTTAAAATTAAAAACCTGCTTAATATTCAAGAATCTTTTATGTGAATATTACTGAAAAATTAATTTATCTTATTATGTAAAATTATAAACTTTGGCCAGCAAAATAATAGTTAAAATATCCAAATCATATAATTACACTTTTAATATTTATTTGACAAGATATTAATAAATACTGATTTATGTTAGAATTTTCTAATTTCTTCAAATAGTCATATAAAAAGATAATTCCTGCCTTTGTGATTACTATTTACGCTGATTACTAAAGGAAGAAATGGTTTAATGACTAATCTTATGTAAAAACAATATTAGTTTTAGGTCCAACTGGTGTTGGTAAATCTACTCTCTGTAATTGCATTTTAGATGCTAATAATTATTTTAAATCAAGTAGCAGCTTTAAGAGTTAAACTAAATAGATTCAGCAACACTCTAAATAAATTATAAATGAAAAAAATCATAGTATAAAAATAAATGTTATTGATACTCCAGGTTTATTTGACCATGAAAGAAGTAACAAGGAAATAATTAATGAAATAACCTAGATAATTAAAAATAATAATGTTGATCATATAATCTTAATGCTTTAATATTCTCTGAGAGCAAAGCCTTAAGACCAAATGCTATTTAAAAGTATGAATTACTGCATTCCTATAAACAACAAGAATTCATCTGTTATAGTTAACTTTGTATTTCCTTCTTAAAATTTCAATTTTGAAAAAAATGAATCAGAAAGTCAGTCAGAACAAAGTAACAAAGAAGAAGACTATGTAAATTATATTAAAAACCTCTTTTCTTAGTCATCTGTTTATCAAATCTCAATAGAAAAATCTAATCAATAAATCAAAGAGTTTTAAAATATAAAAAATAAACTTTTTAATGACGTACTTGAAAATTCATCTATTGATGATTAACAAGTAAAAACATGGTCAGAAAAAATGAGTGAACTTGAGTAAAGGGACTATGAAGCCATGATCACTGATTATTGTAAATAGTTGACTGACCTTTAGAAAGAGAGGGACAAGGTACTTAAAAGATTCGACATGAAGAAAAAATATCTAAATGGAACTGCTCTAGGGACTGTTGCAGCAGGTGTAGGTGTATTATTTAAATATACATTCAGAGGAGCGTTTTTAATAGGAACTCCTTTTGCTCTTTATGCTAGCAACTATTTTGATATCTTAAAACCTGAAGTATAAATAATTGAAGAGTATACATAAAAAATAAATCAAAAAGAAGAATTAATAAAACAAAAATAAGCATCAAAAAAAATAGACGAAAATTACATAAGCAAAGAATACCAGTTTTTTTTAGATTTTAGCAACAGCACTGTAAATTGAAGATTAATTAATTATCGATATTTATTTTAATCATTTTTGTTATCATTTTTGTTTATAATTATATCAATTAATGTCTTTAAATTAAAATTATTTAAAATCAATTCAATTTATAAATTGAAATAATATTATTTTTATCATCTTATTATTAAAAATAGTTTTTTTTTAATTAAGCAAAAACAATAAATTAAAAATAGTTTTTTTTTTAATTAAGCAAAAATAATAAATTAAAAATTGTTATATTGAATGAATAAAAAAATAAATTAATTTATAAAATAATAAAATTAAATAATTAAAAAAAAATAACTTGTTATGTATTAGATGAAAAAACAAGAAATATGGATAATCTAATTATCAATCAATAAATAAATCCCAATGTTAAATACCGCTCTAGAAATTTAGCTAATCCTAAAGTTATTATTTATAGCAAATTAAGCTTAACAATTAACTATACTCTATCAATTTTTTCTTCAAAAAAACTTAAATATAGCTTTTCTGCATATTTTCTATTAAAACACTTAGTTTTTCGAAAAAGTAATTTTACATTTAGTTGATTTGTTAAGTCTTAAAATTCAAGCTTAATTCTTTTTAATCCAGCAAATAGTTTACTGTTTATATTTCAGTCTCTTAGATTTAAGGAGGTAAATTTAAATCAAGACACTTTAAAAAATTTTAAAGTGCCTAATCCATCTCAAATTTACTCAAATAAGTAAAGCCCAACCAGGAATATGTATAATGCTTATGCTTAATTGATTACTTCAGTTCCAAACATTTACTGAGAGTAGTCAAAGCTTAAGTATTTAAGCCGCAAGTAGATTGACCTATTCCAAGCTACAAATAATAAAAGCTTTCTTAAGGATTTATTTAAATACAACGTTCTAGATTTTTTAAAAACCCTTCTTCATTTTATAATTTTTATTCTACTTTTGCTAGCTGCGAAAAAAGATCTGCATATTAAGGATTATATTCAATTCCTTAAACTAAAATTTCCTATGCCTTTTTAAGATCACCTAAATCAGTTAAAATTTAGCCATAGAGTGTACTAGAATATGAGTTTTCTTTATCTATTTCATATGATTTTTGCACATATTATAATGCAAGATCTTTTTTATCTTGACAGTAATAAAACTATGCAATGTTGTTTAAGAAAATTGTATTTTTAGGTGACTGTTCAACAATCAACAAATAATATTTTTCTGCTTCATCTAATTTTTATAACCTATTGCAATATATTGCAATATAATTCAAAATTTGAGGGAAATTAGGATTTATAGCAAATAATTCATTTATGCACTCTAAAGATTAATTATTTTTTCCACTTAGGTAATAAGTCCAACTAATTAAAGGTATAAGATCCTACTCATATTCATTTAATAGTTGTTTTGCTTTAATTAATAAGTCTGTTGCGAGACTTAATTCTTCTAAATCATACATCTCAATCATTTCAAATGTACCTAATCCAAAAAAGTACACTCCTTCGTTATATATCTACTAATGCTAATAAAGTTGTTGATAGGAATCTAATATCTTTTTGAATTCTAAATTATGCTTGACAGCTTCATCTGCGTTATAAAAAAATATTTACCACTAATAGAAGCTTCTAATTAAAACTTCTATTTCATCATATTAATTAGTTTTATTAGCTTCTTTTAATGTTATAATCAGCTGTTCAAAACTTTAAAATCCATTTTTATATTAACCATGCTCAAAAAAACAAATAGATTTATACAAATTAGCAATTAAATACTCTTGTATCTACTAAATATTAGAACTTTCATCCACTAAATGTATGCATTCATCTAATTTAGAGTTATAATAAAGGTTTTTTACTTCTTGTACTAAATTTTTATCTGTATTTAACTACTACTTCATTATATTTCTACTATCCTAACTGAATTATTTTACTTTAAATTTCTCGCTAGATGTGCAAAAATTATAAAAAAAGTAATTCTAAATTTCGGATCAATATTTAAATAAAGTTTCAATTAGAACTTATTATTATTTTTATAAAAAAATATTACTTAATTCTTTTATATACTAATCTTGATTTAAAAAATATTTTATCTGCTTATTTTATAAAAGTTAAAATTATCAAATTTTAAAACATTAAAAAAATTTTTAAAATTATTAATTAACTATCGATTCAGTACATTATTTGCATGTTATTATTTCTACCACCTTGATTAAAAAATTATTTAAAGATTAGGAATAAAAACTTTCTTATCATACCTTTTTTAGAATTCAATTCAAATTCTCATTTAAAATTTAAAAAATAGAAAGAAAATAAAATATGTTTAAAATGAAAAATATATTTATTAAAATATAAAAAAACAAAGCTAGCTGAAGTTATTTGAAAAAACTGTTTTTCAAATTATTTTTAAATTGGTTTAGAATTAGTTTTTAAATTATTTTATTTCTGAGTAATTTTTATTATTTATTTCAAGTTTTTAGTAAATTTATAAAGAATAAAAATTATTTTAGAATTACTTAATTTTAAAAATATGCCAAAAAATAATATTTTTAAACCATTATTTCTTCATTTCCTTAATAAAAAGGAAAATAGTAAGATAGAGCAATCGTTTAATTATACTTATATCTCTGTTTTAATACAAACAAGAAACATAGTTTTTTAATTAATTGTGTTATATAATTATTTATTTTAATAATTTATGTGACTATTAATTGCTTATTTTTAATATTATAAAAATTAATTTACTGGTTGATTAAACTTATTGTCATTATATAATTAAGCATTTCAAAAATATTAAATTAATAATAATAATAATAATATAATAAAATAGCTTATTGGTTGATACTTAAATGAAGGAAGAAGGCTAATTATAAGGTTAACATGAACTTTAAAGCCTATTTATAAAAAAATTATACTCAGATAGCTGGCAAGATGTAAAAAACAAAAATCTATTTAAAGATGAAACTCCATGCTGTTTAAATGAATCAGACAGAAAAATAGAGTTTAACACATTATCAGAAAGAGAAATATAAGATTCAAAAAACTAGTAAGCAGGTGGCTTTAAAACAGAATAATAAATAGTCATAGAATCCTCTGTAGATAGCAACTACTATTCATAGAAATCTATATAAAATCACCCTACTACTTAAAGAGTGAGAAATAAGAGTAGATATATGAATTAAGATTAGCAAAGTTAAAAAAATGATAATGCTGAGCAATACTCTTTCAATTAAATGCCACCTCGCTAATAATTTTTATAAGATAGTGGTAATGTGTTTCTTCAGTTCAAAAAAAATTAATAGAATAACAAAGAATCGCTTAAATTATTGAAGAAAAAATTAGTTTTAACCACTAAATTGAAAATAAGAATGTCAAATTTCTACAAATAGTTAACCAACATCATGAGAAATAGATCATACAATAAAACCACAAGACTGCTAATTAATGATTTAAGTGACGAATTAGTAAATGAGCGAACATAGTTTTAAAAGAATATCCATAAGCAAAAATATATATGGCAATATTACTGTAATATACCATTGATTGACATTTAAAGTTTCAAAGGTTTAACAATAAAATCAATTTAAGCATTGATAAATTTCATATACTTTTTTGTCTTTTCTTTGATTATTATCTTTTAAGTTCAAAGCAGTTTAATTTAGGTCACAAACAATTTTATTAAATGCTTTTGGATAGTAGAAGTTATAACAAATTTAAACAGTAAAATCTATTTAAAGTCTTCAACTATCACTGATAGATTTTCTATTTTTTAATATTACTTAAAGACGAAATTACTTTGCGATATAATTCCTTTCACTATATCGTTCTTATATTACCAAGATAGCTCACTATTTGGTTATTTATAAGTTATCCAGTACATTAAAGTGCATAATTTTATTATTGATATTAGAATCATTTATTTTTAGCTTTATATGAGAGTAAAATAATTTTATTTTGTGCAACTTGTTAGCCTTACGCTGAAGTTGTTTCTAATAGCACATGTGATTGCTTGCTTTTGGTATTTATTAGGTTTAGTTGAAATAAGGTACTTAGGGTTAGATAAAACATGGTTTAGTGACAGCATAGGAGAAGATTTAACTTGGTGGAAACTATATCTTGCTTCTATGTATTGGACTTTAACTTTAATGATTACAGGGTCTAACATAAGCTTAACCGTGTTATAAACCTTTTATACTACTTTTATTATGCTATTTACTTGCATTGTTTTTGGATATATATTGAGCGTAATCGGTCTCATTTTAGCTGAGATAGAAAAAAAACAAGAAAATTAAAATAAAGACATTCGCACAATAAATGAATATATGAATCAAAAGAATATATCAAAGTAAACTTTTTTTACTTTAAAATAAAATATCATTTTTATAATAATAAATAGTAATTTAAAAGCCAGTGTGAATTAGAACTTACTTCATTATCACTAAAAGAACTTCTAATAGTAATAGATTGAAAACAATGAAGTATTATGCAAAATATCAAGCGAATTAAAAGATTAGCTACTTAAAGAATATAATATGAGGATTCTAGAAAGAATACCAATTTTATATAAAAATTTTAGCTAATAAACATTAAATGAAATATCTTTATGTTTAAAGGAAGAGTATTTCTTCCCAAATTCAATAATATAATTTGAAAACGATATTTAGAATCAATCTTTGATGATTATAATTGAAGGATAAGGTAAATAAATAAATAAATAGAATTTCAATCATTTTATAATAAATATTATTAAAATAAATTGAAAAATTAATTGTTTAATATATAGTTGAAGTTAATTCATATCCTAGTTTCCCAAATAAATAACAAGCTGGAGTTACTTTGCTAAACTCAGGAGATGTATTTGGACATTTAAGTTTTTTAACTGGATTAGCTTCATAAATAAAAACTAAATCCACAGATTTTACAAAGATTATGAGGTTAGATAGATCAGACTTGTTAAATATTTTAAAGAAAAATGATGCTGAGTATCAAAAGTTTTGTGAGATTAAAGATAAAATACTTTTATATAGTAGATATAGTGAGGGTGGTTTGAAATGCTAATTATGTGAAAGTAGTACACATCTTATTTACAATTGTAGTCATATAAATTTAAATAAAAATGGAATGCTTACCAAATTACGAATCTTTGAGTAAGAAAATTAGAATAGGAAATAATTTAAAAGAAAATCTCAATACAATTAAACCCCTTTAGCTCTTATTAAATACTAAAAAGGAATAATAAAAAATTTGTAGTTTTAATTAGAGTGTGAAAGTTTTTTCTCACATTAATCATAATCAGAAAATTCTTCATCAGAAAGCTCATAAAATGAATAGTAAGATGAAATAGTTAGTTTTAAATAATACAATTAAAAAAGGTAAAGTGAGGTTTTTAAAATGGAATCTGATCTTAATACAGTATAGTTATTTGATAGAATTAACAATAACTTTCGATATAGTGCTTAACTTACAAAATTAGATAGCCGTGAAAATGAGGTAACTTTTTTTTGATAAAGATAGAATAAATTAAATCAATTATTTATAGGAAATTTTAATGCTTGATTCAAAAAAAATTTAGAAGGTGGATTCTTAAAATGAAAATTAAGGTTCAAATTTGAATAACTAAATTAATATTAGCTAAAGTAGTAACGGAGCTTGCATAAGTAATCTTAATGTTTAAATCAATAGTCCAGAAGTTGAGTAGAAAAACGCTATTTAAACTAACAAAATCAATTCATACTTAAGTAATTTTCTTCCACGAAGATAAAGCATAGCTAAAAAAATACCTGAATGTAATGAATCTAAAACAAATTATTCTAATTAGATATCACTTGAAAAAAGAAGGTAAGGAATAAATGATTTCTTTTTAAAGATATTCGAAAAGGGTTAGCTTTATTAGTAAACTATAGCTATGAATGCAATAAAAAATAATGACACATTATAATAATCATTAGAATATAACGAGTGGTTATTTGACTCACTAAGAGATTTTGAGTTTTATTTTAATTACAATAATTCAAAATACATTTTAAATAAACTCTCTAAAGTTAAAATAAAGAAAATAAAGCAATAAAAAAAAGTGAAAGCAGATTTAAAAGAAAAAATTAAATGAATATATATGATTAAGTAAATAATAATTTAAATGTATTTCTATTACATAAAAATAATTTATAAACTTTTTTTAATATTCAAAAGAAATTAAACATTTTTAAATTAAAAACCTAAAAATATGAATGATAAGATAACTCTTTATTATTATTTTAAATGTTTAATGAAATGTATAATTATTATTATTTATTTAGTAGAGTTGTATGTAAAACTTATTTTAATTTTCAGATTAATTATTAAATTAAAAAAAGAGTTATTCATCACTTTTTATTAATTTTAATTAATTAAATCTTTTTCACATTTATGATTTAATTCTAGTTTTGGTAAAAAGGCGATTTAATTTATTTTTAATGTAGCAATTAGAAAAAATTTGCTTTTAAGTAACAACTATATTATTTGTTTAGTTAATTAAATCAAGAAAGCAATTACTAAAATAATAGTTATTTTGATAATACTGAAATTAAGATTATTTTAAAATGCTTGAGTAGGAATAGGTTTTAAGAATACATGGAAAACAGAGTCTATTTATTAAGAATTAACATTCAGAGAGCTGGAAGAATATTAAAAATAAAAATCTTATGAAAGATGAATCTTGTTGGACTGAATCAGAAAATAAAATAGAAGTTAATTCCTAATCAAAAGAATAATTTTAAAATGTATTTGATCAGCAAATTGAGAACTAAGAAATAGATAAGCAATAAGTTGACATTAGTCATGAATTAAACAAAAGAAATTGTAGATTATCACAAAATAATCCAATATTTTCATAATAGTCAAGACATATGAGTAGGCTTTATTATAATGCTAATAACATTAATGATGAACTAAGTTAAAGGAGTGATAATATAGATGCCTAATTATTCAATCAGACTGCGCGATAGCAGCATATTCTAGAAACAGACAGTTAATTCTATTCATACTTTAAAAAAAACTAGCAATAGATAAATTAAAACAATGAATAGCTTTAATTATTAAAGAAGAATTTAATTTTTATGACTAAACTGAAAATAAGAATGTCTAACTTCTACAAGTTATTAACTAACATTACAAGAAACAGATCTTATGTCAAAAAAAATAGATTGCTAATAAATGATTTAAGTGATATTATTCTAAATGAAAAAAATTAATTTTAAAATAAAAATTTATATTAAAAAAAAATATGGGATTATTGCTATAATTTACCTTTGATTGACATTTAAAATATTTTTGGTTTAATCATTAAGTCAATTTCAGCTTTCTTTAACTTTATGTTTTTATTTGTCTTCTCTTTAATTATCGTTTTTTAAGTGGAAGGCAGTTTAGTCTAGTTTATTAATAATTTGATAAAAAGCTTTTGGTTTGTAGAAGTATCAATTAACCTTAACAGTATTATTTATTTAAAATCGACTAGCATTTAAGATAGATTAGGAGTACTTAAATATTATTTAAAAAACAAATTCATTTTTGATATATTACCATTGCTCTTTTTATTTATCATTGAAATGAATTAGTTTGACTTTATTGTCCTAAAGGTTTTAATATATATCAAGATTTTTAATTTTTTAAAAGATATTGAAGAAATATAGCTTTAATTATACATGAGAGTTAAATAATTTTATTTAGTTCAACTATTTAACCTTATTTTAAAGCTATTTATAATTGCACATACAATTGCTTGTCTTTGGTATTTGCTAGGTTTAGTAGAATTAAGATATTTAGGAGTAGAAAAAACTTGGTTTGATGAGAGTATTGGAGCAGACTTAATTTGGTGGAAGCTCTATCTCGCAGCTTTTTATTGGACATTAACATTAATGACAACAGGCTCAAATGTAAGTACAACAGTGTTACAAACATTTTATACTTCCTTTATCATGCTTTTCATTAGTATCGCATTCGGCTATATTTTAAGTGTAATAGGTCTTATATTAGCAGAAATGGCCAAATAACAAGAAAATCAAACAAGAGACATTCGAACTATCAATGAATATATGAAATAAAGAAATATTTCAAAGTAAATCAATAATTTTTTATTTAATATTAATCACACCATTCTGTATATTAAACAGTAATTTAAAAGCTAGAGTCAACTAAAATTTATTGCATTATTACCAAAAAAATTTTAAGCAATAATAGATTGAAAACGATCAAGTACTTTGTAGGATATCTGGTGAATTAAAGGATTCTCTTCTTTCAGAATATAATATGAAAATCCTTGAAAAAATTTCATTTTTATCAAAAAATTTTAGTGAATAAACTATGTATTAAATTTCTCTGTGCTTAAAGGAAGAATATTATTTCCCTAATTAAATCATACAATTTGAAAAAGATGTATAAAATCAGTCATTGATGATTATAATAGAGGGTTAAGGTAAAAATATTTTATTCTAAATTTGTAATAAATAAATAAATATTTTTTAAAAAATTGAAAAAGTTGAGATTGATTTATATCCAAATTCTTAAATTAAATAGCAAAATATTATTTAATTACTGAATCCTGGCGATGTATTTGGCTAATTTAGCTTGTTTACTGGTTAGGCATAATAATTTAGTACTAAATCTACTGATTTTACAAAGATTATGAGATTAGATAGATAAGATTTGATAGAAATAGTAAAGAAAAATGATAGTGAGTATCAAAAATATTGTGAGATAAAAGATAAAATTCTTTTTAAAAACGGATATTAAAATGTTGATTTAAAATGCTTAGTTTGTAATAGCTCTACTCATTTATTTCAAAATTGCACTAACATAAGTTTAAATAAGAAAGGAATACTGATTAAGATAAAGATTTTAGAATCAGATAAACAGAAAAGATAAAAATTTAATAGAAAATAGAGCCATACTTCAACACCTTTGATACTTGTTAAATATTAAACATCTTTATCAAAGCGTCTTTAATAATAATTAGAGTTTGAAAAATAGTTTTCAGGTTAATCTTAATCAGAAAATTCCTCATCAGATTCCTCTTAAGAAAATTAATAAGAAGATATGGTTAGTTTACTTTAGAATACGTTAAAAAGATAAAGTGAAACATTTAAGATTGAATCAGATTTAAATACTTAGTAATTTATTGATAAACTCAATAGTTATAGAAGAAATTCATAATTTATTAAATTTAACACGCAAGATTTAGAAGTAAATTACTTTTCAAATAAAAACTTCACCAATAAATTTATTAAAATCTAAGGAAATAATATTGTAGGCAGATTCTAAAAAAGTTTTAAAGATAGAAAGAGAAGAAAACAAAGAAACTAGCAGCAGTAATATTGAAAACAACATCTAAGAACATGACAATATTCATAGCATAGTAATTGAAAATAATAATCAAGAGCTTCAGTAGCAAGGTATTATATCAAAAAATAAAAAGACTACTTTCCATATAAGCAATTACACTGACTAACAAAAATAAAAAATTGTGAAAAAGCTGCTTGGAACTTTAGAATCTTCATAAAGATATGCTAGATAGGCTTCATCTGAAAAAAGAAGATAAGGAATTCATGACATTTTGGTAAATATAATTGAAAAAAATGAATAATCTCATCCTACTAATAATTTTGCAAAAGCGAATAATTAAGAAGTTCTATAGTAAGCTTAGGAATTTAGTGATTGGACATTTGATTGCCAAAAAGATTATGAATTTTATTTCTCTTACTCTAATTTTAAATAAGTGTTAACAAAGTTTTAGAAATTTTAATTGAGGAAAGCAAAATAATAACGAAGATAAATAAAGGAATTTATCAAAGAAAAAACTAAAAATGTAAAGTGATTAATTTAATTGTAAGAATGTTAAATTAAAGACATTTTCCTAAACATATTATTATCACACTTAGAATAATACAGCTTTTTTCTTTTATTTACTTTATATTTTCATTTTAACTAGAAATGAAAGCTGTGCTTAAATATAAAATTTATTTTAATAACACCATTTTATACTTTACAAATTTAAGTATAGAGGGATGTTAATAAATGAGGATCTATGATATGTATAAAATTAAAAATATATTTTACTTAAATATTTATGAATAATGAATAAAATTTTCAAATATAAAAAATAAAGCTGAATTTATTTTAAAAATTGTTTTTTTCAAGTTATTTTTAAATTGATTATTGATTTTTTAGAGTTTCCACAAATAATCTTAATGTGTAAATCAATAGCCCAGAAATTGAGTAGAAAAACACTACTTTAAAACTAACACCCAGTCGTATTTAAGTAATTTTATTCGAAGATGCTAAAGCATAGTTAAAAAATACCTGAATTTATAAAAAAAATGTATTTCAATCACATATAAAAAAAATAAATTTTTAATAATATTCAAAAGAAATTAAAAATTTTTAAATGATAATGATAGGTTAAATCTGTATTTTATTTAAAAAGTTTTGTAAAATATAAAAATATTAAAATTTATTTAGTTGAACTGTATAACTTATTTGAATTTTAAAATTAATCATTAAATAAACAAATGAGTTATTCATAACTTTTTTATTCATTTTAATTAATTAATTCTTTTAATTAAATTGTTTCTTCTACTTTTTTATAAAATTATTTATTTATATCATTTATTTACTTTAAATTATTTTTCTAATATTGGTATAAAAGACTATTTAATTTATTTCTCATTGAAGTAAATTGCAAAATTATTTGCTATTTATTAACAATTATATTATTTGTTTAGTTAATTAAATGTATAATTATCTAAATAATAGTAAATTAGATTATATTTAAATTAAGATTATTTCAAAATGTTTGAGTAGGAATAAGTTTTAAGAATACATGGAAAACAGAGTCTATTTGTTAAGAATTAACATTCAGAGAGCTGGTAGAATATTAAAAATAAAAATCTTATGAAAGATGATTCTTGTTGGACCGAATCAGATTAAAGAATAGAAATTAACTCTTAATCAAAATAATAGTTTTAAAATGTATTTGATCCACAGGTTGAAGAAATAGATCAGCAATAAGCTGACATTAATCATTAATTAAATAAAAGTAATCTTATAACATAGTTAAATATTCCATTATTTTCACCGCGAACAAGAGATATGAGTAAAAGACATATGAGTAGGCTTTATTATAATGTAAATAACTTTAATGAGGAATTAAGCTAAAGGAGTGATAATATAGATGCTTAGTTATTCAGTCAAACTGCACGATAGCAACATAATCTAGAAAGTGGCAGTTAATTCTATTTATAGTTTAAAAAAAACTAGCAACAGATAAATTAAAACAATGAATAGCTTTAATTATTGAAGAAGAATTTAGTTTTTATAACAAAAATGAAAATAAGGATGTCTAACTTCTACAAGTTATTAACAAACATTATAAGAAACAGATCTTATATAAAAAAAAATAGATTGCTAGTAAATGATTTAAGTGATAATATTTTATATGAAAGCCATTAAATTAAAAATAAAAATATATAAAAATAACAAATATGGGATTATTGCTATAATTTGCCTTTGATGGACATTTAAAATATTTTTGGTTTAATCATTAAGTCAATTTCAGCTTTCTTTAACTTTATGTTTTTATTTGTCTTTTCTTTAATTATCGTTTTTTAAGTAGAAGGCATCTTAGTCTAGATTATTAATAATTTGATAAAAAGCTTTTGGTTGGTAGAAATATTAATTAATCTAAACAGTATTGTTTATTTAAAATCGACTAGCATTTAAGATAGATTAGGAGTCCTTAAATATTATTTAAAAAGCAAATTCATTTTTGATATATTACCATTGCTCTTTTTATAGATCATTGATATGAATTATTATGACTTAATTGCACTTAAGGTTTTAATATATATCAAGATTTTTAATTTTTTAAAAGATATTGAAGAAATATAGCTTTAATTATACATGAGAGTTAAATAATTTTATTTAGTTCAACTATTTAACCTTATTTTAAAGCTATTTATAATTGCACATACAATTGCTTGTCTTTGGTATTTGCTAGGTTTAGTAGAATTAAGATATTTAGGAGTAGAAAAAACTTGGTTTGATGAGAGTATTGGAGCAGACTTAATTTGGTGGAAGCTTTATCTGGCAGCTTTTTATTGGACATTAACATTAATGACAACAGGCTCAAATGTAAGTTCAACTGTGTTACAAACATTTTATACTTCCTTTATCATGCTTTTCATTAGTATCGCATTCGGCTATATTTTAAGTGTAATAGGTCTTATATTAGCAGAAATGGCTAAATAATAAGAAAATCAAACAAGAGACATTCGAACCATCAATGAATATATGAAATAAAGAAATATTTCAAAGTAAATCAATAATTTATTATTTAATATCAATCACACCATTTTATATATTAAACAGTAATTTAAAAGCTAAAGTCAACTAAAATTTATTGCATTATTACTAAAAAAATTTCAAACAACAATAGATTGAAAACGAATAAGTACTTTGCAGAATATCGGGTGAATTAAAGGATTCTCTTCTTTCAGAATATAATATGAAAATACTTGAAAAAATCTCATTTTTATAAAAAAATTTTAGTGAATAAACTATGTATTAAATTTCACTGTGCTTAAAGGAAGAATATTATTTCCCTAATTAAATCATACAATTTGAAAAAGATGTATAAAATCAGTCATTAATGATTATAACAGAGGGTTAAGGTAAAAATATTTTATTCTAAATTTGTAATAAATAAATAAATATTTTTTAAAAAATTGAAAAAGTTGAGATTGATTTATATCCAAATTCTTAAATTAAATAGCAAAATATTATTTAATTACTGAATCCAGGCGATGTGTTTGGCTAATTTAGCTTGTTTACTGGTTAGGCATAATAATTTAGTACTAAATCTACTGATTTTACAAAGATTATGAGATTAGATAGATAAGATTTGATAGAAATAGTAAAGAAAAATGATAGTGAGTATCAAAAATATTGCGAGATAAAAGATAAAATTCTATTCTAAAATGGATATTAAAATGTTGATTTAAAATGCTTAGTTTGTAATAGCTAAACTCATTTATTTCAAAATTGTACTAACATAAGTTTAAATAAAAAAGGAATTCTGATTAAGATAAAGATTTTAGAATCAGATAAACAGAAAAGATAAAAATTTAATAGAAAATAGAGCCATACTTCAACACCTTTGATACTTCTTAAATATTAAACTTCTTTATCAAAGCGTCTTTAATAATAATTAGAGTTTGAAAAACAGTTTTCAGGTTAATCTTAATCAGACAGTTCCTCATCAGATTCCTCTTCAGAAAATTAATAAGAAGATATTGTTAGTTAACTTTAGAATACAATAAAAATATAAAGTGACACATTCAAGATAGAATCAGATTTAAATACTTAGTAATTTATTGATAAACTCAATAATTTAAGAAAAAATTCATAATTTATTAAATTTAATACTCAAGAATTAGAAGTAAATTACTTTTAAAATAAAAACTTCATCAACAAATTTATTAAAATCATAGGAAATAATATTGTAGGCAGATTCTAAAAAAATTTTAAAAGTAGAAAGAGAAGAGGACAAAGAAACTAGCTGCAGTAATATTGAAAACATTATCTAAGAACGTGAAAATATTCATAGCTTAGTGATTGAAAATAATAATCAAGAGCTTCAGTAGCAAGGTATTATATCAAAAAATAAAAAGACTACTTTCCATATAAGCAATTACACTGACTAACAAAAATAAAAAATTGTGAAAAAGCTGCTTGGAGCTTTAGAACCTTCATAAAAATATTCTAGATAGGTTTCATCTGAAAAAAGAAAACATGTAATTCATGACATTTGGGGAAATATTATTGAAAAAAATGAATAACCTCATCATACAAATATTTTTGCAAGAACAAATAATTAAGAAGTTATATAATAAGCTTAGGAATTTAATGATTGGATATTTGATTGCCAAAAAGATTATGAATTTTATTTCTCTTACTCTAATTTTAAATAAGTGTTAACAAAATTTTAGAAATTTTAATTAAGGAAAGCCAAATAATAACGAAGATAAATAAAGGAATGTATAAAAGAAAAACCTAAAAATAATATAAAATGATTAATTTAATTGTAAGAATTTTTAATTAAAGACATTAACTAAAAGCATTTAACTATTACGCTTAGAATCTTACATTTTTATTATTTTATTTTACTTTACTTTACTTTTGCCATTAACTTGAAATAAAAGCTGATTTGCTTAAATATAAAATTTATTTTAATTATGTAATTTATTAAAAAATAAAAAAATACATTGTAAAAGGAAATAAATAAGGTATTTAAAACTTAAGTTTGAAATATTAGAATTTGTATTACTTCAATTTTATTGATTTAAACTCATTTAAAGTTGCAATGAATCCTTTTATTTTTTAATTGTACTTTTTGAATATTAATCTATATGATTATTTAATGACTTTGAACATTTTAATAAAGATACACAATATAATTATTTAATTTATAAGATTACAAATATTTCAGAATAAGAAAAAAAATAAATTTGTAGTTATCCTAGATTTGATATATTTCTAACCAGATTAAAAGGTGGAGACCTTTTTTATTTCATTTTCAAGCTGATTAACTAATTAAAATAGATTCTCTTTGATTTTTTGAGATATGACTTGCAATATTCTAATTAAATTGTATCTGTAACTTAAATATTAATATTTCTTACTATCTTTTTAAATTTATCATAAGATTTTGTTTTTATAAATAAAAAGTATTTCATTTTAAGTAAAAAATTTTTTTTAAATAATTAAAAATAATAATAATTAATTATATAATCTGAAAAATAGAAATCTATACCTAATTATTAACTTATATCTCCATATATTTTATCCAGTGATACGAATTAATATAAATATCGGAACCTTTTAAAATCCATTTTTTTATTTCTTGAAATTTTCATAAAAAATATTTATAATTATGATTAATATTAATTAAGCACTAAATTTCATCAAATAATATTTGATTTATTAACAGAATTTTAGAGTATTAATTTTTTTTTAAAGGTGTGAGTAAAAAGTATTAAAAATAACAATTAATCTAAGATTATTTGATTGAAAAAGTAGAAAAAATAAATATTCAAAAGATAAAAAGATATTCTTTTGATAATAATAAAAAAGAGATAAAAAACAATTCAAAAAATATTAAAATAGCTTTGAAAAAAAGGAATTTTTTACTTATCTAAAAAGGAGATTAAAAAATACTAATGAATTTAAATTGGCTAAACATTTTAAAAATGATCTGGTGGCTTTTTAATTGGGGTATGAATACATTTGATAAGGCTTCTAACATCATATACGTAACTAGTGCATAATTCAAATCTTAATACTCATAGGATTTAGCTGTTTTTGTACTTATATTCCAACCTATATGCTTAATGATTTCTTGGATAATTCTAAATGCTCGCTGTTTAATTTTACGTAAGAGTTTATCTAAAAAATATATTGAATTACTAGCTTAGTACAAATATAATTCATAAAAGGCATAAAATTTAGGTATCTTCATTTGTGAAATAATAATGTTTTATTGCAAACAAAATTGGATTCAGCTTTAGCAGATTTTAGATTGGAAGATATTCAGAGGAATATTGTATGGAATACTACAATATGCTAATACTCTAGATATATATTTATTCTTTGTGAAAAAAGTTAGCTTGCAAGTAACTCCGGCATACGAAAGGTTTTTTTTGGATAATTATATCAATAAGCAAAATAAGAAAATTTAAATAGAATATGATAATTTGATAAATAAGAATTCTTAAGAATCATAATAACTGCAAAAATCTAATACAATTCTTAATAAGTAAAAGAGAAATAATCACTCTTAAAATAAAAAAAATTCTAAAAAAAATCTGAAAATTATAGAAGAAGTAAATTTAACATTAAATAAAAACAATAATTCTTCAATTTAAGTATTAAAAAATAATGAGAGTTCTTTAAATAATTAAAATCTATTGGAAATAAGTGCCCTTAATTCAAATTAAGAAAATAAGATAAGTTAGTAAGATAATGTAACATCATTATAAATTTAAAATCAAATTTCTGCTTTAACAAGCAGCTAAAACAAAGATAATAAGTAATATGAAAGCTCAGAGAAAACAAACGATATAAATTTCAGTTGTAAAAGCGAATAATTAATCAATATAGCTTAAAAATCAGTAAAGAAAAGAAATAAGGATATACAAGATATATCTTCCTCTCTTAGCCATGAAGACTTACTAGACATCTATGGTGGAAATAATAATTAATTTTCATTTTTTCATAGAATTGTTTAATTTATATTTTCAGATAAAATATAAAGATTAAATATAATTTCTGGTTTTGTTTTTTTGATATTTTAAAATGTACCTTTCGTTCTCATTTAATATGTTAACAATAGCTAGTTAGATTTATGGGACCAGACTTAAACCCTTTCTATTAAGCTAATGTTTTCTATAACATGCATAAATACTTTTAGAAATTTAATTAACTTGCTAATATATTTTTTAGACCGTGAATTGAAAGATTTTATTACTATGTCAGATTTGTTGAATGAGAGAGAGAAAATTGAGTAGAGAAGTATTGAAAAAAATGATAAACACAATTAAAAGGATATGCTAAACTGTTTAATTGTGAATTTAGATTTGGATCAAATGGAGGAAATTAAAATTAATTCTTCAGACAGCTTGAAAAGATACTCTTCCTTATAAAGTGATCTAATTAACGAACTAAGTGTAGAAATGAACTTAGCTAATTTATAGTCTATCAAAGACGAGATCAAGTACTACCTAGACAAGTTTCCAGGCTTATAAGTTACAAAGCTGAAGATTGATCTTTCAGGAATAATGTTTAAGAAACTCAGTATATTAGATCGCCTTTTTAAGTAAAAAAAAAATGAAACTCAATAATAAACACTAAAAGAGCTTTTCATTTGCTGTAAAGGATGTAATTCTTAAAATTTTTATAACCATGAAAATATTTTCAGAGCTTTAAAATAATTGAACAATTTTTAAATAGACCTCAGGAAAAATGATTTAAAATTAAAAGAATAAATTGAAATTGCACTTAAATTTTCAACAGCAGATGTTGAAACGGAACAGACTTTAAACATGAAGTTTGATTATGTCAAATGCACTTCAAATAAAAAAGAAAAATACATTGATATAAAATTAGATTTTCTACACAAAAACATTACAAAAAAGTTTAGATATTTAACAAGCCAGCTTGAAAAGTATTGCAATGATTCTTCAAAGTTCATTATAAATTTTTAGTTTTATAACAGTTATGGGAAAATATTTTAATACTTGGATGATGAAGCTTAAAATAAAGAGTAAGAAAAGTATATTGATAAAATTGTTATAAATATTATCATAACAGGATTCGAATTAAAAACACTAATTTAAGAAACAAATAAAAAAGATGAAGTTAGGATTGAAATGAACACAAATTAAAAAAACAGATGCTTGAATTCCTTATCTGAAATAATGAATTAGGTTAAAAAGGAAATGCTAAATAGATTTTATATTTAATTAAGTGATGGAATGACATTTACAAATGATCTTCAATAAATATAGAATTTATAGTAAATAGGAATAGATCTAAAATGGCTTAAAAAGTAAACGAATGTAGCTGATATTCTTAATAAATTTTTACCATAGTAATCAAATATAGAATATTTAACATTAAACTTTAAGAATTAGATGAATTTAATTGAATAAATATAGTAAATTTTCCATATAATTTAGCAATCATCAGGCTCTATAATGAAAGGATTAGATTTAGGTTTATAAGACTTATGGCTAGACTAAAATAAGAAAGATTTTATACTCAGTTTAAGAGATTTAATATCATAATCTCCTTAGCTTTAAATTCTATTGTTGGATTTAAAAAATAATACTATCAATAATGAACAAATCAAACCATTATTAGAAGCTATAAAAAATCTGTAAAAAATAACTGAGCTAAGATTAGAATTGAACAATAACTAAAACCTAGATGAAACTATTGTTTGTCTATTATCAGAATCATGTTTCACAAGCGAGTTAGAAAGCTTAGACCTAAAAATAAAACCTCAATTTTAGATTGAAGGTTATAGCTATGAAGTTTTTGGCAGATTAATCTAAGCAACATAAAAAATGGTTAAGTCGAGCACCAATCTAGAATATTTGACACTTGATTTTTCTTAAAATTAGATATGCAGTTCTCAAGATAATGATTTTGATCTCCAAAGTTGGAAAAATTTTGCAAGCTAAATTGTAGCTTCATCACATTTATAAGAACTTTGCTTAATATTCTATGAATGTAAACTTGAGTAGTAATATCTTGATTAAATTACAGATGCTCTAAAATCAGAATATCTAAGGGATTTGTAAGTTCTTAAATTAAATTTCGGATAAGAGTATTCTAAAAACAGATAGGATTTGCTAAAATATGACATTAAATATTTACTTTCAGCTATTTTTTCTTTAGCTTCTAATGAAACTAACAGTGAAACTGAAAATATATCAAGATTGAAGGTTTTACATTTAAATTTTGAGTCTGGTTTAGATTCTAAAAATGACTTTAATTCTTATCTTTGTGATAGCTTTGCTTAAGTGAAAGATTCAATTGAAGACTTATCACTTAATTTTGCAAATAATGAGTCAAGCATTACAGACAGTCATATTTAAGCAATATGGAAATCTATTTCAAGTCTTAAAAAGTTAAATAAATTTAATTTGAATATAAAAAACTGTGCAATATCAAGAGAAAGCTTTAAAAATTTTTCAGATGCCATGGAAAATTTATCCACTTCTCTAACTTAAATTACTATCCTTTATGATAGAAATAACACTAAATATTTTAGAGGTAAAGAAAAGGTTAGGGAATTATAAGATGGGCTTGTGAACTTAAAAGATTTGAAAAAATTAAAACTGCATTCTATAAAAGATTAAGATACATCAAAAGTAGTGATTACTTCATTATCATAAAATAAAACCTTTATTCCATGTTTAAAGTTCTTGAACATCAAATATAAGTGGCAAGTTATAAAAACAATTAATGTTATTGAACTTTTACAACATCACAATAATTTAGTTAACCTTGATTTGCAGATCGTAGATTTCCTGAGTGAAAAATCTTTGGAACCATATATGAATAGCATTTCTTTGATGAAAATGTTGGAAAGCTTGAAAATTTAAATCCATTTTGCAAGATAATAAAATTATAAGGATGATCAAAAAGCAAACAAATAAAATGAATCAAAGAATTAAATAGCTTAAATACCCTTAAAGATGATAGAATAAGGAGCTTCCATTTTTAGCATGCCCTTTTCTTTGGATGATAATATGACATTTATTACAGAAAATATATCGAATTTAAAAAAACTCAATCATTTAGATTTGTTTTTCAGGTTTTCTTCTTTTAATGACTTCGATGATTTATTTAAAACTCTTTCAGATATGCACTCTTTAAGAGTTTTGAGATTAGCCATTCAGGAAAATAGGAAAAAAATTAAATTCTAATAGTTAACTTATTTCAGCAAATTGTTAGTACAAAGCTTTTCGCTTTCTTTGTAAAAGAGTATTGAGAATTAGAATTAAATATTCCCTAAAATTCTGAACTTAAAGAATCTTAAAAAATTCTATTATGACTTAGGAAATGGTTATCATAGAGATTAAGAATGTTGTGATTTCATTTTGAAGATGAAAGAAAAAAATATTGTTTTCAAGCAGTGGAGTTGGGAATGTGACAAAGATTAAATTAAGAGAAGTGAGCAACCTTATTGGCTTCTCTTGGAATAAATTAACGCAAGAAAAATGTCTCCTTAAATTATAGCAAATTAAAAAACTAATACTCCTATTACTAATTGCAATATTATTGATATAAAATAAAGCTAAAAAGAAGATATCAAAAAATGACAATATAAATTCTTAAAAGTAGAGCAAACTGAAAAATTATTTTTAAAACTAGTTTTCAATAATATATTTTATTGAATTATGTTTTTTTATGTATTTATGTAAGATTTGTTCTAAGTTTGAATTAATTAATTAATACCGTTTAATTGTAAATTAGAATTTAATAAATAAATAAAAAAATTCATTCTCAAAACAAGAATTGTTGTTTACAGAATTTAATGTAAATATATTTATTTAATATTGAATTAAATATGAATAATTGCAATTTATTTTTTTGGTAAATCAATAACCACTGCTGTTACTACTATTATCCTATTAAATTTTTATACTTATATTTTTAAATAATAATAATTGCTTTTGCTATGTTCTGTATATTTTTTATTACACAAGTAAATCTAATTATTATATCAAAATTTAAAAGATAATATTTTTCAATATTCAAAGTAAAAACTTTTATTAGTTTTAAATGTAAAAAATTTAAATATGAAATAGAGAGAGTAATTTAAAAAAGATAAAATGTATTTATTATTAAATATCACTGCTTCTTTAATTAAAAACTAATATTTTACTTAATTAAAATTTTATTTGCCTTTTTTCAAAATAATTAAAATAATTATTTATGTATACTTGAAAATAAAATTTTCATTTATTATTTTTTATTGAAAGATGCTATCCATTTTTTTTAATTTAAAACTATATTTTAGGAAATACAAAATATCTGTTTTAGATGAGATTTAAAGTATTTCTATTTCAGATTTATAGGTAGGTGGTCTCGATATTACCTATTTTCTTTAATTTAAAAAATAATTCAAAATAATTTTTTTATATGATCTTTTTCACATTTTTTTTCATTTAATTGATATTCACATTATTGAATAAAAATTTAAAAATATTTAAAACTAAATAATATTTATCTTAAGAAATCCAATTTATTTATTTATTAATCATAAAATAAATATTTAATATATATAATTATTTTAAAAAAATAAAATTATTAAAATAATTTTTACTCTGTATTTTCTATTTAAATTTGTACATAAATTAATTACACTTTTAATATCTAAAAGAAAATAAATAAAAATTGTAGTATATTTATATAAATAAATAACTAAATTTTAAATTATTTTTTTAAATAACAATAAATCTAAAACTAAAAATAAAAAATTATTACTGAAAATTGAAAAACATAGAAAACTCCATTAGTCCAATTCATATTTCCTTTATTTTAATTAATAAATTTTACTTCTATTATAATTTTTTAAGATTACTTTCAAAAATAAAATTTTTTAATAGTTAATTAATTAAGTATAAAAAAGTAGTGAATAAGTTAAACAATTATTTAGTTGGTAAATTAAATTCTTAAACAAAAGTTTAAAATATGTTAGAAGAAATTTAAATTCATTCTGATTAAAGCAATTTCATTAAATACTAGCGATCGAATAGTGCAAAAAGAGTTTAGGATAGAAACATTTGTGAAGATGAATCAGTTTGGAGTGATTCAGAAATATCTAATAAGGATAATATAGTTTATGATAAAAGCTTTAATAATGTAGAACTTTTTCAAGACAGTGAGCAAGTATGCTCAAATGATGTGTATTTCTAAATGTTAAAAAAGTACTAAAGATAATAAAAGATGTAAAAATTGAATAAAATGAATTAACTTATTAAGAAACTATAAATTTTAAGCGAAAGAAGAAATAAACTCAGCATTGATAATTCTACTATTTAATAAGAATAATAATTAAATTCTTTTAATTTTAAAGATAAGCAATAAATATTAGATGAAAAAGAAAACGAAAATAAAATGGATCATGATTAATAGTTTTAAAACTATAAAAATTTTCTTATAAAATTCGGATATACAAAATTTAAAATGGGATATTTTTTAAAATACTTTACTAGAATTAAAAGAACTCATAATCTTAATAATGTAGTCAGATATTATATAAATGATTTAAGTGATGGTTTTTAAGGTAGTACTAGCTTTTTATTTCCATTTTGTCATAGATTATAAAAAATATGGTAAATCTTTGATTTTCCAATAATAGATCCTTAGACAAATATTGTTTTCTTTCTAAAAATACTCATTTTATCACTTAATTTCATTTATTTTTACTTGCTTTCCTTATTTATTGTCTTTCAAATATAAGGATAATTTACTTAACTAATCAGATATATTATTTCTATTCTATGGTTTGTTGATATAGTTTTAAATATGAATTAAAAAATTTATCTTTATACTGGAGAGCTTTAAAAAAGAAAGGAAATAGCTGTTTATTATCTTAAAAAAAAAGCATTTTATGATTTTGTTCCTCTCATGGTAATATTTGTCCCTTTTTATTATCAAATAAGCTAGCTTTATTAAATCCTTTAATTCCTAAAAATTCGAAATCTGTCTTTAGAAATTTTTGAAATACAATTTCAGCTCTGTGTTAAAGTTAAAAAGTATTATTTAGTTTAGCTAATTAATCTCATTATAAAACTGTTTTTACTAGCTCATTTTGTATCTTCTCTTTGGTATTTACTTGGATAAGTAGAGATAAAATATTTTGAATAAGAATATACTTGGTACGAAGATAGTATCGGATAAGATGGAACTTGGTGGAAGCTATACCTTGCATCTATGTACTGGACTTTAACTTTAATGGCAACAGGTTCTAATGAAAGCAAAACAGTATTGTAAACATTTTTTACTACATTTACAATGCTCTTCACAAACATAGCATTTGCATATATTTTGAGTGTAATTGGAATAATTCTTTCTGAAATGGAGTAAGGGGAGGAAGATAAGAGAAAAGATGTAAGTATCATTAATAAATACATGAGAAAAAGGTATATTTCGAAGTATGTTTTTTAGAATTATTATTAATAAATCATTTGAATTTAAATTTTTAAAAAAATATTTAGTAATTTATAAGCTAGAGTAAACTTAGATTTGGAGAACTATTACTAAACAAACTTTAAATAAGAATAAATTTAAAATTTAGGAGTGCTTGAAAAGATATCTGCTGATTTAAAAGAATCTCTTATCAAAGAATACAATAAAAAAATATTAAATAAAATACCATTTCTAAATAGTATTTTTAGTGATAAAATTATAGAATAAGCTTCCTTTGTCTTAGATGAAAAATACATTTTTCCCAATTAAGAAATAAAATTAGAGAATGATCAGAATGATTTTTTCTTAATTTATGTGATATAAGGATAAAGTAAATAAATTTCATTTTAAATTTTTAAGAAAAATTTTAACATTTTCAAATAAACAAAAATAAATATTCTTAAAAATAAAGGATTGATTAAATTAGCATAAATAAAATTTAAGTAATATTTACTTAAATAACATTACTACCCTATTGTGTTCTCTTAATACTATATCTCTAATATTTTAATTTTACAATATATCCCTTTGAATTTTATTTGGAATTTGTAATTATTTGTTTTTTAAAAATACTTGATCACTTTTTTAATAAATTTGTGATTAATTAAAATTTTTTATAATGAAAAATAAATTTTTTTTGAATAATAAATAGAAATAATGTTTTTTATTTAGATTTTAAATACATTCAAAAAATTAATAAAAATTACAATGATTATTTTATTTAAATCATTTCTAATAGATAGAGAAAGCTATTTTTTTAAATAAATTGCAAAAACATTGAATAAAATTAAATTAAATATTTTTTTTATTCTTTTAATAAAGTTGAAAGCTATTATAATTTATGCCAAGACAAAACTAATTCAATCTAAAAATATAAGTAAGGAGATATAATTGGTTAGTATAGTTTTTTTACTGGAACTTAAATTGAATAGTAATTCAAATCGACTGAATTTACAAAAATTATGATATTAAGTAGAAATAGCTTTATAGAAATAGTAAAAAAATAAGACCAAGAATTTGAGAAATTTAGTGAAATAAAAGATCGACTTCTTTTGTATAGTTAATATAAAGTTGTAAACTTGAAATGTGATATCTGCAAACAATCTTCTCACTTTATATAATTTTGCCCATTTATTTCAATAAACAGGTAAGCAATATATCTTAAAACAAAATAATTTGCAAATGATATTTAAAATAGAGAATAATTTAATAGAAAAAGATTCATTTACGGTAATTCTTTATGCATATAAAAATATGTAAAATAATTTGCTTAAGATCTAATAAAATCTATGAAACATCATGATAAATTAATAGAAGATTCTATATTAAGTTAAATGACATTAATAGAAGAAGATACTTTAGCATCCTAAAATGAAAATATTTAAGAATAACCTTCAAAAGAAAATTAATCGTAATTAGAAAACTAAAGCATTTGTTTGATTGAAACAAATCCTAAATTAAGAACAATTATTACTAATAATAATGTCTTAAAGAATGAAAATAAAATACTTTCATAAAAAGTCAATTCAGAAGATGAAGTAAATTTATTATTGAATTTTTAGAATTATTTTAAATATATTTTATTTTAGGAATCTTCTTAGATAGATGTAAAATCTTTATAAAAAAATGATTCTTTAGCTAATGAAAAAAGTTTATTATCATTTATTGATCCTATTATTAGTATTAAATCTGGCTAAGATATTTTATAAAATAAATCAAGGAAAGAAAGTTTAGAAAGAGATATAATTTTAACGAGATAAAAAAAAGAGAGTAATGATTTTTTTATTTATAAAGCTGAATAAAGTTTGAGTTAAATTGAAGAAAAAAATGATAAATCATTATAATTTAAAACAAAAATTAACTAAAAATTATAAAGGAATTCTATAAACAATATCAAATAAACAGAAATTATTGGAAGCATTCAAACTGATATGTAAAACATAAAATCTCTTTAATAACAAAATTCAAATCTAAGATAATTAATTGAGAGTTTGATTAAAAATTAAAATACTCAGTATAAGTATAACTCTTTCCAAAATTACAAAACTATAAATTCAACTTAATATTTATTATAAAGAGAGTTAGTAAATGAATACAACCCTTTCTATTTTGAATCTCTTAAAGATTACTAATTTTATTTTCCTGAATCAAACTCTAAGATTCTAATACCAAAATATTAAAAAGATTAAAAAAAGAAATTAAAGCCTATTAAAAAATAATGTAAAACCTAAAAACTAATTTCAGATATAACTATCCATCATTGAAAATCTAAAAATAAATAATATAAAATATTTATATTTTTATTTCATTTAACCAATCGAAAAAATAAATGTTTGTTTTATTATTTGCTTAAATTAAAATAACTTATATCAAACTAGCATAATTAGTTACAAAATTGAATTTTATCATTTAATTGTTTAAAGCATTTACACATCCTAACTATTTGATAAAATATTTATAACAATAAGTTGTTAATATAATATATCAATTCTTTTCATTTTAATTCATTTTTCATATGTAGGCTTTTTTTAATAAAATTTAAAATAAAATTATGATTTTCATAATATTTTATCTTTCACTTAAATAAACTTATTAAAGAAGGGCTAATAAATCTAATAATTATTATATTTAAAATTTAAATTTAATGATTAACTGCTCACTATCCGAAAATTTATAAAATTAATTTTAAATAAGAAACCTTCTTTTTTATAATTGCAACAATGAATTATTTTAAACAAATAAACTATTGAAACTATATTTAATTTAAAATTATTTCATAAATTCAGCAAAACCAAATAATTGGTAGTCATAAATAACTATCAATAAATAAAATACAGAATTTATTTTTTTTATTAATCTTTATTTACAATTTTTTACTATAAGAACTTATTGTCTTATTTTGATTTTTTATTGTTGAAGCTTTTATGATCAAACACTAATATTAAATAAAAATATAAATAAATGCACATTTTAGGAATAAAATTTTACTTTTTAAGTAATTTAGTGCTTTTATAGGTAGTAGATTTAATTAAAAGTAAAATAATTCAATTACTTATTTAATTTTAAAAGTAAAACAGGTTATATTCATTTCATAAAATTCAAGTTAAAAAAAAATATGTTCATAAAAGATAAAATGCATGATAACTAAAGTAATTTCATTAAATATCATCAAACTATTAGTGCAAAGAAAGTTTAGGATCGATATATTTGTGAAGAGGAATCAGTTTGGAGTGATCCAGACATATCAAATAAATTTAATGCAAAATAAGTAGATATCTAAAATGTTTATTAGCTTCATAATGAGAGCGAACTAAAATAATATACAAGCATAAATAAGCAAATTTAAGAAATGAAGGATAAATAAGGGCATTTAGATAAATAATATGAAAAATAGTAAACAATTAATAGGTTAAAAACTTTAAGCGTACAAAGAAAGTAATAAGCAAGCATTAATAATTCTACATTCTAATAAGGGTTGAATTAAAATTCCTTTTTAAGTAAAAATGAATAGTAAGCTGTAGTTGAAGATGACGACAATTACATGCTTAATGGAACAATAAAAAGTCAAACGTTTATAAATGATTGCTAGCTTTAGTCATATAAACATGCTATAGAAAAATTTGGTAACATGAAAATTAAAATAGCATATTTTCTAAAGAATTTTACTAGTATTAAACGAACCCAAAATCTTAATAACATCATTAGATACCATGTAAATGATTTGAGTGACACTGTTAATTTCGATTAAAGCATATTTTTTCCATTTTGCTATAAAATTTAAAGGTTACAAAAGCAAATAGATTTACCTTTGATTGACCCTTAGTCTAAAATAGGGTTTATACTAAAAATACTTCTTTAGTTATTTAATTTAATTTATTTTTATCTGCTTTCTCTATTTTTAGTTTATTAAATATAAGGACCTCTTACTTTACTATCTAAATAGTTTATTTCTACTATTTGGGTTGTTGAAATTGTGTTAAATACAAACTAAAAGGTTTATCTTTTTTCTGAAGAACTTTAAGATAGAAAAGAAATAACTCTATTTTATCTTAAGAAAAAAGCTCTTTATGATTTTATACCTCTACTGATAATATTTATTTCTTTTTAGTTTGAAGTAAGTGAGTTGTATTAAATCTTATAATTCTTAAAAGTTAGAAATTTAACTTTAGAAATATTTGAAATATAATTACAGCTTTGTATGAAAGTTAAAAAATATTATTTGGTTTAGCTTTTTAACCTTATCCTAAAATTGTTTTTATTGGCTCATGTTATATCATCTCTATGGTATTTATTAGGATAAATAGAATTAAATTATCTTCAAGAAGAATCTACTTGGTATGATGGTAGTATTGGATAAGATGGAACTTGGTGGAAGTTATATCTTGCATCTATGTACTGGACTTTAACTTTAATGGCAACAGGTTCTAATGAAAGTAAAACGGTTCTATAAACGTTTTTTACTACATTTACAATGCTCTTCACAAATATAGCTTTTGCATACATTTTGAATGTAATTGGAATTATCCTAACTGAAATGGAATAAGGGGAATAAGATAAGAGAAAAAATGTAAGTATCATCAATGAATATATGAGGAAAAGACATATTTCAAAGTAAGTATTTTATATTTTTTAGTTGTTTAAAATCTTTTTTGTTTAGTAATTTAAAAGCAAGAGTTAACTTGGATTTGGAGCATTATTATTAAAAAAATTTTAAGCAAGAATAAATTTAAAATATGGAAGTGCTTGATAAGGTCTCTGCAGATCTAAAAGAGTCTCTTATCCTGGAATATAATAAAAAGATTCTACATAAAATTTAGTTTCTAGATAGTGTTTTTAGTTCTAAAATAATAGAATAAGCCTCACTAATTTTGAAGGAATAATACTTTTTTCCAAATTAAATTATCAATTTAGAAAAAGATTAGCATGATTTCTTCTTAATTTATGTTTTAGAAGGAAAAAGTAATTTTATTGAAATTTATTAATACATTTTTTGAATAAAATAAATTTAAAAGAAAATGTTTTTAAATTATTTAAACTATTTTTTTAATTTAAAAAAAAATTATAATTCTCACTTATTTTAGTAGTAAAAATAATTAAGTTTGTTCTTTTATTTTTTAATGAGTACAAATAAATAATTTTTTTATGAATTCTTAAAAAATAATGAATTTATTTGTTATAATTTTTATTAATTTTTTTATCAAAAATATTAAAAACATTTTGTATTTTTTTAGTTGAAAGCTATATTAATGGAAGTTAAGAAAGCAAAAATCAAAATGTAATTTAAAAATTTAAGAAAGGAGATACTGTAGGGTAATACAGCTTTTTTACAGGAATTTAAAGCAATCAATATTTGAAATCTACAGATTTCACAAAGCTGATGATTTTAAGTAGAAATAGTCTTTTGGAGATTATACAAAAACATGAAAAAGAATTTTAAAAATTTAATGAAATCAAAGATAAACTTCTTCTTTATAATTAACATAAAATTATAAATTTGGAATGTAATATCTGTAAACAATCTTCTCACTTTACAATATTTTGTCCTAATATTTGTATGAATAAGAAACCAATTTATCAATAAATTTAGTTTTCTGAAAAATAAAATCAAGAGAGAAATGAATTTTAAAGAAAGACACTATTTAGAGGAAATTCATTAATTTTTTAGAAGTAAATAAAACAGATTACCAAAGATTTTATTAAACAAATGATATAGAACGATAATTTTTTTGAAGGTTCTAACTTAAATTAACTAACTTCCTAAGAAGAAACTTAAACGACATAAAATGAAGATATAGAACAAAATCACTCCCCTAATGCCAACTAATAAATTTATGAAGACCATACTAACTTTTTTAATGAGACAAATTCTAAATTAAAAAGCATAGTTTACACCAACAATAATCCATACTAAAAAAATGAAAGCAGAGCCCATCAAAGGTTTAATTCAGATTATTTGGAAGACGTAAATCTAATAAAAATTTATTTAATTTTAATGAAATAATATATAAATAACAAAATATCTTTTGTTTTAGGAATAAAATTTTCAAGTTGAAACAAGAACTTAATAAAAAAATGATTAATAAACAATCGATAGATCTGAAAAACAGTAAAATGAATACTCTTCAGATATGAAATCTCAAATAGATAGATTTTAAAGGAATCCAAGTATAGAAAAAGATATGATTTCATCTAAATAAAAAAAAGAGTGTAATGATGATAATTTTATTATAAAAAGTGACTAATATTAAGGCTAAATTGATGAAATAGATAAATCACTAAAATTTATTAAAAAAAATGCATTTAAATCCATGAATACTTCTAAGAATAGTCTAGTATAATTAGAGCCTCATGGCAATAGTCTTAAAGATATTCAAAATTAATAATAATTATCAAAACTTAATACTTTTTATAGAGAATTAATTGATTTAATAATTTAGCAGTAAAAAATTTCATTTAGGACTTCAACAACAAATTAAAACCAAAAGACTAACAATTCAGTACGAGATTTATAAATAGATCAATAAAACCCTTTTTTGTTAGACTGTTTAAAAGATTATTAATATTATTTTCCTGAAGGAAATTCGAAAATAGTTATACCTAGATTCTAAAAAGCATAACTAAAAAAAACAAAAGCTTTTAAAAAATAAATGAAAAGCTTTAAAGCAAATTCAAATTAAACTTTTTCTCATTGATATAACAAAATTAAATTTGCTGTTTTATTGTATATATATATTTCTGTATTTTTTAATAATAACTAAGTTATTTGAATCATTTCCCTTATGCGACTTATATGTTTCGTCAATTACTCTACTTGAAATTGCAACAAAAAAACTTTTTTAATATAATTATTGAATATTATTTTTTCTTATATATTTTTAAAAACTTGAGTGTATAATTAAAAGTTAATTAATTTTCATAAAGAGTAATGGATACAGAAGTTATAGCGATAAAAGGCTAACATGCTGAGCAAAGTATTTTTATTCAAAATTTCTTTTCAAGCAATGGAGATAAAATAAGAAATATGAATTAGCTTAATGAGAGTTCGTTTTGGAGCGAAACTTAAAGTGCATAAATGAATTAAAATAGGAAGGATGCTATCAATAATTTAAATTGCGAAAAATGCGACATTATGAATACTAACGAGCAAATGCATAATGAAAAAAGCAATACATTTACTATCAGTTCTTACTAAAAGAGTTGCGAAGACTTTTAGTATTAAAAATCAGATAAAAAAAAGTTTAATATGAATTCATTATAGGTTTAAAATATTTTACAAACTAATAACTTCCTTCAAGATTTAAAATGTAGAAATAGCTAGGTATTTTAAAACGATTAAGAAAGTAAAATTGAAAATTTAGATAAACCATCTGCTTCATAGAGTTTAAAGTTTTATTAATTATTTGGGTTCGAAAACAATACATATGTTGGGACTACAACCAACAATAAAAATTAAAATTCGACCATCATATAAAACAAAAGAGACATATTTTTAAAAAATCTTGCATTATTAGCAAAGATCAAAATCTAAACAACTCACTATTACAAAAAATTCACCAACATATATCGAACAAGGCTACTGAATACTTAAACAAGGTAGATTTTTTAAGATCTAAGTGACTTTATACCTGAAAAAACCAATTCTTGTTTTGAATTCTTTTTAGGAATCCTAGAAAAATCACTATGTTTGACTTTGTTTGATATCTAGTAGAATTAATTTTTTGCCTTTAAATTAATTTTGTTAATAGTTAATTTTTTTTACTTAGTCATTCTTTCGCTTGTTACTGTGTATCAGATTAATGATAAATTTCAGAATTACTTTTCAAAAATTATATGTTTTTTGTGGATAATTGAAATCATAGTTTGTTGCAATACAAAGATATACACTAATAATCAAATAATTAATAATAGACGAAATGTGATATTATTTTACTTAAAAGAAAGAATGCCTTTCGATCTATTAGCTTTAACTTCAATAATTATTAACTTGAGCATTAAATTAGAAGCTGTACCTCTGATTTTGATCCGATTAATATAATTCTCAAAGTCATATAATTTAAATAGAGAATATTAAATACAAGAAGCATAATTGACCATAATATTAAAAAATAGTTACTACATTTAATTGGTAAAAATTTTATTTAAGTTATTTTTAGTATCGCATATTATTTCTTTGATTTGGTACTTACTGACTTACTTTGACAGTAAATAAGCTAGTTAATAATTTTAATTTACTTAAAATGAAAATGAAAATTGGTGGACTACTTATTTCTGTAACATTTATTGGTCTTTAACCTTGTTAAATGTTGGCTCGAATACTTACTAAACTCCTTTACAAAATATTTTTGTAGTATTTGTTATGCTTTTAAATATAGTAATTTATGGTTATTTTATTAGTTCAGTATGCGCAATAATATATCAAAATAATAAGTAGAATGTAAAGAAAAGCATTGAAGTAGCTTAAATTTATAAATAATTAGCTCAAAAAAATATTTCCAAGTAAAAATTATTAAAATTTCTTTTTATTGAAATCTAATATTATTTTACAACATATTTAGTGAATTCAAAATGAGAATTAGCGAATATTTAGACACTTATTACAAAAATGCTGATCCTTTAATTTATTAGCTAAAAGTATTTTAAATTTTACCAAGAGAATTGAGAGACCAGTTAACTCTTTAAATGAACATTTAATTAATAAATAAGATAAAATGCATTTGTATGACTTATAGTCAATAAACATTAGAAAAACTCTCCTTAAACTGCACTGACGAAATATACCTTTCAGATTAAATCATTTAAACTCATAATTAAGATGATCAGTATTTATTTTATATTCAGGAAGGATAAGGTAATTATTATTGATTTAAAGTTTTAATGAAATATAAATAAAATAATTTTCTACCCCCATTTAAAAATCTTTTTTTCAGAAATTTAATTCAGGGAAACTTTAATTATTAAGTATCTACAGTATTTTAAATGAATTTTTTCAAAAAAATTTTAATATTTTTTATTTTATAACAAATTTTAATTTTCATATAAATAATTTACAGAATTTAACATATAAAAATTTTGAATGTTTTGATCTAATTTATTATTATTATAAGAATTATTAAATGAATACTTTTATCAATTATTGTTTTTTTTTAGTTGAAATATTGAACTCTAACTGCTAAAACTAAAAGACTTAAATACCTTATGAATTATTGCAAAAAGGAGATGTATTTGGAGAAGTTGGATTTTTTACAGGAATAGGTATTAACTATTTTGTCAAATCAATTAAAACAACAAAAGTTCTAAAAATCAAAAGGTCAGATTTTATAAAAATAATAAAAAATAATTAAGAAGAATTTTAGAATTTTTGTCAAACGAAAGACCAAATCCTATTATACAACGATTTCTCAGATATCTAGCTCAAGTGTAAATTCTGTTAAAAATTTACACATCTAACAAAAGATTGTTAAATAATAAACTTGAATCAAAAATCATTTCTATAACGAATTAAAATAAATGAGTAGACAATTTAGCAAAGAAGAAGTTTCAAAAGAAAACTAGTATTTCACCATAACTCTTTAAACAATTTAAGTATGAATTAAATGCTGGCGTTTAAATATTAATTTAATAACGATAATGATAACTTAAAAGAAATGGATTTGCAAGAATATCTAGAATTTAGTTGGTCTGAAAATTAATCATAGGATGTTTCTTAGTATTAGGATTAAGTAAAAGAAGTGTAAGATTAATATTTTGAGGAATACCTACTTTAGAAAGAGTTAGAAGCTTGCAATAAAACTTATGGATCTTACTTGAAAAGTGAAATACTAAGCTAATAAGCAAAAAATAGATCTAGCATACAAAGTACAAAAGTAGTGCCACTGTCTGTTCATGAATTTGATGTAAATAATTTTAATTTTAAACAAAAATAGATTAAATTATCTCTCTATTAACTTAAATGAAAAAATCAATTGAGTTATTCGTTAATAAGTAAAAATTATAAATACATGCAATTAATCTTTTTTGTTGTTATTTTTATTTAATTTAGGATCTCTAAGGTCTAGAGAAAAAATTTAACAAAATGGGAACTTTAGATAGACCAAATCTATAGCAATGTGAGCCAACACAACATATAACTACAAAAGAAAATTAAAAATCTTTAATGGATCTTGATGGAGTTAAAAAAGGAAAAGAAAATAATGAATCCTCTCAAGTGGAACAAAATGAAGATGTATTTACAAATACGAAGGCCTCTTAACACATGAAATAAACCAGAGGTAACAGTTTATCCAAAATATTTTTGGAAATTGACAATCCCAGCGAATATGGAAGGTTAAGTTAAAAAAAGAAGTCATAACATGAGTTGACAAATAAAAATATTGACCAACAAAAACAATCAAATCTTAACACTCCGTGTGGATTATCAATAAAAACCACAAATAGAAATACCTTTATATAAGTTAAAAGTGATGTTATTATTACAAATAACTATTATTGGCAGTTTGATAAACTGAAAAATTATTAAAATTACTATTCAAAAGGAAATTCAAATTTTGTGCTAGATTAGTTCAACAAAATACTCTAAAAAAATAAAAAAAATTCAAAAGTAAAAAATTTATGATACATGTTATTATAAATAATTGAATATTTTGGCCTGTACTTCTTTTTATTAATGTAAGTGTATTAAAATTGTTTAATTTAACAAAAAAAATAAAATTAAAAAAAAATATAGACTCAATTTAATTATTTGATTTATAATAAAAACTTTATTTATTTTAATTATCTTAATTGCTTAAACTAGAGCTATTACATATCTAGTGGATAGGCACTTTTTAAGAATCCAATACTATGAATTTTCTTTAACATTTTAAAAAAAATTATAAAAAAAATAATTAAGATTTGGTACAAAAAAATATTCATGAATAATAAAATAATCATTTGAAATATCACACAAATCAGAGATATGATCGATGGTTGGCGATATTTCAAATGCAGGAACAGATATATAAATGTAAATGTTATTTTAATTTAAAATATATCTTACTAATTAAATATTAAATACTAAATTATTTTAATAATCTTTACAAAATAAATTTTTAATTAATTTAATTTAGTTTTACTTTTTTCATTACAAAAGTTTTTTGATTTAAAGACAAATTAATATAAATGTTTTTTAATTGTTTTTTAAAGAAGTATAGCAACCTTTATAATATTTTCATATCTATCTATGATTTCTACTAATATTTTGAATAGTATTGATCACAATCAATCAATCTATATACATATCCCAATGAGTTAATTCATTTAAGTATATTAGATGAGGCTATATTACCTTTTGATATGCTATTAAATTGAGAACCTTTACATATTAATCTAATAGTTTTTATAAACATGCAATAATTTTTTTATTTTCTAGTAGAGAAATGATTAAAAATAATCTAGATTAAAAAATTCCATGAAAGGACTCTATGATATCAATTTTTGCTTTGTCATCCAGAAATTACTAAAAATCAAGAATTAAAGCTATATTTTTTATTTCTACTCTAAAGTCATAGGATTTTATATCTTAGTTTATAGCTTAAAAATAATAATTTAACGCTTCTTCGTATTACTCTAAATAAAAATAACAACTTCCCAAATAAGCCATAGCCTCTATTTTTAAACTAGTCCATTTTTTATTTTCTAGAATTACAAGTGCATTTTTTAAATTTTTTATTGCATGCCCATATTCTGCTGAATTAAAGTAAAAGCTTCCAGTTGATACATAAAATCTTGGGTCATTTGGATTTAATTGAATGCCTTTTTCTAAATACTATAAACATTTTTCATAGTCTTCCTTTTCATATAAAAGTTACACTAATTACTCATATATCATATAGCAATCAGGGTTTTCATTTAGACCTTTTTCTAAAATTTGAATTGCCTCTTTTTCAAATCCGTTGTCAATCATAAATAATCCATATTAATAACATGTCTAAGAAAATTTAGGATTTAATTGATATGACATTTTATGGTATTTTGTAGCATTTTATAAATCTTTTGTTAATTCGTAGATTTATGCTACATTGTTAAGAATTACCACATTACTAGGGCACAATTTTTCAGCATAATGAATACATTCTTTCGCTTCCTCATACATTTCCATATTCATATAACAAACAGATAAATTATTTGCAACTCCTGGAAAACTAGGACATTTTTCATAAAGCCTTTTATTCCATTTAAGAGATTCTTCGTATTTATTCTTCATTATATATATCCACCCAATAGAATTTAAGATTTGGTATTCATATTAAGGTACCTAATCAATACATTTAATAAAATAATCTACACATTCCAAATTATCTATTTCATAATAATACTCAAAAAAGCTACAAGTTCCTATTCCGAACTAGTAAATTCCATGATTATAATATTTTATATCACTAAACTATAAAGAATACTTTTTGCAAATTTCATAGAGCTAATCTGTAAACTCATATACTCTTTTTAAATTTTCTTAATCACTAAAATATAATTACCATAAAAGTAAAATTCTTACTATAATATCTATTTCCTATATTTATTTACCTTATCTCTCTTTTTTCTACCTATTTAAAAGATTTTCCATAACCATTGTTCCCTCATCAAACCTACTTAATTCGAATAAACATATGCTTTTGAACATCTATACCTCTGAATAAATGTCAAAATCATCTAAAACTGGAAAATCATCAATTAATTTTAAAACCTCTATAAGCTTACATTTATTATATAAATCTTTAAAGTTTTAAACCAAAGCAGAATGAGTAGACATAATTATTATTTATGTTTTCTTTTTATTAAAAATATATTTAATAGAATTTTTTTTGATCAAATACTTGTCAATTTTTTGATTATAATTAATTCCTTACTTAATAAAATATTCAAAAATAAATATATATTTTTTCATAACAATTAGACATGAATTATTTATAACACCAAAAAGTTAATTTTTTAATAACAATTAGATATAAATTATTTATAACATCAAAAATGTTAGTTTTTTAATAAATATTTCTATTTATCAATATATAAATTATAAATAGATTAAACTTTTTTTTTAAAATAATAAATTGAAAATTTCATTTACTTATTTATCAATTTTAATATATTTTAAAAATAAGTTGAATATATAACACAAGAATGTAGACAATTAAGACTTTAGAATATATTTAACATTATTCATTCGAAGAATAAATCATTTAAGGAGTTAATAGGCTAAAATGTTAATTAAGGAATAACCATTTTATAAAAAACTAGCTTTTAACATATTGCTTTTGCATTTTCAATTTGATAATATAAGAATGAATTAACTAAATTCCTATTGTTAAAGAAGCTATTTTAAATAAATACTGTGTTGTTAATGTACTCTATAAATTTAAATAAGTTTTAGAAATGATTAATATTCTTAGATAAGTATTCTAAAATCAAGGATTTTAATTAACTGAAAGATATATTACAGTTTTAAATAATAATTCCATAATATTAAATTTGTTAAGGGTTATCAATTAACATTTTTTTAAAGAAATTGTACATCCTTTGCTAATAGTTAAAATCTTCACTGCTTTAATACAAAAACTAAAGATCAAACATAATACCTAAATTTTTAGGTACATTTATTAAATACTTCTCATAATATTTTATTGAGTGCTGTATATTATTTAAATCTTAGTAAGTTTTAGCAATTTCTAAGTTAATGTTATCTTATTATTAAGTACTACTAATTAATTTTAGCTTTTTATTAAATTCAATGTACATAATGCTTGGATAACTCATTTATTTAAGTATTGATCCATAAGATTGAATTAATAAATAAAAAAAATCTTTTGGCGAATTGTATTTACTACTGAAAAGCGAGCTTGGATAATCTTTGGATTAATATTTTTTAATATGTCTATTATAAAGATCACTAAGAAATTAATTATTATTAAAGCTAGAAATTATAGAATATATTAATTATTCAATTTTGTTAGTGTTTATAAATTAAGAGATAGCTTCTACATCAGCTTTTTTATTTAAAATGTTTAATAGTAGATAATAATCAATATCACTACTTGATTTGTTTATTAATTTTAATTATTCTAAGCAAAAATTAGATAGCTGTTTGAAGTTATTTTGCTTTTGGAAAGTTTCTACAATAAAAGGAATCCATTTAGAAGGTACTATCCTATTATTGATTTTTATTAATTATTAATAGATTTCAGACGCCTTTTAAAAATTGTTCTCTTCTACATATGTTTTAGCATTTAAGTAGTTGATTTTATCTTTCAATTCATGTTATTAAATTAATTCCAAATATTAAGAAGCTAAGTATCTTATTAGCAATTGCCATTAATAGTTAAAGTCTTATAACTTTTGTAATTTAACTGCAATATAATTCACTTCATTTTCTTGTTCTATAATTAGATTGATTTATTCCTCAGAAATATGGATTTGATTTTAATATATTTAGTAATAGAACTTAGTAATATTCTGATAATTTTAGTACATCAATTAGATATTTTGTATTTCTACTACTTCCTCACATTCCAAATTAGGAATGGAAAATGTACCACTTATCGTTATTTCTTAATTGAATAATGTTTTTTCTTTTTTTATAAACATATATAGAAATTTAGGTCTAAATATTTTTTGAATTTTGTTATTTTTTCTTTTTAATTGTTTAACCTTACGAAGGAAGATAAGTAGATAGATAGATATATAGATATCACTATCTTGAATTATATAATAATCAGCGGTAAAATATTTAATTAGACATTATAATAAATTTTTCATCAAAATATTCAATATATTTGATTGAATATGTGATATTTCAACTTAATAGCAACTAGAATTTTATTTGAGTTCTCAATTATTAAAAAATTTTGTAAGATTTTCCTTTCTTACAATATTTGTTTAATTATATTTTATAAAAATTTTAAAGAATTTGTGAATCCTGTTGACATTTTTTTGACATCTTTTGTTATTAATAGAATTTTTTCATTTTTAATATTTCTTTTTTAAAATATTTAATAATAAATAAGATATAATTTGTGAATGTTTATAAAACATATATTTTTTATTGTTTACAGTATTTTAATTTCAATAAATAAGTAAATTCAAAATAAGCAAAAAAGATAAATGATTGGTGTAATCAACTTGATTTTTTCTAAGTTATTTTTTCTTTATTTTTTGTTTGAAAAATAATATTGAATTAATTAAAGAAAGAAAAATAAATAAACAGTATTTTTTAGTTGATGATAGACTTTCATAAAAAGCAAAAGCTTCTCAATTTAAAAGAGACAGTGAATTTTAGCAATATTTAGAATGTCCCAAATTAGCTTGCAAAGACGGGGTAAGAAGAACCCGATTTAGAGGATATCTCTTTAAATATTAGCAAGCATACACAGATTTTATAGGTTGATAAATCTTTCTTGAATGAAACATAAGCCAAAAAAATTAATAGCGAAAAGGATTTATTTTAAGATGAAAACAACTTAAGCAATATTCAAATCGACTAGACATATCTGCACTAATGTAAAATAATGCATTTAATATTGCTATTATAAAAGTTACCAACTATAGAATTAAACTTTTAAAATTGTTTTTGCCTACTTTTTACTGAAAAACTAAACTTAAAAATTGATAGAAACAAATATGCAGAAATTATTAGATAGCGAAAGATCTTAAATTTTAAGCCTTTAAAGAGATTTGATACCATTAAATTCGCAAAATTCGAAGAGACAGGGTAACATTTTGATTATCTAGTTAAAACATTTAGAAATAGCATTTATAAATATATTAAATGAATTTCATATAAAGTCTATAATAAAAGATATCAGTATTTTTTCAAAAAATTTAATGACTTTATATTGAAAAGTAGAGCTATTTAAAATATATCTATTTAAATTAGTAGGTTACAATGAGTTAAATAGCAAATGCACAAAAGAAAATAAACCCTCTATTCATAAAATAGTAAGTAATTTAGAATTAGAAAAAGTTAAGAAAAATGAAAGCTAGTTCAAAGAAAACTAAAATTTCACATCCACCTATAAATCCTAATTTAACACTTTAGAAACAATCAATAAATATAGAATTCTAGATGAGTTGAAAATATCTTTATAGAAAGAAATATAAAATTAAGAATTCTTATCAATAAGTGACTAGTACACAAAAAATGATAAAATATACAAATTTTACTATGATATTTGCATTTTATTAATCTACCCATTCGCTATCATGTGCAAAATAATTCCTATTATGACTTAGCATTCATTAATTAATTTGATTTGGGATTTTACTTCGATAGCATTTAACATGATTCTATTTTATTTACTGAGCATAAAAGCATTAATAGGCTATAATAGCACAGAGAATACAGTCAATATAGTAGTATGTTGGATTCTATTTTTTGTTTTCATATTAGATATTTTCAAGATGTTAATTACAAGCTATTGTGTGAATGGCTAGGTCTACACTTTGAGGAAAGAAATAATTAAAAACTATATCTTTAATGGATTTATATTCGATTATATAGCTTTAATTGCTTCAATAATTGGAATATTTTACTATGGAACAGGCCAGGCTTATGGTGAATAAAACATATTAGAAGTCATAAAATTTCTAAAAATAATAACATTGGTAAAAAGAGTAAAAGTGTTAATAGAAAGAATTAAGAGATAACACAGTTCAGGAATTCTATTTATAATAACCTCTATCGGAACATACTTATTAATATACTTTCATATCCTTAGTATATGCTACTTTGTAAAAATTTATTCAAATAAATTCTTTTTTTCTGTAAAATTTAAAAAGGCTGCTACAATAAAGCTTAGAATAAAAAGGCAAATAAAGCAAACTAAGAAATATTTTTTTATTTAATATTAGTTTTTGTTTAATATAATTAAAATTAGGTTTTTAAAATTTAATTAAATATATTTGTTAAATAATAGAATATAGCTTATATAGTTGATTGCAACAGTAGTAATAAATCTCCTCAAATCTGGTATTATAAATACAGTATAAATGTAAATTTTAACTTTGTAAAATATTAAGTATTTATTTCTCAATAATATAAAGAAATAAGAATCTTACAATTTGTATATGCATGGTCTTTATGAAATATAAAATTCTTTGCTTGGAAGTTCAGATGTTAACTCTAATTCATTCTAAATATTATTTTTAATTATTGTTAGGATTTTAAGTATTGCTCTTTTCATATACCTAATTATATCAGGTAAAAAAAATTTAGCTATTTATGTCTAAAGATTATCTTATATCATTCTTTTATGAATTAAGAACTAGAAATTTTATCTATTAAAATAAAACTTATTTTAATTTAATATTTAGTTTCTACAGGATAAAGAAAAAAAAATAAGTAAAACTTTGATCACTTGAAAATTCTCAATTAAAATCTTTCTAAATCTGATTAAGGTTACACTTTGTTAAATAAAATTTATAGCGTGATTAGTGAAAATTAAAATAAGCAGGATATTTTCCGCCAACTCTCTAATTTTAGCAAATAAATACCATAAAATATTTATTAAGAACTTAAATAGTACTTTTTTTAGAACTATTTTTCTTCTAAGATAAAACATTTTAGTTGCTATTCGATTCAAATTAATTAGATGATACCTTAAATTGCTGAAATTTAGTTTTTGGAAAAAGGTTAAAGTGTATTTCTTTCTGGCAAATTTGATGAATGTGGAGGACTTTCTTTTTATCTGATTATTGAAGGAGAAATAGAACTATACTAGTAGCCTACTTTCTGCTCAGATATGAAAAAGCTCTACAAAGTAAATTTTTAAATAAGAAACTTTCAATTGAATTTAAAAAAAATAAAAATAATATTTATAAATAGGTAAAAAAATAAGGAGATATTTTTGGTTTTTAACAGTTTTATACTGGGTAAGTTAGGAATTCAACAGTTATTTGTAAATCCAATTGCATATTATTTAAGGTTAATAGATAAAATTTCCTTGAATTGATTAAAAAATACAATTAAGATTTTGAAATTTTTCATATGATCAAAGATACTTTTTTAAATGAGTATTAGAATGAATGGTCTAGTAAATAATTATTTTAAAATACTTTATTTAACTTACTTTTAAACTTAATAGTAATGTATATTTTTTATTTAAAAGAAATACTTGATTGTTCCTTTTGTGAGAATTTTGGTCACCAAAATTTAAGTTGTCCTTAGGTTTTTTATCGTCCAAGAGTGATAAAATCTATTAGAGTAAACTAATCAGAAATCAATTAAAGAGATTAGAATTTTAAAAGAAGTCAACACAAAAATAAATAGTCAATTTTAAATAGATAGTAAAATTTCGATGCTTAAAAAAAATATTTTTTATAGAATGAGGAAATTCTTTTAGAATACTTAGTGAATTACACAGATATTTTAAATTATATTAATTATGAAGAAGAAAACACCCAGTCAAAAAGTAAATAGCAAATTCCAATAAGATCAAACAGCGTGAATGATTTAGAAAAAGCTTAGATTAGTTTTAACTTAATCCCTTAAAAAATTTCTAAATTTAGCGACTATAAAGGTGATTTAGATGATTTAGAGCTTTTGATGAGATTAGATTCTTCAACTCACAGTATAGGAATTACTAAAAAATAAAGTGAAAGATTAATATCAGCAATAAGTGCAACAAATGAAAAAGCAAAGAGACCTAGATCGTAAATAGAGTAATAGAGTATTTTTAAAGTTAATGGATAAAAATTAAATGAAGATGAAGAAGGTAATAATAATTAATATTATAATAGCTTTGCTAGCAATAGTGAGCACCTTTCAGTAAAAGATATTTAAGAAAATTTTTTCGACAGTCCAAGAAATAATCAAAGCCACTCTTTTTCTCAAGCAAGCTGTAGCTTGTTTGATAATATTCATAATAATGGTAATAACACAATATGTACATAATCTTTAGGCATATAAAATGATAAATCTATAGTAAAATCACTGATTTAGCAATCATTAATAAAACGGATAAATAGTGGGATCAAAGAATAAATAAATCCTTCTTTAATCTTTAGGAACGCAGGTATCCTCTAACAAATAAAACAAAATTTAAATATTTAAGATTCTAAATTTAATTAAACAGTACATAATATAATTTTAGATCAAATTTAAGAATATAAATACTATTTTCCTAATGGAAACATAACGAATGTTCTTAAAAATTATAATCGATAAATACGATATTTATAAATACAGTCAAGGTAAAAAATTCTTAACAAAATTGAAAAAGACAATTAACCTCCTTAATTACAATTACATAATTAGGAAGAAAATGCTATATATATAGATTGCATAAATACATCTCATCTTAGAAAAGCAAACTTTTAAGATTCTTACAGATCTTCAATGTTTAATCTTAAAAATATTTCTGATACAAATAATAATATATTAAATTTTTAAATAAGCAACAATGATTATATCCCTTCTGTGAATATAATCTAAGAAAATAAATAACTATGAATGAATCAATTACTTTTTATAAAATTATCTAAACAATAGTTTTAATTTTAAATTTAATCTTGATTTTAATAAAAAGTTAATTCTTTAATTAATTAAATATTTTAAGCTATTTTTATAAAATATTATTTGATTACTGTATAAAAATAATATTCTTATTTATTTTATTTTTGTGATTCTTAGTAAAAAATTTAAACAAACAAATATTTTTATATAATTTAAGAGATTTTAAACATTTACTAAAAGAGATACCTCAAATTCTTATTAATTTATCATAAATAAATTAAGAAATATGATGGTAAAATATTTATGATAGTGATCTCAAATCACTAAATTTTTGAATGGCATTTGGCAATAGTGAAATTCAGGTTTCAGGGTTAATTTAATTTAGATTTAAAGAAAATCAACCTTTACTTTTGGTTAACTAAATTCATTAGAATTTAATTATTTTTTTTTTAAAAGATTATATATGTTTACACTAGGTTAGAAAGAGAAGATTAAGATTATCAAACATATCAAAAATATAAGATTTGAAATAATTATAACCATAAGTAATAATGATTCTTTGTTTGAATATGTAAAACATAAAAAATTACTTTAATTGTTTTGATGATATAATTTTTTAACAAAATCTATATGTTTGTTTATTGAAATTATCTTATTTCATATAAAATTTGAGAATTTATATCAACATAAATATTATTTTTTTACACAAAAATTAAACAAATTAATAATTTAATAGAGTTAATAGAGATTTTAAAATATAATTTTATAATAAGCGCTCATTTATCTATTGTAGTATTGATATATTTTATTAATGTGGTTTGCTAAGAACAACTTATGTAAGGTATTTAGAGAAGATTCATAGAATACAAGAAGTTATATTCCAATAGATTCTGATTTATACAAAAAAAAGTATGGTAGCAATGAAAATCTAAGTAACATCTAATAAGCCTACTTTATGAGCTCAAATTTAAATCCGAATATTTAATATGAGGAATCTTATAAATAAAAAAAGAACAGATCAACATAGCTCTCATAATCTTTTAAAAGCAAAAATAGTATTACTTAAAAGAGTTTAAGCAACCTCAAAGATCAAAATTACTCAAACATTATCAAAAATCCTGAAGATTTCAATGATAATTGCCAGTAAGCAATAAGCAGCTTTGCAATTACTGATATTAAAAAATAAGGAAAATCTATTAAGACTTCTAGCTAGCTTGATCATAATGAAGAACAAAAAAATACTTTGCATAACTAAAATTCTTCTTTGTTAAAGCTTAGAGATACATCTAAAGACAAGCAAAATAACTTAACTAATTACAATGAATTTTATTTTGCAGCGTAGGGAAGCAAATAGGATCCTTTTGACTCTCTTCTTTAACAAAATTAAGAACAGATAGAACCAAGAAATTAGAGCCATAAGAAACAGTAAAGTTAAAGAAATTTAGAAATAAGTTTAGAACATTTAAGCAAAAAAAAGAGCTTTGATTTTGCTTAAAGAAACGGAAATATATTATCTTCAAGCAGATTAGCTACTGAAGAGAAAACAAATAATAACTCAAATTATTATTAAATTTATAATAATAGTTTAAAAACAGAAATAAGCAGTAGAAAGGAATCCTTAAGCAATTTGTTTTTCAACACCAGTAGAAAGTCTTTGGATAACCTAAATTTTTCGAAATACATAAATTTTATTGAAAATAAAAGAGAAAAAACAATTAAAAATATTATAGAAAAAGAGATAGAGTAAAAAGAAAATGGATTAAACAAGAATTTAATTTAACTTCCATCATTAAAAAAAAGTTAATCAAATTTAAATATTTTATAGCAGCTGTTAACTCCTCGTGCTAACCCTTATCCATCAGCTCGTAACTGTGTTAACGTAGTAAAAAATGAAGAAGGAAATTTTAACTAGACTGAAAAAATAATTTAAAAAGTCCCAAAGCTTAATACGCATAAAGCATGCAATATTTAATTTGAAGAGAATTTAAGTTAGTTTCAATACTTTTAAAAAATTAATGGAAAGGAAGAGAAAATAGAATCCCCTGAAAAGAATAATGATTGTGGGTACCAAGATAGTAAGAGATCTTAAGTATCTTTGGGTGACAAATAGAATGAAAATAAATTGTAATTTATAATACAAAACAATTAAACTCCTCAGATGCACTTACCAAAATTTAATGCAGATCCCCAATAAATTAGTTAAAACTAGCTTCATTCTGAAAGAAAGATGAGTAGGTAAAAATAAATTTTTTTTTAGCTGAAAAACAAATCGAAAATTTTTTGTGTATTAATAAAGCAGGTCAAATTCGAGAAACCAAAATAAGTCTAAAAAATCTTAAGATATTTAGGAACATAAAAAGGAAGTTTAAAAAGAAAAATAGAAACAACATACCTAATACAGAATTGAGCATTTCAGATAGATTATACTAAAAAATGATTATGTAAAAAGAGATGTTTCAGAAATATCTGATTATTTAGAGTATCTTCTATCTTAAACTGATATTAGTAAAAAATAAATTAAAAAATAAATAAACATAATTTTATAAAATACACATGCAATTCAAGATTTATTCTTTTCAGATAACAATTTGGTAATTAATGCTAGTGCTGCATACTATCAATAATTTATAATTTAAGAACTTATTTAAGAAAACTTCCTTTAAAAGTTTTTAAATAAAGAGGATATATTAAAAGAAGTAATATTACCTGATTTATACATATTTAGAGACAAATTAACTCAGTACTGCAGAAATCGCCAATAAAATCATTTAAGAAATATTGAATAAACTATTTTACTAGAGCAAAGTACGATTAATAATATAGAATTAAACAGATTTTATTCTAACCAAAACAATCCTGAAAAAATACTACAAACTAATTTCACCACCTCAAATTAGTAAAATATTATCAACTTAAGCCCAATTTAATATTTTATTTTTTTTACTAACAGATTTCTTAGTGATTTCATTTACCCAAATGAACCCCTATTGGCTATAGACAAAGTAGAAAGGAAATTAGGAAATTTCAATCTTGTTAAGCACTCAGGTAGAATCCATAGTTATTAAATTACAAATGCTTTAAAAGCATTAAAAGAGAAGAAAAAATAAGTAAATAAAATATTCTGAAATTAGATGAGATAAGTTTAAATAATATTTTTTATTAGTTTATCTCTAATTTAAGCTTTAATTCTCTATATAAAAGCAAAAAATCAATCATTTTCTTAAAAATTTATTTATTTAGTTTTAGGTATTATTAATTATCAATCTATTTATATTTTATTGTTTTCTAACTTAAAATTATAATGTTATTTATTCGAAGTATTAATTAATATCAGTAAAATTAAACTTATTTTATTGACTGAAGAAATCTCAAGATTAAAATTTATTACAAAATTCATACCATTTTTGAATATCTTAAATTATAAAATGATCTTATCTTAAATAATACCAATTTCTTAAATTTAAAAAATCAATCTGCAAAATAAAATTAAAGATGAAGCAAAATCATACTGCTATATAATAAAATAAAATACTTTTTTTATCAAAAATAATTAATACTTAATTAATTAAACAAAAAATTTGGTTCTCAAATCATTTAAAAGTGAAAAATTTATGAATCATTATCAATATTTATTAAAATATTGAAGCTTAAAAAAAATTAAATTATCTTTTTAAAAAATAAAATTTTTCATTCTGTTTAATGCTATGATATTTATTATGCAAATAATACACTATCAAATAATATAATAAGGAATAAAATTTCAATAAATTTAAATCTTATTATAACAAACACAAACTTAAAATCTATCTTATAAATTCTACAAACAAATATTTTAAACCAATAGCATTCTTTAAATTTGTAAAATTTTTATGGACTGAATTTTTCACTATATGTTATGGAACTTTTCTTAAATGAAATTTGCAAATGTACCATTTTCTATAACAGCTAAAGCTTAATGACATGAGTCTAATTCAGTATTAATTTAGTCAATTATATCATTGAAGTTGTTTGTAATCTATTAGAAATGTTGTTACTCTGCTTCTAAATCACTTGTGGCTCTTGTTAAGTCTTCTTTTCTTAATGTTAGAAAAGCTTCATTTTGCTATATGGTATTGTTAGTATTATCTGAGTCATTCTTATTAGTAGCAAGAGAGTTTGAAACGTTATAAATATGCTCATTTGTTATTTCTAAATTCTTTTCAAAATCTGATTATTCTCTGTTTTCATTAGAATTTTCACTTACTAGAGAGTTTTAAATACTTATTTTGATTTATTCAAGCATATCTAACACCTTACGAACAGTCTCTTAGTTAGCATATTCCTTTGTAGCTAAATCAACTAGAGCCTTAGCTAAAGAAGAATCTATTTTCTTACTAAGTTGCTTTTCAATTTTTATTAAAGCATTTTTTGATGCTTAAACCTAGATCATAGAAACTGGATCACCATACAAAAGCTAATTTAAAATCTTTTCTGCATCTTCTATTGCTATTACAGCTGAATTGTGATCCTCAACTCTTTCACTCCATTTATTATGAGACTATTTATTTAATTAAATTAAAATTTTAAAAATTCTACATGTATATATGTTTCAAGTATAATAATTTAAATCCACTTTTATATTAAAATTTCAAATATTTATATGAATTGATTTTTATATAAGAAGCAATAGTATTATTTTTATTAAAAGACCTATTTATAATCGTATAATTGCATTCCAAATAAATTTATTATCAATAATTTATTGATGGAGTATTTAATATTTTAATTCAAAAGATAAATCTTATCATCTAACTCAAGCAACTAAATATCCTCATAAAATATTAGTCTATTGAATAGGTCTTTATTATTGAAAATTTTCATTTGAGTTTTTGCTAACTTAATATTTTGAAAGCTATTTAAGAAAACTTTGATTAAACAAAGTGTTAAATGTCGTTTTTGTTTTGTTATCATTTCATTAAAAAAAAATTTATATGTTTTTGAAAATTTTTATAAAAGATACCTCCTCTCTATCACTTGTAATTTTATCAATGTATGATTATGAATCATCTATGTCTTATTCTTAGCTTGCTATTGTAATTTCAAGATCATGCTTCTTTGGATATAAAACATCATTTAATAAAGATGTTGTTGAAGCTATATCACTATTTGCGGAAGAAATTTCAGAATTAAAGCGGCTAACTGCTTCGTTATGAGCTGAGGTTTCTTCATTATAATTGTTTTGATATCTTTAAGATTTATCACTTAGATCTTAAATTAAGTCATTTAATACTTATTCCAAATCATCATAGCTAGAATCAGTCATCATCATATGCAATTCAGCCAAATTTAAAACAAGTTTACTCCATGAATGCTTGGCGTTTCTCAAATTTTCAATAGCCTTTGCTTAAGGAGAGTTTAATTTTGTTTTCATTGTCACTGCCATAGCAGTCCCAATTAAAACTACTAAAAGTATAAAAGCTCTTAGTCTCATTATAATATTTTTCTAGTCTATACAATTTTCGTTTTTGCTATTAATTATTTTACCAACAAAGCAAAGTAATTGTATAAATCCTTTAATCTTTGATTAATTACTAAATTAATGACTAAAAACGATAAAAAAAAATACTTTGTTAAATTTTGATTAAATTCATTTATCTAAATAATTAAATTTACATTTTAATAGCAATTAAGCTTTAAAATATAGAAATACATGAAAAATAATATTTATTCTATTTTGATTCTACTAATTTTAAATTTTAACCAAAAAAAATTTAAAACGGATAAAAATAATTTTTGTGATTCTTTCTTTCATAAAAGGATATTATTTTGTTTATTGTAAAATTGTATTACTTTTATTATAACCTCTGATTAAAGCAGTATGATAATAAATTAAATTATTTATCTAAGCAAAAGATGCTTATTTTGTCTATAATTTAACTTTTATAAAAATATTTTTTCAGGAAATTCAATATTTTTTATGTATTTTTCAAGATGATTTAAAATTAAAAAAAATATGATTTCTTAAGATTTAAATCATCAATATATGTATATTTATTTACATGTTTACAGCTTGAATTAAAGTAAAAATAATTTGAAAATTTTTCAAAATATAAACAAATTAAAGTTTTTTTTATTTTCTTTGTGAGAAAATAAAATAATTTCTATTCCTTTTTATTTAGATCCTTTTATTTATCTTAACCAAAAATCTTGTCCTAAAGTTGATTAAAATGATAAAAGAAACCAAATTTATAAATTTTTATTGTGTATAAAGTTGAATAATATCTTGAAAAATTTAAAAACAAGATTTTTCTAAATTTTTAAAGAAATATATATTTTATGTGTAACATTTCCAAATTATTATGTATAATGTTAATCCTTAATTTTTTTATATTAAAATAGACAATATTTCAACTTTATCAAATTTATAAGCCTTTTTATTAGCTTAACTGTCTAAAATTTTATGAGTAGTATTTCGATCAATATTAAGTTTTCATGAATAAATAATTTTTCTCCCTATTTACTTGATTAAATATGTAAGATTTTTTATTTATTTATACCTGAGATTTTTATGAGTATCCTATCTATATTAAAATGTATGCATAAAGTAATAGTTTTTCGAGATTAAATAATTTTATCTCCTAAATAATTTGATTTTTTCTATTTACTTCAAATTATTTAAAACTTTTAGTAATATGCTTTTTGATTTGAAATCTAAATTCTTGAATTTAGTACATAAAACCAAAGTAAACTTACTTACAATGTAAATTATAAGGTTGTTACAAATTGATTCACCATAATTTATTTGAATAAATATGTTTACATTTTTTTGTATTAAAGTAATTACTTTGTATAAGCATTTGACCAGAAAAAAAGATTACTACCCAATCTAAAAAAAAAATTTGATCAAATATCAATCACAAAATTAATATCCATCCCTTGTGATTTCTACATGTAAAATTATTAAACAAATATTTTCAATTTATTAATTAAATAATTAAAGAATATACCTTTAAATATTATCTCACTCTATACCAAATATACTAATTAATAATTATCTTAAATAAAATAAAGTATACTTCATTCAATATTACTAAAAAATGTATAATCCCCTTGCTCCTAACTAAAATGGTAATGACTCCTACTAATTCTTAATGATGAGTGGGTTCCAAAAATTCTAAAACCTTCCTGGTGTTTTCCTTAAAGAAGACTTACAACCTCTTGAAGTCATTTGTGGTATTAACATGCCCTGTGTAATATTTTTAACTAGCTATTTTAGCTAAATATAGTTCTCATATTAGAATTTTTTATTAAATGTATATTCTAAAAAATAGAATTTTTAAGTTTTCCCAGCTGATGTATATGGCAATCAAGCAGGTGAAATTCCCTTATTCTAAAGTAAAGAACATTCTGAGTGTTGTTAAAGAGTTTGCTTGCCGTAAAAATTAGTTTGATTAATATTTTATTCAATAAACACTTAATAATCAAGAAACTATTCATCCAAATAGGATATTAATTTTTTACATTAAAAAATAGAGCTAGTTGCAGATCATATGATATTCAAGTTAATAGCTATAATAGTGGTCCATTCCTATAAATGCATAGAAGCTTCAGATGTACTTGCCTTTGTTGTAATAGGTAAAAGCACATTTAAATAATTTTTAATAATTAATGATGGCTTTTATTAGTAAATAGATTTATAATAATTATATATAATAAATATAAAAAGACCTGAAGTTGAAGTAAATGTTGTTGACAACGGTTAAAATTTATATGCAGGTAAAGTTGTAAATCCTTTTTACTGTTGTGATTTAGGTGTTCACGTTTATGACAGAGCTCATAACCTGAAATTTATTGTTGAAGGCTCATGCTGTTAATGTGGTGTTTTATGTCGTCCATGGCCTTGTGAATCATGCCAAACTGTTTACTTTGATGTTAAAAGTCCTGATGGCACTGTCTTATCAAATCTCATCAAGGTAAATTTAATATTTTTTTGCCTAAAATTATACAAAAAAAAATACCTGCTAAAATTAAATTTGTTAGAGTAGATAATATGTGTGTGTTTAAAATTAAGAGATATCTTTTTATCTCTCAACAAAAAACAAAATAAGCTATTAAATATCTTTGTTATTCAAAAAAATTTAAGGTTAAGATACTTAATTTAATATTTTTAATTAATATAGAGAAGTCCAGGATGCCTTAAAGCTTGCATTACTAATTTAGATAACTTCTCAGTTGTCTTCCCACCTAATGCCTCAGTGGAAGACAAAGCTTTACTTACTGCTACAGCTCTTTTAATAAACTACTCTTATTTCGAAGAAACTCCTTAACAAAAAAATTAATAAAATGGTTATTGATATAAATAAATTAATATTTATTCTATAAAAATTTAACATTATTTTATCTATCTATCTGTTATATATTGAGTTTATTAGTTTTAATTATTATTCCATTTTTAATATAATCTTCATTACTACAATTTTAAAAATTAAAATCATTAAATTTTCTAATGAATGAAAGTAAATTAGATTGCTCAATAATTAATCGCCTTTATTAACTCTCTCTCTCATTCAACATAAAGTGAAGAATAATTAAAGGATAATTGACATGTAAGTCAGTTTGTCCGAGTGGTTAAGGAGGTGGACTTGAAATCCATTGGGTTTACCCGCGCAGGTTCGAATCCTGCAGCTGACGAATTTTTTATCATTTTTATATTTGGGATGATAGATAACTTTTAAAAAATAAAAAAAATAGTAATTTTATAAATATAACAAATAATTTAAATTTGATTAAAATAAATCAAAATATATTAATTTAAAATTTAAATATATTCTAGTAATAAAATAATTGATTGAATCAATTCTTAATCTTAGTTATTCAATTCAAATATAAATATATTAATTTTGTAAAAATAATTATTTTTATTTGTAAAATTAGAATGGTTTTTTACAAAAGAAATTTTATTTAAATATGGATTTTAAAAATAATGGTCTTTCTATCAGTTGAGTCAGTTTGTCCGAGTGGTTAAGGAGGTGGACTTGAAATCCATTGGGTTTACCCGCGCAGGTTCGAATCCTGCAGCTGACGAATTTTTTAACTTTTTTATATTAGGAATGATAACTTTAAAAAAAAACAAAAAATAGTATTGATACAATAAATAGTTTTAATCTCATTTTATATGAATCATTACTTATACCTATAATGTTTTCTATTTTTATATAATTGACGAAAATGTTAATTTTTTTACATTCACCAATTTCATTTATTTCAAAATTTGATTAAGGTTTTTTAAATAATATTATTTAAATAAGGATTATAAAAATAGTACTATTTCTATCAGTTGAGTCAGTTTGTCCGAGTGGTTAAGGAGGTGGACTTGAAATCCATTGGGTTTACCCGCGCAGGTTCGAATCCTGCAGCTGACGAATTTTTTATCATTTTTATCGTAGATGATAACTTTAAAAATAAGGTGTAATTAATATGAAATAATTAGCAAATAGTTTTAATATGATATAATTTATATATAAAATTTTTTTAAAACTTTATATTTACTTTTAACCATGTAATTAATAAGCAGAAAAATAATTTCTTTAAAATTAATAATCAATCATTTTTAGGTAAATAAATATAGTTTAAATACGGATTATAAAAATAAAACTCTTTCTATCAGTTGAGTCAGTTTGTCCGAGTGGTTAAGGAGGTGGACTTGAAATCCATTGGGTTTACCCGCGCAGGTTCGAATCCTGCAGCTGACGAATTTTTTTATCATATTAAAAAAAAATACTGCTCAAAAATTTAATCTAACATTTTTTGTAAAATCTAATTTATTAAAATTGAAAAAAGAAATGCAATTCTTTTCATTTTAAAAATATTTTTATTATTTTTTCTTCATATTTTTATTATTTTTAAGGAATAATGATTTAATCATTCATAAATATTTTAAATATCAAGAATTATTTTTTTTATATTTAGAGAAATTTGTTTGAATTGAATTACAAATTAAGAGTAGAATATTGTGTTAAAGACAGAAAGATACACACAAATACGGTTAGGAAATAATACTTTTGAAAAAAGATAGACTCTCATTCAATTATCATATCATTTATTTGCTGGAGTTAATTATATTTGTTTAATGTTTGCTATGGTGTTTAATAAAGCTATCAACAAACAAATGATAAGGTAAATTATAAATTAATTATTGAAGAAATATTCATTCCTTTATTGGCTCAGTTTATTACATTTCAGTTAAGAAGAGGATGATTAAGACCTTTAGCATCCCAGACACCCTATCTTTCGAAATAAAAGAATTCACCAGTAGATCTATCTTTAAAAATTAACTAATTATCAACACCGTGACCACCAATAGCCCATAAGTAATTTTCTAAAATTTAATAATATTAAAAAAAAATGTTTTTCAAGTAAAATTAAAAAATTCGTTCATATTCTATTTCTAAAATATTAAATAATACCTTATTCTTTAACTTAATCAAAAGGAACGTATTCAAGGTCTTGAATTCTATGAAGCTTAGTATAAAGAATACCGAAGGCACCAATTCTTTAGACACTGATCATTTCAAGGTGAGGGAGGACATCCATTCTGACAACAAATCTTCTGGACATTTCATAGATTTTAGCCTATAGAAATAAAATAGATTTAATAATTATCTTATTACATACAATATTCCATGCATATTATATAATATTTCTTTATAAGCTGAATTTAAAATTTCATATCAAAAATATTCTTTTGCTCTTAAATAAATATCGTATCTTTTTTCTTAACTTAACAATAAAATCAATCTATTTTTAAATCTAAATGCTATTATATAACTAACAAATCCATGAGGCTATTTATCAAAAATAGATTGTGTATTTTTCTAGCTAACTTATTCAAAAACAGATACAATAAGCAAATTGAATTACATTTTCGTTTATTTATTTTCTGAATATTCAATCTCAAATAAATTTTTTATTCTTAAGTATCATAATTGCAAAATTCTAAAACTTTTACTAATTTTAAGCTATTCTTAAACAAATTAACTGATCATTAATTTTAATTACATTGAACATGAAATAGTAGGAAGGGATTGCAACAAAAGCAGCAAATAAAGGATAAGTAAAGGTGAGAAGAGCACCTGGTAAAACGATTGATTCGAGAGATCTGTATTTACGAATAACGTTGCCAAGTTCTCTGGAGTGATAAACAAAAAAGCTATTTTCATGGACTCTAGGAGGAGCAACAAAATCAGAAGTGCTTACTGCACTGTTTGTATCTAAATTTCTTGCGATAAAGTCTAAGAAGAAGCGGGTCTTGAAGCTAATTTTACAAAAAATATTTTTTTCTTGTAATTATATTTTATGAATAATATTGATCAAATATTGAATGCAAGATTTTTCATTTAAAAAATGAAGTAAATCATAGAAAATTAAAATAGCTGAATAAAACTATCATCATAATTAACATGAATTTCATTTTTTAAAAGCTTAATATTTGATATAACTAGTAATTAGCTTTGCTATCTTGCTTCGAAATATCTAAGAGATTCAAATATATGCTATTTTAACTAAATTAATTACACAGGAACACTAGATAAGATGTTAGTGAGTTAAAAAAGACTTTCTTCTTTGGGAGGCTTAACGTGCATAGCTCTTTAATAATCATAATCATCATCAGTAATTTCATTACTGAATTTATGTCTAATATCACCACCGCCAAATCCAGCTCTAGGAATATAATATAAACTTCTCTTGAACAATCTACGAGCAATCATTTTGCTAATATGAATCTATCTATTTATATACTTCTCTTTCTTTATTTGTTTCTCTTTTTATTGAAACTAAAATCAATATATATTAATTTATTTACTTTATTTATTAGATAAAATGAAAGCATTTAATTAAATAGATTTATAGATTGCTTTCTTAATTTATTATTCCTTTATTTCTTCTGGCTTATTCCTGACTATCTGCATGCATAAATATAAGATTTTCATATAAACTATTCTTATTAATTTTATTATGTACAAAATTTTTTGCATGATATTATCAATCATTTTTTGTTAAATTGTTAGATTTCTCAAAGCTATCTTATATAAAATCATAGATATTTGTTAAAATTTACAAAATACTATTTTGTAAATAAATGATTATTATGATATTAAATAATAATATCTTTTAATAACTAGTTTTATTAGATAATTATATAAAATTAAATTTTAAATTATTTTAATTCTAATTAAATATTTGAAATAATTATTGTTTATTTATTATTCTTTTTTTAACTTAATCTTAATTAATTTAATAAACTTTTCAAAAAAAAAAATATATCTTTTAAATTGATAAATTAGAATTTAAATTTTAATTAAAACTTCTAATTTTAAATAAAATATTTCTTAGTTTGTAAAATCAAAAATACATTTTTCCATTTTATTTATAAATTACACTCAAAAAATTAATAATTCTAAACAAAAATAATAATTTTAAAATTTTTAGAAAATAATTTAGAAAAAAATGAATTAATGCTGTTAATAAACAACTAATGATAATTAAAGAATTTTAATTTTACTTACAAAATTTATAAAAAGTGATTAAATATAATATCTACAATCAAGTTATTTTAATTATTATTAACTATATTTTATAATAAAATTTAGATTAATTTATTGAGTTTTTACTTATTTTATATAAATTAAAAATTTTTAATTCAACAGAATTGTTTTATAAGAAAAATGAAAGATTCTATCAAATATGCTAGGAGTTGTTTTAGTTTTAATTTTATGTATTTTATAGAGAGGAGGATTACTTCATTTGATAATTTGATCCGTTGCTATTGTAATTTTAGAAATAATAATGATGCTAATGAATTGCAGAATGGTTTTGTGATTCACTTTCATAGCTAAGCATTTCCTCTTCATCAATCCTACTTAATAAACCAGCAATTTAATTGTCTAATAGTTCTTTGAACTTTTGTTTTGTCACGGTGTCCAAATCTATTTAATTAATCAACTAATTAATTATATTTTTTAATATTAATATTTACTATGAACTAATGCAAACTTGTTAGCTAAATCCTCTGATTTGTCTCCTTCATAAACCACAATTCTTTCAATTCTACCAAGACCAAGGTTAACATCAACAAAAAGTAGAGGAACTTTTTCTTCTGATTTAACATCTAAATTAAAATTAAAATTTTTAGTAATTATTTTTAAATAAAAAAATAAAAAATTAATAAACTGTAATATTTAAAATTTATTACGTAATGACAAACTTGAAGTAGCACTTTTGTTGGGTGTTTATGAAAAAGATTAATCTGGAATTAATTAATTTTAATTTTAGTTACCAGTACTATTAACTCTATCATGATATGTTTAGTTTACAGAAGATGGATCTTAGGAAATTGAATTGTTTGACTATTAGCTTGTTGTTTATGATGGATTTTTTATTTTTTATTGAGATTATTACTAAGACTAGCTTTATACATATAGTTCTTAAATATTCATAGCCTAACTAGATTAAGGCTGTTACGAATCAGCTATCTATTTTTATTAGAACATATTTTAATTGTTAAAGTTATTAACTGGAGAAAGTTATGTCTATTAATAATAATTTCTATTATTTGATTAGCTCTCACTACTGCTATAAGAAGAATACTGATTATTTTTTTAAGAGTTGTTTGAGCTTTCTGAAGAATTAAATTACTGAATTTATTGCAATTACTATTATTACTATATATATTGTTATTTTTATTGTTGCTATTACTGTTATTGAATTTAATTTTGGAATAATTATTATTATTTGCTTTCTTGTAGCTCTGGCTATTCATATATTTGCTATTATAAGTTTTGTGTTTGATTTAGTTATTGTTATTGTTATTAATTTTAAAATTAAAATTGCTAATGCTACGTTTACTGCAATTACTACTATTACTATTGTTGATATTATTCCATTTACATATTAACCCTCAAATTTTGATCTGATTTGTTATTCATTTTTTTGTCTTAGAAGAAGTTGTTCTGCGCTCTTTAATTAAAACTGCTGTTATTGCTATAGTTTAGATTATTATCATTATTTTGCTTATGTAAGTTATTACTACTATTACTATGTTTAATTTAATCATAGTTAACTACTTATGTATTGCTCTAGTCAAATTAAAATTATCCACTTAAATTATTTAAATTTTTCATGATGTTTCTATTTGAAGTAGAAGAAGGGATTGGAGGTTTGTTATTAGTTTAACTTGTCAAATTTGATGGTGATCTTAGATGAGTCAAGTTACTCACGCTATTTTTATTTGACATTTTAGAATGCTTAGTACTCTCTGGCTTAAAATCACTTATACCACCTAAAGAATGTCTTGTGTGGCCTTTTTTCTTTGCTATGGTAATTTATTCTTTTTCTTTATATGCATTCCTTAACCTATCAATAGTCTTATCAATATTTTTAGCATAAAGCTGCTCTTGCTTATACACTCTCTTTTTTTTCTTAGTATTTTAAATAAAGTTTTAGATATTTAAAAAATAAAAATTAAACTTACTGTTATTTCTGGATGGAAAGTGCACTCATCACAAACTTTTTCATATTCTATCTCTTCTCTTGTTTTATCTCTTCTGTGTTATTTAGGATTAGGCATTTGGTAGAGTTCTTCTGTTTTTTTTACACCTCTATCACTTGATTAGACAGTAGTTAGACGAGGTCTTGAATTAATTTAGTTATCAGTCCCTAATACTGCTGAAGCTAGGTCATATATATTTGTATTTTAATTGTTTCCCTTTTCTGGTTATCCAATATCAGGTAAAGTATTCATTTTAAACGTGTTAATTTAAGGATAGAAACTGCACTCTTGAAGCTATTGCTAATCCAAGACTTCCTTCTTCTTTTTTATATTGAGATCATTTGCCATTTTTTGTAACACCAAAAGCTATTAATGACAAATTTTACCATCTTCTGGTATTTTCATTTTAATTTGCTAAGTCTCTAAGAGATGGGCTGCTTCAGTTAGAACTTTCTCTCTTTACCTATTAGCTAATTAAATACTGTTTGTAGTAAGTTATGGCTAGAAAGAATACTCCCAATCGTATTTATTGTTTTTTAATTCTTCATAAGCAAGTCTGTTACGGTAAAGAACTTCAAATGCTTAGTGAATTACTCTTTTATCATCCAAACCCAGAATCCATAAATTTGTATCTTCTTCGAAGTATCCTAGCTGAATGTTGTATATTGATTTGCTAATTTCATGATTAAAAATATTTGAATGTGTCTGAACACTGATACCATTCTTTTTGTCAGATCCAAAGTTAGTATTCAATTTTTATTACTCATTTTCTGCTTCAGGCATTTCTTATATTCTAAATTATTCAATTGTATTTCCTACTTAAGGTAATTTTTAGCTAGAAAGAGAGTGTTTTGCTCCACCACCAATAACTTAGAAACTTATGTTAGTATGGCTGTTTGAGTCTTTGTTAACATCTAACGAAGTTTTTGTTTTAATTACAGAATTACAAGATTAAATAGTAGGATGAAGATTATTTGTATTTTAATTAAAGAGATTTTAGAAGGTAGCGAAAAAAGGATTACTCAAATTAGGATTATTGGATTTCGAATTGCTACTGCTCACATCATAGCACCCACTATTTATTTATTATGCTGCAGTTATTAACTTGTGAGGTGTAGGACTCTATGGATTATAATGATCATCTCCATTCATCCTATTCGCACCATTAGGTTCTGTTTAAATTCTTTAAGATGGATTATTGAGAATATTACTGCCATTAAATAGTTAGCTTGCTAGGCCAGAGAAGTTGCCCTAATAATTTTAATTATTTTCAATCATTTATTGTAAATTATTCTTCATTATCAACTCAATTTCTTTATCATTAACTTTCCTATTTAACCCTAATCCTAAAACGCATAGTAAAAATATGACCAAATTCTCTTTCTTGATTTTCCCAAATCTTTCCCCTCCAATCAAAGACCAAAGGAGATAAACTAAGCGCTTTTCGTTTTCAATTACAGGGCCATCTTATTCGTAATAGTATTTTATAAATCTTAGCTTGATTAAAAGCTCAAAAACATTATTTAAATCGAAGCTATCTTTATCTTAAAGATTTAATTGCTAACAAACTTAATAGAACTCTTTGGTAAATTTATGTACCAAAATAATCTCACTCATTGAAGAAATCTTACCGGAATTGCAAGAATTAGAGCGTTTCTTGGATTCTTTTCTTTATTTTTCTAGACGTCGCTTAGCATCTTTGTATAAAATTACCTCCACTTTCTCGTTTCGGACAAGACTTTTTGATTTTTGGTGAATTGCTGGTTTGAAGGTATTTTCTTTTGACTCTCTTTCTCTTATTTAATTTCGAATCTGCTCATAATTATCCTTGCTTTTATAATATTTCTCCTAAGGATTAGCAATATTTGTAATAAAAGACATAATTCCTCTGTAAAGACTCCCACTTTAGTTACTATGATCAATGTTTTCCTTTCCAGCTCCATCCTTTTTATGCAAGTAATATAATCTGGCATAAGCAGGTATTTCACTTAATCTGTTTTACTCCATAATCTGCTTAGACCTTTATAATATCTATGGCCTATCTTTAACTTCAGCCATTCGCTATTCTTCCACAAGGTCTTTAAGCTATTATTTGCTGTTTTTCATTTTAATTAATTAAAAAACAATAAATTTATATTTCTATTTATCTATCCGTATTTTCAAAGTAAAGGTTGTAAATCTTTTTTAGTTCGTTAATAATTCAAATAGCAGAATTTAAAATTTTATATGAAAAATTAGCTTTAATTATTGATATATTTTGTATCACATAGAAAGGTATTAGTAATAATTGTATGTAATTCCATAAAAATTATCAACTAAATCCTTAGAATTTTAATTAAATTCTGTACTTATGCAAATTTTACTAATGAATATCCATTTATAATTAATTTGAGTTTAATAACTCATTTCAAAATTTTTTTTCAAAAATTTACATGTTCCCATAATTTAAAATCAAAATATTAAACAAAATAAAGACGGAATTCCTAAAAAAAATTAAAATTTGTCTTTAGATAATATCATTTTGTTTATCTTTACGTTAATTTTCTTTAACTTGTATTAATTTTGAAAAAATTTTTAATTCCAATTTACATATAATATGTTCAAATTAACCTTACCAAAAATATTTAGAACCACTGAAAATAAAAAATAAGGAACAATTAGAATTTGGGTAGATTTATTGAATACTAGCTAGAGCATTAATATATTTTATATTTATTCAGAATGCTTTTTTATTATCTATAGAACTTTATTAAAAGTTTGTTTAAAAATTAATTTTTATTCTCAACAATTTTAAATAAATTTAAATATTAATTCAAATTAATATACGTATAATTAATGATGATAATATAAATTTCTTATAAAAAACCTAAAAATAATAAAATTTTATTTAATTCAGTAAATTATAAAATATTTATTATATTTTTAAAACAAACTTAATCTAAATTTAAGAAAAGTTAAAATATTTTTTTATTTTTTGAAATACTCATGACACTCACTTTAAAGGTAATTAATAATTTTTATATATTATTATAAAAGAAATTTTTATTGATTGCAGTCTGTTTATATAATTTTATATTTTTATGATTTAGCTTTTACAGATATGAAATCATACAAATTAAATGGTTTTAGGTCGATAAAGTAATAAAATGAATTGAAAAATAATTTTTATCATTGTGGCTGATTTATTATTTTCTTAAATTTAATAAATATATGTATGTATATCAATCATTTAATTAAGAAACGATATCTTTAGAAAATTATTAGAAGCTTTTAGAAATCTAAAAATATTAAATAAATATATTTATTTTTATCAATCATCACTTATATTTTTAAATAAACAGTGCCTAAAAATATTAGATATAATAAAATTATTATCAAGAAAAATCATTTTAAATAGATAATTTAGCAAAAAATGAAATTATTTCAATTGATTAAAGGTAGTTTTTGTAAATAAGCCTTTATTTGTACTTTTAATTCGTTATTTACTATTAAATGATAGACAGCTTTTAGGAAATATTTTTACCTAATTTTGACATAAAAGAAGACCCTATAGTAAGATTCTTTTTTTATATTTATTTTAAAATAAAATTTAAACATTCTTTAATTAGGATACTCAGTATTGGAGAATTATTAGAGAAAATAAATTGCGTACATTGAAGGACTTACTTTCTTCAAATTAATTGCATCCTGATGATATTTGTATATCATAAGCTGGGCATACTTTTCTTCATGAGACTGTGGTTAGTAATAGAAAAGAAATGTTTAAACTATGTCTTATTTTCCATGGTATTTAAAATTTAGTTAAATAGTTTATCTAATCCATTTTTGTTTTATATAAAATCTATTTAATCACAAAATTTTTTATATTTCTACTTTTTTTTATATGAAATTAGCTGATGTTAATAGAAGAGATAAAAATTAATGGACTCCTTTGATGAAAGCTTGTGCACTTGGTAGATACTAAATGGTATAAGATTTAATAGAAAAAGGAGCTGATCCATATCTTGCAGATTATAAAGGGGAAAATTCCTTTGATAAAGCAGAAAAATTTGATCAAATTAATGTTCTAAATTTATTAAGAAGCCATTTTAAAAATGAAAATTCTATTAAAATCGAATAAAATAATTAAGAAAATACTATAATTATAGATGAAGATGAAAAATTTTGAGGAATCATAATTATTTTATTTTACAATAAATTTTATGTAAAAATTTAAAATGAGTTTTAAATTGTTGGTTTTTCTAAAAATTAAAAATTAAATTTTCAACTCAACTTATTATAAAACTTAGCATAATTTCTATAAAATAAATAACAAATATTATTGCTTTATGATTGCAAGTATTGGCATGTTAGTTAACTTAGTTTATTTTCACAAAAGGCGGTATTAGCCAACCAATTTCTTTATTTTAATTTATATGTTGTTTGATAAATAAAGTCATATACCTAATTTAAATAAAATAAAGACGTATTTTATATATGATAGCTTTTACTTATTAACTTAATATTTAAAATATTTTTATATTATTAATTATCATAACTAAATGAATATTTTTATTCTTAGATAAACTTTAATTAATAGTTTTAATAGACCTTTATAATATTAATATACTATTGAGTGAAATAATGATGTAAATAAATAAAAAATAATCATATAAACAATTAATACTTCTCTTCAATTAAAATATTCAATTAAATAATTAAAATTTTTAACTATCAAAGATCAAAATTCTACTTATAGTTTTTTAGGGAAAAATCACATTCATGAGTAAAATCTATGATGGTAGTGAGTCACCTATTATTTCTCCTGTTAAAATTCAAATGGATTAAACAGCAAACGATTTTGATGTAAAATAATTTACAAATTTCTATTGTTTTAATAGCGATCAATTAAAAAAGCAAGCACTCAACTATTTGAAGAAAATACCAAATAAGAGGACGAACCATGAAAACTATATGATCTTTAGGGCGATGATGCAAATCAAATTTTTTAAAGAACTGGCATAAGATTATGGGAAGGAAACGGCTGAAATTTGTTGCTCTTGTTTAAGATATAAATGCACTTAACCTGGTTAAACATTATTCAAGCAAGGTAGAATTAAAATTTCAAAGTAGAAAGCAAATTTATTTTATATCAAAAAAGGTGATAGAGGAGATGCTTTTTACATAATAATGAAGGGCAGCGTTGGAGTAAATATTAAAACCTATACATCAATAGAAGATGGTCAAAAAAAGGCAGAATTAAGCGTAGATTATAATAAGCTTTAAATATCTCCAAATCAAAATCACAAAGAAAAAAATTAAGCCATCTTCTAAAAGGCTACAAATAAACTTATGGTTATGAATAGCATACATAGAAATTCAACTGAGTAGAAAATTTCTTATCATAATGAAATCCATATAGATGTTTTAGAGAGAAAGAATGAAGATTTTGAAGAAAAGGTATTGCTTCAGCCAATTTTATAAGAAGTCAAAGAGTTAAAGACAGGAGATTCATTTGGAGAATTAGCTCTATTAAAAGGTAGCAAACAAACATTACAAATAAATTAGTAATTAAAAAGCTATAAAATACTTAATATTTATAAATAGGAACAAAAGGCTCTTTAAGGGCAGCAACCATCATTAGCAAAGAGCTTACATACTATGCTTACTTAGTAAAAGAAGATTTTTAAAACATTTTAAGTAAGGATAAACTTTATAAATGTACATTAGAAACATTTAAAATATTTTTTTTTCTAACTAACTATAAAGAGGACAAAGAGTAAGGTAAACTAGATTAAAATATAGCTAACTTTTCAAAGTGTAAACTATTTGAAGGTTTAGATGAGAATGAATTGAGAACTATATTTTTATATTGTTAAAATAAATAAATGAAGAGAGATCATGTAGTATATAAATAGAATGATACATCTGATTTCTTCTATATTATCAAATCAGGAGAATTTTAGGTAAAAAAGTCAGTTTAGAAATTAAATATTACATTTTTTTATAATAGATTATAAAATCTCAATAAATTAAAGACAAAAAAGATGTTTAATACTATGAGGACGTTTAAATGCCTTTAAGTTTTCGTAACTACCATGGCAGGATTTAAAAAGAAATTGCTGTAACATGAGTTTAAAATATCAATTAATTTAATTAATATATTTAATAAAAGATTTCTATATTATCTTCAGGGTAATTTTTTGGTCATATGGAGATACTTTAGAAGACTACTAGATAATATGCTGTTAAATGCATCAGTAGTTAAGGTGAGCTTTATGCAATATCATCAAATGTAATTAAAATTTTGCTTAGTTATATTTCTTATAGTAATGAATATTTTTAGGATTTTATTAGAAAAATTTACTACCATCAAAAAAATTTCCTGAAAAAAAGATTAGTATAAGATAGAAAAATTCATAGTTAATTATACGAATAGCACGATGAAAAGTTTAAAGATATGAATGAGTAAAATTCTCATTTGCTTTTATAAAATTCTTATGATAAACAGTTTTATGACAAAATTCTTCATTATACAAAAAATACATCAGTTAAGCTCCCAAGTGTTTTATAAAATATTATGTTTAATTCTAGAGGATTGAATAATAGTAAAGTTAATATCAAGGAAAATTAAAGCTTGTGTCTGAATCAATAAGATTAGTTAAAATAGTAGCAATCATTGTTAAATTCATCTGTAAACTAATAAAGTTAAAGCCAATTAAGCTAAATTGGTTTGTCAAAATATGCAATTAATACAAATTAATCTATTTTTAATGATGACAAAAAAAGAAAACTAAACAACTCAACTTCTATTGCATCAAATTTAATGATTTAAAGCTAATTTGAGGGTAAAGAACAAAGATTAAATGAAAATATGCCTAACTAATTAAATCTTAAGAAATAATTTTCAGAGTTATCTTTTAGAACAGGTGCCTTAAGTAATAACCTTGACTTAAATTCTCCTAAATAAAAGGATTTTGAAAATTAACTAAAAAAAACAAAAAGTTCATTTAGTTAAAACAATCCTTATTTATCGCAAATTGACCAAAGTTTTAATATTGCTTCTGAAAATGACCACATTTAATAAAATAATCACACAGATCATCAAAAACAATAAATAAGACCTCTTTCTTTAAGTTTGAAGTAAATTTAAATTTATTATAAAAATATTTTTTTATTTTTAAAATAATTCAATTTTTTTTAACAAATAATTTTTAATTATTTTTTTAATTTATCTACAAAAGCACTTAATAAGAAAATTAAAAAAATGAATTTATTAAGTTACAGGATTAAAACATTCAAAAATTAAATTAAAATTTAATTAAAAATAAGTCTGTAATAGAAACAAAACCTTCAATTTAGTCTCAATAGCTATCTAACGAAACTGAATAAAAAAGTTTAAAAAATTCTTTATCAAGCAATAAATTGCCTATATTACCCTAAATAAAATACTATTATTCATCAAATAAAAAATCCTAGTTCACGAATAGAATATCAAATAGCTTAATTCAAAAAAACCTAAATTAAGATTCAAAAAGTGATTAAAACTCAACAGAAATTTAACCTTTTGCAAAATGTTATACAGAAGATTTTTAGGCAGATTCTTTTATTCAAACAAACTCATTTTACAGTCAGCTTGAAGGAGATGACAGAGATAAATTAGAAGTAATTACTAAAATAGATGGTGCAGATTCAATTTAAGTCGGTTCAGATAATCTTTTAAAATGTGATTAATTTTATGGCACTAAAAACTAAGAATAAACATCTCAATATGATGATATAAAAAAAAGAATGGATTTATTTCATGAAAAGCTAAAATTAGAAAAAGAATAAAGTTCTATAGAAAAACACCACAAACTATTAATCGAAATGGAGAATGTTTAACAGCAAGAAAGATAAAAGAAGTAAAACATCTAATAGTCTGCTATAAAAGTGATCAACAATATGGATGGATATAGACAACTAAAATAAAAACTAGAGTCAATATAATTAGCAATATAAGCAAAATCTGAAAAAGGTACAGTTTCTAAGGAAACTAAAAAAGAAATAATGAATAGGTTCTTTTCATTTATAAAAAACATGGATCTAGCCAAAATTCAAAGTAAAAAAACAGACAGATATAAATTTGCTGACTTTAGAGCTTTTGAAAAAGCTATCGAGTAAAAAACTCAAAATATAAAGGCTCAACACTAAAAAAAGAAATCCTCATTAATACAAAAAGCAAACCTAATGCAAAATTCTTCATGAGAAATAAAATTTTTAATAAAAACTTAATTTATTTTAATAATTACCACAATAAAATAAAATTTAAATTAATTCCAAAGTAAATTAAAATAAATTGTATAGTAATAGATATATAAACATAAATAAATAAAAAGAAGAAAATCTTTATTGCATCTATTTTTAATGAAAATAATTATTGTTATAAAATTACTCAAAATATTATATATACTAAAAAAACAATATTAAGCTACAGTTTGTATTATTTATGTAGTTATTCATACTATCATTTTAAGTCTATAGAATTTAACATTTATCTTTTTTTTAAAAACTTCTTACAAAAATTGTAGTAAACAAATTTGATGAAATATTTTTAGAAATAAAAATAAAAACTATTTAATTAAAATAAATATATGTGTAATAAATAATTCAGACTAATTAAATGTATGCATGCAAAGTAATAAAAAAATTTTAAATCTTTGTTTTATTGCATATTTATATTTAACCAATAATATTATATTTAATCATTAGCTATATACATCTTCATATTCATTTTTCTAATTTTATTCTAGCATATTTTATTTAATATCTCATAAATCTGTAAAATTTTAGCAAAATCTTTATTATATTTTATTTTTTACTCTTTAGTTGAAAGAGAGAATTTTAGTTAAAATAGAAATGTTCGAGATCAGAAAACTATTTGTAAGCAAATTAATAAATATATATGCATGAATCTCTCAATAATCATACACTTAAGAATGTGAATAAAATCCATTCAATAATTGTTAAGCAAATTTAGATGTTAATAATTTATTTTTTATGTTATTAATGAGATACAAAATTAATTAATTTACTTCTATTAATTCCACAGTTTATTAAAATCAGATTAAATTAGTGTAAAAGGTAAACCCCAAATTTCTATATTTTGTTTAAATTTACCATAAAAATTTTCTCAATCATAAAATTTACCAGAATTGCTTATAATTTGATTTTTTGTTTAGCTGTAATTTATTTTTTATTGTGTGATTATGAGCCTTACTAGGAAAATCCATCGAATACCCGAAATAGCAAGATAAATCATTTAATAACTAAATTTATGATTAACTTCATGAAAACTCTCAAATACTTAGAAGATTTATCTTTAACTACTTGTATCAAATTTAGAATTGATTATAAATTATTTTCATATTAAATCAAAAGCAATAATTTTGTCAAAAAGTATGACTTAAAAACTTATTACAATTTTAACATTCTCTGCTCTAATTTTTTCTTGCTTTGTACAAGGTAAGATTGAAGTTTAAAATGAGAATTTAGATGAAATTATAAAAAATATTTATCAAAATCTCTAAAAAAACCTCTTTACAAGTGACTAAAACTTTAAACTTTTTCCTTTTCAGCATGAAACCTAATAAGGAATTTATAAATCTGACATAAAGCTAAACTTAATAGATCAGACCAATTCATACTTTACTCACTTATTCAGATAAAAATTTGGAGTTATCGATAATAATATGTTTGTGACAAACTTTATCCTTTTAGGTTTAATAGAAGCATCAGAATTAGGATATCTTGAACTTGACATGAAAATATTTGAGTAAAATATTGAAGCCCTATTAAAATTCTAAGACAAAAATTATGCTCCAAATGTACCAATCTACAACTTCTGGACTCAGATATAAGTTGATGGAGTATGGTAAAGCTCACCTCGTAATTTAGAAGGAATTATGAACGTATATAACAAGCTACCCAACTTCATTTAAAAAATAGTTGAGTTTTTTGGTTATAAACCGAGTGAAATGGTTTAAATGGTGAATGCCCTCAGAATACCTTCAGATAATGATGACAGTGGATGTAACTTAGCTTTAGGTGCTACTTTAAGAGAAATTTAAGGTAAGTACTCAACACTCTCTAACAAATGGGATTAGTCTAACAATGACTACAAAACATTTTATCAAGTTGTTAAAAAATATGCTTACAGACCTTTCGATACCAACCATACTGTATAATTTCCATTTTTTTTTAATTTTAGCTGTATTTATTTCCATACAATAGATATCTGATTAAATCTATTAAATATGATTTACCAATAAAGCAAAATAATTACTAAGTCATTAAAAAAGTTATTAAAATTTTAATGATTAATTTTATAAAAGCTAAATATATTTTAGAATTAAGCTTACAATTATTTATTTTAATAAAATTTATCTTTTATTGTTAAAAGTCAAAATATGGGACAGACCTATCAAATAACATAGATCCAAGAACTTTTTATTACTTAAAGGTAATTTACTTCTCTTAAAATTTTTAATTAATGATTAACTCTTTTGTAAAAGTTTTTGTTTGCATTTTTACCCAATATTTATTTTTTTTTTCTAATATCAAATTATTACAAATAATTGAAAGATATAAATTAATTGATAACTGATTTTATAATGTCATTTTAAAATTTTATAAATAGGGATTTTTAGATCAAAACTAAAATACTACAATTGTATTATTTACTACATGGCTCATTAACTAATAAAATGAAATAGGATATTAAATGAGCTAGCCTTTCCATACAAATAATGTTGATCTTACAGTAAATGCTAATGCCATATTTGGACTTAATTCAGTTCTTTCAACTATCTCTAAAGAAGAAGCAGATGAACTATTTTTAGAAGATGAGGATCTTCGAACTCTCTACAGAAATTCAACCAAGCTATTAGAGTATGGTATTAACTCTAGAATAGTCTTAGATAGAGTTGATTTAGCTCTAACATATTATCCATCTGAATATAATTTCTATTTTTATGTTGCAAGAAATGTCCACTTTTTACGTTTTGTAAAAGAAAAAAATAATGGAACACTCCCTTATCCTGATATGGAATTTTGCCTTTAAACTTTAGAAAATTCTATGATTGGAAAAGGTCTTGATTAACTTTTAGAGTTAGCTCATGAGTCAGATTCTGAAGTTTACTGGGAGAGTTTTCTCGGAAATTACGCTAATATTACAAGACACGAAGATAGACTATACTCAACTGTAGCAGCAACTAATGCGCTTTTAGATACATTTACATCTAGCTCTAGTAATAGAAAATAAAGAAAATGGATTCTAAACACTCCTGTAAAAGTAAAATTAATTTTAGAGAAAGCAATTAGTTTTATTTCTCGTGTCTACAGTGATCCAAATACTTCTTATGATAATGCCTTCTTTTCTGGAAGTGTTAAAGGATTAGATTCACTTCCATTTTTTTATCCTTTCAATGAAGTTAGATATTTATCTAACAATCAAACAATTGATCCTCAAAATCAAGATTTTAGTGCAATAAACCAAGATTTATTAGCAGTTGTTAAAGGCTATATTCCTGACGAAGAATACTAAAAGTTGCTTAACCTTAAGTGGTTTACCAAAGAAGTGCCTCAAAATTTTACTGGTTTTAATGCCCCCAAAGATGGTTTTCCCTACTGGTCTTCTGAAGCCATTACCTAGGTTTTCATTATTTAATCACTTGCAAAATATTAGTCTGTTTTAAAAAATGAAAATTGACAAAGATTAAAATAAAATAAAATTATACTAATTACATTTCTTTATATTTGATTTTAAGAAAATTTAAAATCCTTTGAATTAAATATTAAATTTGAAAATTTAATTTAATTATATTTATTTAATATAAAACAAAAAAGTTAAAATTATTATTATTTTCATTTCATTTAATTTTTAATTTTTGTAATTTTTCTAAAAAAGAAAAATAAGTTTAATTCAATATAAACAATATAAATTTTTTATTTTTTGAAAGTTTTTAAAGTTTGAGATTAATTTTATTATTTTTAGAAATTTAACTATATATTTATTAATCATAATTTATTAATAAGTTCAAATTTAATTTGTCTCTAAAATTTTTAAGAAAAACTAAACTAAATAATCTACATTCAAAGAGAAAAGTGTTCAAATAAATTAAAATATAAGCATGATTTAAATTAAGTACAGTTTAGCTCATTTATTTAGGAGATTTTTAATTAAGTTTGTTTTATTTTTAGAAATAATTTTAGAAATTTAAAATATTTTAGTTTTAATTAACTGTTTAGGTTTGTTTAATTTTAATAAAATTAATCATAAATAGTAGCCGTAAATAAATTTTAATTAAAATAGTATATGATAAGAAGGTAATAAGTAGGAGTTGTATAAATGTTTAAATATAGTATTTTTTTAAGCATATAATTATTTATAATAACTAAAAATAAATGTAGGTATAATTGCTCTATCTAAAAGTATATATTATAGTAATGAATGAATAATGAATACATACAAACATTCGTTAAATTATATCGAATACAAATACTATTTTAAGACTGGTAATTGAGGATTTAAATAAATGGTATATTCAAATAAGCTAGCTACTTGCTTGATAGATAATAAATAGTAATCAATCCTTGAAAACGAGGAGCTTTTCCTTTCTTTCTTTTTCTTGAATGTACTTTTCAAAATCTCTTTTAATGGTATCAAAGTCTTCTCCTTTGTAAGTAACTTGTAAAACTTTTTCAGCAGGAGTATCAAGCATTCCATCTACTTTATTTTTATTACGATTTTCTCTTTTCCAACCATGATCAAAGGGTTTTTCAATAATAGATCCAGATTTTGTAGAAATTCTAATCTTTTTTCCATCTTCAAGATAACCAAATCTTATTCTAGTTGCCTTTCCAGTTTCGGGGTCAATTAATGAAACCTTAGAAACATGGATAGAGTGAATTTTCTTATGAATTGATCCCTTACTTTCATCTTAGGCATTACCTGCAACACGTTTCAGCTTAACATTGATACCTTCAACTAATACTCTATTAGTCTTTCTGTAGACTCTAATAACAGTACCAGTTTTACCTTAATCTTTACCGGAAATGACAACAACTTTGTCTCCCCTAACTATTCTCCATCTATCGAATGGAATTTATTAACTACCGATAATATTTCCTTTCTTGTTGGTTACGGCTGCAGTTTGACTGAAGGAGAAAGAATTAATATTATTGAGCATAATTTATCTTTAGAAGCCAATCATTTTGCTTATATTGATTGTATTTCTGATAGAAGGGAGAGCAACAGCAGCTCTACTTAATGAAGAAAGCACTTTAAACATACTTATAAACTAACTAATTATATATATCTATTTTTGAAGTAAATGAATCTGCTAACTAGCGAGGATTTTTGATTTGAAAATAATGTCCTTTTAGGAAATGTTTTCCTTTTTTTTCTTCGCTTTGAAATTATATAAAATGAATTAATATTGTTTGTAGAGTAATGAGAATCAAAGAAAGAAAGATACAAAGAAACAAGCAAATAAATTAATTTATGCAAAAGTCATGTTAAATATAATGAAAAAATTAATACAAGCAATTAATTAGCTTAATTATTTGTTTCTTTCTTTTCTTTTGTTTTCTTTTTGTTTTGTTTTGCATAATTCAATATTAAAGGCAGTGTTTAAATTGTTTTTGCCTCAAATATAAAAATTAAGATTTTTCAAGAAAAAAATGCAATTTATTATTAAGTTGATAGACCAAAAAGAATATCTTCTTTTGACATTATATTAATAAAGATAAAGGCATTAATTTTGTTAAATTTTCTTGTATTTAATTAACTAATAAATATATTAATATATCTTTTTAGCTGCTAGTTTAATTTGTTTAAAAACTATGTTAAATTTCAATCAATTATCAAGTTCTTTATGGTAAATTAAATTTTCATTGATTTAGCAAGTAAATTATGAATTTTTTAATTTAATATAGATCTCCTTGACAGAAAGACAAATCAAACAAAAATCATATATATTTTGAAAGAAAAGAAAAAGAGAAGAAGAATTTCAGACTTTATTAAGTAGAAAGAAACTTCCATAGATACTCATCAAATTTAGTTAAAAATTAAGTTAAATAAAATAGTAAAATGTCTTTAGTTTACAAGGTAGTTAGAAATTTCACCAGAAGAAATATTTAAGTACTTATGTTGGAAGATTTTCCAAGCGTTGGTTTTGAAGGATAAATCGTTAACGTCAAGCCAGGTTATGCTCGTCAAGCATTGATTCCTAGAAATTTAGCTGTTTATAATTTTCCAGGAGTTAGAGAACGTTTGTTCCCAAATATCAGACAAGCTGACATCGATCAAAAAACTCGTTATTATAGAGACCTTACTAACTTCTAAAATAAAGTTGATAATATTAATTTAGAATTCTTTAAAGTTCCATCATTTGCCAATCCTGCTTTGTTGAAGGAAGAAATCAGTAAAAAGGATATTATTAGAGAAGTTTAAAATAAATTCTCTATTGAATTAAAGAATGAAAATGTCTTCTTAGAAGAAAACATTTAGCGTTTTGGCACTTATAGTATTAATGTTAGAGACTTCTATAATGCTGAACTTTAAAGAAAGTTTGAGTTTGTCATGAACGTCCAAGTCAAGTAACCTATTATCAGAGAAGCAAGAGAAGAGAAAGAAACTAAGGAATCTAAGGACGCTAAAAAAGAAACTAAAGCTGCTGAAACTAAATAAGCAAAGGGTAAAGAAAGTAAATCTGCTAAAGAAAAAGAAGATAAAACTAAGGGATCAAAGAAATCCAAGTGAGCAATTAGAATTTGAATATACAAAACTTATTTAATATCTCATTATATCAATATATGCTGTTTATCTTTCATTAAAATCATGATTCATTCGTTTTAATAATTCTTTTGCAATGGATATAAACAAGTTTATCTTTCTCAAGTATTTGCTTTCCTGCTATCTTTCTAACACATGTATAATTGAAAGTAGTTTGTCTCTATATTATATTCATAATAAATGCAGGCTATGTTGCATAAAATTAGCTTTGAACCTCAATAAAAGATAATTCTAGTTAGATATACTTACAATTGAAAAATTAATATTGCTGTGATTATATAGTATGAGTATTTGATAATTATTTTACTTCTTAAAGAAAATATATTTATTAAATTAAATGAACCAATAAAACTTACTGTCATTCTTTACAATAGCTTCAAGTCCTTGCCATAAATTCATTTAAACACCTCTAGCAGAATGCAATTTATCTTTCAACAAGCATATCTACCTACTTGCCTATCTATTTTTCGATTATATTTTTATTTATCATATTGTACGGTTGCATTAGTATTTTTAAAACGTTTAATCTTCGGTTTTTAAAAAATAAACTTTTTCAACAATAATTATTTATTTATTTTATTCATTTGTTTTTCAATTTTGTTTTTAGGCTTTATAGGTTTATTTTTTTTCCAAAAAAAGTATTATTTGAATTATTGTTGATTATTTAAATTTTAAAAATTAAAAATATATTTTTTATCTCATTAAAATTGTTTTTTATCAATGTTAATTACATAAAACTCTTAAATATATATTTTATTTAGAAATGTTAAGATAGTAAAAATAAATAATGATAATATTCATATTATTTTATAAAGACTATACAAATTATAAAAACAACTCATATAAAGTATTATTTAAAGTAGTTTGTTTGTTGTTCATTATACCCTTATGAACTTTCCATATGAACTTTAAATACTCTTTTATTTTTTAGATTAGTTTATGCTTGAAAATTACAAATTTTTATCAAGCTTTCAGATAAATTTTTATTTTTTAGAAGAACTTAAAAAGGGTTGATAATTACTATTTTATTATTTTTATTTGTAAATTCTTTGGTTTAAATGTTACTATTGATAGGAATTAGGAATAAAGATAGACTTGGTTATTTCGTTAAGCATTTTATCAGAATATTTGAGAAGTACTTAGTGGTATGCATTATCTTTTAAGCCAGGATTTACTTAATGTTAAAAGTATTTAATTTCGTTTTATTGCTTGCTCATGTTAAATGATGATTATGGTTTTTGTTTTGATGCTGAATACTTATCAACACTTGAAGATCTCTAGTATTTTTTATCTTGAGTATTGCTTTTTTTATTACTAGTATTCAATTATTTTGTTTTAGATCCGCTAGTCTACTCTTTCAGTAAATCTTAATATGATTTTATAGGAGAAAAGTTGCTAAATATACTGTCTGCTCTTGTTTCTTAAGTTTTTTAATGAGTCATTATATTATTATCAATATATTTTAACTCAGATACATTATTTTCAATCACTACTGGTATCAAAGCATTCAGTTACTCATCTAGCTTATACAGAATTAAATTTTCTGGCTATTGGTCTTAATTTAGTTTGATGTGCTCAATCTTGCCATGATATATTTTTATTTTACTGTTTCTTACAGGACTTTTTTCAGTTAAATTAAAATTAATGTTATAATTATTATTTTATGTATCATTTTATAAGTCTTCAGGGAACGGCTCTAATTCAATTTCATCTTATCCTTCTAATGCAGTTACTTTTTTATTATCACCTAAAGATGTTGCATTAAGGGTTTATGAAAGCACTTCATTTAATTCTTTGCTTTTAATTATGCTTCTTCTCACATTATCCTAAATATTTTCAATTTATTTTACTAAATTTGATGGCTTTTTTTATAAAGAAGATGGAGAGTAATTCTGTGATATGCTTGTTTCTTATTAATTTTCTTGCAACGAATCTTTTTTGATTGTCTTTTGCTCTGTAAAGTTAAGAGTAGATTCTCTGCATATACCTGAATCAGTGAAATGATCACTAGTGTTGATGATTTCTTTTTTAAAGCTGTCAATTTTTAAAGTAAAGTGTTTAATTGGATGCTTTTCTTACCTATTTTCATAAGCTTTTTAATTAAATGTATAAGCAGAAGATACAGAGCTATTGTTTTAATTTGATTAAGTATTGTTATTAAGGTTATTATTTTAACCTACTTAGTTAAGATTTTGTTTAGGTGGAGTTTGAGGAGCAGTTGAATCATCTTCTTTTAATCTTGCATCCAAAATTTTATTTTAAATATTTTATTGGAATATTTTATCACTCTCTTTTGTATTCCACTCAGGTTAATGATAATATATTTCATTCTTAGTATTATTGATTGGGCTTAAGGTATTTGTTGCCATTTTAACTGATGCCATTCTAACATTATCAATGTCAGTCTGATAAGAATAATCTTAAGGGTTATTTTTTACACTTAAGTTGCTACTAAGTCCTATATCATTCAAATTCACTTAACTTTCTTTACCTTCTTATTTTTTTAAATCCTTACTATTGTTATTGAGTTAACCACTTTGATGATTGTCTTTATGAGTAAAAGAAACAGGTAATTCTAGTTAATTACTTATAGGTGATTGGCTTCTTTAATATTATATTTAATTATTGGTTGGTGATATCAGCTCTGCATCAAGGGAGTGAGTATTTCTTAAATCTTCCTTAAGATATTTGATAGGAGAGTTTTGCTTTTTTTAATATAAAATACCTCCTTATGGCTATAAATAGTAATAGGTTTAGCCTTCAGGCAGATGAGCGATAGTTTTAAGCTAGTGATTACCTTAAATTAGCTACTAGTCATGCTCTGAATGCTTATTTTTTTCTGTTTGCTATGAACAAAAATTACTTTGATTTGTAATCATCCTTAATTAATTTTTAGATTGAATTGCATGACTACTGTATTTTTGAGCTTCTACATCTTGCTTAGTAATTAATTTATTTTCTTAATTTTTATCGTGTTAAATCTTTTATTTATCTAATTATAAGTTTTATTATTATTATTATTGCAACTTTATCAACTCACTTTATATTCTTTTTTGTTCCATAATTTAGTCACCAAGCTCCATTTTTTGATTTAAAATACTAATTTATTAAAAGAAGCTACTTTCCTCAATTTAATCTTAACGCTTAATCTCTGATTAGTAGCAGCTCTAAGGAGCTTTTTCTTACACACTTTCTCTACAAGCTGCATCATAATTAGAAGAATTCATATTGCTTGAATATTGTTAAGTGCTTAGCCTAGATCCTTAGTTATATTTACTACTTGCTGGAAGATTGAAATTTTGCTATGATAAAATTTCTTAATCTTTATTAAAATTATTAGGACTATTTTTGATGCTAATGTTGAAGTTTGACACGCTCTTTGAATATTTATGCTCCTCATCATTTTACTTCTCTAAAACTTCTAATTCTTGTTTCTAATTTTCTGAATCTTGCTAAGCTAGGATACTTTTGATTTAAGCCTTCTAATTTTTACTTTATGAGTAACTAAGCTGCTTTGTAAGTAAATTATCAAAGTATTCAAATTATTCTTTAATAGAAAGTGAATTCATATGAGACTCATTACTTTTATCTAAACCTTTAGCTGATAAATTAGTGTCTTATTTGCAAGTTTTTTGTTTAACAGGGGTCTAAAGTTTGTCATATTCATCTTAAAACCTTACAAAATTCTTATTATTTTATTATGAGGAGTTAGGAACATCTTGTGCATTTAATATTTTTTACAATTTGATAACTTAATTCTAATCTTATGATTGTACCTATGCACTCATAGGCTTTAGAGAGTTAAAATTTAATTCCAATAAATTATTTTATGAGACTTCTTTTTATGTAATAAACTATTTTTAATTTGGCTAAATAGCTTAGAGGAGTTAGTCTACTCTTAAATGTTAATCTTTTTTAAATGGCGACTGATTTTCGTCATTCTTTTTATCACTTTTATTAATTTCAAATGCGCTAATTGATTGATTTGTTTCATCTTATTATTATTTTTTGTGATGAAAATTCAACGGAGAAACTTAATTGTAATTTGTATAAGATTAATTGCTTTTATTAAAACTTGTATTTTATAACTATGAGGTTTGATTTACTATTTATGATGAAATAGTTTTTGCAGATTAATAAGTAGGATTTTGGTGTTATAACTTCAATTTAATAACTGGCGTTTGCATTATAGGAGATTATATTATTATTTGCTTTAAGACTGGTTTAAAAAGGCTATGGGATCTAGGAGTTATCTTCATACAGCTCTAAGTAGGAATGCTTTTAATTGAGTTTTAATTATTTATAACAGCTATATGATTAATTTTAGGTTTAAACTAAGAAGAAGCAGGAGTGGAATGTGATCTGATCATCCTACTGTTTTACTTTTCGTATATTGTTTGTGCATCTTAATTGAATCTACTTTAAATTTAAACAAGCTTTTGCTAATGAAATTGCTCTATTTGTTCTTTTTATTGTGAGTTGCCCATATTCTAGCTACTCTTTTAAGTATATATGAATGACAATTAATGCTAATATTTTATTTAAAGCCTTAAATTAAAAACAATTATTTTTTATTTTGATTAATGAATATTATTTGATAATTTCTTTAAAAAGCTAATTATTTGTGAATTTGTAGTTATCACTGGATTTAATAAGATAAGAATGACTTTATGCTTAATATATTAATAAAATTATATCGAAATTATTGGTTGCCTTATATTTTATTTATTAATTTACTTCTTATAGAATTTAATAATAACTATAAATTTAGTGATAAATTTTAATTCATAGTATCTATGCATTATTTGAATATAATTTTCAAAAGATTGTATTTTTGTATCAAAATAGAAAGTCAATTTTCTAAACACAACACATATATTTCAATAAAATCTTTCTATGTAAATTGAAAGTAAATGAGATGTTACACGAAATTAATCATTCATTCAATGAATAAGAAGTTTTAACCTTTTATAAAATTTACAAAAAACAAATTATAAAAATAAATTTTAAAAGGTTTTATAAATACTTAAAATTAAATTTTTAAATATTTTAAGAAAAAGTTCTTGCTTGCATTAAACTTAATTTGTAAATAAATAAATATTTAATATTTAAAAAATAGAAAGGCAGATAAGAATTTCTAACGATTAATTTAGTAATTAGAATTTTTGATATTCAGATTTAAGTAAGAAAAATACTAAAAAAATAAATATGATATGAAATTATTAAACAACTAAGTTAAAAGATTAACTAAAAATATCAAAATATTTTTTTATTTTTTAAACATAAATTTCAAATATAATAATCTCTTCATTCTTTATTTTAATCTTGCTAAATAACTTTCTCAGGTTCTTACTTTGCTCCTTTTCAGAATAATTTTAAATATAATCATCAAATGTTTAAAAAGTTTGATAATAATTACCTTGAAGTTCCTTTAACTACTTTATTTTATCTAGGTCAGACTCACTAAAGAATTATATTTTTTAGGCTGTGAGATCATGCCTAATAATAATTTAAGTTAATTCTTTTTCGGTTTAAGAAAGATTGAACATTCTAAAGGGATCTTTTAGCTCTTGTTCTTTTTCCTCTTAAGTTTTACTAAATTTATTACCTCTTAAATCTAACTTAGCTAGAGAATAATTCTTTGTAAATCCTGTTTTAAGATTTTCGTAACAACTGTCATTAAAATCATTATTTGCTATATTTAAAACTTTTAATCCACACATGCTATCTGCAACATAATCACTTAATTTCAAAGCAGTCTATTTTACATATTTTATTAAAATTTAACCACCAAAATATTTAATTTACTTCAAATTCAAACTAATTTCCTGAAACATCTAACTCTAGTAGAGTTTTATTAAGCATCAAATCTTAAAAGAGCTTCTTACCTGCCTTATCTCCAAGATTGTTGAGTTTTAAATTAAGACTTTAGAGATTTTTATTTACTTTAAGTGCTTATGCCAAGTATCTCGACCCTTCATATCCAATTAAGTTATTACCCAAATTAAGATATAACAAAATCTCATTTCTCATTAAAAATTTAGCTATTCTCCTAGCTCTAATAAATTTTATCATTTTTATATTAATGCAAAGATAAATTAAATTTTACCCTTAATCTTCAATTTTATTGTGAGATAGATTGAGTTCTATTAAGGAAATATTCATATTTACTCCTGCCATAATAAATCTCAAAAGATCATCGTCTATCATATTTGCACTAATGTTTAATGACAGCTAATATTGAATAATTATTTTTATTTAAAGATACATTAATGCATTATTTTTTAAAGAATAAGAAATTATTGCTTTTTATTTATTTATTATGTTTTTAAATAAGTTTCTTTTTTGTCAATATTTATTTTTGTTTGAAACTACGCCAATTTATAAACAAAATTCATAAGTTTTATTATTATGCAAACTAAAAAGATATTTAAAAATGTTATTTCAATTTCATTTACTAAAGAATAGCAATTCTTAATAGCTTCTCCAAGATTAGCTGCTTCTGAAAGCTTCATGCCAACAGACTGTTTATTGTAATCCATTCCTGAATATTTTGTACCATAAGTGAGGGTCAAGGATGTAAGTAGAGGAAGATACTTGCAAATAAAATCTATGTCTATATTTTAATTGATATTTTAAAGATTAAGAGTATGTATCCAGCTAGCAGCTGCTTTTAATTCTGCTTAGAGAATTTATTTTTTATTAGGATCATCCGCATTTTATATATTTGTTAAAAATTCTTCCATATAACGTTCCAAATAAGCAACTTTCCAAGAGCGTCCATGCTCTTCAATATTAATTGATTTTTAAGATTTTTCCCATCTGTTTTTGCAAGCACGTTACCAAAAGCTCTCTTAATCAATGTTAGGAGCCATAGTTAATATATCCAAGTCAGTTGTTATTTTCGATATTATCTAGTTTTATATAAAGTATGCTTATATTGTATTAGTTAATTCATTTTTATTTTTTTAACTTGTTCTTTAAGATTTAAAACTCATCAAATGAAAGAAAATAAATGATTCTAAATTACAGTATCTCTAACATTTTCTGGCACTCCTTTTAAATCTGGATACAGAATATAATTCTAAGATACAACTTCAACTGCTATATGTTATAATAAAGGGAATTCATCTTTCTTGAAAGGATCTGGCTTCCCTTAAGATCTTGCTAAAGCTAACTTTTTTGCTAACATAATTACTTAATTATTTAATTCTTTATTAATAATGATTATTCCTTATACTTCTTGATTTGCTTACTCTATCTAAGTATTAATATTAATAAATGAAAATCAAATACTATTTTTATTAAAATATTATTTATAAAATAAGTTTTCTAACAAATAAAATGAATTTCTAAAAACAAACTCGATGTTTATAAGTTTCAAATGAAAAAATATTATATATCTCTGAAATAGTAGCTGTGGGTAATAAAAAAAAGTCAATATGCCGTTTTTAAATAAAAATCCATATTATATTAATCAAATATTTAAATAATTAAATAAATTAACTAAAAAATATTTTCAACTCATATAAAATTAAAATATTTCGCAATGAAGGCATTTATTTTAATTTTTTTCATAATATTGACCTTTTGGAAAGGTAAATTTACTTTTATAATGTTTTCTTTAAATTTAGCAGATCAATAAAGTTATTTTAATATTTTTATATTTATCTTTGGATTAATTATTTGAATTTTGTCATAGATAAACTAAATTTAAACTACAACCCATTTATCATATGAGAAAGCAAAATATTTTTAAATATGTAAATCTAAAAAGAACAATTAAAGAATTAAAATCTAATTATTTTAAATTTTTTGAATTATATCACAAAATTTTTAATTTAAAAATAATACAAAAATAATTTCAAAATAAAATTGTAATAATGATAAATATATCTTAAATTGTTTATTGATGTTTTTAAAAATTTTATTATTTTTTGCAAAATTGAAATTTTATAGTTCATATTTTCATAAAAAAATGTAAACTTCAAATTCAAATCTATTATTAGTAATAGTAAAGTATATATTTCAAGAATAAGAGGCATTTTGATATGATATTGGTAAATTATTTTAAAGAAATTAAGTGCTTTTAAATTTTATTTTGTGTATTAGAAAACATAATAAATGAGTAACCTCATAATAATTGGAATGAATGGTAAAAATTATAATTTAACAAATATTTATTATCCAATTACTTTAAATTGAGCTGATTGAGATGATTTAATTTGTATTTGTAAAGTAGCAATTAAGTGAATTTAATAATGAGAAAAATATAGACCATGGAAACTATTTGAAGTAAAAATTGAATGGTATGGCATTTAAAATAATTAGAAGTTAAAATCAATAAGTAAAAAATCTTCATAGTTTTTTATACTCAACAGAAATAAATAAAGAATAACTATTGATTATTTATTTATATTTATTAATTTAATAATTTCAAATTTTTTGTAGTATTAAAATAAAAGTTAGAAAGAAACAAAATTTTTTTAGAAATATCTCAAGTTTTAACTTAAATATTTGTTAAAAGCTAAGTAATAATAACAAATAATCTGTTTTGCAGAATATTAGAAAATATATTCACTTTATAACTAACTAACTAACTAACTAACTTACTTTACAATAAACGAATTGCTATTATGAAAAATATGATTGATAACAGCCAAAAGATAGCTAACGCATGTACGGTTTGCAAAAAATAAAGAAAATCTAGCAACCCTTTTATATTGCAGTGTTCTCATTTACTATGTTTAAACTGCTTGTAAGATTGCTTAAATAATATCCATTCAAATTATATTGAGTGCCCTTCTTGTAAAAAGTAAACATCTCTTGATTTTTTTGAAAAAGAGCTTGACGATTTTGCTTCTACTTCAGGTACACCACAAAGTAATTAAAATATTTCTGATAATGAATACATCAAGCAGTAACAGTAGCAATAAAAAAATTAAGCTTATCAATAGTAACAGTAGTTAATATTAAGCAAAAATGTTATGAAAAATTAGAAGATGGAAGATTGTTAAAAGAATGCGCAATATCAGAGATCATAGAGTAGCCATTAACAGTAAAATACCAACTAAATTAACGTTTATTAGGACTATTATGCTGAAAAATAATCATAAGAAACATCTAAGAGCTCAAAGTATAAATAAGGGTCAATGAGCAACAATTAATATGTTAATGATCCTAATAGCTCAAACGGAATGTTTTTAAATTCATTCGAAATTAGCTCTATCCTTCCTCATCCACATTAAGAGTAGATTTGTATGAATAACTATAGTAGCCCAGTCTTTAATTCTATTCAGTAATCCTACACAACGCCGTTAGACATACTTATAGGGAATGAAAATAATTTAAACAACGAAACTTAAAAAAGGAGAGTTGATAACGAGATGGAAATAGTAGACGAAAACGATTTTTCCTAGTAATTAGCAGATAATATAATACCTGAAAGTCTAAGTAATAGCAATAAAAATTAAATTTTAAACCAAGAGAAGTAGGTTTAAGCTGTCCATTAAAACAATCAAACTAGTAATAGTAGCAATAGCTATAATAGGTTATAAACAAATTAAAGTAAAAATAGTGAAAGCCTTTTCAGTAGAAGCAACAGTAGTGCTAGTAATCTTTATACTTTGTAAAATAATATTAATAATAATAGTCTAATTCCTAATAACAATGTTATTTAAACAACTAGTACAAATACTAATTACCAAAGTAATCCTGCAAACTAATCATTTTCTTAAAGCTTTATATAGCCTATATAACAGTCATTTATATCCGTTAGTGGAATTAAATGTAAAACTCATCCAGAAGAAGAAGCAAATCTATTCTGCTTTTAATGCCATGATAATTGTATGTGCATAAACTGCTTTTTACAATCGGGAGAGCATAAGGAGCACGAAGTTAAAAATGTACGCAATTCATTTAATCAATTGATTCCATTAGTTTAAAACCTTAAAGAAAGAATTCTTTTGTAAGTTAGTGATTTAAAGAATGATGAGTAGTTAATCATTAACAGACAAAGCGATATCCGTAATTTATGCACAGAAACTTTAACTCATCTTAATAAACAAGTAAAAGAAATAGTAGCACTGATAACCTAAAAAGGTGAAGTGTTAAGCAGAGAAATTGAAATATTTTAACAAGAATAATTAAATGAGCTTACAAATAAACACTAAAAAATAAGCAAATAATTGATAAATTTGAACACTTTTTCTGACAGCTATGAAAAAATTTTAAATTTCCAAGGTAAATGCTCAGAAGCAAGAATGTTCAATTACTTCTCAGATACAAAGTCAAAAGTGAATAAATATATACAGAAACTTTAAAAATAAAATGAAGAAATAAGGAGTGCATGTAGGACCAAGTATACTTCTTGCTATCCTGAACATTTATTCAACGATATTGAGTTATAAATATAACAAATATCTATACCTTTTACTGTTTCGTAGCCTTTTTCTTTACCCACTAGCTAGTTACCAAGTTCCCCAAATTAATAATAAATAATGCAAACACCTATTAATAATAGTAATAGTAATAAAAATTCAAATTTCTTTTAACAATAACAACAAATTAATCAAATACCTCTCCCCTAATAAAAAAGATTATCATAGTAATTCGATGATAAAAGCTTAAAAGAAAGTAAAATAATTGATTTTGACTAGCTAAAAATGAATTCTGGATAAATGCAGATAGATTTAAGTAATAATTAACCTAATTCCTCTTTCACCTCCTCACAAAAGAAACTAAGTAACTCAGCAGTTAGATATAATAAGCAACCAAGAGACTCAAGGATGAACAGCGGACACACATATAATGCAAGCATGATAAATAATTCAAATTTTTATGATCAAAACTACTACTAAAATTCTGTAATAAAGATCAACAGAATATCTAATCCTCTATAAGAACCTCTGATGGAAAGAAATTTATTATTCTAAGATAATTCTGCAAATAAAACAAGTAAACCTTTCATTGATATAAAGCAGCGTTTAGACACTAATGATTAAGACTAAGAATATTAATAACAATAAATAACTAATAACCCCTTTAATTTAAAATCAACACAATTTTAGTTTAGCAATTAAACAAAAAATAATATTGTAAAACTGAAACTACAAGAAATGCCAATTGTTTTACCATAAGAAATATAAACAAGCGATTCGTTTATAATTTAGAATCCATCAAATAAAAGTATAAAAAGTACAAATAGGTAATTTAATTTTCTTTATTATTAAATACTTAATATTTTTTTTAATATAAAAGAATAAATAAAGTGTAAAATAGTGAGAATTTTTATGAAAATATTCCAGTAACTTCAGTCAAAGAATGTGTTTAATTAATAAAAAGTACACTTAAATCTAGAGGTGCCTCACATAGTCAATTAAGAGAAAGAGTATCTTAAAATCCACCAGTTTCTAATGAACCTTACCGCTACAAGTAATTTATAATTTAAATTAAATAAATTTTTTTAAAAAATAATTTTTTAAAGGTCTAACCTGAAAGAAAATAGATACAGCGTTCCTAAACTAGATACAAAAAAAATAGATTAGTTGCTTACAGGAACAACTTTGACTTAAAAATCTACTGAAAGAGAAAGAATAGGGAAGTCAAATGATAGAAAAATCAAAGAGCTCAAAAAAATACTGAATGAGGGATGGTGAAACTATAATTAAAGTACATTAAAAGACATAAATTAAGTTGTCTAAAATTATATTAAAAACTAAATTAAATATCTTGTTTGGTTGTATATATTTGTTATTATATATTAATTAATACTCACTTTACTATTTTATATCCAAATAATACTTTGTTTCTTTCATTATTTATTAAAAAATATTATTTTTTAGATGATTGTTTATTTATTAAAAATATTAAAAATAATAAGTAAAATCAAATTAAAATAATTTGTATTTTTATCTATTTTTAAGCTATTAATTATTTTTAATTTTTCTTAATTTAATTATTAAAATAAAGTTATTCAAATTTTAATTATTAAGATATAAAAGAAAATCTAATGATATTTATTATTAAATTTATCATTATTTTTTTACAATTTAGAAATATCATTTTATTTTTCAATAAATTTAAAAATTTTATAACAACAATTGAATAAAAATTTCATCTTCAGCTGGTTGCTGATCAAAGGAGAAACATTTATAAAAAATTAAAATATTAAATTTTAGTCATAAATTTGAAATTTATATATTGATTAATTAATGTAAAAAAAGTTATGAATCTTTTCTAGTTTATTAATTAATTATTATAAATTAATAAATTTTTTGTAATAATTAATAGCTTTAAATCTAACATATAACATTAAATTATTAAATGCTGAATAATTCTAAGTTTTATAATATTTCTGACAAAATGAACAAAAAGATGAATAAATATGCATACCAAGAAAAATGGGAGAAAATGATTTGTTATTTGAAATGAAGAATATAAAGCAAATATTTATGAAAATGGATGTATGAAATTTAAATACTCTTAAATTTGATTTTAATTAATAATACAAAATGGATGAAAGAAATAATAAAGGAAGAGAATGGAAAGGCTGCGGGCAAGCAAAGAAACTATGAAGGAGGTAGCAGAAATGAGAAAATTAGGGATGGATGAAAGCAGTCAAAAAGATAATAAAAAGAAATGGAAAAGGATGTATAAAAATAAAGAAAGAGATGTTTGCTGAATTTAAGACAATTAATTTTAATAGAAAGATACAAGGGAGAGTCATTAAACTAAATTTAAAGGAAGAAATTTATTAACAATAATAAATAAAACACAAGGTTAAATTAAGAAAAAACAAAATAAAAAAGACTTACAAATACAATTAAAATGGTAATTACTTAATTTGATATTTTATAAGTCAAGATGAAGCGCTGATCATTTATACTAAATGGACAGCTTTTCTTTCATTAGAATTGACCATCTTTTAGCAAAAAAAAAAGATGTCCCATTATTTTGTTCCTATGTTAATGAGTTATTTTGTTAAAATTAAAAAGGTTTTCAACAAATTCGTTCAAGTCGGTAGAGTCGTTTACATCAACTACGGTGCTGATAAGGGTAAACTCGCTGTTATCGTTAACATCATCAACTAAAACAGAATCCTTATTGATGGTGAACACATTGTTAGACAAGTTATTCCCATCAGAAGAGTCCACCTTACCAAGTTCTAAATTGATAATGTTGAACTCAACCAAAGAACCGTCTTATTGAAGTAGAGATATTCTTATATTTTTTACTATATTTTTAAAAAGCTCAAAATTCTCTAAATCATCATCTCACACATTAAATGGATTATTTTACAAATGCACTCAGAAAATTTGAATTTGGTATTATCAAGCTAATTTTTAATCTACAATTAGCAAATCTAAGTAGAAATCTATTTAATTGCTTGAAGCATGAGTGAATTGTTTTGCAAAGGAAAAATTGCTGTAAATAGATTCAAAATAGTAATAAAAAGGGAATTTAACAAATAAGTTGGAGTAATTTAAAAAAACTCTTAAGCAAGAAACGGATTTGAAATTAGAATTTCATAAAAGTCTAACAATAGGCATACTTAGCTTTGAAAAGTATAAATAATAATCAAATGAGACGCAATACTGAATAGTGATCTATGTTTTAGTTTAATTCAAGCAAAGTATAGGAAAAGAATAAAAAGCATTTTCGTAACAATAAGTTTATTTTGAAATATGAACTAGTCTTGAATTTTGTTTTCAAATTTAAAACCTTTTACTTTCTTAGTAAGTAATATTTAGCAACAAATATCTTCAAATTAATTTATTATTAGTTAGAAGGAAATAAATAATTCAAGCTAAGTATTAAAGTAAGTAGAGAGAATGAGGATAACATTTATGATAAATGCGTTTTTTCCAGATCTTAAATAAATGATACCGTTTATTGTTTGAATTAAGCAATTTGTTAAATTCTAGCTAAAAAATTTAGTTTTTGAATGAAAAAATAAAGAAAAATACAAAATGAATCTATCTATTAATTAACCAATCTATCTATTAATAAATCAATCTACTTTCTAAAATATCAATTAATGTGTTGAAGATGAGTGATAAAAGAATTCAAAAAATATAAATACATACTTACTTAACAATTTCTAAACATTACTAATATTTTTAAATAGGAAGAAGATCGCTAAGTTCGACTTAACCAAGAAGTACGCTGAAACCTCCTTCGCTAAGAAGTAAGCTATCAAGACCAAGAGAGCTAACCTCGGTGATTTCGATAGATTCAGAGTTATGGTTCTTAAGAAGAAGGTAAATAATTAATTATGAAATAAATCTGAAACAAATAAAAATATTTTCTTATTTTAAATAAAGCTCGCTAGAACCAGCGCTAAGTCTAAGTGATTTAATAACTAAATTAAACGTAACTCTTATAAAAATTGATAAATCAAGAGATTATAAATTTTTAACTACTATTGTAAAAATATATATTATTTTTGTATTTTATTTAAACTAAAATTGAACAAAATTCATTCATGTATTCCCTCATTTAAAGTTTAAATACACTATTCAAAATCTTTATTTTATTATACTATATTCCATTCATATTTATATAAAAATTCCAAATGAAAGTTATTTAATATTAATTTATTAATTTTTTCTGTGTTTTTAAACCAAAGCATACTCATACACTTAAATAGGCAATATCAACTAAACAAGCAAATACTTTTAAAAGATAAGTAATATGTTTTAATATGATTTATTAGCTATATAAAGCTTAATATGTATTGAGAATATATAATATTTTTATTAAGATTGTTTAATTTACATTCAAAATATGATTTAAACAATAAAGAAATCATAAAAATTTTGAAAAACAAATAGTTTTTATGATTTTAGTTAGTTTTTAATATATATCTTACGAAAGGAATATAAATATTTATTTATTTATTTTAAAAGATAAAATATTAGATGGATTTTTTTTTTATCATAATTATTATTGATAAAATTATTTACTTATTAAATTATTTGAATACTTTAAATTCATTAAATTTTTATTAATTACTTACTTGTTATTATTTTAATTTCCATTTTCTTAAAATTTCTTAATAAATTCATACTCTAAATTTTAAATATTTCTTTTATTTTTATTTTTAGGTTATTTATTTTTTGTTTATTTGTTTTTAAATTATTTCAATTTATTAAAATAATTCTTTTCAGATGGCTACGTTTTAATTATGAGAAGGGTTTTATGTTTATTATGGTTGCTATTACTGCATGTTTTGTGATAGAAGAAGAGATTATGATATATTTATATTTTATATTTTGTTTATTTGGTCTGAATTAGGAAAAGGATTTTCAAAACCTTAAAAAGATTTGTGACGAAGGTGGTTACTTCCTGAAGGAGTTCTTTGGGAATTAATTAAATATCTAAACACTTTTGCAAGTTCCATGTTTTCTTCTCCTATAATTGCGATCACTTAAGGATTATTTTCAAGTAATTCTTATGGGTTGGAAGAATTATCTAAAATACTTTTCATTTTAAGAAATTTCTCTTCTCCTAATTTTTATTTGAGATAATCAGATACAAGAATTGTCCTATTTGGAGATTGTGGGAAGTTGAAGTATTTTGGTTTCACTTTGGTAGTAGGTAGGCTGTGTGCATATTATTATTGTTGAGATATATTTTAACAATGTTAGTTTTTAGTGGAGTTATTTTTTGTGGATGACTAGTTACTTGTTGTATTGCTTGAACCGCTATTATTATAACTACTTCCATACATAGAAGTTGACTATCCTTAGTTATTGTTGTTTTCACCATCCATCATCATCATCATCATGATGCTAGACAATGAAGAATTTTGCTAAGAACTTTGAGCACTGTGTCCACTTCTACCACTACCCAATCCGCTTTCTCGTCCTTGAATATCAGAATTAGGAGTAGATTTTTTTTATGAAAAGTTTCCTCCATAAGTTGTGTCGATTACAATAGGAGGCTTATATCTAGGTATTTTCATAGGTTATTTTTTTAGCTGTTATTGATTATTTGGAGTAAACTGTTGTATTGAATTATTGTTTTGAGAGTATGGTGGATAAGGTTATTAGTAGTGATTAGGCATATGCTCATATTAGTTCATAGGAGAGAAAGGCATGTTAATTGGAGAGCTCATTTCAGACATTATTTGTTAAGGCATTGAATTTTAAGTATTAGGTGATCTTAAATCCATAACCATAGAACTATTATTCGAATTTGTTCCACTCGCTACATACCCAGATTAGTATCCGAATTGACTTTAAGATAGATGATTATGCTATAAAGACATTTATTGAGAGAGAATAGGATGGTTGTTATTGTTATTATTTATAGGAGAAACATTTTCACTTTGAGTACTTGATGTAGCATTTCCTATAAAAAAGTCGTAGTATTAATTTTATGTAGAATAGGAAGGAGTGTGCTGCTATTAAAATTAAAAATTTGTCATTTATTATTGCTAGATTGGTTGCTAAACATAACGATAAATAGGGTTCCCAATACTATTTTTATTTATCGGATGGCTTTAAAAGGGCATTTAATATTAGGGAGACTACATATTTTAAATAACTTATTACTGTTATTAATGATGAGGATATTATAAAACATAATCTTCTATCGGTTTATTCATTCCAAATGTTTCTTCTTGAGTCATAAAGGGTTTTTAGTTTTATTACATTTAAATCATGAAGCTGTTGTTATTAATTTGGTCTTATTAAACTTAACAAAATTACATTTAGTTTATAATTGTCCCTGCATTTTAACTTTTTTAATTTTATTAGAAAATTTGCGACTCAACTGAGCGGGATTATTCCTTGATACTTTCAGACTAATTGTTATTAATGAACTAGCCGTCTATAGATTATTTTTTACTTGATTAAGCCTCTTATTAAATTTACGGACTACTTAAATTGTAATTTTTTTATGCCTATTAAGTAGAATCTTAAGTTAATGATTTTGGTTGAATTTTTTCAGGTGATGAAGTAGAAGCTGAATTAGGTTGCTGCTAATTTTATTATTAAAAGCTAGAATCAGATGATATTATTGAGTTACTTAATTCATCTTCATTAGATTGAGGTTAGGATTAACCACTTTCTATTCTCTCTCCAATTACAAACAGAGTTTTCTTTTCATTTGGAATAAAAGAAAGTGTAGGCTTCTATTTTATTCTAAGAAAACCTGTGTATTTTTTTGGATTAGGAAATTAATAATCCTTATAAACTTCAGGATATTATTCTTTCAATTTTTTAAACTAATTGTTTAATCGTATAATTCTGAGTGATAAATGTATCATAAAAAATAAAATAAATATTTTACTTAGTTTTAAATTTCTTGAATAGAAATAATTTAATTTATGTCTGGCCTCCTATAATACATTAAAAGAATAATATTATACATACAAGTAAATTTTATGCAAAAGTGTTACATATCAGGCTCTTTTTGCATCATAACTTGTACCAGCTAAACCATAGTTGATGAGTAATGATCAGAAATAGGAGCAGGGTCGTTTTGAGTGATTTATTTTATAAGTCCCTAATTAAAAATATAATTTGGGTCTAACTAAATAATTTCTTCAAGAAATAATTTTATTTACTAATAAATTATCGCTTTTGAATGGCTTATCAAGAGTACATAGCTCATAAAGAAGACATCCAAGCATCCAAATATCAACTTTGTGGTTATATGAATGCTAATTACATTATTCAGGAGAAAGATAATAAGCAGTTCCGACATGAGTACTGGTAAGAATATCTTTATTTTCAAGCTATTTAGATACACCAAAATCACCCAATTTTATCTGATTTTATAAAAAATAAATTAACTTTTGTTCTATCAATTTTTATATCTATTTAAGCTTAGGAGAATTTTATCCGATTTATTATTTTTCTTCTATGATTTAAACCATATTTTTACAAACTAAAATACTGGCTCAGTTTTCTTATGTAGATTATTTTATTTGCTTTGAATATACCAAATTATTTTATTGGTGAGCAGAACAGCTCTTACATTTTAAAAATTTTGTAGTAATCATACAATTAATATTAATATAGTCCTTTAAGTATAAAAAATTAGTGTACTAATCCATTATTGCAGATGAAGACGTTAAGAATTTTTAAATCGCGATGGAGAATTTTGTTATCGTGGAGATATTTGACAGCAAGGCAAATCTGAGAGAACATATTCCAAATCTAATTTGAATAGAAATTTTGAATAATTTAGAGAGAGATTAAGAAATTCAAAATTTTATTAATTTAATTGTTGTTTACTAAAATCAAATTCAATCAATAAATATGAATAGGAGATATTGTAAATAAGCGAATGAGTTAATGAATGAATGAATTTAATTAGCATACCTGACTTTCATCAAAGAATTCCTTTTTATGCTATTTCTCAGTAACTTGTTTCTTTAAATCGCCTTTTATAATAACATAAATATGGCTAAATGTAAGCTAATATAACAATTAAAGAAAATGATTTCCTAATATTAGATTCTTTAACAAACAATCTCTCCTTTTTCTATTTTTATTTGAGTAAAAGAAGGGTTTGCTTGCATCTTTCTAAAATTGAACAAAATTTTTTATAATTTGTAAATCAAATATTATGAATTTTTTAACCCTACCTCCTTCAGCGTACTCCATAACTATACAGAGCTTCTACTCATACTGAAAAGTCTCATAATATTTTATGATATTTGGGTGAACTAAATTCTCTAAAACTTTCACTTCATTAAATATAACCTGTTATTTCTAATTGTCTTCATCTAAGTTGAGTCTTTTCATCGCATATTACTTGATTTATTTGAAATATAAGCTGAGTCAATTAATTTGAAAGAAGGCACAATAATAATGTAAAAATTATAGGGTTGAAAAAATAAGGTGAAGTCAATATATGGTTTCAAAGCAATTATATTTTATTTTTATTTTTATTATATATAAAACTAAGCTCAAATTACTTTACTATCTCTCTCAACTAATAGCACAACTCTATCTTCTGTATTAGTTGAGTATATCTTTTTTACAATTTGATAATTTTCCATCTGACTTCAAGATAGCTTGTTTAACCTTTTCTTGCTGCCTCTATAAGTGAGATCTACTTATCTACTTTCACTGCAGATTTGCTAAAATGATGCTCTTATAAATTTAATTCAAGCTACAATAAATCTTAATTTTGCTTCTTCTATACTTGATAAACTTTAATAGGATAGTAAATTGTGTAAAATTTTGCTCTTTTTTATTGGTGTTAGTAAAATAGTGATTAATTGCTCTTCTTAAAAAAAACTTAAATATATTATATAAGTATACTTTTTACAAATTAAATAGATAGCAGAATATGAAATCTATTTATTTCTTTAACAGAACTATCTAATGCAATTTGATTCATTCATAAATATTATCACAACACCAAATTAATTCATTTATTTAACTTTCTGAAAAATCAAACTTGGTTTAAAAGCAAACAAATAACAAACATTTGATGAAAATAATTAATTTAGAATTTCTTTTTTATAAAAATTAGGATAATTATTGAAATATTCCTACATTTTTCATAATATAAGCAGAGAAATTATATTACCAAGCAAGCAAGTACTTTTCCTCTACCTTAAATTAAATGTATCTTTAACTAGATAAAAATTGCAAAATTTTTACTTATTATTTAAATATAATATTTTTAATTTTAAAAAAATCAGTTTGTTGACAATCAATTACTATTTTTTACATTTTATTTTTTATTATGATTTAATTTAATTAATCTAAATAAAAATCTTGATTTTCATAAATATTTTATAAATATTTCATTTAAAATTTAATTTCTAAAAGTTGATTTAATTTAGTACAATTAATTTACACATAAATTTTCTATTAAATTAATTAGAATCTCAAATAAAATAATTCACTTTTAATAGCTAAAATCTTTCAAAACAAACTCTTTGTTGATTAACTTTTATACATTTAATTAAAATCAGTAAGCAAAAAGTTAATTTAAATTATTTTTATAAAATATTCGCTATTTAATTTCTTGATCATAACATTTTTAAACAAAACAATGTTTTTAAAAATAAAAATTCAGATAAATAAACTAGATAGTATTAAGAATAAATATATTAGGATATTGTTAATTTACATTAAAGAGTTATATTGAAACTAAAGTAAATATTATCAAATAATGTTTTTTAAGGATTGAAATTTTTCTTTTTTTAAATAAATATAATTAATTATATAAAGTAAAGATCATTTTAATGCTAATTTATGATTCTTCATTTTCATTATTTATTAAGAAATTAATTAAATATTTTATTTAATGAAGAATTTCTAAAGACAGGTATTTCCTTATTTATTTCTGACGATCTTGAAGAAACATTTTCTTCATTTTATTTTTCTTAAAGATAAGTATTTGTAGTATCTTCTTTTTACTCAATAATTTTTTAGAAATTTTTTTATTCTAAAACTTCTTCTTAGTCATTGCTATTATTATCATTATTATTATTATTATTATTGTTACTATTATCAAATTTATCCATACTAATTTTCTTAGAAATTTTAATTTTAATTTATTTTTTTTTCGCTATCCCATTACTTGATTAACTTGCCTATGTGTTACTATACTCATTATTAGAAGTATTTTTTAAAGAATTTTAGTTTTGTTAATTTATTGTATTTGCTTTTACTATCTTTTTAAGCATAAATTTATCTAAAACGTCTTCACATTTTTCTGAAGGAGGACTTTTGGATTAGGTTGAATTAAAAGCTATTTCTGAGCTAAATCTTTGATAAGTAGTAGCTTTTTTAAGTTTTTAGTTTATTAAATTATTATTTTCTTCATATCCTTCTTCTTGTTCATCATCACCTTCCCCATCTTTTTCATACTACTACTCTGTTTGGAATTTCTGTTTATTTAAATGATCTGTCAGCTTTTAATTAATTTGATTTATTTTTGAAGAAATGCTTCTATTATCCTCATCATCTTGTTTTTACTGACTAATTTATTTTTCACTCAAGAAATTATGATCATCACCTTAGTTTTTAAAACTCTCATCAAACTCATCATTCTCATGATTTTGATCATAATCTTATTCATTTTCGCTCTCAAAATTTTATTTTCTTTTCACTGAATTCTTTTTAAGAGAACTTTTTGCTGAACTCTCTTTTGATTTTGCCTTCATTTCCTTTATTAATTCTATACTTTTTTTAATTTCAATAAATTTATCAATGCAAATTGAATTATTTTCAGTAGGATCTGCAAGTTGAGCTCCCTTTTTCAGTCTTTTTTTATTTTTAAAAATTTATGAGTGTTTAGATTAAAAATCAATGGTATCTTCTACGAGTTTATCTTTTTCACTTAGCTCAAGACCTAATGCTTTATTAATTTTTGAAACATTTTCTTAATTTAACATTAAATTCTAATAGTTTTTAGATATTGTGCTAAAATCTATATAATTTTTTTAGAAAAACTCGACTCCACGCTATTTTAAATTCATCAACGTCACCATATAAGCTGAAAATTAAGTAATATTATTAATTTTTTCCCCCTTTGCCTAATTTCTAACTACTGTATTCAAAACACTAGGGTATATACTTCTAATAAACAGCTCTAGCTCTTCAAAATTGCTGTGCAAACTATAAGGTAGTAGCTATTTAAATTAAATAATTAAATTAATTAAAATGAATTTTATTTAATTTTATTTTAGAGGAAAATCTTATGGTCTCTAAAAAGCTCAAATTAAGCTTTAAATAAATAACAAATAATTAAATTTTACATAATTTCTATCATCTTTAGTTATGTATCCTTGTATATTAGCCCAACCTGTGCAAGTAATGCTAACACAATATTCATTTTTTGATTCCATTCTTTCTTATTTTTCGTTTTTCCTTATAACTTCAATCCAACCCTGATCCCTATTTGTGGTGAAGAGTTAGTATGGGATATCCATACAAAGTATGCTTTAATAACGCTACTCATTTACCACAATAAGAGTTTCATAGTGTTTAGAGAGAAAAACAAGAAGTTCTTCTTTACCTAAAGAGTCAACACAAATTAGAATTCTAACATTAGGGATATTTTTATGTTTATCTATAATTTCTGTTAGCATTTAGCATGCCTTTTCTCTCTTGGGAAATTTAAAGATAGGATCACAATAAGTGTTATCAAATATACATTCGTCTATTTATAATGATATTTTCTTAAGTTCAGAATTACGTTTTTCAATAGGATACAATATTGGATTATTATATATTAAATTCTCATTAAATCTCATATCACCAGTATGAAGAATTCTTCCAAAATATCCTTCAAACATGAACATGACTGATCCTTTAGTTTATTTAAATATTTAATATTATTAATTTTAATTAACTTTCATATAAAAATTCACAATTATAGTTAAAATAAATTATTATGTTACCAGGACAATGATTTGCATCAAACAAGTAGACATTAATTTCAATTTTATTTTCTTAATTTAAGCAAATCTTCTACTATTTGTTCATTTCCAACTCTCTCTAATGTAATAAGCAAATAAGTAAAATTAATAAATAAATGCATCCTAAACTCTAATGAATCCTTACGACATCTTGTAATTATGGAAACTTGTTAAGTAGTAATTTTTTTGTCACTTCTGAGCAATAAATTGTACCAAAATTCCAATTAGGTGTTATACCTTAATAATGATCTTTATATGAATTTACAAATGAGTTCATTTATATTTATATAATAAATAATAAAATTACCTGAATGCATATGAGTTAAAAAATAAATATATTTTTTTAATGGGTGTCTTTTACCATAAGAAAACTCGTCCACAACTATGTTAGTAAAGCTAATAAGTACCATTTATTATTTTTATAAAATAATGAATCTATGATTTAGTTTGTATGAATTAATTCAATATTTTAATCAAATTTTAACTAAAAATTAATATTTAATTCTGTTCAATTATTATCCTGTAAAAAATTTATGTGTTTTTTTACTTATTTTTTTTTTTTTACACCAATATATAGCTAATTCATAAATTCACTAAATGATATTTCAATCAATTTTTTATTGAATTCCAATCATTTTGGCTCCAATTCTATTCTACTCAAAAATGATTAGTTGTCTATCTATCTATATCTTTTCAAAAATTAAATCTTTCTAATTGCTAATTTAAAATTTAATTTAAAAATTAAAAATAATTAACAACTAAATTAGTAATATTTATTTGCCACAATACTTTTTTATAAAATATTCTAAACTTATTACTTTTTCAATTTAAAAATATAATTAAAATAAATTATAATAATTTGTTTTCCACTTTAATTCATATGAAAGATCGAATTTGTTTAATTCTGTGATGCACTTATCTCATTTTCATTTATTTTCAAATATCATTTATGAATTAAAAAATTACTATTTTGGTTAATAAAGTTGCGTTCATTTTACAATTAATTAATTTTTATAAATACTAACCAAAATATTATTAAAAATAATTTGTGAGTAGATTTCAAATTTTTATTGATAAAATGAAGATTACTCTTTTTTTGATATAAGCTCTAGTTTAATTCATATTCTGCAATCCATACACCTGGGCTGAGATAGATAATATTCAGCATGGTTCATAGGATTTATTTTAATCTACTCCTACTCATATGTTTAATGATGGCTCTACAGGAGATCGAAATAAAAACTTTGTAATTGTATTTGCCACAGCTTTTAGTGCTGCTCCTTAAGTTGCAGTTGGAATAAATAAAATAAAATGCTTATAAAATAGTTTATTTAATATTGATATTTAAATTGTAAGTATTCGGGTAGATTCTTTCACACTATAAGTAAGTGTTAAAAGTGGCCAATAATGTGATTTTCTTTCAATTAATTATATATCTGTTCCTTCTACAGAAACAAGAATAGTAATTTAATATTTCTTTTTTCAAATTACTGGTTAATCAGTTAGTGATTAGCTAGGTCCAAACAGACTATCTCCGTTACCCTCGATTTTAACTACTAATAACATTAATATTCCTATCTTAAGTGGATTTTAAATAGCTATAAATGATTCTACTTAAATATAACTTTCTTTAGGATTGAGTCCAGATAACACAAAATTTATTGTTTCTACTGGTGATAATAATTAAATTAAATATATTTCTGGATTTTAAATTGTTGTATAAAATAAAAATAATACTGATTATGGATTATAAATATTTTAGAGCTTATCAGGATCATCAACAACAAATGTTTACACTACTTCTGTACTAAATATTGGAAGCTAAAATATATAACCTTTTTTTTCTTACAATGGATTCAATTTTGATCGATCATATCCTCTTTACTTATAATAGGGCTAAGTTTAAGTTCAGAACAATTAATACATATTCACTTACGGCCCAAGTACTCCATCTTTGATGTATTCTTATAGTTTAGTTTACTTTAATGCAAAATATAAATAATGTAGTCCTCTTTCTAAATATCTTTTTAATGAAGAATATTGTCTAACAACATGCCCACAATCTTATTACCCTAATGATATATTAAATAAATGTTCTTAATGCCATCCATCTTGCCTAACATGCTCTAATTCAAATAAAATCAATAGTTGTACTTCTTGTAGTATTAATAAAGTTTTAGATAATGGCTAATGTATCTGCCAACCTGGTTATTTTTAAAATTTGAATGATCCTAGCTATAGTTGCAATAGTAATATATATTCACGAAGAATATTTATATTTTTAAGCTCTTAAAAGAGTATTCTATACATTATTTAAAACGAAATATTATCAGGTTTTATAATTTTAAAGAAATAGGCCATAATTATTCAAATTCTAACACTCAAATTTTATTGAAAATTTTCAAATTTAAAGGATTATAAAATTTTACATTTATTCCAAAAAAATTAGAATTTATCTTACCACTCCTCTAATTTATAATATTTAAATAAAAATATATCTTTTATTTTTTTAATATAATTTATATTATTTAACTAAGTTAATATTTTATTTTTATAAAATAAACAAGAATGTTCATATTTATGTTAGGAATGTCGTGGTAATTCAAATACTTGCACTAAATGTAGCTTAAGTAGATTTTTAGATGGTACAGTTTGTAAATGTTAAAATGGATATTGGGATTCTATTAGCTCAACATTTTGTCCAAGTAAATTTAATTTAATATTTTTTTTACAAAAACTGTTAAAAATTAGAATGCTTTAGAAACTGTAAAACATGTAATGGGGGTTTAAGTAACAATTGTCTATCTTGCAATAGTGGTTATTATTTATATTCTGATGGTTCTTGTACTTGTGACTATGGCTATTACGATGATCCTTTGCAAAATATCTGTTAGAGGTGCCACTCAACTTGTGGACAATGTAATGGTCCTCTAGATATCAATTGCACTTCATGCCCTTCTAATCGTATTCTTTAATTTAATAAATGTGTTTGTGCTAACGGATTAATAGAATAAGTTTTAAATGGAGTTCTGACATGTATTGCAAATTAAGGTTCTTGTAATTTTGATAAAAATTCTATAAATTTGTGAAATTAATTAAAAACAAATTTATAAATTTTGATAGTTTCTAAGCAAACTATCTAATTTTACATTTTAATTCATTTTTGATTAATTTTTGCTTATTTTGATAGGAAAAAATTTAAATTTATTATATATTAATCTACTCAGTATTTTAGTATTTTGAAATAATTATTCAACTAAACTTATTTTTTATATAAAAAAATTATAAATACTCCAGCATGCTTTCCAAATTGTAAATTATGTTCTTATATACAGACTGGTAACTAAGATAACCCTAGTTTTTAGGTAGTTCCAATTTGTTTGTAATGCTAAAATAATATGGTTTTAGTCAATGGTTAGTGCAAGTGCCCAGATGGAACTTATATAGTTGATAACTAAATTTGTTTTCCATGCGAAAAAACTTGTAAAACATGCTATAAAGGTGGATTTCATGGGTGTTTAAGCTGCTTTGATTATTATAAAATATAGAATAATCATTCATGCATAAATTCTGCTCAAGAATCAAGCAATTCTAACAGTAAAAATTTAGCTGTATATATCTGTGTATTAGCAGTACTAGTAACAATTGCGGTTGTTGCAAGCTTTGTTTATTTTCATAAAAAATTTGAATAAAGAAAGACAAAATATAAAAATGAGCTATTTTAAGTTAGTTAGGAAAAAATTACAGTGAAATAACAACAAAAAGAAAGAAAACGCTTAAATTTATAAAGTAATTTAGAGAATGAATAAAATTAAATAAATATTCACAATTATATTTTTGATGAGATTGATGATGAATACAACCCTGCTGAAGATTAATTAGAATAACCTAGCTAATAAGTTTTTGATAATGAAAATTAATAACAATAAGCAGAGCTAGATGAAATAAAATAAGATTCAGAAGAAAAAGATAAAAGTTAAATTGAAGATTTAGAAAATCGTAGCAGTAAAGAAAAGATTAAAAATGATGACGAAAACGAAGTAGTAATAGATTTGAACAAAGAAAATTGAATTAAAATATAAATATTTCAAAAAACTTACTTCCTTTTTTTAGAGTTACAACCTTCCTTTTTTCAAGCTTATCAAAATAGTTATCTGGTTTAATTAGAAATATTGTATTTTTAGAAGTAGATATTTATTTAATAAATATTATATATTGCGCATATAGATTATTTTATCTATTCCATCAATTCTAAAATTCTTTCGAAAATATAATTCATATTTATTTTATATAAAAATTAAATATTCACTGAAATACTTTTTATAAACTCCATTATATATTTTATACTTCTTTAAATTTATTCATAGATATATTAAACCAGTAAATTATAATCATTATTTTCTTTTTGATCAAGACTAGCCCTACAATAATTTACTATTTTCCTTATTATAGCAAATAATTTAAATTAAATAAATGCATTTAGTTTGCTATTTCAATAAAATTGTTTGGAACATCAAAAATTATTATTTTAGAGTTTGAAGAATAGATTTATAAAATAATCTTTAAATAGAATATAAAGCTCAATTTAAAAGATAAAGTTGAATTTTTTATCTAAATAATTTATTCATGATTTAAAATAGACTAAGAAGTTAGTTTTCAGTAAGTAAATTGGTTTTTTATTTATATTTGAATTGAACTGGTTTAAAATTTATTCAAGATATTTGATATTTATTTGTGGATGTTATTTAGAAGTTTTTAATTTTCTAAAATGAGTTTATCATATAAGGGTAATATTTAATTTACAAATAGCAAATGCTTTAGAAAACAATATTTTGTAAAATTATTTATCTATATATTTAAACAAAAATATTATTTCGCATTTCAGCTTGATTCTTAATACTATTTTTAGACGAAAAATAAATTATATATGTACAAATGATAGTGTCTTTTGTTTAATAACAAATTTTATAAAAATGTACTTCACAAAATTTTAAAGGCTACAAATAATTTTCACAAAATATAGGATTTATTAAGTAAAAGGTACATCTAATTTTAATATATATCATTGTTTTATGATAACACATAGAATAACAAAAATGTTTTTTAATATACTCAAATTTTTGTTTGAATTTATATAATGAGATATATCCAGTGCAATATCTTTCAAAGGCAAATAAATTTTAATTTATTCTCTAAAAAGAATTTATATTGCCATTTAGAAGCTTTAGGAGCTTATCTATGCTTCACATATAAAAATATATTTTTCTTAAACCTATATTACAAGCTCATTGTAAATTTAATTATTTTGATTAACTCATATGATTGGTAGTAATCGAATAATTGGCTCAATTCTGCTGCTTTTTTATTAAATTGCTGACAAACAATCTTTTTAATTAATAATAAAAACCAAAAAATTTAGAAAAGTCCTAAAATTTGTGAAAAATATCAAGAAAAAAAAAATATTAAAGCAATAAATTAATATATTATCTTCCTCACACAAATCACCAAATCAACTCCTCACACTGCTAACTAAACTAGACAAAAGTAAATATCTTCAAATTACAAAATATCCGATAAATCAGCGAAGCATTTACCTTACCTTATCCATTAATCATGCTTATGAATATAGAATATCTTAATAGCCACATAGCATAGCAAATTTTCTTCATTTTTATATTTCTAAATAAAATCAGTCACTTAGATTTTTTACTGGCAAAATAACTATGATGCTATAACTTGCTGAAAATTTTTTTATACACAATAAATATGAGCACAGAAATTTGATAATAGAAAATATAATTTTAATCCATTTTTTAAATTTATAAAGTGCAATACATCTAGAGTCAAAACAATTACGCCTCATCATATGGCCATTTCCCCGTTTATACTTCAGCTTCAAGCAGATATTTCTAAGACATGAATCTAATTCTCGAACGTAGTGAAGAGGGTGGAGCTATTTATTTAGGAAATTTAGAAGCAGCTAGTAACGTAGAGTATTTAAAGCGTCACAATATTGGAGCTGTCCTTACAGTTGCTGGAGGTACAGGCTTACGCTATAATATCCATGACATTCCTATGCATGAAATTATTAATGCTGATGATGCTCTTTATTAGGACTTATCTCAATACTTCAGTAGAATGATTAACTTTATTGAAAATGCTCGCCAAAGAACAAATATTTTGATACATTGCTATGCTGGTATTTCTCGTTCAGTCACTGCACTAGTTGCTTATTTAATGCAAAAGAAAGGATGGGCTTATGAGCGTACACTTTCATTCGTTCGTTCTAAAAGAAGCATAGCAAATCCCAATCCATCATTTGTCAGACAGCTAAAGAAGTATGAAGGTTAACTCAAATTATACTCAAGAGGCTTAAGTTCATCAAATAGTCACTAAGATGTTTTGTTCGGTCATTCAACCACCCCAACTGCTGCAAATAGGACAAGGTAAGTTATTGATGAGCTCTTTGATACTCCCAATAAAAGGGCTGCAAGTAGCTATGGATCAAGAAACTCTGTTTAGAACTCTTACTAAACCTCATATCCTCAAGCCAAAAGTCATATAAATTCAATTTATTCAACTTCTTCAAGTATGAGTACAACCCTAACTTCTCACCAATAACCTTCCGTTAGCAGAGTTTTGTTTAATACTCCATAAACTTATACACCCTCCTACGCAAAGTACTCTTCTACACCTTCACCTATATTCTCATCTGCCAACAAAAATAATTTATATTTAAGCAGAGTAGCTTCTTAGACTCATTCTCGTCCTTTTTACTCTAAGATGATTTATTGAAGCGTCTGATCAGCTGAAACAGCAAACAAAGGAATTAGATAGAAAAAAGAAATAATAGAAATAATACAAATCTGATTATTTTGTTTGTCTAAATTCTTTAAAAAATCCAAAATTTTCTAAAAACCTATCCATAAACTAAAGACTAACTAACTAACAAATAAATAAATATTACTTTTTCGAGATTATTATAAATAGATTGCTCTTTAATTAACATCACATAATTAAAATTAGCAATCAGTCAATCAATTATTACATTCTACTTTAATATAATAAATAAATAAAAAGTCAGCAAAACTATATGATTATTGCTATTTTTGATGAGTTTTCACCTTAAAATATTAATCATTCATATAGGCTGAAATTCTTTATATAAATAATATAATTGTTATTGCCAAGTGTATCTTTTTATCTATATTAGTTAATTTTTAAAGAATTTCTCTAATGTATTTTCATTAAAAAATAATTCTATTACAATTATTTACAAACAAAAATAAACCATTTAAATTTGAAATGATTAATGTAAAAAAAAAGATTTTAAATAAACTCTCATAATTTCTTATTCATAGACATGATTTGTTAAAAAGTGTAATTAATCTATTGAATTATTTAATATTATCTTTAAAATAATTTACTAAATACTTAAAATTTAAACAAATTATATATCAAAATCATTATATAAATGAATAAGTAAATTATTAATATAAATTCTTATCATTTTGTTACATAAATAAATTTTATTAAGTAAGCCAATTAATTATTAGGTTTTTTAATAATAGTTTAGTCAAAGAGTTAAGATAACATATTGTAACATCAATCGTATAGTGTTTTCAAATTAAGAAACATCACTTATACTGTATTTCTGCTCTACTCCGCTTATTATATATATGATAATTCTTAAATAAATGGAGAAGAAAGTAGAAGTAAAAAATCGCTTAAGGATATTTTTTCTTTATTCATGTATTCGTCTTCTAAAGAAATTAAAAATTAACAAGCATTTTCTTTTAAATTTTTATTTTTTTCTATAACTGCAATTGAGTGTATGAGTGTATCTATCAAGAAAAAGAATTCATTTTTTGATAGGTATTACTTTTTGTTTGCATCAAAAATATAAAAAAACATCTCCAGTTTTTCTTTAACATCTCCTCTAGTAACTATACTCATGCAGCATAAAAATTCTCTTTTTTTTAAAAAATTTAAATTAATCAAAATTGATAAAAATCAAATAAAATATTTAAATTTTAGCATTTATTTTTTAAAAACCCAAGTATTACTTTTGATTTATTTATAATATTGGTGCTTTTCAAAAATAATTAATATTTAAAAATTAAAAAAATTTTTACCTAAAATCTAAAACACCTCCTTCTACTTCTATAAATAATTCAAATATCTTTTAAAGCTACTCGTTTTTTATAATGATTTTATGTTCAGCTTAATATTCTTGATTAAATTTTATCATTAAATTCACAAATTCTTGTTTACTTATTCCTCTTTTTTAAAATTTTTTTGATTCTGACTTTGGTCTAGTCATTTCGGTTTCTTTTGGAGGAGAATTTGATTCTTCTACATTTTGATTTTCTTATTGTTAATCTTAGGGATATTTAGTTTCTAATAATTTATTGAATTGTTTTTAAATTTATTTTATTTCATCAATTGAGAACTTAGTTATTTTTTTAAGTTAATAATGAATATTCGAGTTATCTTTTGTCCATTTATCACTAAATTCTTAATAAAATTATTCCATAAGTGCTATTCTTTTTTCTTCACAAATTGAAAAATTCATTTTTGCTTTCAACTCATCATATGTAGTGTTTCTCAAAATAGCATCACTTACATTAGGATTTTTAAAATAGTCTAAAATATGTTCCTTATTAATCTAAATCATAGAAATGATGCACCTCTCAAATGGGATTATCTAATATATAAATTTAAGTTAATTTTTTAATAATTTATATTTATTTTATAGAGTAAAATATTACAGAGTTTTCCATAAACATTAAGTCCCATACATGAAAAACACAGGTGACATTTAATGTATTTATTAGAAGAGTGAGCAAGTAGTTTGGACATTGCATTTCTAAAAATGTTTGAAAGTGATTTATTTCATCCTAGTCTTCAAAATAAGAAGGAATAAGGTTTCTCAAAACATAACACTCTGCCATAAATCCTATTAATCCGGATCCTTTTCCGTTCTTTTAGTAGTATTTATCAGGAAGTATATTATCAATAAGATGGCAGTATAATTGAAATGCGACTTCTTCATTGGTAAAGCAAAGCAAAACAACAGCTAAATAATTCATTCCTTAGCAATATCCTAAATATGGATATTTTACAACTAAAGCAATTAAAACATTTTTAATATTCTGTCTGACTGATTCTACACTTTAACCTTCTTATAACTATTCAATAAATTATCTGCTTGAGTAATTGAAAACTTAACTATCACTTCTTCCCTGTTTATTAAACAATAAAATTAATAAAATAATTGATTCTCAACACAATTTAGTAAACAATTTAAATGTTTATTAAATAAATAAATAACTAAAATAATGTAATAGTAAATTACTAAATCAACATCTTTTGTAATTATTTCTATTTCAGATTCGTAATTTTCTTTATTTTTAGCATATTATTCTAGGTATTCGTAGTAACTAAATGACTAAAAGGCTGTTTTCTTTTTTCTATTTTAATTTTTAAATAAGTTTAATTTTATAAAACTTGGTAGATAAAGAAAAATCATGCATAAAATTTTACTCAAGCTGATAAAGATTAATTGAATTGCGCCATCTTTCTGAAATGTAACTATTCTGATTCCAGCACAAATCATTCTATTTTTATAAATTTTAACCATGGATTTATTTTAATAGTAAGACTATTTACACATTTGATAATTTTAATTTAAATATCAAGTTCTCTGTGACAAATATTGCAGATTCTATGGGGTTCGTTTGGTTTAACATCATATCCTGGTATCTAAAGTTATATGATAATAATTTTAAGTATTTTAGATCTTAAATTAATATCAAAATTATGTTTATTTTAATTACTATTGCTTTTTAAGATCCGCAATCTGCACAGACGAATCTCAGACATCTTTTACATTTATGAATTCTCTTTAATTTGCTATTTAATTATTAAATATTTTATTTTCTTATGTTAGTAAAAATATATTACAAAAATGATAGATTTTTTTTGCAAATCTCGCAATTCTAAGCATCATAACCTTTGTTAATAGTTTTATTTATTATCTTTCTAAACATGATTTTTATTAAAAATGTAAAATTGTTATTATATTAATTAAATTGTTTTCACTTTCAATAGATACTTATTTATAAGAATAAATAGATAGAATATTTGAAACTAGTTAGTCGTCTGATAAGTAAATTTAGGCAAAAAGAACTGATGTAAATTATTCAATATATTTAGTTATTAAAATAGATACTTCAAAAAAAGCTGCCTAATAAAAATTCAGAAAATCAACCTGATATATATCTTAGATTAGCTATTGTAATTTAATAATAAGAAAAAACTTAAATTGTATGTAGATAATATTACTCATAAATTCATAATTAAAGATAGACAATTTCAATACACCTAAAACACACCATCAGATAATAAGCTTAATTTTAAAAATTTAAATTCGTTTTTAGAGCAAGATATTTTTTATAAAAGAAAACATGCAGATTATTTTTTGCATATTTGCTATTTCTATTTAATGAAATCACTTTTCTTTTTTTAAGAAACTCTTGCTAATGAAAGTAAAAATAATTCTTATTGAGAAAATTGAATCATAAAAAATATTTATGATATATGATTAAAAAGGAATTTTTAGATATAAATTCTTAATAAAAATAATTTTCACATAAAATATACATACATTAAATTTTATCATCAAACTTATAAAATTAAATTTTCCTATTTTTAGAAGTTTGTTTGTAATAAATAAGTTTAAAAGTTGCTTAAAATTCAATGAGTAACTGAAATAGGGTCCCAGCATGTATGTAAGTTTTCATCAAGCTAATTCATTTATTCTAATTCTTAAGGACTTAAGGCAAAATCTAGAATATCTATGTTTTCTTAAATACGCTATGGGGTTTTTGATTTAGGGATAATTACCATATTATTTTAAAGAGCCCATCTTAAGATTACCTATGCTACAGTTTTTTTGTACTTTTAAGCAAGTTAATTAATTAATGGATGCTTCATCACTTTTTCATGCTATCTGGCAAGAGGACTATATGCTTCTACTAAAATACCATTCTTTTAGCAAAATTCTATTGTTTTTTTATTGAAACATAGAGGGTGAATTTCAAACTAATTCATTTCTGGTTTGAATTCACTTTTTTCAATTAAATGCTGGAGATGGTTAATATTAAAGTTACTGACTCCAATATGTTTAATTACACCTGCTTTTCTCAACTCTATAAGGGCCTTCCATGTTTCGAGACGAATTTGGGCGTTTTTAGGGTCATTTGGAGGCAATTTGCTAACTCCTGGCCAATGGATTAAAACACAATCTAGATATTTAATATTTAAGCGAGTAAGCATATCTTAAACAGCTTTTTTGGCCTATTCATAACCTTATTCACCAGGACTTATTTTAGAAGTGATAAATAAGTCTTCACGTTTAATTCCATAAGCAGGATTGTGTATAACCTTTGCTATATCTTATTCATTTCTATAAACGCTAGCAGTATCAATATGAGTATATCCAATCTTAAGTGCTTCTGTTACTCCTATGATGCAGTCATTCTAACGTAGCTCATAAGTACCGTAGCCGATCTAAGGAATGCTGCCTCCTTCACGGAAATTTAAAATAGGGACTTTAACTTTACCTAATTTAATTTATTGAGTTTCCATTTTTATTGAATGAATAAGAAATCTTGAAATAAAATGCATTAATTAATTATTTATATTATTTTAAAACAAACAATAGAGCTTTTATAGTAAATCTGAATAAAAAGCAAGTATAAATTAGTTCTATTTGATTCTTCTATATTTATTAAAATGGCTCTAGTAACAAAATTGAATTTATTCCAGAAATTTTCTAAGTTGTAAGTTTTTTAGCAAATTCAATTAACTTTTTAAAAGAAAGTTTTTGATTTTTACATATCATAAATCAAATTTAATAAAAATAATCTAAAGATATTATCAATTTAATCATTTTAGATATTATTGAAAAATATAAAATATAAATAATTATTTATGGTGATTAATAAATAATACAATTTATTTTTAAATTGATTGGTTAATACAGAATCTATTAATTCAATATAAACAAATAGAAAATAAAAGAACGTATTAATCTTCTCATAAAATCACCACAAATTTAATTAAATTATTACCATAAATTAAAAAAATTTTTTGTTACAAGAGATGGATTGCTTAATATAATTATCAAAATAAGATATCCATCCACACATAAATAATAGACAAAAAGATTACTAAAATAACAAGCATAATCTCAACTTTGATAATAAGCAATCAAATAGATATTTAAGGATATACTTTAATATTAACTTAGTTTATTATTAATATCTAGATATACTGAGTAAAATAAAATAAGAAAAATAATTAATAAAGTATGTATTTAAAATCTAAATACAATTTTCATATTATATAAAATTTATTATTTTTATTTAAAATTAAATATAGAATATTTCTATTTTATTCTATACTCTTAATTTCAAATTCAATCAAAACATTTATTTTTTTTAAAAATTATAAAATTTGAATTTTTCTCTAGTATTTATAGGAACTAATAAAATTGGTTTCATTCTATAAATTGTAATTTACAATTTTATTTTTTAATTTCATAACAAAAAATGAATTTAATTTTTTTTTTTTGCAAAATAATTCTATATCAAATAGTATTTGAAATATTGATGTCTCTTTTACACTTATCTATTTTGAAATTAAAAGTGGTTGGAATATAATATAAAGACAATTATTTTGTTTTCTTACAAATTAAATAATATAGTAATTAATAAAATGAAATAATTTAGAATTTAAGATGTCATGGCAATTAAATCATTATTTAGTTAAAGATATAAATATAAAATACAGATAAATTATTCAATTAAACAATAATATTAATGTTTTTAAATTATTAATTTTAATGATTCGTAAAGATAGGCTGATATTTATCTTTAAGCTTTATTTGCCTCAATGATAATTTTGATTAATTTAGGAAGAAATTCTAATTTTATAAATTATGTTTTTATATTTGAGCTTAGAACTCTTTATCAATAGAGAAATGTCTTCAATAGTTTGCAAAACGTTCATAAAGGGATTATCCTGAGTTTTTCTTTCTGCAACATAAGCAAAAAGCGAGAATAGCGTTTATCAAGAGATAAGCACCAACAATTAAACCTACAATATAGGCAACTCTACCATAGCTTTGAACAAAATCTTAGAACTTTTCTTTGCAAGTATCATTATCAGGTATACCATTGTTAATATCACTGAAGAAATAAATATTAGCTGGCTTTTTACACATACCAGTACAGTCAAAAGAATCTTCCAAGGATTATAACCAATTAGCTTAGTTTTTAACATCAGAGTTTGAAAAGACAGTCTTGTAATCTTAGCAATCTTGGACTTTTACAGATCCATTATCTTGCATGAAAGGAACCATTTATATGTAATTTTTAGTAATATAGCTTTTTACTTCAGTGTTTGTAACTTTACAGGGACATCTTTAAGTGCAGAACAATGAAAAAGCACTGTTGTAAGCTTCTTAACCATAATAGAAAATTTCAGTTCCATTACTTCCTTTATCTTAGCAGGTACTGTCTTTGATATCAGTAAAGTGAGAATCTGTCAAACCTAAGAATATAAAGCCTGCGACAAGGAAAAATAAGGCAAGGATGATGCTAAGTATTTAGAAAATGAAAATGCAGCATTTGTTTTGTTTTCTACCTCCACAGATACCTGCAATAGAGGCAAGTAAGAGGAAAACTGAGCCAGCAATCAAAAGAGCAATTAAAGTTTTATTCCAATCAAAACTAGAATTAGACCAGACACTTTTATTTTTTACTCCTATATAGATACCAAATGCTAATGCTGCAATACTGATTACTAAATTGATGTATGAAGTCCAAGAAATGTATACTTGTAAGCAAGACTTCTTCTAATTGGGTTCATTAATAGGGTGATACATTTTAATGAAATTATTTGTTGATTACTATTTTCTTTAAAATAAATCAAATTTACTTAATTTTTAATTTTTCTAATTATTATTGTTACTATTAACAAAATATGCAAGTTAAAAACAACTATTTATCTTTGTCAACTTTTATCTATATTAATTAATTTATTTACATTCATATTTTTACTTCACCTTTCTTTAAATTAGTTGAGAATTAATATTTAATTTTTTCCACACATGAGAATGTAAATATTTTTTTTCTGCTAAGGATATCAAAATCACATTAGAGAGTTATTTTTAAAATTTCAATCTTAAATATGCACCTTATCAGAAATAATGGTAAATTACCATTGAGTATACAATGAATTTCATTATATTTTAATTATTTGAACTATATTTGTTTTACACAATCATTATATCATACTGAAGTCTTAATTTTGGTCTTTTTTTTTTACCTATAAATTTAATTTTGTTTAACTTCAATTTATCAAATTAATATCTTTTTTTAGATAAATTGAACTTTAATATCAATATTTAATTTTAGTAAATAGGTAAATTAAAAATGTTAATTCAAATTTTTATCTAAACTAATCATTTTCTATATGTTATTCCTTTTTAATTAAATATGTATTGCCTTTAACTTATTATTTAATTTTAATTTTAAAAAGTTTTTCTGATCAAGCCAATCTGCTATCTTATCAAAAATTATTATAGATAATTATAAAATAGCCCTATTAAATAAAAGAATTAATCTATCTTTAGAATTTAAGTATCAGAACTATTTAATCAAAATGTATTTTTTGTTCATATTAGTACTCCTATTTTTAAATAAAATGAAATAATGTGTAAGTCAATTACAAATTATTTAGGTAAAATAAACAATTATATTAATTATTAAAATTAGTCAATAGCTGAAATTATTATAAATAAATAATTTTAAGAAAAAAAAAAATTGGTTATTACTATTTGGAAAGTAAGAATTTGTCTCGTAAATATACATTTATATAGATTTGAGTAACTAAATATATATTTTAATTAATTAAAAAAGAAAAAGTTTTAAAAAAATGTAGGTTGATTTTATGTAATTAATTTCTTGTTTTTTGACTATACATATTTTTAAATAACTTTTATTTTTAATTAAATAAAAAAACATGATTAGTAAATCAAATATATAAATACAAATAATTATTTTTGTAAATGAAAATAAGCTAATTTTTTTTGAATCCTACCTATAAATAAACGAATAATTAAAAAATAGTAATGTTATTGATTTAAAAAAATTTAAGGATTTTACTCAGACAAAATTTAAAAAAATTAATTATAAGAATATTTTTTTCAAACATTTCATTTTTTTCATTCAAAATTATATAAAAATGTAAAAACCCTCATTAACTTAAAAACATTTGAAGGAAATTGGAATAAAGATATTTGCTATGAAATAATAAAAATAAAATTATAAAATAATGCTCAAAGATTATTTAAGCAACAAAAGTGGATGCTTGTTGAAGACAAAGACCCTAAACATAAGGTTCTATCTACAATAAAAGAGAGAAATTAAGGATCCAGTTACTCTAAGACTGGACATCTCGCAGTCCATATCTTAATCCAGTAGAAAATATCTTGAATTGAAAAAAAGCAATAAAGAGTAGAGATGCTTATTTCATTCAATTATGAATGATTCCCAAAAAATTCTTTTTTTGCCTAAAATATTTTTAAAAATGTGTAAAAAAAATATAAGAAATAGCATTAAATATTACTTGTTAAAATTCCTAAAAGAATGAATGAAAGAATGACATGAACAAAATTAATTTAAAAACATAAAAATTAAATACCTCAATCTAAGCCAACACAGTTAGCAGTATTTTAATTTAGTGATTATATCTATGTAAGATTATATTTAATAAATTTTATAAATATATTCTATAATATTTACATTTTAAATTTATTTTATTTTGTTAGTTGTTAAACATTAGACTTATTCTTTTTTATATATTTATTTAATTTAATTTTTATTTTATTATTTATGCCAGCTTTATCTTCAAATTTATCAATATAACTTAATTTCTACAAACCACTACATTTTAAATAGTTTGGCTTTATTCTATATTTGTTTTAAATTAATTTTATAAAAATAATGCTTTTAGAAACTAATAATTAATTAATTTATTTTACCTTATTTTATTTTAATTTTTTTATTAAATTTTTATTTTATATATTTATATATTATATATATATATTTTTAGAATTACTAAAAAATATTTAATATTTCAATTCAATAGCATTATAATGCTTCTGCAAGCTTTCCTTTAGCTTTATGACTAATTTTTCTAGCACAATTTAATACCTATTCACTTTAACATTAAGTAAAAGCTTCTTTGTCAGTATATTTACTACAAGATTGATATTAGTTTGTCTAACATACTTTAAATTCTTCAAAGTATTCCATGTTTTCATTAATGCATTAAGTATCTTAGCCTGCAAAACATTTCTTGGTGTAGACGTCACTTTCAGCACATTTTGACAAATAATCATAAATGTTACATTATTCTTTTTGGCATCTTATTTCACTAGACAAATTGGTATTTTTAACATTTTAAAAAATGTTGATGAAATTTGTTGGATCATTCATATAATTCTAGGTAACAATACTAGCTTCTTCTATGCAGTCTTATTATGAGAGGCATTTATACTAGTAATCGAAGCATTTTTAGATGGCACACAGAGATAAATCAAAGCCAGTTTAGTGGTTAGATAATTAAAAGGTATGCTTATTCAAAAACCCATTAACTATAAGCATACAAACTCCTAAAGTAATTAGAGTATATTTATTCATTTTTTTTCTAGTTTTTTAAATGTTTTGTTTTTTATTTTTTTACAAAATCAGATATGACTTAAAATATCTAGTTCTTAATGTATTTTTTATAAATGTAAATAAAATATCTTTTATAAATATCTAATAATTTTTTTGTTTATAACTTTAATTTAATAAAAATAAACTTGCTCGAATTGAGAGGATAAAAATATAAATGAGTTTATAATAATTTGAATAGATATTTATATTTCAAATATATAAATTATTGTGGTGTAATTAGTTCTTAATTTCAGCAAAAACAAGACATAAAGCATATCTGCTTCAAGATTTTACAAAAAGAATTATTTAAAATAAAAAGAAGTAAGCAATTTATACTCAGTATTTTCAAATTTTTAATCTTTTAAATATTATTATATTTTATTAATATTGTAAGTAATTATTAATAAATTTTGTAAAATTAAATTAAATTTATTATTAAGCAAGCTATCAAGTATTTTGATCGAATTTAAAAGTATTACTTTTTAAAGTTTGAATCGTATAAATACTTCTAGCAGTAAACAAGATAACATCTATATATTTAACGATTATATTGAAAATTTCTAAATTTCTTCACTTCTTATAAGCATATAAAATATATAATAGATAAATTGAGCAACATTCTACTAATATATTAGAGTTAAATGCCTTTTTAATTTTTTAATCTTTTTTTGTGAAAAAATTTATTTTCAAAATTTTTCCTCCTTATCCAAAAACAATCCTTATAGGCTAGTACCTACAATATTTGTAATTTATTTAAAGCGAACCTATAACTTATTAGCTTATAAATATGAAAGAATTTATAAAAACAAATTTAATTTATTATAAAATTTGCTTTTTGCTCAAACCTAAATTTTTAAAGGATACACATAAATTTCTTTTTATTAATTTACTGTTAATCTTATAAAATGTTGTCTTTGTTTTAATTTGTAAAGAATAAATCACAAATTAAAAATAATATCATCAAAAAAATATTTAATATTATTAAAAATTTAAAGTAAATCAAATTATTTTAATCTTTTTTCTATTTATTTTTTATAAATAATCAAAATAGCTTATAATCAACCTTTAAATTTGACAAATTTATATCATTTAAAATTAATTTTTAATACCAGATACTATTAAATTCTGATAAGAAAAATAGTTTTTTATTTTTAAAATTTACATAAGCTACAAATTTTTAAATAATTTAACTTGAGATACATTTGTATAAACTATTTATGATAGTCTTAATTTGTTAAAAACCTTTTATTTGACGAATTTAATTTTTTTAAATTTCTTAATTCTTATTTTCATAAACTCTTTACATGCTTTATTAAAGATAAGTATTTGATTTCCTCAAAAAATACAAGTTAAAAGTCTCACTTACCATTAAAAAGTAGATTTTTTAATTAAATTATTAATTATGATGAAGAAGAAAACTAAAACGCCATTCCTATTTTGATAAATTTATTATTTTTATAGTTTAAAAAATTCATTTAAAAAAATAATCTTATTTTTTCTAACTTTTTAAAAAATAAAGAAGAAATTAATATAAAACTTGATTTATTATCAAAATTTTAATTGGAGATTTGAGAAACATACCAGTTATTATAGAGGCATTAAATTTTAATTAAAAATTGTTCTACTATTTAACATTAATTTTTACTGAATTAAATATTAATTTACAGTCTCATACTAAATTTATATTCTTTTCAATAAATATCTATTCATTTATTTATTTTATTAATTTAAAACTTATATAATTTAATTAATAAAAAATAATATTTAAGAATTGAAAAAAATCTTTCATAAAAAACTTAAAAAATAAATAAAATACACTAATAAAAGAGTATAAAGAGATTCTAAAATAAATATTTTTTGTACTATTCATTTATTTTAGTTCTTTAAAATAGTCTTAATTATATTTATTAAAAGTATTATCAGTGATATCATCATAGTAGCTTAATTAGTTATAGCAATATATTTGGTAATATTATAGAAAATAAGTACTACAAAAGATATTCTGTGTAATTTAAGTCATGGTAGATAAAAGCAAATTTTAATTCATAAAAAAGTCTCTAATATCAATCGCTAGATGATATTTATGTATTTTATTTTAATTAGCCATCTTTTAGCTTTTTAATTAAGAAGATTTTTCAAGAAAATAATTCAATAGAATGCAAAGCGTTCATAAATACTAACTCCTTATCTCTTATCCCTACAACATAGACAAAAGGCAAGAATAGCATTTACTAAGAGGTAAGATCCAACAACAAAACCTACTACATAAGCAACTTTACCATAGCTAGAAACAAAGTTCTAAAATTTTACTCTGCAAGTTTCTGTATCAGGGATACCACGGTTAATATTACTAAAGAAGTAAATATTTAATGGCTTAGTGCACATACCTGTACAATCGAATGTATCTTCCAAAGATTCAACCCAGTCGACTGAATCATTAACATCTGAATCTGAGAAATATTTTTTGAAATCATCACAATCTTAAACTTTAGTTTTTCCATTAACATTATCAATAATGTAATCAGTATCTTCCAAATATTCCTTTACATCTTCATCAGTTACCTTACAAGGACACTATTCGCTACAGAATAGTTCATTAGCCTAATCATAAGCTTCTTAACTGTATTTGAAGATGTCGTTCTTAGATTAACAGTTAGTGTCTTTAATATCAAAAACATGAGAATCAGTCATACCTAAAAACACAAAAGCTACGATAAGGAATGAGAAAGAAAGAGCGATGCTAAAAATTTAGAAAAAGAAAATGCAACATTTATTTTTCTTTCTGCCTCCAATAATACCAGCAATAGAAGTGAAGAAGAGTAAAATAGAACCAACTACTAAAAGGAAAACAAGAGCCTTATTCCAATCAAAGCTAGATTTAGACCATAAATCTTTTTTTCTAATTCCTTCATAAGCTCCAAAGGCTAAAGCAGCGATACTAATGAGTAAATTTATGTAGGAGGTCCAAGAAATATAAATTTGAATACAAGATTTCTTCTGTTAAGGTTCAAAAATTGGTTGATACATTTATTTTGATTTTTTTTAATTTCTTTCTTTTTTATTTTAATTTTTATTCACTTTTTAGAAATTAAAATCAAAAACAGCTATTTAAAGCTAGTATTATAAATTTTGCTAAAATTAATTAAATGAATGGTAACCAAATTATTTTAACTCTTTTAAAAAGCTATTAAAATTGTTAATTATCTCCAAATTATAACTAAACATTTAAAAATATTGTTGTATTAACTAAATTTTATTCTAATTAATTAATGAATTTTATAAACTTTGGTAATTTACCTTATTTCTACTTCTAAAGAAAACTTCTACTTTAATTTGTATGCTATATTAATATCCATACCTAAATAATCAAATTAGCTCTCATTCTTTATTATAAATTTAACCTTAAGTTAAAAAATATTTCTCTACATAAGAGTTTTTAATACTTCACTAAATCAAATTTTGATAGATAAATATTTAATAATAAAAAATTAAATAGAATAAATAGCTGATAATATTTATTTAGTTCTCATAAATTATATTTTAAAAATCATTTTAAGGTATATCCCAATTCTTTAATAATAACTGCTTTTTCCCTCCTTATTAAAAAATTCAAATTTTTAGAAAAAAGATCTATTTAAAAATTTCTATTTTATAAAGTACTATTTTTATAATTAAAATAGACTAATACGCTATATTAATATGGAAATAAATATTAAAAAATAAATAATATTTCTTTTAAATTTATAAAAATTTGCAATATTTTAATAATATGAATTAACAAAATCTTAAAATGATATAAATTTAAATTAATTTAACCATGATATTAACAGATTATTGAGTTAAAATAATGCTTTATTTTATTAAATTACTTTTTAATCAAAAAAATTATTAGCTACTATAAAATAAACAAACAAAAAATTAAATTATTAATATATGTATTCTTTTGAAAAATATTTATGAAAATACTTTTTAAGATAGTAATTTTTTAAAATCTAGTTATTGAGATATTTTTGAGAAGCTTAATTCTCAGGAAAATACTAAAAACTTTATAACAAAAATGTAATAAAATATTATGTTTTGATAAATACTTAATAAAGTTAGACTTTATGCAACAATTATAAATATTCTAAATTGATAGTCTAAAAGTTAAAATCTGTTTTAATTACTATAAGATTAAAGAAATTGGTTCATAATCACTGTTACAAATAAATTAGTTTTGTTGATATAAATTAAATTTAAATGACATAAGAAAATGATTTTTTATTTTTTAAGTTTTCAGTAAAATTAAAATTATTTTATTCAACAATAAAAAATATGTGAAAAATAATTAATTTCATCAAAATTTAATTTATTCTTCAAAATAGTTGCTCTTTATTACATGAAAAATTTTTCAAAAATATAGAAGAATTTATATCCAAGATAATATTTTATTAGAAAATTAAAATATTTAAATAGCTTTATATTTCGACTTTTTAAATGGATTATTTTTAATTAATTTTATTATGAAAAATAGGAAAATGGTTTATTTAGAGTTTAAAAAAGTTGAATAAAATTTATTAATTTGCGATTGAATAAATTTTGCACAATTATAAAAACAAATTTTAAATGTTTTAAATAACTGAATTTAATTTTGATGAAAAAATGGTTTTTAAAATTTATTTTATTTTTTTTACCTTTTATATTTATTTGTTTCTTGATTATGTTTGAATTATTTTTTAATATATATTATATTATTTTATTTATTATCTGATTTGCGTCATTTTAAATATTTTATATTATATTGATATGAATTCAGCTATAAAGAAATTATATTAATTTCCTTTTTCTTTTGACTATTATTAATTTTTAAATTAATTTAATTTATTTATTATTTACCTGCCCTATAACTGTTCAATCTAAAATTTTATTGTTAATCAAACAAAATAGTAACTTAAAGATTTTACTTATATTAATCTATTTGAATAAATTGCTAAATACATTGACCTCCAACCGCTCACAAAGAATATTAATATTTTTTGTTATTTTGTTTTGCAGAAAATCATGATTTATATTTATTTATATATCCTAATAAATCTAAAAATGCTTTTTATTTTTTTATTTTTTTGGTATTTAAGTAAATGGTGAAAAATATGGAAAATAATTTAAAAATTATTCTGAAAATAAAATTTAAAAAAGAAAGGATTGCGTTGTGTATTTTTTGTATTCATATTATTCATATTAGTTAGTAAGAAAGGTTTTGGATTAATAAGAAAAGAGGGAAAAATAAATATGAGAAACTATGATTTAAAGGAAAAAGGAAAATTAATAATAGCTTGATTGATAAGAAAAGGCAAATAATTTTAAATTTTGAATAATATATTATTCGTATCAAATTTTATTTATTTGAAAGAAATTAAGAGTAAAGGAAAATAGAGATCTTAATAATTCAAATATTTTATTACTTTTATTTTGAAATTAAGTTATTACTAAATTATTAGATAAATTCATTTCCTCCCATCCTTCGTTTGAAATGAATGATAAAAGAAAGGGGTAGGGAATTATAATTAAAATCTAAAGATAAACAATTTATGTAAGGAATATTAAGATAATAATTTTTTTAGAAAATAATAAATATTGTATAAAGTTTTGGGTAACAAGAAAAAAAATTAATTAACATCTATTTTAATTTGATGAATACAAAAGAAACTTAAAATAATTTAAAGGTAGAAACAATATCATCTTAAAGCTTACCAGATGATGATTAAAACGATTAAGAAGGTTAAAATATTGAAGGACCTAACGACCAAGACTCACAGGATAACATCAACAACAAAAATTAAATTTCAAACTAAAACTAAGATGAATCCAACATAAAATTTTAATGCAAATGTGGAAAGTCTTATTCAAGGAACGCCAGTTTATTTAACCATATTCGTATAAAGCACGAAAACAAAATAACTGAGTGGAAGATATTTGAAGGTATGAGAAAATAGGGTAGACCTAAAAAGGATTAACAAACATGTCCATAAGGTATGAATGGAGTTACTGGACAAGAATAAATAGATTTGCATGGTTTAAAGTTGCAAAGCAAGAAGGAGATATCCCAAGAGATGATCAATGGCAAGAAGTATTATGAGAATGCTAAAGGTAATGAATCATTGTCTAAAGTGAAATTCAATGATGAAATGAACTAAAAACTTTCCATCGAGAAGAGGATATATTAATAAATGCAAGCAGCTGCCACAAATCCATTTCCCTTTTACTTTTAGCATCTATATAACCCCGCTGCAGCCACTGCAGGTCACTACTACTAAGACAAATTTGCACTTGCTGAGTAACATTAGATGTGGCAGTAGAGGTAATATGCTTTGTTTTTGTAAAACTTACAAGAAGAAAAGCCTCGCCATTCCCTCTCTATGGACATAATAATAAGATTTAAAGATATATTAGTAGATGCAAATGATGAGCCACTTACTGAAAAGGAAGAAGTCGAGCATCTAATCAAGCTATTTAACTACCAGACATCTCTCTTCTCCAAGTATAAGATTGATTATGATTCTTATAGAGGTTAATTTGAATGCCTTTACACTTTTTTAAGATACTGGATGAAGTTCATTAAGCGCGAAAAGATAGATGATACATTCAAAGAATATATAACTTTCTAGTTCGCAAAAATACTTAAGATCAACATTGATTAATCTGCAGTCATGGAACGCTTATAAAAGATATACGATGAATTTGAAAAAAAATCTAAAGGTACCGCATAATAAAATGGATAGTAAAAGTAAGCCTAATAATCAACTGTAGCTGCTACATAAGCAAATTAATCTGCAACAGCTGCATCAAATGCTACTTCTGGTAATAATGCCGCATCATCTTAATAGCCTTCATCTCCTAGCGAGTCATAAGAGTTACCTCAAGGCTTCCCTATTCACCCTCCATATTCTCATCTTTATCCTTAGTATCCTAAGTTTTACCCACCTTCTCATTACCCTCCTCTCCCTAACTTGTAAGCCCCATTAATGAATCATCTTAATTTCCCTATTCCACCTGAGGGAATGTATCCCCCAGGATTGTAATACCCACATAGCGAAAACGACCCTACCTTCCATTTGTATGGAAAGCAAGCATATTAATATCTTCGCCCTCCATAGCCTACCATACCTTATCCAGCATATCTCGACGGCGTAGCAGCAAGTTTTTCTAAAGGAGTAGGCAACTCAGCAGCTGCATAAAAAGGATAAGGAAGTTTTCCAAGCAATCTACAAATAAATGATAAAAAACACGCTACTGAGCCATAGAAAGAATCAAAGTGAGTGAAGAAATAAAGCAAGCAACAAAACATTTTATATTTTGAAAAAGAACTTATTCTACTTAAAAATAATGCGCCATATATAAAGTATTCAAAAAGAAAAATTAATAAATAAATTATGATTTTTTTTTTTAATTTTTGAGCGAAAACAAAAAATCTATCTCTAAATAGTTAGTGTAAATTATAATCTATTTATCTAAATATAAAAATCATCTCATCTTAAAATTAATAACTAAAATATGATGAAAGACACAAATGGTGTTGTCTATCAACAAATAAAAAATAAATCAATATATCAACCAATCTATCTATAAGTCTATCTTCCTAAAGATTTAAAGAGTTATCATAAATTAATTTTAATAAATAGTTAATTTATTTTTGACTGTTTCTATTTATGTATTTGTAGCTATTTTCTAAAACGATTTTAAAAAATCCTAATTTTATATTTCACTTTTTTTTTTTTTTACTTACGCACTTTGTTCCCTTCTAAGCATAAAATTATATTCTTTTCACTTGCGACTTCACTTTGGTATATAAACTATATTTGTATTTATTTATGAAATTAATTAAAACTTCTTGCGTATTTGATAATATTTGAATTGTAAATTATAGACAAATCAACAATAATTGTAGTAATAATAATTATTATCATGATTATTAAAACAAAAGATTATATATATATTGTTTATTAAAAAAAAAGATTTTTTTTTTTAGAGGCTGAACCAAAATTAATTGCTTTATTTTCTTAATTTATTTTTTTTTCTTTCTTCGTTTATTTCTCCCTTTTCTTCTTTTTTGTGCAAAGCTCTAAAGTATTATTTTAATCATTATTTTCATTAAAACAAATAAAATTTCTTCCGATCCTAATTATTATTATTTTTTATCATTTTTAAATAATTTTTCTAACTTCACAATCTCATTAAGTTCGATTCTAATTATTATAAATAAAGAAAACAAAGGTTTCTTAAAAATATCAATGCACTTACAATAGAACTCAAAGAATGTTTGTCCTGAAAAATCATTTAAATTAGTTCTATAAAATTTATATAGGCTTACACATTTTATAAAGATTAATTATTCATTATTTTCAAATAACATTTTATTAATTATATTTTAAAACCAATTTCATTTTCTTTGTCTTACTTACACTTTTTTGATTAGATAAGTTATTCTCACTTACTAATACTGTGTAGCTTTTATAACATAAAAAGTGATTTGAAAGAAATTGCTTTTATGTTAAAAGATATGTACATTTTCATTTTAATTTATTTATTATAATTTATAATATCAAACGCAGGATACCTTATTAGATTCAGGCAGGCTTTACATACAAATATGCATAAAGCTTGAACATATTTAAAAATCTTACTATACACACCCATATAATAAATTAATTTTTATATCCTTTTTATAGGAAAAAATTCTTTATCTAAATTTAATAATATCAATAAATCCGTTTACACTGAGATACTTTTGCATTATTTAACAAAATAAATCCAATCTTCTATAAAAGAGTTTACTTAATCTAAAAAATATTGATTTTCACATAAAGCACTCCTGAAATTTATACTTTCGTAAAATCTAACTAACTAATATTTTTTTTCACTCGATTAACAAATTTGCAAATAAAAAAGAAACCAAATCAAATCAATATATAGGGGTGAGCAAAAAATCAATTTAATTGAAATTCAGATGGTAATAATAAGATTTTTACTTTTAATAAATAAAAAATTATAAACTCACCACAAATACTAGCTGCTGCTAAAGTTTTTGTACTAAAATCATTTGAACTTTAAAGAACAAAATATTCATTCAAATTAAAATATTTTTTTTCCCCACCCGATAAATATTTTAATTCATATAAAAATCTTTTAATTTTAATATTTTCCATATCTTTTCCATTTTAAGTATTTTAAACTTTTAGAACAAAGAAATTTCTTTTCAAACCAATTTAAGTAGTACTTGATATCTATAAAAAAATGAAATCTTAAGGATATTCTTTTATTAATTCAATAACATACATACATAGTTTATTTTAAATTTCTTTTATTAAGAATTTATAAGCAATTGATGAAACTAATTAATTGGGGTTGGGGTTGGGGTTGGGGTTGGGGTTGGGGTTGGGGTTGGGGTTGGGGTTGGGGTTGGGGTTGGGGTTGGGGTTGGGGTTGGGGTTGGGGTTGGGGTTGGGGTTGGGGTTGGGGTTGGGGGTTGGGGTTG